AATGATACATAAATCAATTCATTCTCATTATTGAAATCGATGCCTGGATCAACTGATAAATAAGATGTAATTGAAATTAATCATTCTACATGTAATATATCATTTGAAGTTGAGAATAGTTCTCATCAGAATAAAATAGTATACGAAATCTATATGATCAACAGTAATCAAACTCCCTTATGTGATATCTCAAAATAGTTAAATCTAACAAAAAACCTCTAAATTCAGCCAAGTTTAATTTGTAAATGAATTAAAATAAGTGAAAAGGTATTCTAAAATAGTAAGTTCCGAATAGTCTATTTAGTATAAAAATTCTTAAAATGATAATGTTATTGAAAAATAATTAATTTCATTTAACATATAATAATTAAAGTAAATAAACTAAAATTTAATTCAGACTAATAATTGAATTATATTTAAGGTATTTCTGATTATTAATAAACTAATTTATAGATACATGTGATTAAATATAATGAATAAAGAATCTATTTTAGTTTATTAAAATTCTTATGCTTTTATCATTATTTTAAATATATAAATTGTTTCTAAATTTAACTTCAAATTGGTTAAACGTTAATTAGCTTTAGATGATAACTATTTTTTTTTTACCTCAACTTGAAAATAATATTTTATCAAATCATGAATTATAATCCTCATAGTTAAAATAAAGGAAAGGGAAGTATTCTCCAGGGTATTTCAAGCTATTATATTTGATATAGATTAATAAATAATTTTATTAATTAGTTTTTACATAAATATTAATAAATAGTTTGGAGATACTTTATCAATATTTTCAAAGATATTAGCCTAACAAAGACATGGATTACAATATTACAGATTTAATGATTAAATTGACTAGTAGAAATAGGAGATCAGCAAATAAGTCGTTTAAATTAACTTTTTTAATAAATATTGTAGGAACAATAAGTTATATAATTTAGAATAAGATAACATTTCATAAAGTGATCTAAGTTGTCTCGAATGGTAATAGTGTTAGAGTAATTTATTTTAAATTAAAATCTTTAGTATTTAAAATGATAATTAAAGTTGGTCACCTCAATGGTGAGGTTAGACTATATGATTTAGCTGACTTTTGCACAGCTAAAGAGTTGATGATGATGATTCAATCAGAAACCTAGTGTGAAATCTCTTTGGTGAGTAATGGGGAAAATGTTGCAGCATCTGCTTTATTAGGTAAAGACATTATAAAATATTGATAGGCGGCGAAAGCATCTATTATGTGAATGTAGATGCAGAAGGAGGTAAAAAGAAGAAGAAAAAGAAGAAGAATTTTGCTAAACCCAAGAAGAAGAAGCATAGACACCGAAAGGTTAAATTGGCAACACTTAAGCTTTATACTGTAGATGGTAAAGGCTTAGTTTAGAGATCACATAAATAATGCCCATAATGTCCTCAAGGAGTTTATATGGCAAAACATTTTGATAGACACTATTGTGGTACATGTCATTAAACATTCAGAATGGATGAAGCAACAGTAAGATGTGTCTTATATCTATAGATTAAAGCAAATTTAGAAGCAATAAAAAAATAATAGGCAGCCAAAGCAGCCGCGGCAGCAGCAGCAGCTCCAGCAGGAGGAGCAGCAGCTGGAGGAGCAGCAGGTGGTAAGAAAGGAAAGAAAAAGTGATCATCAGTATAATAATATTAAATATATCATCTAATAATCATTATTTAGCACTCCATAAAGAAATTGAATTTCTGGATAAAATTTGTGGTTATATTTTCTTATCACTTTTAAGATGCTCCTTCGATTAGGTGTGTAACTAATTAACTTTTTCATTCAAGCATTCAATTACTGAAATTAGAAGCATGTTTTATTGTTTTTCTGCATGAATTCTACTTACTTAATAATTTGTATCAATTAATTTTTCAAGTTCGAATTTCAATTTCTTATTATCTTCTTATAATTAAGATGTCTAATATTATAGAAATAAGTTATTTACAATTTGTATATGTTATATATTAGTATCCTTCTCTTTATTTATTTTAGCCTCAAGTGTTTTAATTTTTTAATCATATAAAATTTCCTTTTATTATAACTATTACTCTTTTTGTTATATTTATAATTAAAACTCCTAAATTGTCTATTCCGAATAATAGCCACCTATGTTATCATTAAGCAAAGTTTTAAATTCAGAATCCAAGCATCTAGGACTTTATTGATAATGAACTGAAGATCTTTAGGTTTCTTGTCTCTCTGTCTAAATAGTATCTACTTATATTTTCAATTCATTTAGTTTTTGATGCAATTAATGAATTTCCTTATTTTTACTCCTCTAAGTATCTTCGATTTCTTATTTCAATTACTCATTCTGCATTTCCAACTCTACTAATTTGCTGCATTCTTTTTATTAATTTTAATTAGTTTGTTTCATTTAATCCTACAACTTACTAATTTTTGTATCTTTTTAATCCATCTACTATTTTAGTATTTCAATATTTGTTTTTAATTCCTCTATAACTTTATCTTATTTGCATCTTTATGCTAGTTCTTACTACAATTGTAGATTGATATTTTCTAAATTTGAATAATTTTATAATTTATGCTATAACCTAAATTGTTTTGAAACTATAAATACATTTTCGTTTTATTCTGATAATTTCTTTTTTGTCTTTATTGATTGTTGTTAATTGTAATTTTAGTTTTTCTATTAAAGTTCCTTGGATAAAACTCCTCTTCTATATGAATGTTTTTTCTGCAGTTCTAAATATATGGCATAAATATTACATAGTTTTAACTCAGAAATTTCATTTTCTTTTTAAACTAATAATTGTTCCTATTACTTAATTTTGTTAAAATGTTAAGCCTATTGCTAATCCTGCTTTTCTAGCAATTATTTTAATTATTAATTCTCATCCTCCAACTCATCTATTTTATCAAGCAACTTTCGATCAGATGGTTAATGATTCCCAACTTCTTCTTCTTAATATTCATTAATGAATTATAAAATATTTTGCACTTATTCTTCTTCCAATTTCAATATAGCTTCTTATGCTAATTAAGATTCAATCATAATCTATTATATGATCACATATGTACTTTGATTATTATTGAAATCAACTTAATGATTTCAGCAGTATCTTAGTGTTTTGCAATCAATAAACTGTTAATCTCAGGCAAATTGGGAATTGATTATTTCAAATTTTAAACCAAGTTCGTTACACACAACATATCCATTTGGAAATTTTTTTAAGGAGAAGATTAAACTTTTTGAGGGTAAACTTCTGGATTCAATTTATTAAGCAAATTAGTTAAAATTCTACCATCACTTAAATCTTTTAAAGTGGTACCTTCTGGCACACTGACCAAATATCCAATCCATTTCAATATAGCATTATGTGACATTTTTGAAATTTAATAATATTAATAATTAACGAATATAGTCATTTCAGATTCTCTATTTTTGTCAAAGCAAAATGATCTAATAATAATAATAATAAATTTGTGAGATATAACATTATCCATAGATAATTATAAGTAAATAATACCAAATAAGAAAACTACTTTGTGATTTATTGATTATGTTTTTTTTTTGAACAATTATTGAACCTAATGAAAAATTGCAATAATAATGATTCATACATAATTTTTTTATTAATTTCCATAAAGAAGTGGTGAATTTTATAAAAGATTAATTTTAAAGTTTATAATTATCAGAATAGTATTTAAATGTTTTGGTTATGGTTTTCTAAAAGTCTGAGGTTGAAGTAGTGAAATTCACAGTTTGAAATGTGAGTATATAGCGAAATCTAAGAAATTTTAATAAAACAGCTTCAATGTCAAGAATTCGTATATTTTATAATTATTAAAGCATTTGATAATAAAAAGTTGTGAATAGCAGAAATTGTAGAATAATTAATATTTATTTGTTATTATGAAATAGATGCTTTCATAAAGCTTCGTTTAAGAAGTCCTTCCTACTCTATTTCGAGTATAATCAGAACGTCCGAATCCTGATTAAAAATAATAAGTCTAGAAGGAAAGATAAGGAAAGGATCTTTATTCCTTAATAGTGGATCAGCAGATGATTAAAGCGATAGAAATAATAGAGACATTTAAGGAAGAAGATCATGGATCGATATATAAAAAACATATTGTAAACTATGTTATTTAAATAAAAACTGATTATTTTGATTACACCATTCCTAAAAGATATTCAGAGTTTGAGAAATTGCATGAATAAGTAAGTCTTAAAATTAAATATAGTTACATTCTTAATTAAAAACAATGCCGAAGTTCCCATAGAAAACATTAATTTAAACGAATTCAAGGAAAATCATAGCTTAAAGATAGGCTCTGCTTCAACGTAAACAATAACATTATTAATAAGAGTTTTTGCAACATTTGCTATAAAATTTAGATCATACTATGTATATCTTTTTGGAATTCTTAAATATTAAAGGTATAATTAATTTGTAATAATAAAAAGAATAATTTTAAAAGGGTGGATTTGATTAAAATGTTAAACTGTATCATTTCAGTAAGGAAGAAAACGCATTAAGGGATCTCGTCGATACAAGTCCTAAGAAAATATAGCCAAAGAATGAGCCAGAACAAATGATTATCCATTACCTGATAAAGTTGAATGAGAAAATAGATGAGAGAGGCAAAATCTTTTAGTATTAATTAAACGATTAATTAGAAAAATGGAAAAATATTGTTTTGGTAAAATCTAATAGGTATCCTCAACAATGCTGAAAGTGCTATTTACAGGAGATGATGAAAGAGAATTAAAGGGAATAATCCAAGCATTGTCTATCCAAAACAATGATATCTAAAGTCATATTAGTTGTATCATGGGTTTTTAGTTCTTTCGCAAAGTTCTGGAATATGATTATAATCCAAGTAAATCATAATGGTAAAGTAGATGCTGAATAGGCTCTCAAGTAGTTTGGAGAAATCAGTATCAAACAATTTAAAAAGATCATGATTTAGTCACATATTTGTGGATAATAAAAGCTTTGTAAATAGGATGCATTAATTTTGTTACATAAATATATCAATCAGAATTAATTAAAGGATCAAATGATAAAGTACTTGATTGATGATAATGAATGCTTACAAGAGTATGAATAATTCCTGAAGACTCACGTTAACAAGAATATTGACGAAGTTAAAGTAACCATAGAGAGCACCGAGAATCTCTAAGAACCTTTGCAAACAAAATCTAATTCGTCGGAAAATTCAATATTAGAATAAGAAGCTACAATTGAATAACTATATGAAATCAGTTAAATGAATTTAAATTGGAAGTTAGTCTAAGGTATTTATAAAATAGAATATTATAAGAATTTGATAATCACTTAATGTATCATTTATCCGGATAATATGTAAAAACAGTCCATCCTTTAATATGTTCAATTGAAAGAGCTATCACTATATTCACAGATCTAAAAATTTAATGGTTTCATGGAATGATACAAAAAGATGTCCTCGAAGAATATGATTAATTTAGAAGTTTAATTGTTGAATATTATGTTTGGGAAGACAAATCAACCTTTAAGAAAATGGCTTTTGTTAGTGAATAGGAAATTTAAAAAATAGACGACTTTCTTTATTAAATTACTATTATTCCTAGCACTAAACCTTTACCAGCCAACTATAAAATCAAATGTGATTAAAAAGGTATTGTAATTATAAATCTCTAGGATAGAAGATGAGTTTGATGTTTCTGAAAAAGATAACAGATAATTCTGCTGAAGCTATTGTCTATTAAAATATAATGGATAAAACATTTAGAACAGCTTTAACTCCTGTTATTTTAAAAGAAATTCCATGGTTTAATCACACAATAACTAAATTAAAAGCTCTTTTATGATATATTACTTACACTAATATATTATGTATTTTATTATACTTAATTAAGTATATATAACTATCTTCCCACAACTAATATAACAGTTACTAAAATGGACATTATTAAATAAATATGATAGTGTATTGATTATATTATTATTTTGAGAAATCAATATTGATGAATTTTTGTTTATTTATATTTTTCATTTAGACAATTGAGGAAATTCTTAATTGTATTTTTTTTAATTTCTTAGGATTGTTTAATTTGAGAGTATTCTAGCTTTCGCTTCCTCATATGATTGTTGCTTTAATTTAAGACGATCATCTAAAACCTGTTCATGATTAGCTGATTATTCTGATGTTAATTCCTATTTATCAATGTTAGTTTATGGCTTCTTCACTAATACCTTCTTCGGTTAAGCGGCTGTCATTTAACTTTATTGATATGATCAGGTACCTTCTTTCTATTTTTAAATCTGCCTTTTCATTATTATACATACTGAAATATATATTAATATATTTTATATTTTAAAAATGCCTCCTTAATTTTCAAATTGCTATGAATTTTAATTAGTTTCTAAAAATAAATTAATTGGTTTATAAATTTCATTATAAATTCCTTTAAATCTCAATACATTAAGCTATATTCAAAAATAGCACGACCAATATAAAGATTATATGGAATCATTTTTAAATTTTAAATAGCACTCAAAAGCATCCAAGATGTATTCTTGTATTTTTGCATTGTATTTGTTACTTGGCTATTATAGTTCTAAGTGTATATAATTATGAATGTTGGCGGTTTAGACCCAATTATTAAAATATATAATTAAAACTAGAATGAGTTCAATAATCACCAAGAATATTTTTAAATATATTTGGAGTTATTAGTATGAATCAGTGAAAATATAATCAGCTGGAATAATAGGCTAATTTTATTTCAATTTAATTGATAAATATAATGACTAATTACATAGATAATTAATAATTAAATTTTTAAAATCAGACTAGAGTTAATTTTTTACTTGTTATATCTATGTACGCAGAGTTTTTAGATTAAATGCCATCTGGATGTTTTTAAAAAATGTAATGTAAATCTGAATCAATATAGAAGTTAGAAATGGATTCAAATTTTTATCCACATTTTGGACAACAAATTTATTCCAAATTTCCTACCTTCATCTAGTATTCTTCAAGTGATTCCTTATCAAAACAATCATAATGATTAATACATTTAGTGCATCTTACTGGTACTTTGATTTGATTTGATGTTAATATACACTAAATATTAAATGATTAATTACTTTTAAATTTAATTTATACATATTGATTGCAACTCCCCAACATTTGGATTCTTGAATGTTTATTTTTTTTATGTGCACATATCCTTACCCATCTCCATTTTATTATTATTTTAAAAACTACTGATATGCTTAGACAGTTCTTTAATAAAATGGATTTTATAAGAAGAATTTCATCATCTTAACATCGATGTAGATCTAATCAATAAATTTAAGTGGAGGCTTAACTGTAGCAGAGAATGGTGAATTGCAAAGGGGACATTCTTTTTAAACTTTTTTAACACCTTCAACATCCTTCTCATTTTTAACTTAATTCAATATACAAGCTAAATAACGCAAATCTGTCACTTTTAAACCTATACAATTTCTACATCTAGCTGGTAATTCTATGCCATAATTAGTTATTGGACAAATTACCAATAAATCATCAAGATTTGGAATCTTGGTATTTTGTAATTTCAAAAATGATTCTGTCTACTTTTTATTGTTCTCATTATTAACAAATATAGATTCAGCTATTTCATATATCTTATTTAAATATTCCAAATTAGCTTCCAAGGACTTCCCTACTTTATATGAAAGAATGATATCGTCTCTTTGTCTATGATACAACATCTCACTCAGTTTCTGGATATTTGGTATATATGTGAAGTTAATTGAAAAACTTAGTCCTTCTCTTCCTGCCTATAATAACTGGAAGTCTATCTAAATAGATTCTGGAGATTTCAAATCAAACACTGATTGACAACCGTACATTATACAATTCATCGTTTTAGATTCTGACTCAAATAAATGTTTATGCAAAGCGATCAAGTCATATGATTCATAATGAACACATTTCGTACCTCTTACAGGTATATTGACTCTTACCTATGATATGAGACACACATTCACAAAATCACAACCAGTATAATCATTGAGCTTCTTTGAGATTGCAATAAATTGATTCTCTTCTCTGGGTTATTGAAGTAGGATGGGCTCAATCCCAAAATTCTCTTCATGATAGTGTTGGTTAAAGTAAGTTTAATATTTCCCTTTATAAAATGGAATTATTAACTTTTATTTGTGGTAATAAATAATATCTTTTGGATAAATACCTACCTGCTTCCTTAGATTATAGATAAATATATGAGGTCGAAGAATTTCTTTTAAAATATCAATGGTGTTTGCTAGTTTTGGAATTTTAATTTAGTCTTTGCAAGAAGGACATATCACTTTTGCTTACTTATTGTTCACAATATTAATATAAACTATCAACTACTCTAAATCAAAGTAATCATCAAAATGTTTTTTATTATTGATACATTGAGTAAAAGAAACCTAATAATCTATATTTTATATTTACAGGCACTTTCACCTTCTGTCTAGATACACAACATTCAAAAACTATATTCATTGATTAAGTTATCTTGAATTGGGATTCAATCCAAGCTTTTTAATTATTCTATTCCTATTCTAATCTATCTGAAGCAAATTGACTAAATTCTTAAATCAGGTTTCTAAGTATATCTTTGAATTATTATTAATCCATCTTTGGTTCCACAACTTGATTTGCTTACATTTTATTTTTAATATTAAAAAATCAATTTTCATTTACTCAATTTTAAGCCAACTTTATAAAAATGCAAAAACTAACAAAATACAGGCCAAAATCTATTAGACTGATTTTAATTTTGACATATTTTTAAACTCTATAACATAAATAATATTAGAGTTGAGGTATATCTATATTCCTAAAACATGCTTTAAATCATATATATTAATTTTTGTTCGATTCTAAGCAATTGGCAACACATAAGCATTGACAAAATATAATTTTTTCTTAAATAGATTAATACAAAAATAAATATAATTAAATTTATAATTCTATTATCGATAGTAACAAAAGATAAGTAAAGTATTTTCTTAGCATTAATAGAATTTCTTATTTAATTTAAATAACAATTATTACTTGGAATGATTGTCAAACCTATTTAATTCTGGTTGTTGATGTATTAAATAAAAAGGAGATAACTAAATTAAACAAAGTAGAATATAACTTAAATGATCAAATAGAAATAGGATATAATTTAAGTAATTATGTTATTCAGACTTTGATTTAAAAGTAGGTTGAATTTATAGATTTCTTATATAAAATCATATTCATCAAAATAGAGTTTATTGATTGCCAGCCAGTGCTAATCCAAATGTTGATATTTCTTTTCTCTCGGATGTTACAAATCCTAAAGTGTCTTATCTTTTAATTGTATTAACCTTTTGAATAGGATTAATTTGAGGTTTGACTATTCCTGAATTAACTTTGGCTTAAATATTTTTATAATTGTTTTTTTCTCTTTTTTATTCGAGTTTCAAAAATCCTTGTCTTATCAATTAATCTGAGTTTTCACTAACCTTTTTTGAGACCTATTATTTTAATCTACTAAGAGTGTTTTTCCCAAATTACAGAGCTGTAGATCTTCTTAGAAATTATCTCTCGCTTACTTCATTTTCAGTTTAAACTTAGATAAGAATTAAATTATACTCTGTTTATTTTCATGACGATTAGCTAACCATGAAAAAGCAACTCCAGCAGTAAATTTAGATTAAATTTTTTCCATTATTTTATTTTCAGCCAAAGTTTCAGTTTCTAAAGTCTTTATTTATTTTTCTTCTTTGATTTCTCTACTACAGTCCTATGATTATTTGGGCAATTCATCTGAAGTCTTTTGACGTACTATAATAGTTCCTTTCTTTGATTATTTGGGAGTAGCACTCACTTGTCGTTACTATTTTAATTTTCTGCGGATCACGTTGAATATGGGCTCTAACTTTGCTGCTTTTAATTTTAATTAAGCTATCATCATTTCATCCTTTCTTTCTAAAATTTTATCAATTAATTGTATTCTAATTTAATTAAAAAAAAGTAAAACCTCTCATCTGCAGAGTTCAAGGTTTTTAATGATGCAATGATTTATTTTTTATCATTAAAATCTGATAATGTATTGTAGGCTTCTTAAACTCTCAATTTTTTCAGATTAATCGATTGAGACTGATTGGAATCATTTCTTATATGCTAAGTCCTTCTCTCTACTTCAACAACATTTTAATGTCTTTAAAAGTTGATTGTTCTATGAGTAATTGGAGATTAAACAATAACTTCTTTTTTAGCTTAACCAAAGAGAGGATCTAATATTTTTTTAGCCGTATAATGAGGTCTGTCTAACATAAGTTTATGGAAGCTCATAATATTATTATAAATAATTGATAAATTTCAATTTAATAATAATCTTCAGTAGTCATTCTAGATTAAACTCTTTAAAACTTTTAACAGATCATTTTTGAAATATCGCTTAAAATATTTCAATATTGTTATATATATAATAAAATATATTTTAACACTTATATTTAATAAGAAAATTAAAAAAAACCAATCAAATTTATTGCTAATTCTAAAAATGAATAAATGAGGAGTTCCTTTACAAGATCATGGCTAACAGTATGGAGATTTATTACAATTAAATATTCTATAAGATATAAAAACGAGAAACATTAAAGATTAAGTGTAGTAACAGTCAATTATCATTAATTAAGAATCTTTATTCAATCGATTTATTAATAATAGTCCTTTCCTTCTAGGTTTCTTCAGAAAAATGGTTGAAAATAATGTACATACTTAAACTGTGGCTGAGTAAATCATTTGATAAATTTATTTAGGAATTCTTTTAGCCCTAATAAATTTTATTAAAACTTAGAGTAATATCTCAAACTGACCAAGAATCCGAGATGGTTTATCCTGACAATAATTAGAAAAAAATAGTTACATCCCAATTACTTTGAACAACTACTTCCAAAATTATAATTATTCTAATTTAATCATTTCGAATTAGCTCTACAGTATATTTATTCATGTTGAATCATAATGATTTGGTAATTAATATGTTTCAATTATAAATTACAGATAGTTATGATTGATTCGGTTGGAACAATTTAAAATATCATTCAATCCATAAGCTAGAAATAAAGTCGAATTAAAAATGATTTGTTAGCATTTAATTTTCATATAATATTCCTTTATGACTGTGATATTAATTGTTTAATTTGATATAAATGCCATATGGCAACAGTTTAAAACAAGCAATAACTGCTTAATTATTTAATATAGATATAATTTGATAAGATAATAGGGCTGGTTAATATTTGATTAGAATAAACCGAATTGATTTGATTGAAAAAGCAAGTAGTAAATTGGTCTTATTATTACTAAAGTGCGATTATATTAGAATGCAAAACGAATTAGAATTAATAAATATAATATTATGATCAATAAATTTATGGGGTTATTCAAAAGTAGACCACCATTTTAAAGGAGAGTGGCAAATTCATCTCTGCTAAGCCAATCTGATGATATTTTATTGGATGATCTATTACTTCTAATTTCTTGCTTTGAGAATAATCATTCAGAGTTTATAACAAAAGCACCGTCGTATTACATAGAACAGTATTTCTAGTTAACTTGTGAATAGTATCAAAATACATAAAAGTTTATAGGGAATTTGCTAACTCTTACATAATTAGGAATAAAGTTCTTTTGACTTGCCACTTAATGCTGCATGAATTCTAATTAGGTATTGATTTTGCGGATCACTTTCTGAATTAGAAGTTTTTAATTCTGATGAATAGGTAGTCACCGAGTCTTGTTAAAACAAATCATTAAAAATAGGAATGGTTATCTGCAAATATTTAGTTAAGCTATTTTTAATATTTACAAAAACTTGCTGTTAATATCTAAGTGTTTCATGCATGCAAAGTGTAGTAGTATCCATTGTTTTAGGAAGGATAAAAGTTTATAGATATCCAGACAAAATTACTGTGGTTATTTAAGATAAGCAATTTGGTACATGAATTATTTATAGAAACAGGTGAATAGTGGTTTGGGATAGATGGAGACATTCAAATCTGCATTATAAATGGTGCCTGAAGATATGTTGCTAAAGGAGATAGTGTTGGTGTACTGGTCAGACATAATTGTGTTTTACAATTTCTTAAGCAAAGAGGTATTACTGTATGGGAACTTTAGATTTTGCAATTGTTGGACTATTATAGACATTTGGCTACTCATATTAGTTTGTAGTTTTACGAATTATATTTATAATTATTCCAAATAAGAAATTCTATATCAGATTTATATAAACATCGGAAGCATTTCGATCGAGATAATGTTATTAAGCAACCCAAATGGTTTGATGTAAACAAGCCAGTTCATCAGTAAATTGAGGAATTTATGTTGAAATAAAAATTAAACATGGGTAATCACACTGACAGAGCTCTACAAAGACCGCAGATGTCAAGTAGAGGTTCTAAATCATAGATCGCTTTTGATGCAAAAATGGATTCAACAAAATTCTCCAGAAAAGAAAATACAGTCAAAACACATAGGGCTGGCAGGTAGGGAGAGAGCGATGGAGATGACGAGGACTTTGAAGAATTGAAATTAATACTCCAAAATTCAAATATGCAGTCTAAATTAGCCAAAAAGAAATAATAGCAAAAACAAATGGATTCTCTGGTGTCTTTCTAAAAGCAATCTCGAGAAGAGGGCACTGATTTACCTAAAGGCGATTGAATGAGAGATTGGTTGTAATAATAATTAATGTTTTTATAAAATTAATTTAATAATGTAATCAGGATATATTAATGCAGAAATGAGTGATTTCATAATTTAGCATACAACCTTCATTAATATTTAACCGAATTTTGATTTGGATAAGCTTCAATTCATTTCTGTAATATCCAAAATGATTAATTAAGGGATATTTTGGACCATTTAAAATTAATTAAATTGTAGAGGTTCCATTATGGGTGGCAATTGAATTGAAGAAAAAGAATAAATGCAGAGTAATACCTCCTGAATGGTTATCTATTGAAAGGTTGTAATAAAAACTTGATGAGGAAACCATTAATGAGTCGGAATTGGCAAGGATGGAATTATATTATTTTGAGATTTCTTCGATTTTGTTCTCTTATTGCAGAGATGATATCAAGGATGATGATAAAATCAAATTATTGTTGGAGGACATCAAGACAAGAAGAGAAAGTAAAATTTAGAAGAAAATAGAGGAATTTATTGCAAGAGGGTCTGAGGCTCTAAAAATAAATAACTTAAATCAACATGAAAGAAATAAAATTTACTCTAATTTTTATGGAGATTTAAAAAAATTGAGGTAATTGAAATTACTAGCAGAGAATTGAGAATATTTATATATTAAATTTATTGAAAATTAAATGATTCATTCCTTAAAACCAAAGAAGAGATGCTAATCGATTTGTTATGAACATTAGTTCATTTTGATACCAAAATCTAGTGAATGTTGGATTAAGTCATAGATCACTCTTGATTATTGTCCTGTTTATAATGAGTACATATATTACATTACAAAAGATTCACCGGATAGTTTGAAAACATAGTTCCTATTCTGAATTGCGATAGATAACCCGGACTCCCTACATTCATCCTAGAATATGATAGAACTCAATATTAATTCAATCTAGAGAGATATTAATAAGAACATCAATTGAAAATTGAGGAATAGAGAGTCAAGAAGACCAAAATGGTATTTAATTATTGTATCATATTTAAGTTAGTTCCAAAGCCTGGCAAAAAACATAGGTATTGTGGAGTCTGCAAAAAAAATTATGAAGAATATTTAGATGTATGTTGACTTTTTATCTTAGTTTAGCATATCCAATCCTAGGAGCATATAAATAATTTTAACAACTACAGAAGTGTTAATTTGATAAGAACTTTGATTCAGGGATTTTAGAATGTCATTAATCACGAATTCTCAGATTAAAAATAATCCAGCATCTTGTTTTGCGATTCAAATACCAAAATTCCCATGAATAAAGAGAATTTTGTTGCTTACTTTGATCAAGAAAGAATTGGAGTTCGATTCCAAAAGCAATAGATTAAGGACATTCCTATGCTTGAATATAAAATTCCAAGTTCTAAAAGGGGAAGACCAGCCAAAACCAAATAGAAGAAAGAAACCATTAAGAAAGCCAAGGTTCAAGAAGATATTCCAATCATCCCCCATTACTAACCTAATACGTATTTGGACTATTATTATTTATAATAATAATACATGTAGGCCTAGTAACAAATTTAAAATCAACAACAGTAATACTTATGCTATCCATAGCCTCAATAGTAGTACTTCAGAGACTGTATAAATTATTTTTATATTTTAGAGATGCAGTATTTTAATTAAAATGCCTAATTGGATTTATAGTTTTATTAAAGCTTAATGTAATAGCAACAACATTTCTTATAATTAAAAGAAATAGAAGAACGAAGAGAATACTCTGATCGTTCTTCTCTATGGTAAAAATTGATATAATTAACAAATTACTAATAACCGACTCAAAATGAAATAGTTTAACTCTTGCATACCATCATAGAGTAATACGAATGTAATCCTCGTAACAATCAAAATCAAAATCTAAATCATAATAACAATGATTAGTAATTTTAATGATTCTATTAATTTTAATTGTTTGTTTTGTTTTTCATTTAATTGAATTTCAAATTAAATTACAAAAACAGTATTATTTATATTAATAATCAATCATCTCATAATTATATATAATATTGCTAGCGAATCCTATCGATAACAATGTGAAACCCATCTGATTCTGACTTAAAATTATTAAATCTATATATCGCCAAATGCAGAGTTAATTTTATTATTTTTGATCACTAACTAATATTAAATAGAAGTTGCATATTTAATTATTAAAAAATAAAAATGTAGAAAACACAATTGGTGACTTTCTTGTAAAATGGGTCCAATTATTATCCTTTTGGAGATAAACCAAATAACAGTTATTCACCAGAAGGAAAGTTTAAACCATTTATTTGTGAAAGAAATTAAGTCGGAAAACTTGTTAATAATGAAAGTTATAACTTTTCATCAGTAAGAAAAAATACAAAACAAAGAACCAGCGAGTAAATAAATTAGATAGAAGCCGATACAATAATGAAACAGAAATTTCGTACAGAATTAGAATCTCCTAAATATGATCCAAATACTAAATATGTCACCTTGATACTAGCTGGATTGAATGCTGAAGACTTCTAAAAGCCAATTGATATTAAATCATACACTCTTAATCATAACTAAGTAGAAAGAGGTTAATTGATGAAAAAACAGTAAAAAGGACTTAATCATAAGCATTAATTAATCAGTCGAAGTACAAAAACTTTGACATCTTAGATTCCAGCTATTGGAATTTATGATCCTCTGCCTTTAATTAAGCACTTACCAAATATTTAGATTAAATCTAAGTCTATTTAGAAATTACCAGAAGTTTGGGAAAGAAATAATTCAGTCTCAACACCAAAATAAGGTTTAAAACACTGTAAATCAGAAATGATGTTTGCAAAATAGATTGCTTAAATTAACAGAGAAGTTGAATAATAAATGAAAAGAAATCCTAATCAAAAGTTCGCAGTTTAACAATTCGACATAAATGAAAATATGAATTTGGAAGAAGCTGAACAAATGAGAAACAGAATGAAATAATATTTTCAAAGCGTTAAAGACAGCCTAACTAAAATAAAAAATTTAATAAATGTGAAGAGATGAGAACTTCAAGTATTAATTTATTGCTATCTCTATATTTATTCATAATTTAGATTAAATAATTATCATAATTCTAATAATTCGAAAAAAGATATTTCTTTTACAAATTACGTTATAAAAATTTACAATAAAGTCTGAATCAACAACAGTCTTATTTTAATTTTAGAGCATCGAAGTTTACTTAATTCTTTAATTGTATCTTTTAGTTATGGCATTTCTTGCAGATTTGTTGAATTTTCAGACTACATAAAATGATTTGAATTTCTTTAAATTTAATTGTTGTTGAACATGTGATTTCCTAGGCCTTTATACTTTATTTAAACTTTATTCTAATTATCAATAATTTTAAACTCTTTTATTATAGTTGCATAATTTCACTATTATTATGAGAGATTAATTGCTGTTATATATGAATATCAAGTATGTTGTATGGAATGATTTCACATCTAATTGTAAATTTATAATTCTTCCATCTTATAATATGTTTTTTAATTTAAATATCCTTTCTTATTATTCATTTAATTAATTTAATGATTAATTTAGTAAGCATCTCGCTTTTAAGTTCAAGTGGGATACTTTTCTAAATATTTATTTTTACAATTTATTCATAAAGGTTGACCTTTTGGTAGATATTATTAATATATAAAATATACAAAAATCATTTGAAGTGTGGTAGTTCACTAAAAATACAAATATTTATTTAATCAAATTATCCCTATTTTATGTGTTGAATCTCTAGTCGTTGTGTACTTATCAAGATTTTCAATGCTCTTTAGAAGAGTAAAAGAACGTGAAGCCAATATATGTATATAGTAATAATTAAATAGAAAAATCAAATGTAATCACAATGAACCATACTATTATTACTGCTATTTAACTCCTTAGATATCTCTAATTTTGAAGTGCCTGACTAATTTCTTTTTTCCAAACAAAGAAATGGTTATAATATACTATTAGGAATACTAAATAATATTATTATATTAATTAAAAATTGGCTAAAATTATAAGGAGCCTAATAATTGTATATAAATTGTTCTAGATTCATTTAAATGTCTTACGTGTATAGAGTTTTAGATTTAAACTGAAATTAATTAAATTTAATATTATCATTACTTTTATATGTAATCTGAGAGAGAAGAGTTTGTAGACGAGCTAACCTAATTGAAAATAGAGAGATCGAAAAGAAGACAAAGGAAAGAATGGGAATTGAAAATGATGGGAAAATGCATCAGTTGGTTGATTTATGCATACGCAGCAGGGATAATAACAACGGGATTGAACTATTTAATGGTAATAAAAGCCATCGAACTATTAGTTAGATAAAAGTTATAAATATGAAGGAATTGTTGAGGATAGCTGTTCTGACTTTAAAACACTCAAATCAGTGAATGACTAAATATTCCCTCTCTTAGATGAATTGACTGTAAAATTAAAGAATTGAAATTATAGTACAAAAAATATTTTAAGATCTTCAGAGTGAACTTAGAAAATGATTGTCCATTTTCAATAGGTGAATATATTTGCACAAGTAAAAAATGTGTGATATGTACTTGCAACACATCTGAAGTAAAGAACAGATTAATGTATTCTAGATTCCTTCAAATTGGTTATCTCCAGCATCATCGCCTATTAAATAACCAAAGGACAATTTTGCATTCTGGGATTCCGAGAGATACCTATGTAATTCCGTAAATGATGTGTAGCTCCTTCTGAATGGATATGGCATGTTGAGGATATCGAAAATGACAAGGGAGTTTACGTGGACTTAAAACTAAATCCCGAGGCTTTCACAGGATACCAAGGTCAACATATTTGGGATGTGATATACCGGGAAAATTGTTATTAAGGTTCTTTGAATGAAATGTGTAAGGAGAAGAGAGCTTTAAATAAATTGGTTCAAGGTTTGCATACTTCAATCTCAACTCAATTGAGTGAATTCTATGTGGATTTATCGACCAACAAAACCTATCCAAATTATCCAATGTATTTTGAAAGAGTGGGCAACCATCCTGAAAGAATCCGAAATCTGTTCTTTTTATATTCGGTTCTTTTGAGGGCAGTGCAATTGGCAACACCAGGGATCCAAAAACACGAAATAAATTCAATGTCGTTTGATGAAGATACTAGATCCCAATATTTATTGAATAATATCTTAAACTTAGGAAACAGTTAATGTTCCAAGGCTTTTGATGAATAATAGTTCTTCAATTAAATAACCTTTGTAATTTATTAAGCATAAATATTGTTAGGAGTAAAAGAAAGATTATCAAAGATATATTCACAACATAAGTAGAATTATGGATTGTGTGGAATGTCAAAAATGTAGAGTATTTGGAAAGATGCAAACATATGGATTGGGAACAGCATTAAAGATTCTGTTCTCTGAATCTCCAAGTGAATTTTCAGGGAAGTTGAAAAGAAATGAATTGGTTGCTCTAATCAATACATTTGGGAAGGTGTCAAGTTCTGTAAAATCAATCGATTTAATGTTTGAAAGAAGGACTAGATTCAATTACAATCTGATCGTTACAATCGGTATTGTTGGAGGAGTCTTCATTATATTCATGGTGGCAATCAGAAAAATCTACTAAGAAATGGACAAAAAAATATAAAACATGTTCAAAGGAATGCCTAGTGACAATCATCAACAACCTAGTAAAAACAATAAGAGCAAACGGGATTGAATTAAAACATAGATAGACATATATATATATTGTACCATTTTTATATATCAATTTCATTCTTATTGTTATGCTGTTTCGGTTCCTTCTGCTCTTCTTGGGCCTCTATTGCCACCTCTTCCGAAGGGCTTGTTTCCTCTGGGACCTCTTCTTTATTCAGGAACATCGTCTTCAAACTTTTTATCGGCTTTCTTGAAAGTGGCTGGGATTACATCTTCGACAATGCCTTTTACGATAGATGATTCTCATATACCCAATTTGTCTCTAACGTATTTAACACCTTCAGCCTTAAGGTAATAATAGTAGTATTGCCATGAGAATACCAAATCAACAAGCTTTTTGTCTCTCAAGCTTCTCAAAAGCATCCAAACTTCCAAGTTCTTCACTCCTGTTTCTGCATGGAGTGGAAGAGCCATGTCCTTGAATTGTTATGAAAATATACCTTCTTGATAACAATAACACCTTCCAATAACAAATATTCATAGACCTTTCTTCTGTCTTATCTCTTTACTTGAACCATGTAAAATAATGGATTTGATTTATTTTAAATTTTAAAATAAAATAAGCAAATCCACAATAATGCTGTCTAGAAAATCTTTTTTATTCAACCCTTGTCTCTATAGATTTTGCTCATTCCGAGAAGAGTATGACACCTTCGGACCAATCAAAGTCAAAAGCGACAGACTTTGGGGAGCCCAAACCTAAAGATCAATCTAAAACTTCGATATCTGCAGAGACACCGATAAGATGCCTCTCCCAGTCATCAAAGCTTTCGGAATACTCAAAAAATCAGCAGCCATCGTAAATAAAAGATATGCACTCAAACCTGAAATTTCCGATGCCATAGCCAAAGCTGCAGGTAAATTGACTATTCTATTATTAGATGAGGTTATTGCTGGAAAATTGAATGATCACTTCCCATTGGTCGTTTGGTAAACAGGTTCAGGCACATAATCAAATATGAATGCCAATGAAGTCATTGCCAACAGAGCCATCCAAATCTTAGGAGGACAAATTGGCGGTAAATTAGTGCATCCCAACGACCATGTCAACATGAGTCAATCCTCAAATGACACATTCCCAACAGCCATGCACATTGCAACCGTCATTCAAGTATAAATTATGATTCTAATCACCAGACCAACTAAGTATTGATCCCAGGATTACAAACACTATTGACAAGTCTTGAAAGAAAGGCTAAAGAATTCGAAAAGATCATCAAGATCGGCAGAACACACACTCAAGATGCCACTCCTTTGACTTTGGGACAAGAATTCAGTGGATATGCTCAATAAGTGAGAAACAGCATCGAAAGAGTCAAAACAGCTCTTCATTAAGTTCAATATTTGGCTTAAGGAGGAACAGCTGTTGGAACTGGAATTAACACTTATGTTGGATTTGCTGAAGCCATTGCCGATTAAGTCAGCAAAGAAACAGGATATGAATTCAAAACTGCCCCCAATAAATTTGAAGCCTTGGCTTCTCATGATGCCTTGGTAGATTTCCATGGAACATTGAATGCTGTTTCTGTTTCCTTAATGAAAGTATTAACAAATCCGATAATAGATTGCTAATGACATTCGTTTCTTAGGTTCAGGCCCCAGAAGTGGTTTGGGAGAATTGATCTTACCAGAGAACGAACCAGGATCATCAATTATGCCAGGAAAAGTCAATCCTACTTAATGCGAAGCCTTGACAATGGTCTGTGCTTAAGTTATGGGAAATCAAGTTGCTGTTACTGTAGGTGGTTCAAATGGGTAATAATATTCAATATCATATTTAGACATTTTGAATTGAATGTTTTTAAACCAGTTATTATCCACAATGTACTCCATTCAGTCAGACTCTTAGGAGATGCTAGTGTGTCATTCACTAAGAATTGCGTTGATGGAATTCAAGCAAATACAAAGAAGATTGAAGAATTAATGAGTTAATCCTTAATGCTTGTGACTGCTCTCAACCCATACATTGGATATGAGAAGGCTGCCAAAATTGCCAAACATGCTCATAAACATCATTAAACTTTGTTAGAGGCTGCCTTAGAACTTAAATTATTAAATGAGGAATAATTCAAATAATGGGTTAAACCTGAATCCATGATTGGCCCATAAGAATATACACCCAAAAAATGATATAATTATAAATTTAATATACATGAAAAAATATTTAAAAGGGTATTTTGAAATACGTAATTAATTAATTAACATACATGGAAAATAGAAGCAAAAGTGAGGCTAAGAAGGATAAAAGAAGAAAAAGAAGTAGAAGTAGATCCTAAAAAAAGGAGAAAGCATAATAAAAAAGTAAGAAATCTAAAGAAAGAAAGTCAAAAGAAAGAAAAAAGTAAGAGAAAAAACCAGAAAACAAGTCGATTAAAGAAAAAGAAGTTAAAGTTGAGGTACAAAAAAAGGTTGGAGAAAACGAAACGAAAGAAGTATTAAAATAAAATAGATTTTAGTAACGAAACTCACGATTAAAAAAGGAGAGGAGAAACAGATCTAGATCTAATTCTGCTGTTAAACATTACTAAAAGTAAATCTTAGCTAACAATCCTGCTTCTAAATAGAGTAAATTTTTATTTAAATTAATTATAGATGCCCTAGGCTATGACAAATAGGATAAATTTTGGAATGGTTTCACTTGGGTACCTAAAACAAATTTGCATGACAAGGTTAGAGATGATAAGGAGAAAGTAATGTCATTGACTAGTGGAATGAGAAGAATTTAAATTTGCAACATTCCTACAGGCTTGACTAATCGAGATCTTTATGCCGAACTGAGTAGATTTATGAATAGAAATTACTTAAACGATGTTGGCAATGCCAAACCAATCTTATATTGCCATTTGAATGAAAAAGACAGAACCTGCACAATAGAGTTATCTTCTGTTGAAGAAGCCAATAGGATGCTAAAATTAGAGGATATCAAGTTATTGGATGAATCTTGTAAGATCTTTCGTCTTGGTGATAGCTTATATGGTATAAAATTCTATTATCATTTAGGTCAATCTGTGAATTCGTCATAGTTAGTCTAGTAAGCGCATAACATGGCCTAGGCGTAAGCTGCTGCCTATCTAGCATTAAAGTCACTTGGATATGCCAGGGGATAGAGGGAAGATGATGAAATTCTGGCTTAGACAGGTATCCCATCCAGGATTATAAAGGTTGGAAATTTTTTAAATGCTGCTATGGCAATAAATTTAAATAGAAATGAATGGAATGAAATGAGAGATGATTTATTAGAAGGATTTTCATAATGCAATTAATTTGAAGATGACTTCTTTGTTAGACCATTTCAAGCTGGTTTAGGAGGTATTTGTATTTTTTATAACATTTAGCTGAGGCAGGTTCCCTATTTATTGTGTATTCAACTATTGAGGACGCATAAAAGATTGTGATATCAATGTATGGTAGAACTTATAATTAAAGGGCTCTAAAGATTATATTCATTAATGAATAAACTTATATTAGAAGTTATATTCCATTAAAATTGAAATAGCAGCCAGAAACAGAGGATATGTTAAATAGAGAATAGGATAAATATGATGACGAAGACTTTGAAGAAGAAGAAGAGTATTTAGATAAGATAGAGAATGGGTAAATTGTCGAGAATATTAATAAAAGTTGAGATAATTTGTTTTTTTAATATTTTGTTTGGAATAAATTGAATTATCAGTTAAGTTTACGTTTACTTTTTAGTTTTGGCTCAACTTCATCAATATTATTACTATTTGGTTCATCATTATCCATTTATTTTAGCTTTCTTGCTTTTTTCTATATTTTAGGTAAATCAAGATCATCTTAAAACACTTGATTTTACTCCAGTTCAATTTGATCATCTAATTTTAAATCTAATTCATTCATGTCATCTTGCTATTCTTCCTGAATTGGAGATGCCTCAGGAAGATAATAAACAACTTATTTCCTCTCTCTTTAACCTCTGCCATATTCTTTAACTTCCTGAACTTCATTTTATTTAGATGTAATCCATTCTGGAACTTCATCATCTTAAATTAATCTATAATTATAATATTGATCATCCTTATTCTCATTAAAGTTTTTATAAATCAATTTTTCTTGTTCATACCTCTATCTATCCAATTCATTAAACATCTCAAATTCTTCTTCACTTCTTGCTATCCATTCATTAATTTAAGTATCATCAGGAATCTCTTCTGCTTCAAACAAGTCCACTTTATTCTTTTGTCTAAAGAAATCTTGTAAGCGTTCTCGTCTTTCTTGATCAGTTGATCTTTAATTATACAATCCTGCTTAAATGATAACTGCATCCAATCCCATCTTGTGTTCAGCCTTACTGAGAATATTCCCCTCTATTTATGTAGCTGTAATCAATCTGAGTACTCTAACCTCATTTTTTTATCCAATTCTATACGCTCTATCTTATGCTTGCAAATCCATCATGGGATTCCAATCACTATCAAATAATACAACGGTATCTGCAGATTATAGATTCAATCCCAATCCACCAGCTCTTGTACTTAATAAGAAGATATTATAGATTGAATTTTCTTAATTAAACAATTGAATTCTAGATTCTCTATCTTCTGATTTAGTTGATCCATCCAATCTCAAATATCTCCATCCTCTATACTCAAAAAATGCTTCCATTATATCCATTAATTATGTCATTTAACTAAATATTAGTAATCTATGTTTAAAGTATAACAATTTGGGTATAATTCTATCCAATAACTCAAATTTTCCACTGGATCTCCAAATTTCATCTGTGACTCTATTCATATCCAAATTCAACATAAATAGATAGGGATGATTACAAATCTTTCTTAATTGCATCATCAAATTCTATAATGCTTAAGACCCACTCTTCCCTGATTATTAATCAAAGGTCATAACTCCTCTTTAATTAATTTAATCATATATTTTCTTTTGCCATGCTGATAACTTTATCTTAATAACATATTCTGTTTTTCTTGGTAATTCTTTCTCAACATCCTTCTTCACTCTTCTTAATAAGAATGGTCTCAGCACTTAATGCAATCTATTAATAATAAGCAATTATTCTTCTTCATCTAATTAGATATCCTTCTCACTTGCTCCCATAATATTTAATGGCGTCTGAAACCATTTTTCAAAATCTTCACAGGATGAAAACACTTTTGGTAACAAGAAATTCAATAAAGCCCACAATTCAGCAATGTTATTTTGTAATGGAGTTCCTGTAAGTAATAATCTTCTTTCACTCTAATACTATTATCCTAAGATCATTGCGAATTTGCTTCTTGAATTCTTCATCCTATGTCCTTCATCAACTATTATATATTTCCATTCATATTTTGACAGAGTTAACTTGTCCTTAAGTACATACTCATAAGTTGTAAGACAAATGTTCCACTTAGTTGTTCTCATTTATTTTGAGATCTCCTTCCTTATTTAAGGAGAACCCTTGTAGATTATTTTTTTAATGGATGGAGCCCACTTCTCAAATTCATTGGACCAATTACTCAAAGTTGACAAAGGAACAATAATAAAGTATGGTCCAAAATTCTTCTTTGTTTCTATCAAATAACATAAAAGAGAGATTGTTTGGATTGTCTTACCCAAACCCATTTCATCAGCCAAAATACCATTCAAATTGTTATTATACAGACTGACCAACCAATCTAATCCTTGTAATTAATATTGTTTCAATTATCCCCCTTCCAATAATGCTGGTTACTGTGTTATGACCTCTTTTATTTTATGAGTTATGTTATAATATACTTTATTAGCTTAATTTAATTCATACCCCAAACCATTGCTAGAATTGATATTATCTATCACTTCATCTTCCTCTGTAATTTCTTCCCCTTTCTAAATCTTCACTCTTGCCCCTATATCCTTTAAAAATTAATCTGTTTATCTCAAAATCGAAACCACTCTCTCTTTTTTTGCCTCATCTAGTTTCTCCAAAACCTAAAGATAAGTTTCTAGATTTCCTCTTCTGATGTGTTCTATTCTCAACTGTTTATCTCTTTATTATTCTCTTTATTCCAACACAACCTTAAACTAAACACTTCTTTTTCTTGCATGTTTGTATTTCTTTCTATGAAATTCCATAAACTCAATCTAATGTGCAAATATTGCTGACATGAACTCCTTTTACTTTATCTTCTTTCTTCTTGCTTACTCATGTCTTATCATGCTTAATTCAAATTTGTCCGACAACTTACTCTCAGTTCTCCTCTGAGGCTTATCTCTTTTAAAATAATTTCTATCTAGTAATAATCTTTCCAACATCCTTGATTACAATACTGCCTAATTTTCTTCCTACAATAATGGATTCAAGATAGACTCTTTAACTTTCAAATAAAATTCCTTTGAATTTATAAACAGTAATTCAATCTTCAAACTCACATATTTTGGATCATTTTGGTGGGTTTTCTTTAGCTCCGATTCTATATCCAATCTCCTCTTCTCCAAATACCCTTGCATTCGTTCACTAAATAAGGACATATCCTAAGGTTTCATATCAAAGACCATACATCGCAAGTTTAATCCAATTTAAGCTTCGGATACCTGTCTCTAAAAATTGATTTGAGTTCCTCATTTTTATCAATTTTGTCATGAAAATATTGAATCGAGTTCTAGAATATCTTTTCCCTCTCTGCCTCCCACTAGTCCTTGTTGTATGGGAACATTAATTTTTCATTTTCAATGTGGTGATTTCTATAAGGTTACTTTCAATATTACCTTTGAACTTGCTTATAAGAAATAATTTGCTACCTCAGTTGGTATACTTATTTTTCATCTTAATTCTAAATAAATATAAATGAATATTTACATAATCTGCTTCTTATTACATTTTTAAAGATTTTTAAAATCTAATGCAAAAATTTTTATATTTTATGTATAAATACAGATCATTAAATACCTACAAATTTTATTCATCTGATCAAAAATGCACTCAAAAATTTTGATTATATTCCTTTCCCAATTAAAGATGAGATATAAACATCTAGAAATACTAGAATTTAGAAATTATTAAATAAAATCACAATCTAAACATTTATAAATATCTGAACTTAAAATGAGATTTTAAAATATCGAATTAATTAAAAAAACAGAAAGCAATTGAGTTTGAAAATAATTCTCTTTCAATTCTCAAAAAGCAAGGAACCTACGAGATCATGCTTAGAAATTCTGAAATTATTGATGTAAATGATTACATAAATTTTTGCTTAAAATTTCCGCTTTTTACTTTTTATTATTTCTCATTAGATGCTAAATTTTATCATATACAAATTTGAAACATTTTAATATACAATTCTATTATTTTATTTAAGTTTATTCATTATTATAACTTTTTAAATAACATTAAAGAAGTTGCCTTTTTCAATAATCTACCTTAGCTCGCCTTTTTAGATTGATATTTTAATTTACCAAGATTAGCCTCCATTTAAACTTTATCAACAACACCAGATTATTCATTTTTCTATATTTCTTCATTTATAAGATAATCTTTGTCCTCTTATATTTCTTCAATGATTTATAAATTTTTCTCAATTTAACTATTATCTCTATTCTCCTTAGTTGTTATATCAATTAGTTTCTACATATCAATTTATTTTTATTCCATTTAGATCTTCTATTTTATTTGAGTTTATATTTTTTATAATTGTTCTTGTTATCTCAAAGAACGAAAACATCCCAATTATTCATAGGTTTTATTTTATTTGATATCAACTTTATTAAGGAAATCTTGATACTATTCAACCTCTTTAATAGGACCAGATTTTTCTTGATCTAATTTTTTCATTTAAACAACCTATTTAGGATATTCCTTTTCACTCAATTCAGCCCTTTTTTTATTTATCATGACATTTTATGAGACGTTTTCAATCAAAATTGATGCTAGTTTTTTCTTCTAATTGAGTGTTTCTAAATCTTTTTGGTTTAATTGTTAATCATGATTAAGTATCATGTATTTTACAATAATATATATTATTTATATAATATTCTATGTCAAATCTCAATTTTTTTGACCTTCTCTCCTAGATCAGGAACTTCTTAGGCAATAACTTTAAGTTTGTCCTTATTTTATAACAATTCAGCTGTATTCATTTTAGTAGTCTTTTACTTGACCTTACCTTATTTTTCTTATATTTAACTTTTCAAGATATCTGCATGTCTTAAATTTACTTCTTTAATGTACTAATACATAATGTAAATTAAATACATCAAATTTTTTTTTTTCATGATCATTGTAATTGTCTAAGTCTTATTTCCAAATTTCTGCCTATCTTTTATTGAGTTCTTCCTCTTCTTCTTATCTTCTTTTTTTTTCTTCTATTTATGAATTTAAAAATGATCTCAATTATTATCTTTAATCTAATTATTTTATCTTTTTCTTTTCTTCTTCAACTTTTTCCCTTTCATTTTATTAAATAATATTCCTAAGCATTTTCTCATCTTCTTATTTAATCAATTCTTTTTAATCTTTAACAACTCCTTCAGCAAACATTCCCATAACTTTTTTCATTTTTTCCTCTCTTTATTTCCTCTCTAATTCTCTTTATTCCTCCAATTGATTTTATAAACTGATATATTATTGTTGCATTTAAGTTTCTGCCTCTTTCTCTAATTTAGCATCCTCCAATGCTTTCTTTCTATACTCCTCATTCTCTTTCATCATTCTCAGAAAACGCTCTCTCTCTTTGTTTCTTCTATTCAATTGCTCTCTTTATTCTAACTCTAATTCTTCTCTTATTTTTCTCACTAACAAACTGTCAAGTTCCTTTTCTCTCTTCTATTCAACCTTTCTATTAAACAATATAAACAGTATATTACTTTCTTTGCTATTCATCTCTTACTTATTTGTCTCTTTGCAGCTTTTCGTTATAGATTTTATTCTACAAATTATCATGTTTGTCCTTCTCTCTTTAATCATAGACATTCAATTGATAATGATGTAACTTCACATAAGCATCTTCATCTTGAACCTCTTCATGCTTCTTATTTTATTTCTCATTTATTTATCTATCCAACTCTGATTTGATCTTCTTCTTAAATTCCTACTTTCTAATGACTTCAAGTTCCTTTTCTTTTTTATACAATTCAGTATCAAATTTAACTAACGTCGCCCATTCATCATCCTCGTCCCCCTCCATCATGTACACTGATTTGGGTGCCTGACTAATAAATAACTGTTACCTTGGAAGAGGTTTCAGAATAGACATCCTGACGTTATTGTGGACCTGATTGAATCAATTATTGGTTCGATTTCCTAGACTAACTGCTGGCAGGTTTCTATTGGGGGATCTACTACAATTGATGTGACTGGGTGACTACCGAATAGATCATTGTTATACCTTAGGATTCCTTGATTGATTATTCTGCTTGAGATTGGGTTGTGGATCCTGCATTTTGAATTGCCTATTAAACTTGTTGCTTTAAATTTTTCAAAGTAACATCGGTAACTCTGGTTTTTGAGAAATAATCATTCACGATATTGGTGATAATCTAATCTCTAAATTGTAAGTTACTTATATTTTATTTTTGTTATTCTTTCCAAAATCCTTTATAAACCTCTCCAAAACAGTTTACTTGAGTTGTTCTCTCTATTGTTAAATAAGAGCCTTATCGATGCTTTCCTTCTTCTTTGACTCATTAGTCACAGTACTCATGATATTTATATATAATAAAAATTAATTAAAAACCATCCCTTAATACATTTGTATTTAATTAATTAAAGCGCCAATAATGGAGAAATAAAAAAGGAAGAAGCACGGAGCACACAACGAATCCAAGAGTCTGTGGAATTACACCCTGTCTCCAGGTTGGTCCTAAGAAGAAGTCAAGATTCTTAAACTTGCATTGTAGAAATTCGGAATCGGCAAATGGAGAAGCATCATCCAATCAGAATGTTTGCCAGATAAATCCATAGGATAGATCTATATCTAAACTTAGAGAATGCTTGGATAGTAATCGTTGGGAGACTTTATGGGTATAAATTTAATATCTATCATATGAAAATAGGATTGTAGATTGATTTAGAAAAGGTGTGGATAGACAATAATCAAAAAAAGGGAGTAATGAGAAAAAATGGGTGTGTTATTAATACAGGAGACAATCCAAATAAAGAGGAGAGGAAGTAGAGAATCGAAGAAAATAGATAGAGATATTCGATATAATAGGAGGAGGTAAGAGTATTTGTGTATGATGTAAGATTAATAAAATAAAGTTGCCTCGTTTTAAGAATGATTGCGTAGCTAAATATTTCACAATTTAAGAAATTGAAAATGATTAATTTACATCTATTGAAAAGTTATAACATTTTGTGAATCTGGAAACAGAGATTGAAAAAAAACTCAAAAAGATTTAACTAATGAAATCAAATGCAAATGGTATAGGTTATCATAATGGCAATGGAAATGGCATTAATAATCATAACCATAATAATCACTTAGATGAATAAAAGTGATAGTTTTAATTTTGTTTGTTTAGAATATAAATTAATCATAAATAAAAATTATTTACTAGTCACTCATAATCCTTTTTTAGTTGAAGTGCTTTTTGACTCCATATTAGTGTAATTAATTAAATAGTAAAATTAAGAATACTTATTTTTAAAGTTTATGAATTATTAAAAATTTCGTTAAAATGTGGATTTCTACTTAAAGCCTCAAAAGGAAAAGTTAGAAAGTCCAAAAGAAAAATCGTTTGTTTCTCCAATTAGGATAAAAACATAATAAAGCAATTAAGAATCAGAAAACAAAAAGAAGGCATTGCCTGTATCAAATATGATGGACAGGATCAATAAAGTTATTTTGGATCAGAGAGTCAAATCCCCAATGACTACTTAAAGGAATATCGAATAACAAAACAAGGAGAATCATTTTGAATGTTTTTTAAAGAGACAGGGCTATTTAGCCAATTATTATAAACATAGATGAGAGTGTAATATAATATTATATATATATATGATTATCAACTATGAAGTTTACTTTTATAGAATTAAAGTTCTTATTTTGTTAATTAGATTCGTTTTCCTGTTTCATCAATTAAGGGATGTCCATCTTGACTAAGAACAAATCCATTCTCATCCACCTAATACATTAGCTCTTCATCTTCATCCTCATTCTCATGTATTGTTGACATTCTTTAAGCTAATAAATTAAGTTTAAGTTGTACATTTTAATTGATCAAATTCCTCTTTAGTAATTTATAAACTATTAGGATCATGCACATTAATATTATCTAAACTATCGATCATCATTTACTCATTCAATGCTTTGATAGGGGAATCCTCATTAGATTAATTAGATGGCTAAATTGTAGTCTTTTGACTCACAAACTATTAGGGGATTGATGGTTAAGCAATCTATTATAATGGTTAAGAGGATTTGTTTTATTTGATGTTTTGAATGTTTGTAATATCAGTGAGGGGATGATCCGATTATATGTATTCAATATCGTGTATCTCGCTATTCGAATCTTTACTAGAATTTAGTATTGAACTTAGATGGTCAGGTATTTTGCGATTAATCAAGTAATCATTAACCTATTTGTTGAATTACTCATATTTCTTGATATACTGATCGTAATTATCTACGGAATTTCTTTAAGGTATGTGTTTTTTATATTAATATTCTTCTGGTTCGTTTTCTTTCCCTTTATATGATTATTATAATTTCTCAGACTACTTGCTAGTTGATAAGTTGATCTAATATAGTTGAGATTTTAATTTCTCAATTTACACTTGCAAAGCCTTAAAGTCAGTCTATTCTTGTTTCTATAATTTGTGAATCATTTCTCTACAGCCTTGAGTAATCTAAATTTGCAATTATTCTTTCACTTAATTGAGTTGGGATTCAATATTTACTGGTTCTTTCTTCTTTTCCTGTTGTTACTACTGCTACTAGATTATGAGTTGTTGTTATTAATGCATATAATCTATCTATTTGTTTTATTATTCTAATAATTTGAGCATTTCCTCTCTTTAATTTTTTAGAGCGTTGTCTATATACATTTACAGAGAATTAGAATTCTAATTAGGTCTTGTGTTGGGTTAGGGTTGCATGGCTGTAACCACTGGGGATTTACTTTAATTGCCATCAGGCTGACTCATTATTCTCAGACTCTAAAAACCCTTTGGACACACTTACTAATAAGGGATTTGGTTGCTGTCTCGTTCTCTTGAGATTTATCTGGGTTCGTTATCTAATTATAAATGCTGGATTCTTACAGTTCTACATGGAGACATATTGAACCGGGTGGGTGGATGGAGTTACTTATAGGAATTGAAATCGATTAGAATGTTCTAATTTAGATGGGATATCCTACATGATATTATTGCATTGCGTTGGATAGGACTTGATGGAGCTGGGGAAAGTCGACGCTGTTAATTCATTAAGAGTAATTAAAATTTGAAAATATTAATTGTATATTGATAAAAACTTATTATTGATGTTTGCATTTAATTAATTTAATGAGGATTTTAATCACCAATAGCCAAGATAAGAAAAGTAAATAATACCCAAGGCTAATTGCTAAAGACAGTTCAGAAAATCAATAAGTAAAGTTCCAAAAAATTGAATTTTACAATAAATTACCGAAACAAGTCAAATCTAGTGTTGTCCTGAAAAGCTTATATAAATCTAACAATACAATTCATAGTTTCCATTTAATCGAGATTGAGGATGATTTGCCAAGACAAAGAAGAAAAAGCGACAACGAAGGGTTGATTTCATAAAAGATTGTAAGAGATTCAGTTTATTCCCAAGTTGAATATCGACATTAAATACCCCAGAACTGTGATATAATAGCATCAATTTTTATATAGAGTCAAAGACCTTAGGAGAAGAGCAATAAGGGGTAGAATGAAAACTAAATTTGAGAAATCGGTCATGAAGATAGATACACCATCTGCAAGCAAATTTAATCCCTTAAATCACAATAACTCGAATAAGGATTCTCATTTTGCGAGCATGTAGGATATCAAAGTACTCAGGACTTTTACCAAGGATCGCACTTACTACTAACGACCATTGGTATTAAAAGATTCGGATTTGATATCGGATTCTCCAAGTGAACCTAGTATTTAATTACAATAAACCAGAAAACATATTATATTTACTCCAAAATAAAAGCAGTATGTTCTGCTCTAATTAAACAAATACAAACACAAACCTTTCGAACAAATTAAGCGAGATTCTATTATCAAATTTCTTTCAGAAACGAAGGAAACTCAAAATCATACTGTTCCTTAAATAACTCCTTTAATTTAGCATAGGCTGCAACCTTATTTTTCTACTCATAAGAAAGTCAATCTAAAAAAATCTAGTTACCTTTCTTCTTTTTAAAGAGTAAAAACAATAATATGATGAAATTTGTTTGATCATACATATATATATATATAAATTAGTATCAATTATAATGACTTCTGCTGGTTTTGCTACCCAAGGCATTTTTATTCCTTAACTTATGATTTGGCTATCCACAAGTGCTAAATTATAATTATAAAGAATACTTCATGCTATCGACAGAATTTCTATAAGATACACTAGAATTTATATCACAAGTACTTATAACCTTATGGAATTTTTCAATAAAACTTTATTTAACACTACTACAAGTTTGATTATCAATCTTATTAAGATTTTTCAAATTGATTTTATAAGCAGGAAGAGGAACCTTCTTTTTTACATCTCTGTAATAGTTAATAATTTCATCTTAAGTGCATTGACTGAGATTTAACTCATTATTTGATGGAGCAGGTTCTTCATCTGAGTTTGAAGGTTGCTTTTTGAAGATTTCTTTAAAATTAATTCTTGAATTTATTAAATTAATACCTTTTTGCTTCTTCCATTTATTTTTTAGCTTGCATATCAAAATTTACTAAATAATCTTAGATGTTATTTTTTATATTCTTTCTATATTTCTCTAAGTTTCTGCTGATATGTGAATCTCGTAAAGCAGTGCTCTAATATTTATCCGACCAAAATTCAGGACAATGAATGCGACCGTTGTTGATCAAAGTCACCTTATGCTTCTCAGGCTTCAGAGCCTCAAATTTGCGTTTTCGATAGATGGCAATAGTATCCTTTCTATCCTCTAAAGCCTTGTCTTTCAGGAGAAACTGCAAATAGAAATCTAATATTAAACCGGTAATGAGAGCATCACGTTGAAATTAATATTTTTTTTTTTAGCTAACTACTGCAGAGTGAATTATTCAATGTGAGGCAGCATGTTTTGTTGCGGTATCATGATCTCGGGACTATGTGCAAAATTATCTTGCATGTATATAATTTAATATTTTATAATGAAAGTGCAAAATAATAAAAATGCAAGATAAATAAAACAAGTTATTGATTTACTGATTAAATGATTGATGATTGCCAACAATTTAAACGATTTAATTGGAGATGAATAAGAAATTTAATATTATTTAAAATAAAAATTATCAGAATAGAATGGAAATCGGAGTTCAAAAATAAACAGATGAGGAAAAGCAAGCATAACCAGAGCAATTCAACAAACTTGATGATAGTGGTGATAAAAAGTAAACAGGATATTGTGGATTTCTTACAGTGGAGTATTCCTCCCATTCTATAATAGATATTATACTCCCTATTTCAATGTGACAGAAACAGATGTTATACAAAGAATCAAAGCTACCTTTCTTCCTTTCCGACCAGACTTCCTCAATATTACCAAAGAGAACCCAGATTTGTATTTATGTAGATTTATTATATAGATGGGGGCCAATATGGATCAATGCCACTTTAATTTTTATGATTACAGCAATTGCAAACTTGAGACAAGTAGATTCAGAAAAAGAAAATCAATCCTTTGAGGTTGGTTACGTGCCTTAAGCAACAGCATTGCTCTACATAATTGCATTTGGAACTCCTGTCATTTTAGCTATTGTGATGAAGATCTTGGGAGTCGATTTGAGTTTCTTCTAAACAATTTGTTTGTATGGTTATTCCATGTCAACATTGTTGCCCATCACAATTCTATGTTACTTTTAGAATGAGATGTTTTTGTGGATGATCATCGCATATGGAGTTGGAAATTCAATATTGTTTTTAATTTTCAATTTGAAAGAGTAACTATATATACCATAAATTTAGAGAGTTAGATAAGTTATAGATTCAAAAGAAGTACATCATTATTGGCATAGTAGTTACAATGTAATTGTCTCTCTACTTGTTTTATAAATTGGTTTTCTTTTCTTATGTATCAGAGGGAAAAATAGAATTATCATCTGCAGCATAAGAAGAAAGTTAACCTGGAAATTGATTGTTCTAAATATATATTTTATAATGAAATAATTCAACCTTTAATTTCATTCCATTCTTAAATCTAATTAATTTTAAATAACTATTCTTTTTTTTGGGACTAACATAACTGAAGTGTTATTACAGTAGTCATTTCATTCAAAGAAGAGATTCAGAAACAATAATTAATAACAGTTCATGATTAAATCAAGATGAATTTGTTAAGCAGAAAATTCCACTGAAAAAGCTGAACATAGTAAGGCTAGAGTAAAGAGAGTGCAAGTAGGATTTATCGATAATATCCAAAATTAACAATCTGAATTAAATAAAACGTAATTAAAATTAAAAAGAATTAAAACATAACCAACAAATGTCTGGACATTAAATCATTACTCAACCCTAGAGTCGTAGTCAATATCAAAGCAATAATAATATCCTAACAGCTCAACCAATTCAGTAGCAATCACAAAATCCTCTGAATTATCCAAGTAATGCCATTCCTGCACCTTTCATGCCTTCTCAAATGAATCAATAATAATATGCATAATCACAAGTATACCAACCAAGATTGATGGAAAACACTGTGAGAATTTAATAGCAACCTGAAACACATTGTCCATTCTGTTTGACTTGCTAATAACATAAGACTGATCTATTAGCAAGGTAGGAGTCATAGAAAGCTAAGCCTTAAGGAAATGGCAATTTCCCAGAATACGAATATGGTGTTTGTCCTGATTGTGAGGGGGAAACTGGAGAAGGAGATCCAGAAGATGATATTGGAATAGAAAATTAGAAACTTCGAGATGATATTGCTGCCAAAGCCAAAGCGAATAGAAAGTTGAGGAATGATGTGGTTCGATTATAGACTGAATTAGATAGAATCAAACATTTACCAGAGGAAAATGAAAAATTAAAAGCCATGATAGGCCCGTTGGAAGATTAATTAAGAGATGCTAGACATAAGAATTAAGATTTACTTGATGACAATAATAAATTGGGAAATGTATTCTCATTAATTATCATAATAGTAAGTCAAGGATCTTAGAAATAATATAGATAAAGCTAATAATGCAGCCAAAGATAATGATAATATGAAAAAGGAAATTGAGGAACTTAAAAAGAAGACTAAAGATAATGATAAAGTGATGGAGGAAAACAATGATCTTAAGAACAAATTAAATAGATTGAAGGGAGACAGAGATAAAATGTTAGCAGATTTAGCTGCCTTGGAAAAATAGAATGGAGCAATCAAGTAATAAATTATTGAGAATTAAGGGATAAATTAGGAAAATTAGCCAAAGAAAATAATGATCTCTAAAAGGATTTGGGAGATTTGAAGAAGGTAAACAAGGATTTGGAAAAGAAATGCAATGATCTACAATTAGATAATGATAATTTACATCTCAATTTGGGTGATGTTAAAGGGGACAGAGATAAAGCCAAAGATCAATTAAATGATTTACATAAAAATAGGAATCAATTACTTGATGAATTGGGTAAAGTGAGAGATAAATTAAAAGACGCAGAGTATCTATTTAATAATATTATTATTCTAGAAAGGATAAAGATGATCTTGGTAAAAAATTGAATAATGTATAAAATGATGCAAAAAAGGCAGGCGATGTACCTAAATTGAAAAGGTAATTGGACAATGCCTTGTTAGAATTAGATGACTTGAAGGCTGAAAGAGAGGAATTAGAGTATTCTAATATTTTATTATCTTAGTTAACATTTAAAATAAGTTCATGATGATTACAATAAAGCTTTGAAAATACTAAAAGAAAATGGTCTCCTAGGATTATTGGATCCGTCTGAATAGCAACCTAATTAGAAACCATTAAATACAAATGGGTAATTAGGTCCATCTGGTTAAGCCTTTAATCCTAATGGATAACCTCTCTATGGTTCTAATGGGTAACCTCTCTATGGTCCCAATGGATAACCTCAATATGGAACTTAAAATGGTTAACCTGTGTTTGGACCAAATGGATAGCCCATTTATGGACCCAACGGTCAACCTATTTATGGTTCTGCTGGTTAATATGGACAGCCAGGGAGTGCATATTTGGGAACACCGAATCAAATTCCTTAGAATAAAATTGGAATGAATCCCATGAATTAGTCAAATTAATGGGGAGGTGTTAGTGGAAATGTGGGGAGACCCTCTTATGAAGAACTGATTTTGGATAATATTCGAATGAAGAAATGTATTGATTAGTTAAACTATGATCTAAAGAATAGTAAAAGATGATTTATTTGAATAAAATAGAATAATAAGATTTTTAATATATTGAAAGACTAAGAATATCTATAAATTTGTGTTATTTAGATGATTACTAATATCTCCATTAACAACATACATTTAATAAATTCATTACAAAGCTTTTCAACAACTATTGCAACTAGATGTTGGCTATTCAGTTTAATTAGCTTCCTAATTTAACTTAAATTGCCCAGATTAGGTGTGTGTATTGTTAGAAACCTTTTGTCCTTCATTCTCCAATCTAATCTTCAGATTTTAACCCAATCTATCGAAAATATCTTCTAATATATACAATTCATGTTTGTACGTATATTCTTATTCTCTAAGGCACTTGTTTCTATGAATGGCATATTATACTTCTAGGCCAACTTCTCTCCTTCAGCAGTTTAGACTCTTCTATCTTAAGAATCTAATTTATTTCCTACCAAAATTGAACAACTAGAAATTATTTAAGAGTAATCGCTTACACTTCATCTGTAGTGCTTTCGAGAATTGATTTGATCCATCCTTCCACATTATTAAAAGAGTTTCTGTCGATCAGAGAATAAACAAATATTATTCCAAAGGCTCCTTTGTAATAAGTTTGAGTGATGTTTCTAAAACGCTCCTGTCCAGCTGTGTCCCATATTTACAGTTTAATTTTCTTATCTTAGACCTTGAATTCAATAATGAATGTACATTTAGAATTTTAATTTTAAAATCAACTCCTATTGTGGCAGTGTAGTTTTGAGAGAATTTTTAATCACAAAATTGCGTGAGGATATTGGTTTTTCCAACTCCTGAATCTCCCAAGACTATCACTTTGACTAGCCAATCATAATATCCTAAAGACATTTAGATTTTGTATTATAATTATAATATATAAAGCAATTAAGCATTTTAGTACTCTTGACGAAATAATTTGAAGATAATTCTTCAATTGTGAAAAATTATAAAAAATATATACAAGAATTTAATTCTTAAATTTGATAATAAATCTTATTAAAAATTATGGGCTGCACTTAATAAAAAGTATCATCTCCAGCAAGGAACAGAAGCAATGAAAGCATCTCAAATGGATAATCTGACACCATGCAAACTAACTAAGTTATTGTCATCCAACAATTGAACTAAAAATAACTCTAATAAAAGATTAACTAGGGAAGGTATAGCATTCTTCAAAGGGTTATTCTTCGAAAAGATATATGTAAAATTTAAAATCAAAAGCGTAGTGAATAGTAGCATTATGATCAGGAGGTAAAGAAATCAAGAAAATTTACTTTCCGAAAAACTTTATGTGACTAGCTCTAATGGCTGTAATTGATAAAGTGAAATATATTATATTATGTTAACTAAATATAACTAGAGAAAAGAAAATTGTGATTTTTAGTCATTTTTAAATTATTTAAACATTTTCAATATTATTTGGCTGCTCCGAAATAGCGGTTAAGATGAAGTATGGTTAAGTACAGTTTCTCTTGACTCAAGTTCATCTCAATTAGTCAAATTATGAGTAAAGTTATGTTTAAATGATTAATAGTAACTTTAATATTTTTAATTACAAAAATGGTATTTAAAATAATTATTGTAAATTAGGCTTCTTATTATTAAATTACTGAGTAGCTGATTTTGGTATTTTATCTTAAAGAAACTAGAGTTTAAAAAGGAAAAATCTATTTCCTCATTAAGTAATTTAAAAAATTGAATTAGATTTAAATTTTGTTGAAAAACAAAATGAATGCGAGAAATTAAATTATTATCATAATTGTATTTTAAAAAGAAAATAAATAGATTATTATTCCCTAAGTGTCTTCTTATTCAATTATATACTATTAAAAAATTGGGTTCCTTTGTTTTATATAATCATTAAATAGGGAATGACCATTTTAATTTAAACTATCATTAATATAATATGAACTCTGGGTTGAACAACCAAAATTCTTTGTTTCAGCAGCTAACTCCTGCTTAACTGGAGGAATATTAGCAACAACTTAGGTATGATTTTAAACCCATTTTCCCCTTATCGTATTACCAGAATAGCTCTATTCAATCATTTGGCAATTCATTACTTATTTTAGATAATCGCAACTTTTCAGTGCCCTCCTGAATATAAAACCCTATGTTTTTCCAGGCTTAATCCAATAATTTCCAGACAATGCCAATAGAACCCCTTAACCATAAGATCTGTTTAATAGCAATTTTGGTAAGATATCATCAAGTTCGCTCTCAACTATAATATAATGACCTTATAGTTTTTAATTTGCCATATTTTATGTAGGTTTTGGAGGAGCCTTAAATGCATTTGAATATACAAAACTTTTACAGAAAAGCCTTTAGATGACTAATCTGACATCCTTGAATCCCTTCACGCCTAATCAATTGTTCTGCCAAGCAAGTCCAGGGAATCAAAAGAAATCTAATAATTTTAATAATCCCATTACTGTTGAGGATGATGAACCACAGTAAGTTTAGAAATGTCACAATTAAAAATGCAATAATAAAGGTGATCGAAAAACGAAATCAAGAAAAGGGGAAGCTCTTTAATTTTGTGAGAAATGCCTGAGATTATACACTCGTGGAAATTATTGTGATTTTTGTGAATAGGTATTAAGAATTATTATAGAATTATTTTAGTTATATTCAAATGGTACAAATGATTAGGATGAATAAGAATGGATACAATGCGATGCTTGCTAAAAATGGGTACAAATTAGAATTATATCAAAGAATCATTTAAATTGCGAAGCTAAATTTAGGAATCAAAACATCAAAGAAGAAACTGAAAATTAAGTTTATCATTGTTTGAGTTGTTCGAAAACAATTAAAAAATAATAACAATAATAATAACAGCAACAATAATAATTATATCAATAATAGCAATAATAATAACAACAATAACAATAACAATAAACGAATATTCAATAACCAAAGAAAAAAGAGAAATCTATAGAAGAATACCAACCAAAATAGAGACAAAATATTGAATGCGATGATAATAGAATGCGAGAGAAAAACATCAACTTTGTTGCCACTAAAGATAACAAAATTTAGTTTAGTAATTTAATTTATTAATGAAAATTATTAGCATTCAGATTCAATCTTTATGAGGATGAAATTAAACAAGACTTAGATTCTCTTCGAAGTGCAGGAAAAAAAATGGTAAAGAAACAGAACGTTGTTGATTCACCTATTCTGAAGATAAACCCTACTCCACAATTGCAATAATAACAATAGTAGCAAGAAGAGAAGGTATTAAGTGTTTTCTATTTTAGAACTCTGAACAACAAGTAAATAGCAGACTTAGAACTAGACCTAATAATAGAAATAAAGTTAATTACAGATATTTGGGAGGTGAATGAATGACATATATCAAATTTTAATTTTAAATATCACTCACATTAAAATCAAAATAAAATAATGATCCCATTAGATGGCAATGCCTTAAAAATAGGATTAAATATATTCCTGAATATAAATATACATTATTTACAATTGAAGTGGATTTTATTATATTATGAATGAAAATATAATCTGAATATTAAAATTATTATATGTCAGTATAAAAAATATATTATGTGCCTGAGCCTTTAAAGCCATCGCCAAATTACCGAGAAATTGTCAAGTAGTGAAACGAATATATGTAGAAAATTAATAGATTCTAGACAAGAGGATAAATAGAAAATAGATGAGTATTTAGATCATTTCCAACCAACAATTGATGAAACGAGAGAAAAACAAGATTAGTTTCTTGGCAAAAGGTAGTTTTTCTAATTTATTATTTCAGATATCGATCTATTTTGTAAGCTCTTGAAAGGGCCAAGAATAACTTAATTAAGTATAATTTATCTTTGTTGGAATTGCAAGACAAAATTGAAAAAAGCGTTGAAATCAGAAAAGTGCTTGAAGATGTTAACAACTATAAAACATACAGCGAAGCATTGACAGAGAATATCAATAAGTTATAAAATCAAATTTCTGAACATACTATAAGATGCAAAAACCTTAAAAGAGTAATTGAGTACAAACATGCCGCACTCAATAAATAAAACTCAAAGAATCTTGTTCTATTAAGAGAAATTAATGCAGCCAGACATTAATTAAAAAAGTAAAAGAAAACTTCAGATACCCAAAGGACTCAGCCATAAACTACCTTTTATCCTTAAAAACCATTAAGTCAGTCTAGTTAAAAGCAAGAATAACTAACTGATCCCCAAATTGATTAAATCAAATACGAGAATAAATAAATGAGATACCAATTAACTTCATACAGGAATAATAAATATTTGAAGATGGAATTATTTAATGAATGCATGGAAGCTTATAAAAGGTATGATTTTGAGATATGCTAACTAGATATTTTTCTAAATCCTAAAAAGTAGTCAAGAATTCTGGTCTCTAACACTCTCTGCTATTCTTCATTTAAAAGGCATAATTCTCATTATAAGATAATGCTGCCAATAATAGATATAATCATAAGAATATAAAGAGTGTAATGGCAGGAAGGCAGATTAGAAACCTAGTTCATGATACACTCAAATAGATGGCAGAGGATAAATAAAATAAAAAAAACCCATCCTTCGATAATTTACAGTTAGAGTGGGAAATATATAAGGACTACAATGCAATGCAAATTGTTGCCTTAATGTGTTTGAAACCTAAAATATTTTCTGAGTTGGCCTAGATGTTCTAACAAGAAGTTTTACATTGAATGATAATTCATTATTGTCTACCAAAAATATTAATATTTGAAAGACCAATTAATTGGGTTGTTTGTCTTGTATTATAGATAATTAGATTCTTTGATAAGCGAGGAGATTCTTCGATTGGGATTTAATAAAATTCTCAAAATAAATTACATAAATGTTATTTAATATATATATTTTACTTATTTTTATTTATTATAAAAATGGCAAAGAAAAAATAATAAATTGAAGTTGTAGAATTTACAGAGGCTGAGAAGAAGGCACTTGAAAAATTGTAATTGTTTTGAATTAAAATTAACTAGAGATCATTCTCATTTATTGATTGAAATTTAAGTATTATAGGATAGAATAGAGGAGTTATAGAAAAAGATTTACGAATTAAATGAAAATATAAGGAAGTCTAATGAGTAGAATGTAAAGAGTATATGGATTTATGTTTAGTTGGCTTTGACCTTAAAAATGGAATCTGATATTATAAAAAAGGAAAGCGAATATAATGCGCTGCTACAGTAGTATGAGGACTTAAAAAAATAAACAACGGAGGAAATAGAGAGTATGATACAGAGAAAGGATGAAAAAATCAGATGTAAATGTGTTATTGAATTGTGTAGATTTGGAGAAAGAAAAAACAGAGTTAGAAATTAGACACAAAGATGAATTATAAAAAATAAATGAAGAGTTGAAAAAGTGGAGTTAATTCAAAGTAAGTTTGACACAAATATTAAGGAAGAAAAAGAAAATTTAATAAAGGAAATACATGATTTAAAAGAGGAGATGATCAAAAAGGATTATGCTCATCTGGATGAATAAAGCAAGGCAAATAAAAACTTTCTTAAATAAACACAAAATTTGACAAATGTAAATAATGCCAAGATAGAAGATGTTTAAAGAAATGCTAATAAATTGGCTGAGGAAAAGGTAGCTGCAAAATATGATGGAATTCTAAAGGAAAATGAAAAAATAAAGAGTGAATTGTTAGAATACTAAAGAACTTTACAAGTATATTAAAAGGATAAAGAAACTTTCTAATAGGAAAATGTCAACTATAAATTAAATCTAAGTATTAAGGAGGAGTAGGCTCAAGAGTATATTATTATTTCATTTTAGGTATTAAATGATGAATCATCAATAAACAATCAAGATTAAGCAATTAAAAGAAAGAATTGAATATTTAAAATCCTACATTGCTAATGTAATCATTTTGAATATATTCTACTAAGGAAGTTACCAAATAAACTAAGGAAATTGAAATAATGAAACATCAAAGTAATACAAAGGTGTAGGAATTGGAAATGCAATTGAGAAATTTGAGACACCTTCTTGATCAAAGGACTAAAGAATTGAAGACAGTAAAGGCTTTAGCCTAAATGATTTTAGATCAAAGATCAGATATTGAATAGTTTTTCCTTTAAGCTATAGATCAAGTCAAAAATGAGATCAAGAAAAAGAACAAAAATCAAAAGAATAGTCGCTTACCTGATATATCATAGAAATCTCAAAGTCTAGAGTAAAATAAAGTTGATATCAATGATTTGGATTTGGAGGAGAAGGAGAAGTTGTTGAGGATCCTTTTCTCAAAGATGAACTAAGGAGTACCACCTATAAATTGGAAATCTTAACTTAGTCATGTATTTAACTTTAATCCAATATTATAGAGTAAATCTTAAGTAGATGCCAGTTCATTTAGGGATAACCAATATCAATGATTGTTGGGGATATGATTAATAAATTATTATTATTTAAAATTGTATTTAAAGAGATGATAATGGGGATACATTTTATATATTTATATCGTTTTTAATGAGAGTACGTTTTTGATTAATAATTATATGAAATTCATTATTGTTGTTTTATTCGCTCTTGCAGCAACGACCTATGCTTCAAAAACATAGGACCAAATCCTTGCTTTATTATAAGTAAAAGTATTGCTATCTCTGATAGACTGGAACAAAAGCAAGCGATGCTATTGATACAGTTTTTGGCTTACTCAATGATTTAAAGCAATCAAATATTGATGCTCAATTTGCTGCAGATTAAAAGAATGAAACAGATGAATGGGTCGGTGCATAGTAAATAATCATAATAATCCACTTAGAACTATCGAACAATTCACAAAGATTAAAAGTCTGAACTAAAAACTTTTTAATTAAGCCATCGAGAATAGAGCCAATTATGAAGAAGTTCTCAAATAAACAAAGAATTATTTGGCTTGGAATGAAGCTAGAAGAGATGAAATCGCAAGAAAAATTGATGCTCTCTAAGATAATTAATGCTTTAGCAATTAACTTTTCGTCAAATCCATTAAACACAACTAAGAGGCTCTTGAAGTCATCAGACTCTTAAAATAAGATGTTGCTGGTTACATCATCAATGGAGACTCATTTGAATTTACCTAAGTCAAGGCCTAATCAGTTGCTGAGAAATTGAAACAATACAGCAATCTTTTCTAAGACCATCAAATTAAATCCTTTTTGGCTTTAGCTAACGGACAAGAAGTATATACAATCATCATCATCCTAGGAAGGAGCATCATCTGGTCATGGAGCAACCTTAGCTGAAAAAGTATTAGGTGTTCTTGAAGGATTAGAATCTGAATTGTCTGCTTCATTAGAAAATTTGAAATAGAATGAAATCAATGCATCATGGGAATTAGCTGGATGGGTTTCATTGTCTGAAGCTGAAATTTCCTCCTTAGAAGTCGAATATGAAAGAAAAACAAGTCTTTGCTGACAGAACTGCTACTGTACAATATCATTCAAATCTTAGTAAATCTAAGCTGCTTTGGCCTAATAAGCTAAATCAAAGATCATTTTATAAGAATCTCAAGATGCCTTAGATTAAGCCCAAGCTGACTTAGAATCCAAAAGAGCTGATTATGCTGAAGCCAAGGCTAAGAGACAAGAAGAGAACGCTATTCTTGATGAAGTCATCATTATGTTCAAAAAATAAGTTGCCTCATGGTCTGGAAGATGAAATTGATATATATTATCATATATTACAATCAATTATAAAGAATTTTACCTTACTAAGCATCCATGATTAATAAAATTAACATATACTAGCAGGGTATGTATATAACTATTAATGAATTGACTAGACTAAAAAAGTATATAATTTCTTTTATTTGCCAAATTATAATCAATACTTAACTTATTTTTTTGTATCAATAAGACTTTTAATTTATATTTGAGTTAATTTAGCGTTTTTCTTAATTTCTTGTTAATAATGAACATAAAAATTAGAAGATTAAGAAGTGATGATTATAATCAATCCATATAGAAAAAGATATTCATATTAAGATTTATAAATTCAAAACACTTGAAAGATTTATTAATTTCATATTTATTACAGGATAATTGTTTATGATATCTAGATGATTATGTTGTAGTCTAAAAAATAGAGTAATGTATATCTAACAAAGATTATATAAAAATGAAAAAATAATAATGTAATAAATTAAAATGAGTAGTAGCCTCAAATGTAAAAGAGATTATGGAAATTAAATAGGACCATAATTAATTTTTATACAGTAATTCTAGTTCTCATACAAAATATTGATAAATTAGCTGCTAATTTAAAAATTGGGGATTGCTTAGAACATAAATGTTAAATCAATTTTAATTTTTCATTTTTTGTCATTCCTAATGACATCTTCCTAATCTTCTAATATGTTTTATACACATCTAGGATAATCATTATTATTCTATTGTCTATAAATAGGAGAGTAATCTTTCTAATAGCTAAATGAAACAAATATACTAGATATGCCAGAATATTTTTTGAAATAGAGTCTTTTTTAATCATAAAAGTTGGAATTATTAATTCAGGCATAGTAGGAACATTTTCTCGATTATAAACTCTCAATTTATGTTCTTCTATATCCATCCTTCCATTTCCTGATTAAATTTTATTCTTTGATGTTATATTTAGAGCAGGAGGTTTCTTTTTTAATTTCTATAGTTTAATATTTGGCATTTATTACTGCAAACATAGCTGGGTTTTATCTTTTTGCAAAATACCGTTCTATCATATTATCATATATGCGATCCCGATTTTTCACAGATTCTGAATAATACTATTACCTTGGTTGCTTTTTAATTTGAGGTGATTAATTTGTTTGTATCTCATCGCAGCATTTTTATACTGATATTTATTTTTCTTCCTTATCATCATCTGATTAGTATTGTAATTATATATTAGGATTTGTGAAAAAGTCAACGAAGTGCTTTGAGACTGAACTTTCTTCTATAATTCTTTATTATTCCTAAAATTCTTTTTGTTTTTTTGATAATTCCATTACTCTCCGATATGCCTATATTTTCTTATCAATTTGTCTAATTGCTTCTGGTATTGGAATAGGTTCTGGGACATACTTGATATAGCTCATATAAATACAGCAGAAACATATTAGATCTATGGTTGTTGTAGCTTGATTAGTTCTTATGTAATCTTTGGTTTACGGCTGACTTTCTTTAAATTGATAATTACAAAAACCGTTAAGCATTCCTCAATTACGGGTGAGTATTGGAATCTTCAGACTCTGATAGAAAATTGGTCGGTTTTCTAGTTGATTTTACTTTCTCTTCTTGTTTATAAAAATAATAATCTGACATATTTTTATAGTATAAATATAAATGTTTACAAATACTAAGTCATAAAATTTTTTTAGGATTGTATAACTTGTTTATGGCCTATTTCCCATTTAATTCTTTATAAAAGTTTTATAATTTAAAGATATTTGCTAATTGAACGCGTACATCATCCACCAATAACACTATTTCTAAGAATGAAAGTAATAATTCAAGCTAATTATCATTTTATTGGCCTTCGTAAGGTAAGATCGGTATGCCATTATTGATTTATGCACTTATTACTGAGATGAAAATACATAAATTTTTTTGGTGAATTTTCAACAATTACAATATCTTTAAGATCAGTTTAAAAAATTCTCAAATCTTTGACATTGCCTATCATGTGTTCTGATGTGCAAATAGCTTTGAAATATTTTTTATTTGGATCTATAATTTTTAACATCTTTAAATATATGGATTAAATTACTTTTATAGCGTGGTCTTGTTTTGCAGCAGTAAAAAGTACCAAAGTACAGATTCTAGATAATCTTTCCAAAAATGCTAAACAAAAGGGACGAACCAACGTCTGATTATTTTTATGATATATTAGAGTCTCATCTAAATCCAACACAACAACCTTTTCAACTAAAAATAGCATATAAACAAAATTTACATTTTTGTTTCTTGAGCTTCACAATACGTTTATCTACATATTCTTTGGGTGTTTCCCCATACCAATGTGATTAGATAGACGCTTCATGAAGCTCTCTTGCTATTTTAGAATCAGGAAGTATTTAATTTCTGAATGTCACTAATTACGGTTTTTCTGAATTTCCTGAAGAATCAGGTGTCGATTCCGCAGTGTTAACTAATTCTTAATCATCAAAAGTGAAGATTTTTTTTTGTATAAGAATTTAGCATGACTTACTGTGTTGTGCAATTCTCATTTGGTCTAACTAAAAAGGGTAAGATGATTTATTAAATTTAATAATTGTCAATAATGCATTAAAAATCGACCTTAATAAAAAAATGTATCAACATCTGATCATACTAATATTAGTATTATGATGTTATCATTATACAAAAAACCTAAAAATTGGCTTTAACTAAGAAATATGCTTGTCTAAATTATATGATTATATGAACATATTAATTGACAAAATAATTATTCTTTTTATGTACAATATGATAAAATTGCTTAGTTATGTAATTGGAAACAAAGTTTTCCCATCAATTTAATTGTTAGTCCACTCTTGTTCTTCCATTTAGACTCTAAAGGGAAAAGTCTAGATCTGTTTAAGTATTTCTTCAAAGACAGAATAGTTAATTAAAATGAATTAAAATAAATCATTCTATTTTTACAATAGGGGGCTAATTGTTCAACTAAATAATGAATTTCACTCTATGTAATATAACAAGAATTCAATATTTTATTTTTACGAGTTGTGCTTGACTGTTGTAGCAGATCGGTTCATTTAATCCTTTTCTGATTACTATTAAAATATCCATATCAGATCAGGATAGCTTGAGATGAGATCATCAGCGAGGAAATCAAGAAAAATAAAATAAATAATAAATATTGAATAGTTTAAGGATTACAAAGTGTTGTTAGAAGAATAAAGTGACAAGATATTTTGACCTTGTTTATAAGCAATAAAATTTAATACTAAAAAGAAACAATTGTTCATTTGAAATATTTAATATCCAATTTAAACACTTTTAAATTAGGAAGGAAAATTAATGTTGTGTTTACAAAATATTTATATTTAATTTAATATCAAAATTTAGTAATATAAATATTTTTATAATTTGTAAATTCACTTATGAAAATGTTTTAAAACAAAGTATATGAAAAAGAACTAAAAAAAGCCATGTTTGCAGATTAATAATAACTAAAAACTAGGTTGATATCTAAATTAAGGAAACCGTCAATGAAACATGATTATAATAAAAAGAAACTTGGGAGTATAATATTTTGAATAGATTTAAGTTTTTGAATTAGATAGAAAATTTAAGGAGGAAAACCTAAGATGCATAATATGTTAAGACTATTTCTAAAAATTTACCTTAACATTTTGTGGACATTCCTTTTGTTATTTGTGTATTTTCGAGCATTTATTAAAAAGTCATGTATATAAATATTTTTTATATCCAGAAATGTCCTAGTTGTTTTACCACCATAAAAGGACTTCAATTTATCTATTGTAAAATCATTGATGGTTTCATATAATCTCAAGTAGTATCTTCTTAAAAGAATAATGCTTTGTATCTTTCTCGGAAAAAAGATTTAAAAGCATGGAAAGCCAAGAAAAAGATCTAGACTTTTAATGTAGGTGATTTAGTGGACATTCTGGATACTGAACATATTTGGTGTGTTGGTAAGATTTTGAACTTAAGATAAAAAAAGAAAGAAAATTATATCTTAGTTCATTATCAAGGATGGAACAAAATTTATGATGAATGTATATCCATTCATTCACAAAGATTATCTCCCATAGGACTGTTCACCAATAGGAAAGGTAGATATTTATTATTATTTATGAGACATCCTATTATATCAGCCTACTCTTAATGAAAATACAGTGTCAAATTATGTAAGAAGAGTTGAAAATCAATAAAACCAAGAATTAGGTCTATTAAATTACTTAATTTTGTAACAATAGAGTTAGGGTTAAAACTTTATCATGGCCATTGAGTCTGCTGATAGGAATACTCTATCAAGTTTATTATCGCTAGTAGTTTATATTAGAGAAATGTCCAATAATCAAAATTCATGATATATTTTTTATGGGTGTGTTATGATGTATATATATACTTGATTCACGTTTGAAATATAGTATATATTTAATTAAAAAACTCAATGCAATCCTATAAAGAAGCTTTATAACTGTTTTAAAAAAACTCAATGAATCTACCAATGACTGAACATGAAGATAAATTAAATGTATTAGTAATTAAAACTAGATTATGTTAGAATACTTACTACATGAATTAGAAAAAGACAAGAAGGAATTATAGATGTTGAGATAGGAAATCATACATGAGTCATACCTTTAGTCATCAATTAATGACGATACTTCAACAAGCTTTATTGAAGAGATAGCCGATTTCACTCGAAATTTTAGAAAATTGGCTGACCAAGCAAATACTGAAATAAATGAATTAAGCAATTAAGTTGACACATTAAAAAACGAAAAAGCAAGAATTAAAAAATCAGCTAATTTATTGGATCATAGAGTATATGAAATGGAAAAGGTATTAGGAGTAGGTATAAACCCAGCTAAATCTTAAGAAGCAAACAACTGAAATTTATTACCATAACCCAATTTATTTTAAATATCTCTATCTAAATCTCTTTCCATTTCATTAGTTTCTTAAAAATTAATTACTAAATTTAACATATAAAAAATAGTTTTCATTTTAATTTATATAATTTAACTAATACCATAAAGTTTTTAAATTATGTTACAAATTAAACATAAATAATAAGACAATAAATATAATAAGCTTAATAAACCTTATTGTTCTAAATGACTCTTAAAACCTTCACTTTAAATCTAAATATTTAGATAAATTAAACATATTAAATTAAGGGATTTAAATAATCAATGAATTTAAATTTTTTAATGTATACCACATTAATTATATTAATCTAATTTAATTGAGTGAGTTCGTACAGATATTGAGTTGTTGTTGCAAATTTGAGTGAATCTAGAAATACATAATTAGTCTATTTGATCTTAAGAACCTACGTTTCATTTATAATATATATAAAAAGTATAATATTAATTAAATTAAGTTTGATGAGCGACGATTCAGAAAGTCTTGAATTTCCAAATGCTCCCTTTTATAGTTTTGTATTTTCCATAATTTATCTCAAATGTAGAATGTAACAGTGGGACTAACATTATCATTAACCAAATTATGCGCAAGCAAATGTAGATTATTTAAGCCAGATCTTGGAGTAAAATTGAATGAGAATGATGTTCAATGCATTTGTAATGAATACATGTTAATAATACTTAAGAAAATTGCGCTGCATCCATTAACAATAACTACTCCACATTCTCAAATTAATTAAAAGAGTCTATTAATTTCGAGGATTCATTAGGAGCTTTCGAATAAGAGGAATGATACCTTAAAAAGAATCAATATAAATAACAAAATATCATATTTTAAATATGTAAAGTCAAGAGAGTCATTATAATTAAGTGAATTATACATTTAATTATTCTATTATCTTTTAATGTTTATTCTTCCCAGATTTCCAATTCTTTAAATTATAAAATTTAATAATTTAACGAAAATGTTTTAAGTTTTAAGAAATGTGTTTGAAGGAAGAAATAACTTTGATAACTATTGGTGCCATCTCTGTAAAATGGAGATTATATAAAGAACTTATCATTCAGAAGAAGATAAATAGGAGTATTGCTTATTATGTGAAAGTCCATTAGAATAAATGGCTTAGGGAATTAATGATTCAGAATTAAGATCTTTTGAAATATATATATCTCCTGAAGCCTAATCTTCTAGAACATTATCAGATTGGACATAGAGCTTAAATGAAATCTCCGACTTTCTAAATTTTCTATCTCTTTTAACAGAGAATTTATTTTACCAAGAAGATCAATAACTAGGAGCTTCTGAGACATAAATAAGTACTTTAAGGGAACATGTGGCAGATATCAATGATTAATAGTCAACCTGCTATATATGTTAGGAAGATTTTAAGGAAGAGGAAGTGGAGCTAGAAATGAGTTGCTCTCACAATTTTCACAAGGATTGCTTAACATAGTGGTTAAAGATTAATAATTCTTGTCCTGTCTGTAGAGCAAAAATCAATTGATATTATAATTTAGTTACTAAATCTTAAATTCTATTTTTTACTTTGTTTTATCATATCTAAAAGACTTTTAGATAAGTTGTTAAAAAATATAGCTAGTTTTAAACTATTTGGCGGGTTGATGAATCCTAATTCTTTTAAATGCTATTAAAACTAAATTTTGATTTTTTATCTTATAAATTAATAATTTTATAATATTATAAATGATATCAGTTATATATGTCATTTTTGATTTCTTATTATCAACTATTACAATACATTTGAATTCTCACACAATATTTCTAAAGGTATCAATAAAAATAATTGTTTAGTTTTTATTAATTCTTTGTGTAAGTACCTTCTTATACTTTTGTCACTTATTATAATCAAAATTAGATAAAGTATAATTCCATAAATGAATCTGAGAGTGTGCACTAGATGATTCAAAGATATTTCTTATTGTTATTAATTAGCCATGAAATCATGCAGTAGAGTTAGTACATGAGATGTATAAAGCACATTGATAATATCATTTTCTAAAGTTGAATTAACATCCATAAATGCCAAATATGATTTAAACTAAGTCCCATTTAACTTCTGCATAGTGTAAAATTGTTAAATGTTTTGTTGGATGGCGACTAATGAAATTGTTAATCCTGAAGTCAGACTATCAAAGCTTTTACAAATCACCTCATTATAAAATTAGCTGTCTTCAACTGTATTCGATATTGTGAGCTCAAAGGCTTAACAGCCATTTTTCTTTATGGCATTTGTAAAGATTGAATTTGAAAAGGACTTTTAATTGTTCAATCTTTAGACGAATCCTTAAAAAATATCAAATTGTTCTTCCATATACTTTAATGCTTCTTCCACTACTATTAAAATAAATAAATTTACATTGATTTAGAAAAAGCATCTCTTCCTTTCCTACTTGCAAGTATTTGATTAGAAGTTTCTAGAAGCTCTTCTGTTACAATAAATATGATTGTGATGATTTATAAAGAAGTAATTACTCGAAAGAATATATTGCTTGTTCTTCAAATGAATTTTAATAAATTAGAGAACCAATGTACTACGAAGAAATAATAAAATAGCTTAAGAATAATAATGTTGAATAAATGATATAAGTAAAAGCAGCTAGAATCTAAAATAAAAAAATACTTTTACTCTTTTCTTTAGATTTATTGAATTTAACTTTTATCGATTATCTTCTTAGAGGAGTCTTAATTCTAATTCCTGGAGTAGATGCAATCTTCGACTTTAGTTGATCAAATTGATGTTCAGTTGTTTCTTCATTGATAAAGTCAATCTTCTCCAGGAATTTTCCCACTGTAGAAATCTGTTCTACTAAAGAGTTTATATGACCCTTCGAAATGGTATTAAATAATTCCACTATCTTCAATTTCGCTTTGTTTATATTGATTAAAAGGAGTAGGTAAAATGAAAATGCTAAACAAAGGGTTATCAATGTCAAATAAAAGGATATTTTTGATTATTATTGTGCTTTGACAAATTAATCTTAACCATCATCAATGATAGTTGAATTTAATGCAGAATTCGAGGAAATTATGGTTATGAAATTTCTGGCTATAAATTCTAAATAGTATTCTTAATTTGAAGAATCTGATTAGGAGAGTAAATATTAGGAGAAGTATCCTAATGAATAAAACATATTGATATTTGTTATATTTTCGAATTCACTGATTTGGAGATAGGGAACTAACTATTATAAATATTAATTACTTGCATTCTATTCAATATTTAGTGAATAATATTAGAATTTAGATATGTCATTCTGAAATCGACTGGCACAAAATTTCATGTATAGAGTGTAGTTGAATTTATTTGTGTCTGAATAATTGAAAGCGAGAATGAATTTGTTAATCTACACTTAAAAATTGTTGGATACCTTATAAGTTTCAAGAGCCTATTCAATGATCTAAAATATATGAACTATTTTTCTTACCTTATTTTCTTAATTCAAAACATAATAATAGTATATGTTGAAAATCATGAGCAGAGAAAAAGTAATTAAATTAAATATACGTATAGTCCAATGCTGTTTAGTTTATTCATCAAATAAGTTATGTTTCAATTAAGTTTTCTTGATTTTGATATCGCTGATTTATGATGAAGATATGGATTTCATTTAATCTTAATCTAATAGAAAATTATCAATAGATCCTATGAGTTCATCAGAATTCTTGGATTTGACTGACTCCTTATTTTCATTTAAAGCTTCTAATATTGCACTAGAATGTACAATTAGTTTATTCTAATCAGATCCAAAAGCTTAACTAATCCCATTAGAGTTACTGCTGGCAAAATGATTCAAAGCACCAAAGCTATGTGCCACTGAAGACTTCATCCTAAATGTCTACTAATCCTACAGTCTCTTATCTTGACTGTTTGGGTGACTTACTTAATTTTAGTGTTCTTCTATCTTATATTAATTTAAGATTTACTTCTAAAGTATAATGAGGATTAGTCAACATAATCTACATTTCCTTTTATCTTATCATATAATCATCTTCAATTAACTTTTATGTTTCCAAATTATATATTGTTTGTTGTTCTTGTTAAAAAGATATGAAACCTAACGATTCCTTTTAATTAGTGATTTCTAACTTCCTGCATTTCTTCTTCTTAATTTCTATTCTATCTGGACTTAATTTAGTTATTTTTCTACTCAGATTTATGTAATCTGACTTTTCTATTAATTTATCAAATATTTCAATTCTTTGTGATTCACGAACAGGTTTAATAGTTTAAATTTCAATACAATAAATACTAAAATGATGATATATTATAGATACGTTTCCTAAAATGTGTGAAACTCAACAATTTTAAATGTAATTCTAAACATATACATCTAATTAAAATTGTCAAAGTAGTTTTGGTTAACTTGATCCTACGCTTTTAAGAATTCATAAATGGTTGTCTTCTCCTTCCCCCAAGACGATGAAAGTATTTTTTATTTCTTTCTTTTCTTTGGAATGACCATATAAGATTGATATGGATTTTTGAGTTCTTATTCTAAAACATCAGTTTGATTGAGTTATTTCCAAGCTTTAATTAACCTCGGTATGAGTTTGAGACAATCCACAGATTTAATAGTTTTTATATCAATGCATAATATAGGTTAGATAATTTCATTATATAACTTTTCACTGATCTCTTCCACTAAACCATACTTATTCAACATAATGTAGTGATAATTTTGATAGGTAGGTAGAATAAGAGCAGAAGAACCAAAATCTGATCCTAAATCTGTCTCCAATCTCACCTTGGCTATTATAGGAAATATAAATCCTAATTTATTTTTCACCAATAGAAATCTTCTATCTGATTTCATAATATTGATCCTTCCACTTTCTACAAAATTGTCTAAATATTGATCGTGCACCTCTGCTATGATGTCTGGAATGAAATTATTAATGGGATTATTCATTATTTCACTATCTATTGTACATAGAGCATCTCTAAATGTTTTTGTGTAATTTTTAATTATTCCTTTGGTATCTAACAATGTTAAATAGACAAGAGAAGCCTCTCTGTGAAATAGAATTCCATTTATAGAATTTTAAAATTTAAAGGCCAATGAGGAATCTATTGCAGGAATTTCTAATTTCTTTTTATTGAAATTAATGTATTTGTAGAATAAATGAATTAAGATGTGACACTAATAGGATAGAGGATTTAAATTAAATATATATTTAAGTTGTTTTTCTTAAGTTGTAATTAAGTTCTGCAAGTGCATACCATCAATTATTAGTTATGTAAGATTCCTATTTAATAGTGTCACATACCATTATTTTTACTTTTATAGCAAAACACCAAAATTATTCCTTCCATTCATTTATTGATTTATTGTAATTAAACACTTTAAAACAATCATATTTTTGATTGGTAATACTTTTGTTCTCTATCATCCTTAGAAAATCGTCTTTGACAAGCAATTCGACTGAATTAGTGAACATCTAATCCAAAAGATTCAAACCTGTATACATATTATTCTTTAATTTGATTATTTCATGAAATGCTTTTGTAGGTTTTTTGATAACTTTAGATAAATAAAGGATATAATAAAAGTAGCTTTTGGCATATTTCTAAGAATTGTTTTTATTCAAACTCAACAATTTTAATTCGTAATGAAATCTTATCAACTCTTTGATATAATATTTGAATTGTTATCGAGTGATGAAATGATCATTTTGTTTTTTATAACCGCTGCAAAAACAACCATTTACATTCTGACAACTTATTATATGATTAGTAGATAAGGCATAAAGGTTTAAGTTCTTTGGTAATCGATATTTGATGTCATTCAACAATATCCCATTCCTTCCAAGAGCCTCTTCACATTGTTTGTAAATATTCATCATCAAATAATCGAAATTTCTATTTTTATAACTCAGAGTCTCTGTTTTATTCTCCTGTTGGACAAACATCAAATTCGAGATTTGAAATACTAATGGTATTAGAATTAGAATCAATTCTGAAAAATCTTAATTAAGTCCTTCCGCAAAAATGAATATACACAAGATTATGCACAAGTAGAGTGAAAAGGATTATATTTAAATTTTATTCATCAATTTTTCTTAATAATATGGATGTCTATAAGATATGGCTATTATTAAAATGAGTAAACTTGTATCAACTAATAGAAGTGCTATTTGATCAATCTCTAAATTATCTAAGATGGAAACTATAATAATCAGAATTTCTATTTTTAAAGATTACACCTTTGTCATATTCGAATAAAAGCGAGATAAATAATCGATCTTTTTGAATGAAAATTAGACATCATGAGCCTCATTCAAGAAATAACTAAAGATATTAAGTATGAAGACTAGATAAGTGATGATTAATACCAAAATTTAATAAGTATTTAAATTAGTATCTATATTGAGTTTAAATAATTACATTAGAATTGTAGAGTTAATATCTTTCTTAACGCTAATTGAATTATTGGATAATGAAAGAGATATTTAAAAATTTTTGTTCCAAAAGTTATATAAAATTCAGAAACTCCAATCAAGTTAATTATACTGTATATTTCCTTCTATGTAAAGGGGATTCCTAATTGTTACTCCCGATATTGAATTGGCTCATAATGTTTCCTTTATAACTGCTTCTAAACCTTGACTCTATAGCAACAATATAGATGAACAAAACAAAGAATGTATAATAGTTGCATAGCCAACATTAAAAACAAGAAAATTTCTGACCATATTTGAGTGTCATCATAATTGAGGTCAAGGCTTTAATTAAGTGTATTAATACTTGATATTCTGGAAGAATTTGTTAAACAATATAAGCGGTCTGGCATACATGTTGAAAAGGTTATTAAAGGGATGGCAAATTATATAGTATATCTATGATTGAGAAATCAGGATCAATAGCAAGCTTAAAGATTTATTCCTACTAAATTTATTGTATATCTGATAAAATTGAGATGAGTAAAATAGTTTAATTGGGATGAGACATTTGAACATAATCGGATAAATAAATTTCTAGTAACAATTATGATTTTAATTTATTTAAATATATTTCTTTAAATGACTTGATTTATTAACAAATAATATCAAAAGCAGCAATTTACAAGTTGAACAACTAATAAATACTTCAAATTTGTTTTCAAATATATTAATTCAAATATTAATTTACTCGTTTTTTAAATTATCTTGCAAACTAGAACATAAAATTAATATTAATCAAGTATTCTTTATAAACTTGGAACTCTATAAAAATTAAAGAATTTTGTTAGTTTTAAAAATGTTAGATGTTTTTATAAGAAAATTTGGAAAATTGATAATTATGGTAAATATAATAAATCGTTTTAGCAGAAGCTATTAATATCAAAATAGCTTAAAAACAACATTTTATGAGACCATAGAATTAATAATTAAATTTACAAATATTGATTATTCAAGCTAAAAAACGAATGCATCAGAAATTCATAATGAAAGTTAATTAAAAATTTTAATAATTAAAGGGATTATTATTTAATGTATTTTCTTTGAGTAAGATGGTAAAGTAACTTGTGGATTTGCATCCGCTTATATAAGCTTCGTTATAACTCTAACAGACAGTGTTTATTGATGTGAAATAGAGAAGAAAAATAATTTTTAAAAATATAAGTGATCCATTAATAATTATAAATTTTATATAATTTAATGGAAGAATAAATGTAAGCAATCTAGTTTTAATGTGATTGGAGATCGATGAAATGTTAATTCTTATTTTATTATATGCACTAAATATCATATTCAATTCCGAATTTAATATTAATATATTATAGAAAATGTTAATTTTGATATTAGCTATTATTAACTTATTTTATTTTATAACAAAATTTATAACCATTTCCATATTCTTAAATTAAATTTTGAGTGTGTTATATATATTTTTTCATAATTTGGATTGATTTAACAGAAACTTTAGGATGTAAATACTGTTATCCTTATACCATCTTGATGAAAACTTTAAATTACTTATCAATAAATGAATGATTTTTTTTATGTCATTTATTTGCACTATTTTTATATAGCTGATTGAAGTGATATATAGAGTGTATATAGACTTAATCCAAATCCACTTATAATGGCAGTATATTGATAACAATAATTTTTTATTTTAATTTAATAAAAAAAAGGTGACTTCAAAAATTGTATTTGCGTATTAAAACTTTAATAATTACGTAATTATCAATAGAGAAATTATCAATTATTCACATAATTTAGATCTTTTCCATCTTTCATAAGTATTTTTTTCAATTATGTATATAAAATATATTTTCAATTGGAGAAAATAATAATAAAATTTATCCTTTAATATTAATTTATGATGGAAATAGAGGATTGGGAAAAAAGATCAGAGAATACTCCACTTAAAGTTCATATGATTGGTATTACTTCTGTGAAAATTTTAAGCTGGTTGTTTGGCTGGGTTGATTGAACATATTTCGATGTTGCCTTTGGATAATGTGAAAGTATGTTGTAAATTTATAATGTATAGACTCATCTTTAAGTACTTCCAGATTCGAAGTTCTCAAAAACATTTGTATCATTGAAGTATAAACTTAATTGAATGTTAGAAAATAAGGAGTGAAAACATTTTTCAATGGATTTGGGGCAGTGACAGCAGGCTGTATGCCAGCTCATGCATTTTACTTCAGCAGTTATGAGGTATAAAAATTATAAATATTTGAGATCTTGAAAACACTTCTGGAAGTAAACGATGAAAATATCCATGCCTATGCTTTTGCTTTTATTGGGGCAGTATCAACTTTATGGCATGATCTAATTATGGTACCTTTTGATGGTATGGTCATTATTATAATCCAGTTATAAAATAAAGATAGCAAATCTAGGAGTAATGCTTCAAAAGAACAGTGAAAACAGTTCTAAAATAGGAAGGAATGATTGCATTTTATCGAAGTTTTCCCATTACTTACGTACTATATCTAATAAGATTTAGTTAATGTCTGCACCTTACTAGGCTATATTTTTTGCTGCAAATGAAACTATTAAAACTTTAATGTTTAAGAAATCAGAACATAATTTTTTCAGTCATTTTTCATGTGCAGCTATGGCAGGATGTGCTGCTGTTTGTGTAATGAATCCATTGGATGTTGTCAAAACAAAATTACAGACTTAGAGCTGGCATTTAAACTCTTCCCAAGTCAAATACAGCACTTTCTTAGGATCTATAAAAACTATTTATAAGGAGGAGGGCTATCTCGGATTTTATAAAGGATTATTACCAAGATTATGCATGTAAACTATGTCTGGAGCTACAGCATGGGCAAGTTATGAATTCATTAAAAGAAAATTACTTCCTCTTTCAGTTATAAATTGATTCATTATTAATTGTACAATATATTTTTTAGTATTTGCAAATAAATATAGATATATCAAAGCTGATCATTTTATTCATTCTCAGTTTTGTAGTTATAATTGTTGCTGTTGATTTGAATCACTTAATCCTAGACCTTTTAGTATTTATTTAGATAACATTGTGCAATTCTCATTCCCATAGAAACTGAACCCAAATACATCAATCCTATTTGCCATGTGAATTATGGAAACAAAGCAAGCCCAACGAATGGACAAATGCCAGTCATTCCCCATCCAAATCCAAACAAAGATGCCCCTATCAGAAGAATATTCGTAACTTTATTTGTAGGTGGATATAAAAATTCAGCTGCAAAGATAGGTTTCTTCAATAGTTTAAATCCAAAGTAACATACTAAATTTGCCCCTAAAATTACAAATAGGAATTATGGATTCCATTATTCTACAGAAAGAAAACTCAAAATCGTTGTTCTTTTGATCATACCTGAAAATACCACTCCTATTCCCAATAATAATCCAGCAGGTATTCCCACAACTGTATCAATAAATTAATCTTTATTAAGATATGCACCCAACAATGTTCCAGATAATAATACCAAACTTAATCCAATCATTATAATTGAAACATGATTATAATTGTATTTCTCCTAACCATCTTCTTTGTGTTCACTCATTGTTATATAACTACTTATCATTCCAAATAGTATAAACAAACTAAAAGCCACAAACGAACGAAGGGATATTCTTGCTAGACCACAGAATCCATGGCTTGTAGTACACCCATTGCACAATTTAGATCCAATCCCTATCAATAGACCACTTATTCCTGCTAAAGTTGTAGACAAACTTGTAATTTGAGGTATTTCATTGAATGCCAACGATGAGCTTTCCATTATTCTCTCGTCTCTATAAATCACAGAATGTAATACCCATAAACTTAATACATCAATCCTGTTGCGAATACAATTGAACAAAGAACAGATAATTTCCAATAAAATTCACTCCAATTAAATGTAATTACACCGTAATATATTCCACTGATCCCAGTTATTCTTCCTTTTGTGATGTAATACATACTACATGCCACTCCAATCATTATACCACCAATGAAACCTAAGAATAAGTCACTAATATTTATTATCATTAAAATATTATTAATATTCAAACTAAATTACAAACACTTTCTAATTAGCTTAATGTAGTAGTGAGCAATCGAAGTGCATTATTATAATTAGCAATAGTTTGATATGCTACGTTAAGACTTGATGATATCTTCAATATATTGACATATTGTACAGGAAATAGACTCAGAATAATTAGAATAATATAAAAGGAAATAGTATGCTACACAAGAATTATTATATTAAAACAAATACTGAATGAAGATTTCAAGGAATAACAAATACATAATTATTTAAAATAAAGTAATTAACATGTGATTGAGATTAATATCCATTCACAAATTTGTAATAATAATTAAAATAAAAATCAGATTTGAGATATAAAGAATTCCTTTATAATTGTAGTATATAGAACATTTAAATTTATAATCAAAAGAGCAATTAAAATAAAGAGATTATTATTCAGAAATAATTCTATATGATTTGTATAATAATTACGATTTAAAAACCAATTAATGATCGGCCATTCTAGTGACACATTAATCACAGTGTTCAAAGGATTAGTAAAGATGATAGTACAAATGTATTAGCCAATTCCCTCAATATTAAAATCATTTTCTCTAGTTTTAATATATGAAATTTAATAAATATTTTAATTAAATGACATCAATCTCGAGTGCCAATGGATACATACTTATAGTCTTATAAATGTTAGTTAATACTGCTTCATCAATTGTCTTTAAGTTGTAATCAAAAATAAAAATCGATAACCAGGAATTCAATCATCCATTTACATAAACATTTACAATGTTTTTCGGTGAATCAATTTGTTATATTATATTTTTGTTATACAAATCTTTTAATTATTCAAAATATTTATACGAACTGGAACTTGCAAATAAATTGAAATAAGAAACAAAAATAAATTATTTGGTAGTAATAATTCCAACTTTATGTGATTTAATAGCAAGTTGTTTAGCATTTTTTGCATTATCATTGATGCCTACATCGGTTTATTAGATGTTAAGAGGAGCAACAGTTGTTATAACAGCAATATTTTAAGTGATATTTTTAAAGAAAGTGCCAACAAAGCGTTAAATCTTGGGAATGTCTTTAGTCGTATTAGGTAATTTAATAGTGGGAATAACAATATATTTGAAGTCAACATAGTCAGATTACCTAATAGGAGTGTTATTTTTATGTCTATCCTTTTTTATGTTTTCATTCTAAGTAATTCTAGAGGAGAAATACTTTAGAAAATATTATTTGAATCCTTTTGAATTAGTTGGTCTAGAAGGGTTATGGGGATTGGTATTTACAACAATCTTACTGTCTATTTTAGAATTCATTCCATGTCCTTCTTAAATGTAGAGTGGATGTCCATAGAATGCTGATGGAAAATATTATTTAGAACAAACGATTTAATTTTTTTAAGTAGTTTTTTCATTTCATGATAAAAACTATCAACCCTAACTGTTCCTGCTTATAATTGCTGAGGCAACATCAATTCTCCTTCTGAATTCAATCTGCATGGCTGTAGTGAAATATTTAAGTGCCTTGACTAAAAGTGTGGTGCAAGTAACAACCATCGCATTAGTTTGGATAACTTGTTTGATAATTGGATGGGAAAAGTTCTATTGGGGTTAATTGATTGGATTCATTATACTAGTGTTTGGATCTTTGATTTACAATAATATAATAAAATTGCCAATAAAAGTATATTTTAAACAATTAACATTTAGTGTTTGGAATAATAGTAGAAAGTAGAATCCTAATAGTCGAAGAGTGAAACTGAAGAGTTATTAAATTGAATTTTAATCATAAGAATAATATTCATCCATATAAATATATTAAAATTAATTTCATTTTTGTAGTTTGTTTCTCCACCATCTTCCTTAAACTTCCTATCCATTTGCTTTGAAGTATCTTCCAAAACCGCTAATTAAGTCCTAAAGGAAGGTGCCTTCAAATTTCTCACCATTTGACAAATAAAGAGTTCCCTATCCCTCTTTATTGTCATCGTTGAATTGCCCAACATATTTGGTCCAATATCTAAGATTTGTTCAAAATAATACTCTCCAACTTAATCAAAATCCCCATAATCAAATTGACCAAACAACATTTATGGTTCTTCATTATACAAAGTGCCTTTACCTTAAAACTTATCATTAAACCACTCTCCCTCATATGCAGGTTTGCCAGATGCATAAAAGAGTGTTCCTTTGATTACAATAAAATTGTTACCAATCCCATGCATCTTGTTATCATGCCATTGACCCTCATAAACTCCTCCGTTGTCTTGAAACAAAAATATACCATAACCCTATCTCACTCCATTCTATTTCTCACCTTCATATTTAGACCCATTGGGATAGAGTTCTATGACCTTTTCATACCTTTGGATATTAGATGAATTGATCAGTCGCATATTGTAATTGACCTTTTGTGATTAATCTGATAGATTATAATTGGATTTGGATTTTTACATTTCTAAAAAGAGTTCGTATTATTAGGATGTTTCAAAAGAGGTAACTGGCATTAGTAACTATTACTGATCAGGTCCTTGAGTAATATCTGAAAAGTGTTCAATACCAATTTGATTACCAATATTATTATCTATTCGTGATGGTTCAGCTATTTATTCAGACAAGGGTAACTAATAAGATACCAGAGTTGATTACTATTTTAATATGATCACTTAAATCTGGTCTCAACTCTTTTACTTCACTGCCATCAATGTAAATAGATTAATTACTATATTGAGACTGTCTTAATTCTTAAGATTTCTAAATCTAACTATTCCTTATGGATGGTTGAATTTTCGAATTAGCTCTCTCTTAAGATTGACTGACCATCTACACACTCTATAATTGAATTGGAATGGTGTCCATTACTTATTCATAGGCTTACACTTAAACAATTGGAGCCTTTTGAATAACTTATTCTTCCTCATAAAATTAAGGTGATTGAGATGCTTGCAATTCATACTTCAATTGAATGAAATCTGGTCTCTGATCCTCATTCAATAATAACATTCTTTTTAATAAGAAAACATATTAGGATGAAAATGAAGTCTCCATCTATTGCAACCTACGCTAAACTTGTTAAACTATGACTCTTAATTTATGGATATCATAACAATCATTACAGTTATTGAGAGTTGAGAGGTAAAGCATTGTCATTCCTAATGAATACACATCACTTTTATAAGGGTTATGTTAAGGTTGCACTTCATCATTCAAAGACTGCATCAACTAGGGACTCAAATAACACTAGTTGATTTATTTCAAGTCTTCTTACACCACCAATTGATAAGAACTCAACATTCCACTCACAGTAGGATCTGTCAATTTCACCAATTGTTATTATTCCGAATAGGAAATAGTCTCTGGCCGTATCCCTTAATGAGTTATATTGTAAGATTGCAAAACGAATAATGCCTCAATGCATCCTCTTAAAATCTGCATTAGATCTCTTTCCTTGAACTATTATTTATTAACTAATCTTTTCTCTGTGACTTCCTTTAGGGATTATGGAATATATTCTAGCAAAATGTAAATTTAAAATAATTGACCACAGAATTCACTTTCCTTATGAAAATATAGCTCTACATATGCAAACTTTAAATATACTAGTAACATTGATTAGGTTTTCGTATGTATTACTTTCCATCCTCTCCAACATTACTTTCAATTTCTTGAATTAATACTCATCTGTTGAATTCATTTCCTTCTAAAATGCTTCTTGTTTTGTCTGTTTCTATCTAACTATCCTACCGTTCCCATATCTTGGGTCATCGTTTATATTACGAACCACCACGTAGTTCATGTGCAAGGACTTAATGCTTGCGTTGCTATCTGTATTGCCCATTATAAAACTAATTATTTATCTTATATAATTTAATAAATCAATGTGTAAATGATGAATAATCCCACTTGTTCTTGTCTATCTTTATTGTTATGCATCCCTTTGATTCCAATGTACTGTTCATGCAACAAGACCAACCCTCACTTCCATCAGGCATCTTCTACCACACACCATTGTGGCAATACTTATAGTCCAAATCATGTTTCAATGTCCTTGCCATATCTGGCTTAAATGTATAGTTTTTATCCTCTATTCAGAATTAAACTCTTACTTGAATTTGTTCTTGATTTTTACTTAGTTTTGCCTCATATGCCAATCTGAAGACTGCTCCATCGATTGCCTATTGAGATGCAGCAGGATTTGCCATTTGATACTCCTATCTTATCTTACTTCTAATATCTTTCTCATTCACTTTCTGAGATCTAAGATCTAATTACAATTTAGATTAATGTTCTATGGGCTTTAAATAGTTTTTTATAATCTCCTCCTCTTTGGACTTAGTATTCTTAAGTGCATCCTTCGTTTAATTCATTAAATATTTTTAAAACTCCAGATTATTAGTTTCTGTACTCACATTCCATTTACCTGAGCCCTTCTTAGCTAATATATAATTGTCTCTAGTTTCTATTCCCTCGTATATTTTATTAGCTTTCTCTTTAGGAATTGGATGATCAAATAATCCTAATCGAATTTTAACCAACTTTCTCTCATGGGTTTCCTCTGACAATGGATTTTTTGGAACTGAAACACTGCTATTCCATTCCTTCTTTCTCAAACCTAAAATATCCTATCATATTAGATGCAAATTGAAATTACTGGGTCAACAAAAGTTTAAACAGTTTCTTTTATTTGCAATGCTCTTTAAGGGATATCCTCTTTGCTAAAAAATTATTCATCTTTATCATAGTTCATTTTATTGTTCTTGATACTACCAATCTTATGTATTCTTTATTCGGTCTATAATATTTCTTATTCTCCATCGCTCTGTTTTTATCTTCTTTCATATGCTTCTTTTATAAACATTTTTTATTTTATGTTATATATTAAATAAATATTTCATTTACTCATTTGACAACCAGTCAATAATAAATACACTTATAAAACTCCTGTTTCTATCAAACATAAACAAAGTACTGTTCTATTTTCATGAATTTAATATATCCTAAATTGGAAATATTGGTAATACATGAAAATATGATAGAATTAAGGTTTGGAATTATTTCAACTTATAGTAACTGCTAATGAAAAGTATTTTTTGAAAGGCATCTAAATGACATTCTTCATCCTAAAGAGCATTCTCATTTAATTATATAAATTAAAATTTCTTTATTTGTTTTCCATCACAATTCATATTTTAGTCCTATATCATCTGATATTCCTCTAAAAAACATAGAGTGGCATTATCAGTTACAATTGATAAATGAAAAAAATTAAAAAATATATTATTCATTTATCAATATCAATGATTTCTAAAAATGAGGAGAGTTTTACAGACAATGTACAATCTGAAAAGAAATACTATGAAAGTGACGAGGATATTCAACCATTAAAGGTATTTCACTTAAATTATCAAAAGGTGGGAGATATCATTTAGAATCGATTTTTAATAAGTCAAAAAATTGGGGAGGGTTCATTTGGCAGTGTCTTTAAAGTGCTTGATAGAAAGAATAATAATGCTGTATGGGCAATGAAAGTTGAAGCTGATGATGATGAAAACAGTTTGCTAGAAAGAGAAATAAAAGTTCTAATTGAATTAAGGTAAAAGTAAATGTTCAATTTTAGAAAGTAGTAAGGTTTCCCACAAATTAAATTTTATGGATAAGAAAGAGGATATACTTATTGTATTATGACAATGTTAGGAAAAAACTTAGAATAAATTTTTAGAAAATTAGGAGGAGTGCTGAATATAGCCTCTGTATTAAGACTAGCCATTTAAGTATGCAAACTAAAATGATATTAGTTCAACAGATGATAGATAGAATTTCAGTTATGCATGAAAATAGATTTCTCCATCGTGATATTAAACCTGATAATTTTGTTCTTGATTTAGGACCCAATGCAAAGACTTTATATCTAATTGATTTTGGGTTGTCGAAACATTATATAGTATTATACATGTTATTCATAATTAGAATAGTAAAGGAGAACACATAGCATATGTAAAGAAGGCAGGACTAATAGGAACTGCTAGGTATGCGTCTTTAAGTGCCCATGAAGAAATGGAATAAGGAAGGAAAGATGATCTGGAAAGTATAGGCTACGTGTTGATTTATCTTGCGACAGGAAATCTCCCTTGGATGAACCTGTAAATAGATTCAAAAAATGCTAAATATGCCAGAATATATTAGATCAAAAAAGAAATCAAGACTGAAGATCTTTGTTAGAATCTACCTAAAGTAAAATTGTAACTAAATATAGTGTTTCTATTTCTTTATGAAAGATGTGAAATCTCTAGAATTCCAGGAATCCCCCAATTATAATAAGTTAAAGTCATATTTTGAGAGAGAGATTGAAAACCTTAACTAATTAAATATCAATGGTTCCTCATTTACATATGATTGGGAAAGACTACCAGAATACAGCAAACAAAAGAAGCATATGACAATTCATGTTATGCAAGTAAATTCTTATTAATCTAGAATCAAGAAAAAAGGTAATAAGTAGAAATTGCATTCAACCCACATAAATTAAACCAGGTCTCTAAATAAAATTAATTTATTAATTAGTAAACAAAGGATTCCTAATAAAAGTCAACATAAAATTAATAACTTACCTTTGAATAGATCATGAATGAAAAGAGAAAGGGAACCAAAAAGACTGTTTATAGTCCTACAGGTAAAAGTAAGAAATAACCACTCATGATTAACATTGTAGAAAATAATGAATCCAATAAATAAAATTTATTATCTCCAATTAGCCCTGATGATAGTCGAATTTTCAGGGCGCAGAATCATTCTTCCACATTACTTCAAAATCCTCAACTCAACTCATCATACTAATTAGAATCATTTATTTTGCCTTCTGTAGCAACTTCAAGAATAAATAATTATTTTGAGAGCGAAGGAGTGGTTAGTGAAGGTGGAGGACTGCCTATATGGGATTTGGGCGATGGATCAAAACCTGAATTCTAGAAAGTGACACGAATTTTGGAAGGAATCAAGAAACCTAGTATAATTATATTGAGAAAAGAAAGGAAAGCACATACTTGTATATTATATTGGCTATTTATTTAGAAATAGATACTGTTAAACTAATGTAGGAATTGTTTGTTCCACCAATCAAATTGATTGGAGACTAAGAATCAAATGTTGAAGGTTTAGAATGAATAAAGAGATTTATTAAAAATTGTTAACTACTTAACCAAATTATGGTAAATTATTAACTTCAACAATTAAAGTCAAGTTTTGTTATATACAGTAGTACTAAAGAGAGGTCTTAGTTTATTCAACTCTTTTTAAAATAAATTTCGTTCCTCCTTCTTTCCCTTCTTTTTTTTATTATATTTTAGTTTCTCATAGAAGAAGGTTACTTCATTTTCTGTCGCCTAATACAAAGCCTTTAAATCTTATAATATTGTCAAAACAAATGATGTGGCTGAACTGATAATTTCATTGGTTATTGGTGACACAATCGTAATCTCTGATTAATCATCATATTCATTTAAACCATAGAATGGACTAGAGATATTTATTAATAATAATTACTTTTCATTGAATCCTTTATAACTGATTCCTGTTCTTTTCGGATCAAATTCAGTCCCATAAAATTTCAAAAAATTATACGTTGTGTAACCTATAGAGGAAGCCTGGTTCGAGTGATAAAAACATTCCAAAAAGGCTAAAACCATTTGAATGATACAAAAAGAGGACATCCCACCTTTGAATTAATCATTTAGTCCTCTTTTCTTCAGTAAACTTTTGAACAATAATACAATTGATCTCAATTCACTATAAAAAGACAACCATTATAAAGTTAACTCAGTAGAAATTAAACCCAAATGCTGATTTTACTTAGGACCTGAATATTGAAAGAAACTAATATCCACACTGAAGATCTATCTAGTAATATTTTCATCCGGACTTTATTGATAATAGATTAATACTTTAAAATGAGATCGATGTAAGGTAACCCTATTGGCAAGGTGGACTACACGAAGGAGATAGTTGGATCTACTTGCAATTTAATCAATGGCATAGTTGAGGAAGTGATCGCACTAAAAATGATATCAATTTAAATTACACAATGCTGTTAACCCATCTCATTCTTTACAGGAATTCAGTTAGCTTCTGAATAGGCACATATAACTAACAAGTTGAGCACATTTCAAACCCAGTTATTCCTATATCAATGTCACTTTCTGGAAGGGCTAAACCAGTAGCACATGAACCGAAAAGGCAAACTTAAGAATTAAAGTCTAGCTATGATATGTGATGAATGAAACCTCTAAACAGATAATTGATAACGAATTGCAATCTGTCATAAATCAGTCTCCGTAACTTTAGAATTTATTGATTCTAGCCTTAAATTATATCATTAAATTCTCTCATGTCCATATCAAGCTTTTTGATCATTAAGGCTCTTGCTTAATTCATAATATGCTAATCAATTTGATCTTCCTTTACTGTTTACTTAAAAGGAGAATTTTAAACTTCCAGATTGTGGTTCACATTAGTATTTCTTTTAAATAATTTGTTACTCTCTTATGGAATCTTGAGATTCAAATCCATTATTTATACGAACTTTAAAGGTTGCTTTGTATTATTAGATTAATCTAACTTAGAAAAAGAAGTCCGATCATCTTGTATGAAATTTTGTTATAATCGATTATCAATCTCTTAATTTTCTGATTTTACAGTCTTCACAGAATTTTCAATATATACCTCCGATTTAACGGTTTCAATATCTTAGAAGATGCCTTTCTAGTCTTTAAAAGGATCTATATCATTAGCATTAGATTTAACGGATTATTCCGTGATTGTTGGTAGAATAGGTTTCGAAGGAGATTTTTATTATTTGGACTAATTGTCTTAAGTAGTTGAAAATTTTTGGTTTGACTTCAATTTGTATTTTTTGGTTGTTGTAATCCAAACACAAGTTTCATCTTGATCATTCTAAGCATTATAGTTAATGTCTATGATTTTTTTAGCATCAAGTAATTCATTGGCTTCTTAACCTAAATATCTATCTAATGTAGTATTTTAAGGTATTTAGGAATTTGCAGGAACTTGTACATTAATTGCATTCTCTTAAGATTGACTTAAATTATAATTTTTAATGTTACTTTGCAGATTGATCTAGATTTGGTTTATTCAAATGAAATCCATCTTAAGTCGTGTCTTGCTTATCTATTTACTAAAAACTAATAAAATTTTCTTAATTCATATTTTTATTTATATTTTCTTTCTTTTTTTACTATTTATATTTTTTCGATTTTTTATTTCCATAATATTCTACATCTTTTGAGCTTCAAAATTTAAATAAACTTGAGATAGTATTGCTTATTATTTTTGAATGAATTTGCTAACATAAATTTCTATAATTAATGTTTACTCATAAGATATATAATAAATCTCTTATTTTTTGTTTTCTTCATAGGTTGGAAGCATTATTAATTGGTAATAACCTCATCATTTTTATTAAAATCAATTATGAACCTTATTATAACCTTTCAAATCTAATGTATTTATAGAGAACAACTAAGTTTCTTAAGTGATTCTTGTTCAAAATTCTCTTTTAATCATCATTTTATTAATAATGTTTCTTTAATTTATCTAATTATGCAAATAGTATCTAGAATTATATATAAATGTTTTATGATGAAGAAAATGAAAGTACATTCGAACAATCATTTAAATACATTTAAATTATCTTCTAAATAACCTTTCAAATAGAATTATTATTCCACAATTCATCCTATCAATAATACAACATTTAATAATAGTTCATTATCAGTGAAATGATTAAATTATCTGTGCCTTAATGTAAACTGTAAATGATACCTATAATATTTTAAAATTTATAATTTACTAATAATTTTTTAGAACTAAATTTATTATATAGCTATATTTGTTTATTAATGTACTAAGGAATCAATAAATTAATTATCAGCATTACAACTATAGATACAGATATCTTAATATTTATAAACCGTCTTTTTTATTTATAAAGTACCACACTTATATTAATGATTTTAACTTTAGGGTTTATTTTTTATTTTCTACAATTAATAACATCGAATAGAGAAGAATCATTAATATAATATTGAAAATATTTATAATGAAAGTATATGTTGATTTGAGTATTTTGAATTAATTATGTAATAACATTCTATTCGTGTCGAAATCCTAGGTGATTAATCAGAATACTAATTATTTGAATTTTCATCATTTTTATACTCTATAAATAAAATGTCATTATTTTCAAAAAAAGAATAGAAGAAATAGCCTACTCAATATTTGGAATTTGATTCACTTGCTTCTAAAAAGTATATTTATGACTCAAAGAAAGCTAATGAGTAGTCTGTAAAACAAGAATAGTATATAAATGATTTAAGAAAAGCGTATGAATTCCAAAAAAAATTAGTTATGACTAGTAAAGACTTGAAATTGAACCCATCTTTTAGAAAGTAGAGTTACTCTAGGTTGAAAGAAAATAATTAATGGACGAAGTGGAACAATATAAAATGAGTTAGATGGAAATTCTTAAGAAGTATGAAGGGGAATACTAGGATAAGGAGAGACTTGCTAAAGAATGCTAAAAATACAAATAATAGATTTTAGCACTTTAGAAAATGTAAATGCCCTAAGAATTTTAAGAAAAAAAATGTCAGGAATTAAAAGAATCCTTATTTAATACTATCAAAGACATAATGAATGATTTTTTGGAAAGTTACAATGATTAAATAGGGTATGACAATGATGATTCAGGTATCAATTCAAAAATAATAAAGTTTCTGCATCACTGTTTCATGATTTACTTTAATAGATTGATGACTCAATATTAATGTTCGTAGAGAACCTACCAGCGTAATCGAGTAGACAATATTAATCCGATGAAGTTCAACATCTAAAGGATTAAATTGAAAAAACATTGTAAATTGTAGCTAATTTGCAATCTGAAAATTAAGACTTAGTTGCATCATTAGAATCTGAAAAATAACTTAAGGATAAGATCAATAATCAAAAAAATACTTAATAGCAATTAGTCAGCCAATTGTAAAATTAAATTGAGCAAATAGTTAATGAGAAAAAGGCTATTGATTAATAACATTAGGAAATTTAGATTAAATATTAGGATTTGTCAAAGGAATTTTAAAAGCTAAATTCAGTTAAAGAAGACGAAAAAGAAAAGCTAAAGGGAGAATTAATAACGTTGGTGAATGAATTATAAAAGGAAATCCAAAAGGTTCAATAAGAAAATTCTCGACTTTTATAGCAAATCGAAGAAAAGAATGCTGAAATTACTAATAAAACTGAAGCATTCAATAATAAAGTAAGGGATTTAGAAACCAAATTAAATCATGAAGAATTGAAATATGAATAAAAATCTAAAGAAGTAAGATTATTAATATTATATAGTTTCTTAGAAATGAAAGAGAATTGAATTAATCTAAATCAGAAGCTGCGAAATTATTTGAAAACAATAATATTTTATAATAATAATTAGATGCTTTTAAAGAAAAAAGAAAATAAGAAAAGGAAATATTCGATGATTAAAAGGAAAAATATAAATAAATGAAATTATAGCTATAAAAACAAGAATAAGAATATGAAGCAAAAATTAATTAACTTGAAGAATAAATTCAATTGCTTTAGTAGAAGACGGAAAGCACAGTTCCATCAGATTTATCTAATAACCCAGAAATTATAATGGAAAAAGAATTGCAAATTTCTAAATTAGAATAATCTATCATAGAGTATCTTATACATTAATATATCAGATTAAATTAAAAAAATAATGAATTAAAATAAAAGCTGACTTAAAATAAGATAGAGATTAATGACTTGAATCATGAATTAGAATAGTAAAAGGTGACCAATCAATAGCATCTAGACAAAAGAGCATTTGCATTAAGTGAATTAAATCGATTAGAACAATAAAATTAGCTTTTAAAATAAGTATAAAATAACATCATTCATAGAAAAACAATGATCAAAATTAAATCATCAAATAATTATAACTAGAAAATCAATAGATATCCCAAATGGTCAAATCTTCAAAGTAATAGCCTATTGCAAATATGCAAAAGTAATTACTCAATCAAAGCATTTCTAAAACTCCTATGGTAGAAGCAAACTATTTAGATTCTTCTATGGTATCTGATGCTGAGAGCCAAACCTCAAAACAGTCTAAACCTCCTTCCATGCTTATGAAAGGTTTAAATTATTTCAAACCAACTCCTTAAACCATTTAGAATGCGGTATTTTATTTAAATATCAAAGTAATAAGAAAATTAAGAGATTAAAATTGCTGCAACCATGATACATAAGTAGACAGATGAATTAAAATAAAATTTAGAGTAACTTTATAAATGTTTCTTGTCAACAGTTCTACTAGGTTAAAACAATGAAGAAGGTAAATTTCTCAAGTTTGAAAGGGAAATAAATGAGTGTTTGAAGAAAACTTAAGACTTAAATGATAACATAGAAGATTTTTTGATATTATGATTAATTTGAAATTTAATAATTTTTAAGGGAGGTTAAATCGTTAAACTTAGTCATTTATTTCAATAACATCTCTAAAATTTTAAGAAGAATATTAAAATGAAATTATTATACTTTACTAATTAAGCTTATTAAAAGAAAAGCATCATTTTTATTTCTTGCTTCCATTTCTGACACAATTTTTGCAATAATCTTTTCTTACTACTAAACATTCCTGATGAAATGGTTTGTTGCATCTTGAACATTAAACACATTGAGAAGCTTATGAAAACTATTTCTTACAAGATGTACAAGATATTTTCTTTTGATTCTTCGTTTACTAATCAAAGTTGATATTCGGACTTATAATAAACAAATTTAATACTTTTTTCCTGCGTTTTCCCTTTTTTCTCTTTTGTTAGCTAAATTTCTAGGATATTAAAGACTTAGCTCCTATTCAATAGATTCATCCTCAATAGGTTTTAATTTTGACTTTTTTTTTATCTGTTTAACTTCTTTTGGATTAGCTTTTGAAGGAAGTTTCCGTAAAACTTGGTTTCTTTTATTTTGTAACTCTTTTTAAGATTGATATTGCTGATATTCATCTAAAAATAAATTTAAAGTAATTAAAGAAATATAAACGCTGTGTTAAGATGATGCATTGTCCACAAATATTGCTAATTAGTTTGCAAGCTAAAAGTCTAATTTAAATAACTTGAAGGGCTTAATATGATACCCATCATTCGATTTTAATTATAATAAGCCATTATAAAATATTTTTAGTGCTTATATTATAGATTATAGTTCTTTTTCATTCTTTAATAATTGATAAAAGTCTTGTTTCTAATGATTTTCTATCCATATCAAATCTTTAGATTATAAGTATTTTGTATATGCTTCTTCAGTAAGCAAAAACTATTCAATAACTTCAATATTTTCTAGATTATATTACTATTCTATTTATTGGTTTACAAATACTTTAAATTAAACGATTCTACGGTTTCAATGGAGTTGTGTTATCAAAGAGTTTGACTTAACTTATTAATTCTAAATTTTCAAATAAGTTTGATTCATTAACTCCTTATAAATTGAGTGCATTCATTAATTCTGATAAATCAGAGAGGGTATATTGACCCCAGCCTGTCATTGTTTCAACAAAGATTGAGCTAGGAACATGAGTAAAATAAAAATATTATTATTCATCAGCATCTTAACCAAGAAATGTTCCACAATTAATAAAGGCAGATTAATTGTGTTAAAATAATATTTTTAAATGAGCTAATATAAATTGAGATATTACATTGTTTATAATTCATCGAAGAATCCTTTTACTTTATTTGTTCCTTCATCTTATCTAAATCATATAAACCCTCTGTTAATAAACTTAATATGTATATTTAATCTGAAAATTCTAAACTGTTAAAATTGATTTTATTAATGTTAGACTCGCAATCATAATTTATAATTTGATCGATTTATATCACACATTCTATCCATGTCTTTTTTATCAAGTCTTTCATTTAATTTTCTTAGTGCACATACAAAAAATTCATTATTTCTAAAAATGCAGTTGCTTAAAAGTTAGCCTAATGGCAGTACTTTTCAAATTTAGACATATCTGATAACATAAAGTCATTGAAATATTCGTTAAGCAAATTCATAAGGATTTCATAAAAGTTTTTCTCTATATAATCTTAATTAACATTCTATGGAATCTAACAATTAGGAAACATAATCTAATAACTCGTTTATATTCTAAGGATATCCTCAACTAAATTAGAATTTATCATATATGGTTATGGTTTCTGTTTAATTTCCAGAACTTCTGGATAATCTAGAGCCAACTTTTCTAAAACAGGATATTTTATTTTTCCATTTTAACCTCTATAATGTGGATATTTCTTTAAGAAAATGGAGATTTAATCAATTGGCTTGAAGGATGTTATTTCCATTTCTTCGATTATAAAGACTTTCTATTTTTTTTAAATTCTTTCTATTAATGATAAATAAATCTTTTTTTATTCAGAACCTGGACACACCTACTATTTCAACTATTTATTGTTTATGTAATCCCATTGATTAGAGCTTTTTAATTCTTATATTCTGTCTTAACAATAATCACAAATCCAATCATTTATATTATCATGCACTTAGACACATTCAGCATGAAACTTAAATCTGCACCTTTTACAAATAATAATTCGATCGGAATAATCGAAAGCAATATATGGAACTTTAGATTCCGATTATTCTTCTTTTTTCTATGATTTTTGAACTATTTGCTATCTAATAGATTTCATAGTGACATGAGGATTTGTGTCCTAATTTTCTGTTTGTTACAGTAGATTTAATATCATAGGGATTGTAGATTGTTTACATTTCCTACATTTGTTTTTGTCAACTCTTTATTTTTTTGGATGATTGCTTTCTTCATAATCAAGTTGTTTAGATTCTTGTTTTATCAATAATTTTGATTTTTTTTTCTCGTCTAAAAGCAATGTAGGCAGGAAAACTGTCTTCAATTATTCTTCCAATTAATTCATCACATCTTTCAATTCTTTTTATCCATATGTTAAAGGATCCACATCTATATTTGAAACTGATCTTTGAATTTATGATAAAATTGATTTTTGAATTGCCTCTCTGCTTTTAATTAACTTGGGAAATTGTCTATGCAAATAAATGGATTAAATACTCTATTTCGCTTACTGTCTTGAATATTGGCTTTTTTGATTTAATTCTCTGAATAATTAATTCTTATTGATCTAATTTTAACATAAATTAATATTAAAATACAATAAAAAATCATATTCATAATTATTTTGTATTTTTTTTGATTTAAAAATCTAATAAGAATTTCTAAGCCTTATAAACTATTTACAACCTGTTTATTAAATTTATAATTGAAAATGGTTAATAAGATTAAATATCAGAAATTGATAAGATATATTATTTATATCTTAATGAGAAATGTCTCTTTTACTGCATTAATATTTAACATTCAATAAATATATATGAACAACTATGAAACAATCAATTTTATTTACAAAGTTCAGATATTTAGTTTATATTCAACTAAATCAAGTAATTTTAAGTTTTATTTATTAAAAAGTCTTACATCATCTTCCTTACTTAGTTTGATTAAATAATGTTGCAACAATTTCAATTCTTCATCTTTTTAATCGTCTAGATATTCTAAAATGGGAATCCCATTTTCTAATTATAATCCAAAAGAATGAGGCAGATTATCAACTATCACTATATCTTTAAGAGTTCTGTTTGTAATGATTCTTAAATCCTTAATAAAAAACCCATTTTTGGTTTCAAAGCAATTGTTTCTGCACAAAATTTCATTGATATACTATCTTTTAGGATCCAAATGATTGACAATAGCATTAGCATAAAGTTCTGAGGAAGCTGTAAATAAGTGAATGTTGTAATACTTAGACATTTCCTTTAAAAATTCATTGCAAAACGGCCTGACATTGAAACATAACTAAATTGTTATTATTGATATTATTACATCAAATCTCTCTTCATCGTCATCTTAGAGAGTAATTGTAACTTAAGGGGAGTCTCGAGACGTACAACTATGAATTAGAGTTTCATCTAAATCAAGAATTAAAAGTTTTGACTTTTTTTGATTTGGCTCCTTCAGTCTAATATATCTGCTTCTCAGAAATATATTTGATGGAGCTTTTAATGAATTGCGTGCATATAACAATCCACTCTATACTATTTATAAAAATCTTAAGAAGTCATTTTAATTAATGTTTTTGCCATATACTAAATGTCTAAAAGGATGTTCTTTAATGTTGAGATTCTTTGTTATAACTAACTTGGTGGAATTTGACTTATAGATAGGAGGATGCTAATATGCTTGTTTAGGAGTTTGATATTTTAATTCCATTTATCTTGACATCTCCTAAATGTCATAATTATCAGCTTGTTGATGATTCTAACGATTTTAAGGTTTTTCTTTATTTTCATTCTCGCTGGAGTCAAATTAAATATCAGAATCTTTTTCTATATGATTCTCCTTTTACTTAAATTTTGATAATTTATTTTATCCTTTAGGTGATTTCGGTGAAGATAACTTAAGAGGTGTGTTATCAGAGTCATCAGTTTAGTATTGTTACGCTTCTCCTTTTGAGAATTTAGAGGGTTTGGCAATCATTGGCCTTTTAGGAGTTATTTCAGCATCATCATCTGAGTAAAACTATTTCTTTTAGTCGTTTTGGATTTGTTTAGATATTTTTGGCTTTAAATTAACATGGCTGTCCATATTTAGAATCAAATAAATTTATCTTTATTATTGAAAGATAATAATACAAATACATCTTGTATATATTTGCTAAAATTAGGAAATTAAAAGATTTAATTAAAGTACATTATATTAGAAACTAAATTAATAATACGATATAATTACAGCGTATCATTTTTTGATTGATTTAATATTAGTTTAAAGAAGACTCGTAATTAATAAGAACATTATAAATATAAGGTTTTTTTGATTTATTTTATATAATTTCAATAATTTTTGTATCAACCAAATTTCTTAATAGCTAAGTTGTAGTGAAATATCTTAACTATATTAAGACGGATTTAGATTTTAGAAATAATGATTTATATGATAAATATATATTTTTATTATATAATTAATGTCATATAGATAAACTAAATAAGAATAAAGGTTAATTTGATATTAATTATTATGTATTGGTTAAAATATTCTGATTTTTAATAGGATTCTAATTATGCTGAAAAGGAATCTATTAATTTAATAGATATTAAATTATTCAACTTTATATTAATTTCTCCTTTTAGACCACTTTTATTTTTATATCTTGTTTAGTTTAATGATTATCTCATTTATATTCACATATAATCTGCTTAATACTTAACGTAATTTATGATTAAATTGGCCCAGAAAGGTATTTTTATAATTTATAATTTATATGCATATTGCAATATTTTTATTTTCTTTATTCAAATCTTAATCTTTAAAACAATTTTAATTTTATAAATACAGATAATTCAGATATTTTAAATTAAAAACAGAGAGATAATTGACATAATTTTCAAGATACAAGATATAATTAAATCTAAGTTATAAATATTAATATTTTATATTGACATTTTTAGATTATTTGCATAATCATTGCCACAAATTTTCATCCTTTGGACTTCCTATTTGATGTTTATATTGATTGAGGAATTCATCCAAAGTTCTTGATTGTGCAGTTGATGAATAGAGTGCATATAATTTGTAGTGGAAGAAATCAGTTAACAACAGGAATGGAATGACACCTCTATAGATACTGAAAGGTGTCTTTTAAGCGAAAAGATTGGCAGCTATTCTTCCCTTTTGATTTGTTTGTTAGAAACTCAAATCAGTGCTTGCTAATTGCAATCTTGTCTTGATAGTAAGGAATCCGTAGCCAATAGCCAATAAAGGTGTAGATACCAACTAAGAATGATAAGAAGTAGCAGTACTTATTAGATGTAATCCTATTCGTAGACATTCCTGAGATGATAGATTAAAGTTCCATTGAAGGCCAATTTAAAGACTATTCCTCTGTAAAAATGACTGAATCCATTTCTTGCGTAAACCTAGACTTTAGGGGATTGATTACTTATTCAATTACATCGAATGCACCCTTATATCTTCCCTGAACATCTGAGTATATAATGGTCTTTATGGTATCAATTGGGTAAGTAATCAATTCAAACAATGAAGAGTATAGATAATGAGAAGCATAGCCATTGCCTCTGCTGTATACTAATGGATGAGCCCATACTGTTAAAAATTAGAAGGCATTCAATAGTGCTCCTCTAAAATATCCCTTGAATAATCCTTGATTGAATATTTATTAAAGAGAGGCTCTACAAATTAGGCAATAGAGTACGTGTTGGAATCTCCAAAGGTGAATCTGGTCTTCAAGCCTCCATATGCTTAGCGAAGAGTGAGCAATCTTTCCACTCCAGCAAGGACAGTAAGACGATAGAAATTGTCAGAGAAAACTTCCCATGTTTTGGGGTCTTCCTTAAATTATCTCTCAAATTTAGCCCTTGGACCTAAAAATCTAAATAAATATAAATTTAGGTGGGCATTACTTTTATTGATCTACTCTGACGACTTTAGCAAGCCAGTCATGTCCTGGACCACCTCCGACAAAGTATTCGAGATCCACCAATTGAGGGTCTCTCAAGATTTTGTCGACGAATGTCCAATTAGGACTATACAATAAACCACTAATCATTTCAATATCTAAAATAAATAATATTTATTCATAAATTATTGCATATAAACAAGGTAAATATATTGAAGCACAAATGTAGAGGAGAGTGGAATCGGTAAGAATGTAGGAGGAGGGAGCATAAAATATATTTAATTGATGAGTATTTCTTATATTAATTTTATAATTAATTTTGATTATGTCCAACAGAAATAAAAAATCTAAGAGTCCCCAATTGCAACAACCCAAAAATATCGATAAGGATCTCATGAAATATCTAATATATCAGAAGATCGTTAAACCACAAGTTCCTTTAGAATTAATAACTAAAACTTAACCTGATGAGGATTCTGAGGTTGAAGATTTCAAACTTGAAATAGAAATGAAGTATTCTCGAATTCAATTTAATCTTAGATATAAGAGTTGTAAAATCAATCACACATTTAAATTTCCCAAAGAAAACTATGAATCTTCGTCCGATACATCATTACAATCTTTAAAGGATGTTACTATCTATAATCTAAATTGCGACAATTTGGATCGATTGACCGATGCAACGTAGCCACATTTTATGAAAGCTTTAAATGAGAGACTTATGAAATTAACTGATCTCATTGTTGATGAATCATAGGTCAAAAATAAGCAATACAATTATGCTCCAAACTTGAAATCCTCCAGGTTATTAATCGTAATAATCTAGAATGCAGAAACTCAGAGGAACAAACATATCCAACACTTCTATCACCAAACCTACAGAACTCTCCTTGAATGCTGCTAGTTAAAGTCAAGGAAGGGAAAGTGTCATTACGAAACCTCCCTCTAATCTCGGGTTCAGAGCCACTCCAACCATCTCCTCAGAAAAGAAAAACAGATCTAAGTAAATCCAATAAATCTTGAAAATCACACAACAAAAATGTATGAACAACCAAAAGTAATCACATTTTGATTTGATAGCATAGGTGGCACATTTTATAAGAAAACACCTTAAGTAAACAACAACTACATCAACATCAATTCCAACATCAATAACAGTATAGTAGTCGCAGGCAAGAGAAACATTTAAGATATTCGTATAAAGACTGAGCAGGAGGAGCCAGAACCCAGTTTGCATTAATATTAGGTTATTCCCAACTCAAGGTAACAAGTTTGGATTTATTTTAGACCCAAAATGAGGGAGTCGACAATGAAAGGCAAAAAGTTGGATATTTCAATCGGTTATAAAAATCTCACGTTGGATAGTTAATATTTAGAAACCTACAGTCGTAATACTAAGAGCTAAAACAAAAATTACAAGGTTTGATTTTAATATAATAATTATATAATTTATTCGTTTTTGTTGACGTGTCAATGATATTGAATGAGATCTCAAGAGATGATGAACAACAATCATTTGTCAGTCTCAACAACCGAGATTTAACTGCAGAAACATAAACAAATTTGAAATAACAAATTACATATTTGCCACCTATGTATGCATCAATATCATTCATTGTTCTTTTTGCTGCAATTTTAAGTTAACTTCAATATCCAAGGGCATAAACCTTCCCTTTGTTTTTGGAATTACCATTTTAAAAGAATTAATTATTTACTGTATAATATTTTATAATTCTAATCTTTAGATTGGAAATGCACTCATGAGTTTGATAGGCATCCTAATCTATTATTTAGTATTCTAGACGAACCAAAAAATCACACAAAAACTAAGATTAAGCCATAGATATCTCTCCTTCAAACCTTTTTCATTTTAGATCCTCTTGAGTGGAGTGTCAGCCCATTTATCATTTCTAGCATTTGCATTGCTCCCAATTGAATAAAAAAACAAAGCCAATTACATATGTATCACTATTTCTTATATATTATTTTACTATTACTCTAGACACTGAAGACAGGATTTTATTAACCTTCTCCTTTTTGATGAATTTCCTCTATACTAGTTATTATATGTGTTATAAGTAGAGTTCACAAAAATAGAAATTTCCTAATTAATTAAAAGAATACTCATTGAGTCAGTAAATCAAGGCTGCTTTATTTACTGTGATTTGTTTTTTATTTGTTGCTTGTAAGTCTATCATCCAAATATCTTTAGTTGTGTCTGTTAACTTCATCAGTTTGTTTATGGGCATGCCTATGGCTTAAGGAGAGCCAAATATAAATGATGGTCTAAGTGCCTCAGAAGACTTTATAGCAAATATGGTTAGTGAAATTTATTCAACCTTGTCATATAGCTTATATTTAATGAATTCATTATTTATTGGCATGTTTTATACTGATTTTAAAAAGGTAATGAGTACATTTATAAAATAATCTAGATCAATTTGATAATGATAATTGATTAAGAAATAGTATTGGGTAGAAACCAGAAATCCGTCTGATTAAATGAGTTATTGTTTTATCAGGTTTAATATTATTTCCCATAAAAACGGATTTATAATTAATAAATGAAAATTTTCATCGCATTGTCTCTCTTGTATTTGACATTGGCTAAGTATAAATGACTATCATATCTAGCTAAGGAATATTGTCAGCTTTTGGTGATCAAGTACATCCATTCTAATAAGTGATTGTTGCATTGTCAGAAGTGGCATCTAAAGACTTTAATTTCCAATAATTGTTTGTTGCTTTAGATGAATTGGCTGAATCATTTAAGGCTAGAAAGAATGAAGAAAATGCATTTTACGAACAAGAATATTAATAATATTAAGCAGATGTACAATACTACTAAAATTAAATTACAGACTTTAAGAACAAGGTATTGATATGAATTTTAATGTTCTTCAGATAGCTTAATTAGAAGTTGATGTCAAGGATTTGAGTGATGAAAGAGCAAGATTGTAATAATTGTTGACTGAAGCCAAATAAGATCTTTATGATGCTACTAAATTGTTTAACGCAAAAGAAGCATAAATCAACTCAGATAAGTCTATATTCACTAGATAGTTCAATGAATATGCAGATACAATTGCAGTTTTAGATTAGGCTATTGCATTATTAAAGGAAGTCAAAGATGAGACATCCTTATTACAAAAATCAGAGAACATCAAAGAGATTTCATCAAAGATGCACACTCAGTATTAATTCACATATAATAATAGTCTCAAATAGCTCTCCTCCAAGAGAGTCTTTTATTAACCATTGGTAAAGGCACTCACTTAAATTGCATAAAATAACTATGTAGATTAAGAGAACCTCAACAAAGTTATCAATTACATGAATTAATTAAGACAATCTTTAATTGATGGATAGACTTCTTTATAAAATCAATTTGATGCTCAATCCAAATTGTAATAGGATATTTTATCAGAAATCCAAGCAAAAATAACTGGAATCAGAGATGTCCTTATTCCCTTATTACAAACAGAAATCGAAACCAAAGATGGTGAAATTAAAGCACTTAATGCAATTCTTAATGACGCAAGAATTAATTTAACTGAAGCTGAAGACAACCTCACTTCAACCTAAAATAGATGGATTGAGAGGTATTTCATTAATTATTAACTTTAGAACTGCTTCACATAACTCTTTAATACAATAATACGATAATGAATTATTAGCCATTAAGGATGCTGAGAATGCCTTAAAAAAAGGAGGTATATTTAGATAATGAAAAACAGAATTATTGCCTACATACACACATATATTTATTAAAATAAATTTCGTTAAAATTTCAATGTTGTATTCTATTCGTGAAAGCGAAGCTGAAGGCAATATATCGACAGATTCGTATACGGCCAATAAATCTATTAATCAAGATACTAATTTAACAAAAAAGAGTTCCAGTAGATCATTACCCAAAAGGCAGAAAGATTTGGATGAAGAAATACAAAATTTGAATAATGTTATAAACAAATTGAGAAAGGTAGAACAGCTACTTCTCAATCAAATCAAAGATCTAAAACACCAATTGGAAGTTCAATACAAAAGTTCGAATAAAGATCAAGAATGCATAGATGAATTAAATAAAGAACTTAATTCAATATCGAATAAATTACATCATGAGATTATGCACAATAGTTAGTAATAAAAAACTAATATTGAGTTACAAAAATCGATTCTCAAATTAGAACAGGATCTCATTACAAGTAATTAAAAAAATTAAGATATTTCAGAAGAATTGCAAATCGTAAAGTACTATTATATTAAGGAAGATCTAAATATTCCAATGAACACAAATTTGTTGAATCATTATTGCACATGGTGATTAGTTGCCATCCTGAGCATTCCTTTCGAGAGTAGCCATCACTCAAACAGGCCTGGAAATGGTTGAAATCCATTCTATCTGATTATTTGGCACTCAAACAACAAACCAGAAACTAAAAAGAAGGCTCTAGCCAAAGTTCCAGTTCCACTAGTAAATGAACATAAACAATAATTTTTCCATTAGTTCATTATCATACTTCAAGATTATTATGTAATAGATTAATTATAAAAATTGCTTTATTTAAAGATAATTTAAGATATAATTTCTTTATTATTTTAATTAAAATATGAATCAATAAACTCAGGATCCATTTTAAAATTACATGAATTAGTTTAACCAATAGAACAACAATACTAAAATAGTTATTCAGGAACAGCCATAAAATATTTAGGTTCAATAAGGCAACGGAGGTTTGTCAAATCTGACAGCTTATTAAAAAGTATTCAAGACAACAGCAGATGGTAAAGTTGTCTGCAATTTCGAAGATGTACTTTATAATTATAAATTCAAGGTGAAAAAGTACATAGAAAGTGAAACTCGTACAGAGATTATCCCTAAAACTAATTCTGGAATTAAACGCATAGTAGAAATAGAACATAAAATGTGAAAATATATTATACAATTTAGAAAATTAATTCTATTCCATTTTCTTTGCATCTTTGCATTAACCAAAGTCATTTCGCTTGCGTATACAATAGAAAATCTCTTAAAATTATATAACAATCAATATTTTAGAAAACACCTTAAACAATCAAGTTATTTAGTTGGAAATATGAGAATTTTTTGCATTCTGTTTTTTAATCTTTATTGCGTTATTCAACGCTTTTGTATATTGAAATTAAATTTTTTTCTGCTTAATACTTTCTTAATCCTCTTTTTCTGATCGAATAAAGTTATTAATTTTAGAAACAGTGATTTTCGTTGATTAATTCTCCTTGAAAGAATCTTCAATTATGAATCTTAATTTATCATTAGGTGTATCTGTATGATTAAATTAAGAAGAAGCTACATCGTCATTAGATTTTATTTTTACAGCTGACCCTCGCCGACTAAAAATACTATATTCTTATGATTGTGGTCTATATCCTTGGCTGTGCTTTCGAGAACCCAATCGGCTATGCTTCGTTGAATAATCTAAAGTTTATTCATCAAGATGTGGCTTAAAATATGTTTATATATTTAAGGCTTGAGGTTTCTTGAATTAATTATCTCCTGAGGTTTAAATTTCCTTTTGAGTTTCCGATTAAAATGCTTTTGAAACAATTTGCTACATATCAGAAATACTTTCTTTTTTTAGTTTTGTTTTCTTTACAAAGTATTCTTAAAAGTTTTGTAATTGCTCATCATAACTCATTTTAATCTTATTCAATTCTAGCAACTCAGATAGTTCCTTTAATCTAGATTGTTCACTTATTTAATTTCTTAGTTTTTATGACCATAATTCATTAGTATAAATTACTCCATTATTCTGTTTATTTTAATGTTGATATGTATCATGTACTTTATTATTTGAAATTTAACTTAATATATCTTTATAGTCAGCTTTAGTCTAAATTGTATTTACAGAGTTAGAGGAAGTTCTCTTCAATTATAAATAATATTGTTCAAGTTAAGAATTTTTTGTAAAAATTTCATAAGTTTTCTTTCTACTCTAAAGCTTAGAATTATTCATTATTTAGGGAATTTAAAACAAATATTTGAACTTGTATTTACTGTTTCCCACAGTTTGTTTTAGTTTATCATTCAAATCCACCCCATGTTCTTCTGTTACAGTGTTTAACCATGGTTTCTCAAGTTATTTGTTGTTTCTTCTATGTAACCGATTTAAATAATGAGAATTCTTTTTTGGCTGACTTAAATTCTGTAGATCTTCATCTTCGTCATTAAAGATCAAGTTATCATAGCTATTCTTCTAGTTACACATATAAAAATAAATTAAATGCAATTAAGAATTTAAACATATATAAAACAATATTTCATTTCATATTTCTATTTGGTTTATTTACAAGTAACTTCTATTTCTTTAATCCAAGAATCTTCTTTTTTTATTTTAATTTTTAAATTTTCCTATTTTCAATATTTTTAAATTTAGGTTGCTAATCATCTTCATCATATTCTTGTTTAATTTCAATTGATTATTCTTCTTATTTCAATTTTTATTGTTCTTTTTTTTATTTATTGAGTTTATGATTTTCAAACATTTTATCTAAATATGGCAATTTAATTGTATGTCTTCTCATTCCAGCAAATCTAGCCTTAGCTTCTTTGCCATTCTAGATTGTCCAGATTTTTTCTTGCTTTTTTTCAATTTCTATATCTTTATACTCAGCACAATGAAAATTGATAGCTTGCAATCTCTATGATAAATTAATTGATAAGGGTATTCTTACATTTTCAATGTGATACACCCTAAAATAAATATTAAATTGAACCTTAGAAATCGATCAATGCTAACAGTGTATATATACTCCTTATTGAATGCTATATCTCTCACAGCTCCAAATGTACCTTTAATCATCCTTTCAAATTTGAAGTCTTTCTAGTAAATCAAGATTTCGCCTCTTTCATTAATCATATAATATTTTTCATTATAGACTCTGATCAATTTAATTTTTGTTTTTGATTGTTTTAATGAATGTTCAGAAAGAGGTTATGATTTCTATTCGAGAATATTGTATATTCTAAGTGTCTAGTGGGTAGTTATGACTCCAACAGAATAATCATCCAAGAACAGTCCATCATAATCATGCATTTTAACTTATAGATCCAATTCATCATTTTTAACATTTCTTGATTACCACTATAATTTTTTCTATTATAAATTAAAAATGGATGGTGGAGCTCCAAAATACGTGACCAATAATAATTGCTGGTCATTAGAAATAGCTGCAGAAGTCACATATTTATCTTTGCAATTAGTAAGTGGCAAGAAATCCTTCGAGTTTATTGTTTCTTATTCAAAAAATATGTTTTGATCTTCATCATATTTTATATGATTAATTTTTCTGTTGGCATAAATTACATAGATATCATGATTTGAATTACAAAATCCTTTTAATGGCGATGAATCGATGGCGATTTGAGTAATTTCATTTAATTCATTGTCCAATAATAATAGACTTTACTCTCTTAAAACCAAGAAAAAGCAAATGTCAGCAATTTTAATTGTCAGTATTTAGATTATTTTGAACTCCTTTCCTTGTTCTCCATATTTCTTAATCACTTCTTTTTTATCTAAATCAATTAATTTCAATAATCCTGTTTCATCACCAGTAATTATTTACATTAAATTTTATATAACAATTATATTTATTTATTCTTTTTAAGCTATAATCAATTAACAAAATGGTCTGATTTCTGATATTTTGATATGAATGAAAAGACATAAACTATCTCACCAATTATAAATAGTTTAGAACATCTTGTATTATTTTAAATAGTTCTTATATTCGATCTATCTATGAAAGATTATTGTGATGGAATCTTACTCTAACTTTTCGATATTGGATGTCTATCATTAATGAAAATTTAAATATCCCAATAAACCTACTGGAGAATTCTATAAATTCGATAAATAATAAAATTAATATCAGAACAGAATGATGATGAAATCAATCAAGAAGAACATAGAAAATCTATATCCATAATTTACTGTTGTCGAAGTGCTTCGCTATAATAAATTCAAAAAAACTATTATCCTTAGAAGAGTTAATTAGCCTTACATCTTAAGGTTGTACAGTTTAGAAGGAGTTAATAAGGATAAAGTAATTTCTTTAATCCAATTAATTAATAAACTATCTAAGACTTGTAGTCCTCATATAGCTAAATTTTATGAGGCCTCTCATGATGCAAATAACACTTATTTAGGGTATTTTGATATATAAATTATAAGAGTGATAAGCTAATACATTGACACTCAATATTAATGTCCCTTAAATGAATAAGAAATCCTTTATATTCTAATTCAGGTAATTTAGATCAAGACTATTAGGCTTGTTCTGCAATTGAATTATTTCATCCTAAGCATTCTCATGGAAAAATAAGTTTATCAAATCTATTCTGCTCTTAAAAAACTACAATATTGGGGGATATGAATATTTTGTATTATCTTCATTAAGATAACTATTAAGATATATATTTATTAGCTCCAGAATTTGTAAAATAAAAAATTTATGATTGTAAATCTGACATATGGATGCTTGGAGTATTGGTTTATTAACTAATGTTTAAAGAACAACCATTTAAAGCCAATAATATCAATGTATTACATAGACAAATACTAAAAGGGATTAAATTTATATATCATCCATAATATAGTCTAAATTTAAATAATTTGTTAAGAATACTGCTCTCCTATGATCCTGAACTGAGACCCACCATAAGTTCAATTAGAACTTTCGCAGAGTAAGCTTTGATAAGTTCAGAAAAGTGCGATATTTTCTAAATCTTACCAAAATATAAGGTGGATCAAGTCATATTACAAAAGAAGAAAAAAGATAGTAAACGTAATGTGAGGGATACCTAAATTTATCTGAATGATCAAACTTTGAAGTATCCTTCATTTAAACCTTCTAAAATCCTAAAATAGGAGAAGAAGATTTACCAAACAAATCCATCCCCTCAACGTCAAGGAGAGAACTCGAATAATAATGATAGTTCTGTGGAGATTTAACAATAATTTCCGACATTGCAGCTGGAATAATAGATAGAGAGTAAAAAGAATTTATCTTTTACTGAGAAATACTCTCAATCATCAAAAAAGAAACTGAATTACTCTTAGAGTTCTCAAAAACAATAACAAATAAGTTAGGAATCCCTTTATCCTGTTCAATTACCGAAAGTGCTGTAATATTCATTTAATAAGATTAAATTCCGACATGAATTGAGTCCCACAAAATTTCAGAATGAAACAGATTAGTAATATGCTGAATATTCTTTAGTTAGGAGAAAGGTCCAAGTAGTTTTCTTCAGTATCAAGACAAGCATGTGGAATAAAAAATTAGGAGATCTCCTCCTAAAATGCTATTCCATCCATATGTGGAATCGGCTTAGAGATCTTTCAGTTAAAGACAATGAATTTTCATTTTTATTTACTTCTAACATGTGATGATTAATTTGTAGTTTTTGCTGCGAATATATAAAATAATATATAAATTTTAAACTTTACTAATTTAAATTATAATCATTATTTTTATAGAATTTGATATAATTAATTTAGTAAAGGATTAATTGAAATTATGTGATATTTATATTATAAATTAAATAATTAACACATGATTTAAGCCGATTCCGATTCAAGTAGAAGAGTAGCATACTTTTATAATAGATTGATAGGGAAATTTCATTATGGTAAGGAACATCCTATGAAACCGAAACGTATCGCGATGGCCCATAGCCTAATAGTAAATTTTGGGTAGTTGAAACCTTATATAAAGATAGACTATACAGATCATTGGATGTCTATTTGATTAGAGAAGCACAATTAGAAGAATTACAAAAATTCCATGATCCTGAATATGTCACTTATTTAAGTTAGTATATGAGTGAAAATAAGGTAAACTTTGTAAAGGAATATTGTTCAACAAATAACGATGGGGTAATACCTGAGAATTTGTTGGAAGAGTACAGATTAATAACTAAATGGAGTCAAAATAAGAATACTAAAAATCTGAATTCTGAGTACAAAGTAGGAGACTCAGCCGATAATCCTACATTTTCAGGACTTTTCTCTTATTGTTAATTTAGTGCAGGGGCAAGTATTGATTGTGCCCATACAATACTAACCGGGTAAGCAGATATAGCAATCAATTGGTCAGGCGGATTGCATCATGCTAAGAAGAAGGAGGCAGCTGGATTTTGTTACATAAATGACATAGTATTGTGCATTTTAGAGTTATTAAGAATATATGTTCGAGTATTGTATGTAGATATTGATTGTCATCATGGCGATGGAGTTGAAGAAGCCTTTTATTTGACCAATAGAGTTATGACTTTGTCATTTCATTAATATGGAGATGATTTCTTTCCAGGAACAGGATAATTGAATTCAGTAGGATTAGGAGTAGGCAGATATTATGCAGTCAATGTGCCATTAAAGCCAGGAATATCTGACGAACCTTACTTAGATTTATTTAAGAAAGTGACCAGCAGAGTGATGGAAACATTTCGTCCTGATTGTGTTGTTATGTAATGTGGTGCAGATTCATTATCACTGGATCGATTAGGGGCTTTGAATTTATCCATCAAGTAAATTGAATATTACAATTAAAAAGAGGACATGGATAATGCATTTCCTATATGAAATAATTTGGAATTCCATTGATTCTTTTGGGAGGAGGAGGTTATACAATTTAGAATGTGTCTAGATGTTGGGCTTACGAGACTGGCATATGTTTAGGACAAACTATTGATTAGGTATGTAAATATATCACTACTGAATGTAGTCTATCCCATCTAATGATGTATATTACAAAAATTATGGCGGAGATTATCATCTACACTTTCCAATTCAAAAGAATGTTGAAAACAAAAATAAAGCTGAAGATTTAAACAAAATAGTATCTTAGGTGTATGATCATTTGCATAACTTAGAAAATGCACCAGGTATTCATTTTCATGATGTCCCATATTCATTCTATCCAAATATGGAATTGGAGAAAGATGAAGATAATAAAATGAGTATTTAAAATATCTATTTATTGTAGAAATGGATGTGAAATAGGAGATATCTTTATTTGAATTGGAAAAGAATCTAGGAATATCAGATGAAGCCCATGAAATATCAGTAAATTCTGGTTCCAGAAAACTACATTCAAAAGAATCCTGAAATTGCTCATATTTATATATATATATATATAGATATGTATCTATAATAGAGACATTTATCATTTTTTACTAAACTTAGTCATCTTTGTTGTCTAAAAAACTGATCATGATTGCTTTTATATTGAAGCTGATTGTTGTGGAATATTTTTCTGAACCTATATCAATTATCTCAAACTTTAAAGATTTTGTTTGGTAAATTGAAGATTTTATTTGTTATTCGAAGTTGATTATTCTTAATTAACAATAGGATATTCATCATTTTCAATCTGTTATAATTAGGTTTAAATTTTACTCCTTAAGATTTATATTAAATTAATTTACTTATAAGTACTATTCGTATTAGTGTTAAGAGTGTTTTCATTTGTCAAAAACGGATGATTTTATAGTTCAATTGAGGTTATTCTCTTTTTTGGATCAGGTTCTAGAGTGCGTTATAGACAGTCTTAGCAATTTCGAGATAATTTAGTATTAAAATCTGTTGGGATCATTAATCGAGCTTCTGAGATTTGAGTGATAATTTCCCTTTTGGTGTTACCATTAAATGGTAGAGTTCCAAATAGCATTTTATATAGTATTACACCCATGGACCATACATCCACTTATGGAGAGACACCTTTATCCATTCCTAAGCGAATACATCATATGTATACCTTTAAATAATTCCGGAGCCATATATCGAAGACTACCTGCATCTGCATTTTCAGGGTTGCCATTTGAAGATAAACCAGAAATACCAAAGCAAATACATTTAATTACTCCTGAATCTTTACTTGTTAACAATAATTTTTCTAATTTTAGATCGCCATGAATTATTTTCTTTTAGTGGCAATATGAAATAGCACTAGCAAGCTATTTAAGATAATGTCTAGCTTCACTTTCCTCAAATTTACCTTTTGTTTATAAGTATTATTGCAAATCACCTCCTTCCAAGTACTCCATAATATACACCATTTAAAAATTTTGCAAATAGAATGCATCATAAATCTTTACTATGCTATCATGCTTTAAAGCATCTCCAAAAATCACGTCATCATCCTACATTTAATTAGTTATTACTTAAGCATTAGTCGATGATTATTTCATAATTTTGATTGCTACTTTTTCTCCTGTTTTTTTGTGTCTACCTAGAAGAACCTTACTAAATCCTCTATCTCCAATATCTTAAAGTAGTTCATATTCTGCCTATTAAAATATTTCATCAAATTCTTCACCTAATATTGATATTGACTTTAAATCATACCCTCAGAGGCAAACAAGACAGTTCCATTTTTAACATAATCGAGATCATCTTCTGTTATCTCCACTCCTTCTTGATTAAATAAACGTAGACGATTAAAATATGCGTCCCATTTTTATTGCAACGATTAACTAATTTCACTAAATTTTGTATTTTTTCTTATGGTAATAGTGCAACATAAATTTGAATCACCATTTCGTTATATTTTTATCTAATTCCATACTGTATATCTATTACATCTTTGTTGTTTGATGCAGACACATAATCCTCAAAAATTGGATCCATATTTATATTTTAATTACATATATATTGATTGATATTTCATAATCATAATAGAGAGCTGAAATTAAAAAAGATTATCCTTTTCATCATCAACAAAATAGTTGTAAAAATTCATTTATTTATTGCAATAAAATATATATATTAATTCAATGAAAATGAAAATGGATTTCTTAACGTATTTTAAAGGTAGAACCTCCAAATTAACTAAGAGAGAAGGACTCAATGGAGTCTTAAGATCTAATTGCATTCCTATTGAAAAAGCTCCAGGGTCGAATTCATTTGATTAAAATAGTTCTATTATAAACTACTCTGATGTAGAGAGATAATCCAACAATTCTAGTGATATAAATGTTATTCACAACAATCCTTAGATAATTACAAACATTGCAGTATTAAAAAAAACTAGAAAGTTATCACAAGTATCCCCCTTAAAACAAAACAATAAATTATATAACTTCCTGCAATCTCGCAACGAATAATTCTAATTTCCACTCTCTGAAACTGGAGCAGTCAATCTTAACGATTACTAAATAATAGCTATCCCAAAAAGTGTAGTATGTAATAAAATTATACTAAAATCTAGAATATGGATTCAAAATAAGACGTGATGATTAAGTTTAGCCAGAATAAAGAGCTCCTAGTATGATTAGGAGGAGAGAAATCAATTCAAGGTCTTCTTCATTAGATTGCAAATTCCAAAAGCCTCTGAATAAATCGGAAATAATTAGTTCGAGATGGGATGGTTCCAGTAGATAGAAGCGAAGGTTTGTTGCTGCGGGGTTGAATTCTATTTAATGAGCAATCCCATCTTATGGCTGATAATAATTAGTAGATTTCCAATTCCATATGTTTCTATAAAAATATTAATTATTTTTGTGTAATTATTAATTAGGTTTAGAGGGACAAAGAGTCAGTGTTCTGAGTTGGATTGGGAAGATGGAAGATCACACAGTTAAATATAAACAAATTAATATATGTATACGTTTTGCCATCATTTAATCACTCAAGCTTATAATTCTTGATCGATTCTTGCTTTTCCATCTTAGGTCAGTTGTACAGTGATCACCAATTTGACTCTTTTTCTTCCATCAATATCGGCTGTGAAAGAATTAATTTTAGTTATTGTAATTAAACCTAGAGAATAGGATTCAAAATACCTTATCTCTACAGATTTTCAGCTACTCTAACACTGATCTTTGTGGCTTCACCTAATGCATGTAATTCAACACTATTGAATTTCTTCAAAAATATTTTTGTGATGAAAATGAATTCCTTAGCACTTTTCTTTGATGACACGTGCAATTCGTTATTGGTTGGATCAAGTCTTTATTTTTGAGGTCTTTATGTCTATTAGGTGCTCATTATATATTTAAAAAAATAAATATCTAATTTTTAATATAATAGCAATATAATTTATTAAAACCCTCTATATTTTCATTATGGATTCTCCTTCTCAACCTGAAGGTCCTCTTGGCACCTAATATTGATAGATCACAATTCTCAAACGCATAAAAATCTCGAAAGTTGAAATGTTAATTAATTGCGCTATTTGTCTTTGTTGAATCCTTCACAGGAGATTCTGAACTCTGCAACAGTCATCAAGTTAATATGATTTTCTAAGTTCTATGCAATATGATTATTATATTAAAATACGTGTGAGTTATAATAAAAATAAAAAATATGGAGCAACCGAGCTTCGATCTCAGCGCCTCATGCATGCTAAGCATACGCTCTACCAAATGAGCTATTACCCCACGTTCGAATATTTGGCTATGATTATCTAGATGAAATGTTTGATTAGTTAATGTGAATTGGTGTTATGGAATTTGAATATTTATAAATAGCATTTGTCGTTAAAAACACTAACCGAATTGTGAAATATTCTTTTTTAAATTGCGTGATTTAAACAAGAATATATATAATTCAAATTTAAATTTGACGGAAAAATGATTGATCTTAAATAATATTTGTTTTATTTTATTTTCCCTCACTTTCAAAAAAGATGGCCAGAACCAAAGAAGGCAAAGAGATGTCAAAGAAAAGCATCGCTAAAACCTCAGGGAAAAAAATGAAATCCAAAAGAAAGGAAAGAAAACCACATAGGTTCCGACCTGGAACAGTTGCTTTGAAGGAAATCAGGAAATTCCAAGAGAGCTCTCGTTTATTAATAAGGAAGATTCCTTTTTAGAGATTAATAAGAGAGATAGCAGGAGTGAATGAAAAAGAAATGAGATTCCAAAGTAGCGCCATATTTGCCTTATAAGAGGCAACGGAAGCATTTATAGTTAACCTCTTAGAAGACAGCGTTCTTTGTGCACATCACGCCAAAAGAATGACTGTAACTGCAAAGAGATATCAATTTAGCAAGAAGAATTAGAGGAGATGAATTTTGATTTTATTTCATAATATATTATGATACCTTCAAACTCATGATTGCGATAAGATCAAGGATACAATTAAACCATATAATGCCAAAGCCTCTGCGAAAATGAGAATCAAAATCAATCCAACAAACAATCTCTCCTACTGTGCATTCCCTCGAACACCCACATCTCCCACAATGCCAATTGCAAAACCAGCTGCTATGCAACTGCAACCACAACATAATCCCGATGCCATATGTGCAAATCCAGACTTATATGAGTATTCCAAAGGGTTTTTCACTATTTTGGGTTACAAATCTCACACATACCTTTTTATGACAGCAAAACTGCGACGATCATACCATAAATACCCAAAATACCTGCCATAACTACTGGGATCAATGATTTCATAATTATCTCAGGTTTCCAAATACCAATGGCTGCTATACCAGCACCTGCCTTGAATGTTCCATAACCTGCACCCAAATCTAAAAGAAGTAATTCCTTAAATTCATACTTGCCAACACTAAAGCCATTGTGACTCCCATAAAACCAAAAAATGAAGAAGCACTAATTGGAGTAGTGTCTGCTGCTGCACTAACCATGGTGTCAAGAACGAAAAGCATTTTATTTTATTTATTATTCAATATTTGTTTATTCAATAAATCATTTTACCATTAATAAGTAACTCTAAACAGAATTACAATACTTCTTATTCGCTTTTTCTTAACTTTTCCCTTTTATTAAATACAATTCCAATCAATTAAACAAATACCAATAGGAAAAGAATAACTGTAAGCTTCATCTATTTGGTAATTCAATTTGCCCCATTTCACATCTTTCTTAATATTGCCTCATCTTTGTAAATGAGGCAATTAATTGTAATTCAATATAACATCTACAAATGTATAAATCATCATGTTTGCGTCCTTAGTACTTTCAAAGTGCTTTAAAAAATGATTGAGATGAAATATAAGCATTTTACTAAAAGACAATAATATTCGAATAATGATTATAAATTTTAATTCAATAAAAGATGCCTTGAACATAATATTGGTATTTATCGTACCATTTTGCTCTCCAATTATCTATGGACGAGTTAATGATGCTAAAATATAATTGAGTGATTCTACTTTTAACAAATAACATTTAATTTTTGATTATCGTCCTCATACAAAAAGAATCTCTCCTCCAATTGAGTAATGGATTTATCTCCTCTTTTAAAACATGGCATTGAGTTCTTATGTCCACAATACCTATTGATAGTTAATGTGTTACATCATTTTTACAAGTAACAAAATTCTATCACTGTGTTTCCTAAGGGCCATGAAACCTTTATAAAATAGTTCCCTGAACTTCTTAAATAGATCACTTTAAACACCACCAAGGATTTCAATTTATTCGCTCAACAATTTAAAAGGAACTTTATTCTCAATTTCAATTCCCTTCCCTGGAGCATTTCCTAAAAAGAATCCAAAATCTATATGAGCTAGATGGCCATCTCTTTTTAATAATATGTTCCCGTTATGTCTATCTTTAAGTTGAAGTATGTAACAGGCGAGAGAATATCCAACTAAGCTTTGCATAAAATTGGTTCGATGACGATCACTAAAATTATGACTAATAATTGAACAGATATACTGATTACTCGAAGAATTAGCTTAATGTTTATTGTCTGTTCCATAATTATCGTTTTAATGAATCAATCGTAATAGCATCCTTCACCATTTCAATTAATCCATAATTGGGTCCCAACGAAATTACTTCGTAAATTGATAATCTCATAGGTAGATCCTCAATGATAAAGATTTAATCTATAGTAGATAAGAGTTGCATAGCAAACTGCTCCTATTTCAAATTGTCCCCTGATTTCACGATAAGATGAACCAATCTCCAGGATTTAAGATTACCAAACAGAGATTAATCCTTGATCCTTTGTTCTTGGTCCTTAGCTGACTCCCCAAATAAGCTCTGGCCATCTTGTCCAAGTGGCATGCTTTTGCGTTGTCCATCCTATACAAATGAACTCCCAACACTTACAAAATCTTCATTATTCTCTTTAGAAAATGATTGATAAACACTCTTCTCTTCAGCTTGTTCATCATTTCCAGGAGAATAAAATTACACCGTTGGTGTTTCATCAATAATATCCTCGTCAATAATCTATAGTGGTTATTGTACCGAGATCTTATGAACATTTGGATCTATGAGATTATCTAAGAATACTACATTTGTTTTAATCTAGGAAGATGGATCCATTGATTGACATCTTCTATTGCAGCATAGATTTATGCAGAGTGATCGCTTCAGATTGCTTATAGTCATTCCTCTGATCCTTCTCCACATCGGGCCTGTAGATCTCCAGACATATATAGAAGGGTGATCTTTCCTTGGTGGAGAATACTTTGGTTTCTGGTGCCACTATATTCAAGACTGCATAGTTTCTGATTTGCTCCTTAACAAAAGGAATGTATACAGAAGATGGTAGATTCTGATTAATTCTCTGGAGATCTGCCTTCAAAGATATTATTTAGGGGTAAGCTAGATGGAGTCTAATTATTAATATCGTTTACCTCTCAGATATTCTGATTATGTCATTCCAGAAATTGATAGTAGAAGAGAATCCACAGACTTTTTCCCTTGTTTAATTATCTACATTCACTGATAAGTACTATCCTAAATTAATTTCAGAGGCATTGACCTTGGGTGTTGTTTAATCATAGCCAGCAGTCCCATAAATTTAAATTCCCTCTTTGTTAGGATTATGGGAAATAAACTCTTTTCCATTGATCAGATATTCATCCCCATATTGTTCTTTCATTATTTTTGTGTATTCAATCAGAAAATCTTAAACTCCTTTCAGATTTATGACCTTTTTATTCACTATCTGCGATAAGGATTTTAATTGAAAGTAAGTCAAATGCGCAAAGTAAAAGTTATTTTAGCATGCGTCGAATAAAAACTATATTAACTCTTCGTGATTTCTTCTGAATACTAAGTAATTGATAAATTATGGTATATAATATTCTAAGTCCTCTCTTTTCTAACTCAACCAATTTGGATTCAATCTGACCTTTTCCAAATTCTTTTTGATAACTTCAATATCCTGGCCACCTTTATATAATTACAAAAGCACTGCCTTAGTACTTAATATATCACCCTAACTAAAATAACATTTTACTTCATCATCTATAATATGATTAGTAAAAAATGAATCCGAATTTCTCCTTCTATTCGCAAAACAACAATAACTTGCATCTTCATGTATTTTAGAATTATTCATCTTGATTTTCTTAATTTATTTATTATTATTTACATAAAACTCGTTATTATATAACTTAAACAATTATAGTTCCATATTTATTCAACCTTAAAACTAAATTTAATAGATTTATAATATGAAGAACAAATCATTCATAAATCCGAGTAATCATATTTGATTTGTCAATAGTTATAGAATATTGCCAGTTTCACGTCGTTTATTTGTTTTTGATTGAGACTTCTGTTATCTGCAACTATACGCTTTACCATCCAACTCCACAATCCTTCTTTACACTAATGATATAATTCAATTAAGATTACAATTTATGGTAGCATACACTTTTGATGTGAATTTTTCAACTTCAAATATTTGTTAACATACGATATCCATTCCGAATGACAAGTAGATGTGCAAATGTTCAACTTCTAAATTCGGAGTAGATTTCTTATTTTAATTTAAACCCCTCTCTGTCTTTAAATCTGAATTTTAATTAATTATTCTAGTTTTCATTTAATTAATTGGTGACGCATTAACATGTTATGATTTCTTATTTAAGTTTTAACTGCTTTATCTGCATCTTGGCAAGACCTCCTTGGAATCCTTGATGAATAACTAATAGATATTCTTCTGTTTATCAAACGCATCAAAATTACCAATATGTATTCCATAATTTACGATGGAGCCATTGCTGTATGGAACTATCTTCTGTTGGATGTTGCTTTTATTTTACTCATCTAAGTCAACCAATTAAAGAGATAGTTTCTTTGCACTCTTGGGTTTAACTATCAAAATGTGGAATTGATTCATTAAACTAAAATAATCTGGAAACATCTCAATTAATAGATTTTAACCAATATTATTTGCAGATATGTCAAATTGCAAAGGCATTGTCAGAAATCCCTTCTTTGCTGCCTTAATTACAATACTCCTCAACTCAAGATTTTAAATTACTATTGTGCCATTTTTATTAGTCTGTCCAACAACCTTGCCATCAATACTGATATCAACATTATCAAGGATGGACTAATCTATGATGTTCTTGCTAGTAATTTTCAATATCGTTTTCTAGATTTTAATCATCTCGACTTCCTATTTATATTCTCCAAATCCTTTTGTGATTAAGATATGCTACTTAGGATAGAAATCTAATTTCTCAATACTTACAATATATTCCATTTATGGTTTAGTCCAAAATCTATATTCTCCATTAAAATTAATGGGCATCCCATTTACTAAGAATTTATCTGCCTCGATCAATTTCCCTTGATGAATCAGTTTATATTTGGCCTATATGATATCATTTCTTTCCAATTCTATGACATTTTCATTGAAATTTACATCTTAATGTACATATTTAAAATGCTTTCCTTAGACATCAACAATGAAATCGTTATTCAAAGGCAGATCTTTAAAATTAATAAAGTTAGATGTAAGCTTCTTGTTAATGGTGATCAATTTAGCTGGAATATGCGATTTGTCATTCATTTACAGCTTATCTTTCTAAGATATTGTAATAAAAGCATCTTCGAACAAATTATTCAATTGACCTCCCAAAGCAATCACATCCTAATTTTGACATACAAATTTAATGTTGATTGTTCCTCTCTCAATGTAGAGTTTCAGCAATTCTAAAATATGTTAAGTATTTGTGAAGGGCTTGTTGAACAACACTACCTTATGTTTCTGATTGTAAAGTTGAATCTAGCACAACAATTCCGCAGATTGAGATATTCGTTTCTCCAATATAGTTATCCAAGGATATTTTCGTCTTATATTGTAAATCAATTCCTGAACATAATGCTCTACTTTTATTTCCTATTGTTAAAAAGGGTCATAAAATTAATCAACAGTATATTTAATTGAGATGATGGTTTCATCCTGATTTAATAACTTAAATTCAGCAAAGTCCTTAAAAATTCATAGATATCATTACTTCAAATTCTGTTTCATCATTAATTTTAACGATCTCCTCTTGCAATTACTCTTTTCGCTATTTAACAAAGGTGTAGGTTTTATCTTATGAAAATGAGTTTAAAGTATAAAATTTGGTAAGGGAATTTTTCATTGTTTTTTATTCCGTTAATCGAACAATTAAAATTTTATTAATTAATAAATATACTCAAACACAAAAGTATATTCTCACTCCTCAAAATTACATAATTTTTAAGACTCAATAGGTCTATAAATCATTGATTACTCTATTAACCTATTTTGAGGAATAAACAAGAAATATTTATGATTTTAATAAGGAAATTATTAAAAGATGAGTAGAACAATCATTATCATGCTTTTAAATATTTCCAGCATCTTAAAGATATGCATAAGAAAACCTCCTAATAATTTGAAATTAAGTTAATCTTGCGATTGAAATGAGAATTAGTATTAGATGGATTTAATTAATAAATTAAAATATTTTTAATCACAGATTAAATATACATCTTGGCATACATTTTCTTGTGTCGCGTTTTGCACACTTGATCATACCTAATGTGAAGATTGTTGATACGATTTGTGGTAAATCCATTCTCTCCCAAAACCTTAAGGCTGTATTCACAAACTTTGATTAACTTCATGGTTGAGGGCGCTTCGACACCTTAAATTGAATATATTTGAGTCTACGGGAGAGTATACACTCTAGTATAACTATTATAAGCACCCTGTATCTCCACACTGTTTAATTTCAAAGAAATTATTATAAAGAGTGTCGGTTTGTCTATGGTGCAAAAAAGATAGAAGATCATAACAGGGATTGCTAATATTAAATATATTATCGATCAGTAAGGTCTTCGACATATTTGTTATATAAAATATCAAACATCAACCCATGGAATTCTCTTGAGATCCTTTGGCCCGTAAACCTTATTGCAAAATCTAAATTCTGTATCATCCATATATCCTGGACACTTAAAGTTTTTCTAAACTGGATTTAATTTGGGTCTTCCTCCTGAGCAGTTTGGACATTTCTCTAAGCACCCCTTAATCATACAATCAGCTATTCTTTCGATGAGTTCTCCTTTGTTCCCTGTTTATTTTTGATCATTCGCTTTTAACATCTATTTCAATTAACCTGCTGATTTTTTATCCAATTCCTATTAGATCTTTCTAAACTCTTCTTTCTATACTTTATCATAAAGAACAAAGACATCAGGTTCCTCATCATCACTTTCACTCTCAGAGGATTCTGATTTCTTGGAAGCTTCTACTTTTTTTGACTTAAGGGCTTTGCTCTGTTTATTATCCTTTTAATTTTTGTCTTTTTTGTAGTCATAATCACTATCACTATCATCTTCCACATCACTTTTTTTGGGTTTAGTTGATTTTGACTTGGCATTTACTTTTTTTTATTAGGGTTTCTTTTTGATTTCTTTTTTTTATAGTTTCTCAAGAATTGCTTTTACTTTTTCTTAATCCTCCTTTGTTAAATTTTCAACATGGAAAATGTCTTTGTATGTTGCATTCTTGAAGGCTGATTTTAATGAAAAACAATCTGCATGATAATGGTGTTCTTGATGATAATGATCTTCATCTATAACGTTGCTTAATCTCAGTTCATCTTTGCCTATTTTTGCTTAGCATCCTTTGCAAGTCGCTCGTCCAGATGGTGCATATGCTGCTGTCATAAACATATCTCCTAAAGGGCATGCTATTTTCATTATCAGTTAGATTAAATAAATATATTTATTATAAAGAAACCAATTATTTTGATCAATTACTCTGTTTGAACACAAAAACTGATTATGTTTTTTTAATTTTCAAGTAGAATAGGTGTATATATAATGATTGCAACATAAATATGTAACAAAGTTTGATACAATATTTTTTCAATTAAAAAGACAATCGGAACAGATTCGAAGTGGGAACTTACAGCTTGTTAGAGTGGTGTGATAACCACTAGACTAATATACGCTTTCTATTATTTAAATGAATATAAAAGCGTTCATAAAATTTATAATTAATTTATGGAAATTGAAAATAATAGGCAAAAACCTAACATTTTGATTACTGGTACACCAGGAGTTGGAAAAAGTACATTAGGAAAATTGTTAAGTGAACATGTTGAGGGTCTCCAGTATGTTGATGTTGGATTGTTAATAAATTAAAGGAAATTGTATAAGGAATGGAATTAAGAATTTAATGTACCTGAATTTGATTAGGATATGGTATGTGATGAATTAGAAAATGCTATGCAAACTGGAGGAATGATCATAGATTTTCATACATCTTCATTCTTTCCTGAAAGAGTATTTCAGAGTTATAAATATAGTGGTTCGACTTAGTTGTATTGCTAAGGACCAACAACACTGTCTTATATGACAGACTCAAAGCCAGAGGATACGAAGATAAGAAGATAACAGAGAACATCGAGTGTGAAATTCTAGATGTCAGCAAAGATGAGGTCGAAAGGTTGTTATATATTGTAACTATGTTTAGTTCTTATAAACAAAATATTATTATGGAATTGAATAATGAGGAAGTGGGTTAATTAGAGCAAAACATTTTATAAATAATCGAGTATTTAAAACAATGGAAACAAGCATAATTGTAAAAGTAATAACAGCAATAATAAATCTAATGAAAATATGTATATTAATTATAAACATACCTTTAAGTGTCTTTGCCATTTCCATTAGGACTTACAAGTCTTCGTCTACCTAAAATTATAATATCTATTTTCATTTATAATATCTGTATATATAATAATATATTTCAATAAAGCTATTACTACTACTATTATGAAGATTGAATATCTTTCAATTTTTAATCATAATGCCTTTAAGCATTATTATAAATTTATTGATATTATTATTTCTCTTCTTTTGATCTCTCCTAATCGTGTATAATCAGTTTAATAATTTCACTTGCTCCTTATGTATCTCCTGATTTTGCTTTCTCTTAGCCTTGCTTCAACAATGCAAGAATTTACTACTATTAACAGTATTCAATACTTGCTAGCCTGGAAAAATATGTTCCATATTTGTTAAGATCATCACTAATATTTGCTATGTTAATTCTGCCTACATTTATTATTGATTGATCTATTTCATCTGCTATTGCATCATTCTAATCAGAAATAATCAAATAAAAGCATTACAAATATTAATTTTGCAAATAGGGCATCGTATTTAACTCGTTTTCACCGTGTGCAAATGTGCAAGTAGGACCATTTTTACATTGCCCAGTTTAAGGATTAAAGTGCTTACACAATTATGCTACATTTATTAATCCCTGATCTTACTTTTGTAATTTACAATCATAGGATTGATTCCCTACACTTTATTATAAGCATTTGGTTAGATAGTCTACTCTGGGAAACTTTGGGGTTGCTAAGCATTTTATCGAAGTTCTTATGGTCCATGAGCAAATTAACATCTTATTGCTAAAGCGCAAACTCCATTCTGTGCTATTCAGATAAATATCAAATCAATACTAAAATGTCTACAAAGTTAGGTTTTGTACTTAGAGTTTGGATATTAAGTGCCTTAAGAGTACATATTTAAATAATATCTCAATTTAAAGAAATTAATTTGTTTATTCTCACAATCAGAATTTCCTTGATAATAGCAGCTTCACTCCTTTTAAAGGTATTCTATTATACGAATATAAACTGAACTCAATAATGAAGTTGAATTATTAAGCCCAAACACCTTGAGTAATCCATTAAAATTCACATTAAATTGCTTTAAATTGTCAAAAGATAATAAATAATTTTCAATTTAAATCTAAAACCTTTGGGAGATCCCTCAATTTAGGGTAATACTAAAGATTTGTAAGTAAAAGATTAATATAAACTAAAGTCTAACTTCTAATTATCTATTTAACAACTGAAATAATAAAATAAACTATCAATAGTGTCATCAAACTAATTAACATGGACAAGAATCGTCATCTTTATCAACATGATCAAGATTGTACAATTTCCAATTCTCAACCACGTAAATTGTTTTAATATGTTCTTTGAATGCAATTTTATGATTTTTTTATCCTCTCAAGATTTGCTAACCGTAAGTATCTATGCGTATTTATCTTAAGGGATTCTATGATTTTAGTTCTACTTGAGGAGTAGCATGCACCTTCTTGGACTTTTGGTTCATATATATAATATATTTTATTTTTTAATATCAGTCAAATATTGCATTTACTTCCTCCCCCTATTTAAGTAAATATTCTTCACTATTATCTAAATACCAATACTAATGTTCACTATTTGAATCAACTTCTACTTAAACTTTGTTTAAAATCGAAAATAAAACCAAAAACCTAGGAATCCAATTAACAAATATCATTTTAACGTAATGTACTGTTTTACATTTTAGTGTTTTTAATCTATTTTAATTTGAAATAGGGATGTTTATAGATTAATTTAAATCAAGAAATCTCAAATAGTGAATGACAATATTTATGATTGTTCATGTACATGCACTAAGTACTTAGAACAAAGGATGATATATGAATGAGATCAAGAATTACAATAATAAATATATTTTATATTATACTTTATTATATCAGAATCTCAATTTTGAGAAAAGGAATCTTGATTAAGCCTTCTTATCAGCCAAACTACCTGCTGGTAATGTTCTGTATTTCTCAGCTAAGTATTTTCTAAGATTCTTTCTCAATTCTTTTCTTTTTTCAACATTCTTTAATTCAGCTTCCTTAACTCTCTCAATTCTGTCTCTGACTTCCTTCAATGTTGATTCCTCTAATCTATATCTAAAATAAAATTGTATATAATCATTACCTTGTTGGCATAATGTGATTAAGATTTAATTATTTAATGAACACCTTCAATGTAGTTCGCTTTCTGATTTGCTTTTAACCCATTCTCTTGGTTACCTTTCTGGGATATCTCTAGATACCAACCACTAAACCATTAGGGAATTTTGCATCCTAAAATAACTCCATATTTGATTTACTTTAGTTGATTCTTCATTTGCTTTAATCAAAATAGCCTTCTTTCCAGCTTATCTACCGGCAAGCAAAACTACTAAACGTCCTGGTTTCAAGCTAGCCATATTACAATTGCTTACAATTTGCCCATTTCAAAATACTAAATAAATCTTTTAATAATTTATTCCAAATTATTGGACTCATATAATTAACTAATTCATTAATATATTAAAGGAATGAGGGAAATTATGTTTCTCAATCTAGGATGGAATGCAGGCATCATTGGCGATCAACTCTAGGAGTAGTTAGCTATCGAAAATCAAATACAAGATTTGAATCTTGTAAATAAAGAATCAGATTTCTTAGTCAAATCGTTTTATTATGAAACTTAAAATGGACAATTTGTTCCTAAAACTATATTTGTTGATTCTGATCCATAATTTCAAAAGAAGAAAATATATGCAAAACAAAATGTATATAAACTTATCGATTCACTAGTTTTCTTCATTTAGATAAATGGTTGAGAAATGTGAAAATTTATATGGAGTTGTAGTTATCAATACAACAAACTAAAATTACGATAATTATATCAAAGAATAATAATAATTAATACCCACAGTCCCATTTTACTTTGTGAATTTGATTGAAGACTAAATATCATATTCTTAGTAAATAAGTACGTTAAAATGTTATGAAATGCTTAAAGAATATGCAGAGGTATGTTTGTAGATCAATGGAAGTGTAATTTTAGAAAATAAACAATATACTACTTATCCTCCAAGAAATATTTCTTAATTCTTAAGTTATTGTTTGGCTTCAATAAATTAAGCTTATAAAAAAGTATTCGATATCACTACGTTTTCTTAAAGCCTATTTCTAGATTACGATTAAAAGTTTTTGTCATGTGGTTTTGATAATACCTACGTAAATTCATTTACTAATAACTTTGGAGGCATTAATTATCAAGAAGGGAAATTCAATAAAACAGGATTGATTATCAGAGGAGAACCAAATTTAGAGTAAGTTAAATTGGTGCAAGACATAACACAAATTCCTGTTTAAATGGGTATTCTGGAGAAAGGCTATCCAGGAATTGCTCAGATCAGTAATCATAGTAATAATGTGAATGTATTGGCCAATGCAATCAAAAAATTTGAATAGATTCCAAAATAATTTTTTAATATTGATTATGAGGTTAGTGAAAGTCTCAAATAGATTGTTGCAGCATATTAATGATTTATAGAATTGATATTTTATTTTATTAACTAATATTTATTTGTTAAATTTTGATATAAATAATATTCGTTAAATTAATGCAAAAGTATATTTTGTGCGATAAAAGTAACCAATCCTAATTATCACTCAATTTATCAAAGAGCCAATAAAAATTAGTCTGCAAATCAATTCACGATTAAATTAAAGAAAGAACTTAATCTAAAGAAACAACTCACAGAAGTACACAAAACAACTAATTATCTTAAAGAGTAAAATAATCAGGATCTTTGAGTTCAGTTATTGCTAATTTCTTTGGTCCATCTGAACAGAAGAAGAGATGCAATGAAGTAAGTGAAAATATCGAAAAGTCTAAAATTTTGGTTATCAAAGAACTCAAAAACTAATTAGATCAAAAAGATGAATAAATCAAGATATTAACATAACAATTGCAATCTAGTAAATTCGGATAGACTTACTGTGGAAAGTGCAATAATTTAAAAGAAAAATTTCACAAACTATAATCATCCATTATTTAACAATAAAATTTGTTTTTGTAAGAGTTTAAAACAAATATGGAAAATGATGAGAACTTTGAAAATGAAGATGTTATATAAAAGGAGAATTTAAATAATCTAGAATCTAATACCTTTTAATTTAAGTAATCTATGAATACTTTGAAATCCTTCATGGAGAAACTTAGCCATCAATATATTGAGGTTGATGACCGTTCTAATACGTTGATAAATGCTATGAAGATAGAGAAATAGGAATTGCAATAGAGAGTAGTTTAATTGGAATAAAAGGTTAGAGAATTGCAAAGTAATGAGTAAACAATGCAAAAGAAATTGGAGCAGTTGTAAAACCCTTATTAAAAATACAAGAATCAATTGTAATAGAGTGCGTCATTAACAAAACTCAAGTATTTAATTAATGCTATTTTGAAGTCCAGAGATTGAGTGTCAAGTGAATGTTGATAAGATCCTGCATGTGGGATAACCGTACTTGAGAACAAGATACATTAGTTAAAAGGAGAATAAAAATAGTTAGATGAGTTTGTTTTGAGAGGAGATGGGAATTTAATATATTGATTTATAATATTTATTATTGTACGATAATATCTTGGTAATGATCAAAAGACTAACTCATGAGGTCTTGTGGTTTTTCCAATGGTGAAACGAGCACCAAGATATTATTTCAATAATTATGTTTTCTTAATTGCAGTGATCAATGCAGCATCAACTGATTTTTGTGTATTTCTCTTTCCATCCAATCTTGTTTTTTCTGCTGTTTATTATTCAGTTGTTAACTAATTAATATATGGATATTTGATTACTTCTCCTCTCTTAGCCCAGAATCCTTATTCATTCTTGCGTCTTTAGGCTTGAGTTCTCTTGAAATAATCATCATCAATTTAGTTGGCATTAACTCCAGTCACATCGACTTTAGTGGATGTTGGGATAACATAAGCAGAATTGACTCTCTTGAGAGGGACACCATTAACTTTGAAAGGACCTGTAACAAGCAACAATCCAGATTTGAGCTACTTCAAGAAGACAACTCTTTTTCCTTAGAATCTTCCAGACAACAAGATTAACACTTATCCAGGAACAATCTTTCTCAATTGAGCTGGTCTTGGAGCCTTTTTTGATTTTATTTCACAATACTTTTCTCTTTCTGACGAAATGGACTTTCTCATCATCACTCTTGTACCAATTACCAATTCTCACAGTTCTCTTTTTGGCAGGCATTGATTGTATTTTAATTAATTTTAAATCTAATTTTAAATTTAATTATCCTAAATCACTCATCTCACGCTCTATATCTTTTCCCATTTTTGGTCATGTAACTCAGGGTTCCTTCATCCTCCAAGCAGTACTACTCTTTCCACACAATTTCCGATATTGGATCCTTCTCCTACACCAAGAGTAAATAGTTCCTATGATATTCAATTTTGTCAGCATACACCTTATTATACACCCCCGTAATATGTTAAAATGGTAGACAATTCTAAGTTTTATCAATCTTGAATATGCTGTGTTCATAATCCCCTAGAAATGCAAAAGTGGGATAGGTTTAGTACAATTTATTCAAATCACACAAATACAATTCCTTCTCTTGTTTGTTATACAAAAATAATTTATGTTAAGGAAGCATGCAGATTGAATCTATTGTTAAGTAATTCTGGCTTAATTGTTTGAAAATAGTTTTAGTTTGATAAAAAATTGAATTGTAATCTAATGCCAATCTCAGGAAATTTGGAGTCATGCAATTTACATTCGCTTGCTTTGAAAACAGTTTGCTGACTACAAACAAGCTGAAGTTATCGGCCATGGTTCTTCCCTATATAATAAAATAATGCTCGTATTTGTCATAATAGAAATTATCATACCTGTACAAGGGTTCATTAATTTTTTACTTAAAAACCAGTCTGTTTTTTTAAAATACAACTATTCTATCAGTGCAAACAAAAAGTAGTAAATGAACATTGTGCAATTTGATGAATCTGAAATGATATACAATTATTTTTGAGTATCTGGTGAACAATTTTTGTCTTAACACATAATTTAAATGTCCATTTTCTGTATTATATACATAAATTTGCTCCTTGTTCATTAAAGCTAATTAATTGTCCATATTGCAAAATTAGGTTATTTGTTTATTTTCAACCTCCTTCTCTATACGTTTCTCTGCTCTTTTCTTACTAAATTGGCATTTTCGTTTAATCCTTTCAAATATCTAACTCATAATTTTAGTTATTATTTCCTAAATTAATCACTTATATTAATTAAACATAGTTAAACCCAAACTAAGTTAAAATTGAAGTCAAATTGTAAGTATATTTATTCTCATCTATTTCTTAATAAATATATTTTATTAATTTTTTATCAAAATACTCCTAATCCTTAATTGTAAATCAATATAAATTTATTGGTTATCGTTAATATATTCAGAATGCAAAAGAACATCATTTAGAATTGTTTCTTTAAAGTGCAATGGTAAACTTATTTTAAGGTAATTGATAATAAACATTTATAATAATAAGTGAAAAATTAATATTTACGGTTATTTTATTTACAAATTAATGCTTAAAAATTATAATTGTTATAGATTATCATCAAAGTGGAGTTTCTGGCTTTGATTTAGAGTCTAAATTCGCTTTTATTTTCTTGTTAAGATCCTGACCCTGAATCGCCATGTTAAACAGCATCTAATTCTTGATGTTCTTCTTTTTCATGAAGCTATTTGGCTCCATGATGTTGTCCCTTATTAATTGAGTGTTTAATAATTATAAGATCAAGAATGAGGGTAATAGTAAATATAACTAAGTTAGCGAGATTGTAAGACCAAGCAGATTTAGTTAAATCACTTTCCAAATTCGTAAATAAGTAGTCACTAACAGGATCAGATACACACCCATCATCATTAATTTATTTAATGATCTTTCTTTTGCCATCTATGATAGCAAAGGAGACTATTATTACAATTATTTCAGCTACTTATAATAGTATTTTGAATCCTATTTCTGTTAAGAAAATATAATTATATTAAGATTAAGGACGAGCTAAAGATGATAGCAAATAATTTATTACTTGCCATACAAGACCATGCGAAATTACAAGCAGTCATTGTACCAATAACATTAAACAAGAGACCAATGACTAAGAAATAGGTGATAGTAACACCCAATTGGACTCTTAAGGCTGTGTAAACATAGTGCAAAGTGTCCCCTTCTTATATAACTTGGTCAAAGAAATCGCCTCGACATTGAGGGGACCAAGGAATATAAGTTTTAGCGTTTAGAGTCCAATTAAATTTTGGATCTATGTTGAAATAAGGCAATTTTTCAGACAGATAAATTACATTGTTGGAGAGATAGAATTATTCTTCATCAATCGAATGAATAATTTAGAAGTTTGGATCATTATTCTCACATAACTATCTTCTTGATAACATTAAAGGATAATCAAACCTATTAGGTGAAATATTCTAGTCTAAATTTCTTCTACATATTTTATCACCTTCAGTCACTCTGAATTGTACTAGTGGTAAACCTGACGTATTTTTAATAAAATAAAAGTAGAATCCCGCTCCCAATGAAACAATATCTCCAACTTTTGTATTGTTTATTTATGTTAAATTTTGATGATCTGCATTAGTAGTAAATCCTATTTCTGTTATGGGACAACTCATGTTTTCAGGAACACAAAAGATGTTGTCTCCATTCCCACAAGTGATCTAATTTTATGATTAACAATTAGTTTTGTTTGATTATAAATTAATTCCTACTTATCTTCTTGCACACAATACAAAAGCTATTAATAATCTTATAAGTTCTTACGTCTTCCAAAAGAACCATCGTTCCAAGAATTGAACACTTTCGATTGTTGTACATTCACTGTATTGCAATTCTTTGATAGCAAATCTTGACTGCAAATACGGCCAAGCATAAAAGATTCCCTGAAAAACCCATCAATATTTAAAGCTGTTAAAGTAGAGAAATTGTATCCCTTACTACAATCGCATCCTATTCTAGTACCCGGCCAATTATATTCAAAAAGCGAAGAATACTAAGGTAATCAAAAGATTATTACTTGGCTCCCAAATTAAGTCTTACAATTTTTATTTGTATAAGTAAACCGTATATCATCTATGGTATCCGACTTCACATTATCTATGAACTGTTAGTAATCTTCTTAAGAAACTGTTTGATCTCTATAGGACACAATGCTTAGAGCTAAAACAGTAATACTAACAATAAAGAAATAAGCCTAATATGCTAATTTGATTTTATCAATTGGCTTTTTTCTCAGTAATCTTTTTAATCTTCTTGCTGAAATCAATTTATCCTCCTTTTCCTTCCTTTTCTTTTTTCTGATTGTATCTCTCCTCATCATCTTTGAATCCTCTTCATCTTACTTATTATTCGCCGTTTTTCTCATCTAATGAACAATCACATCTTTTGGAGTTTAATGTTAACCATCAATATCAAAAACCTGCCCATTTTCTTTTACATCTTACAAAAGAGATTATTCTTGATCTGGCTACTCTAAACGATGGTCTATGTTCTTTTCTTGATCTGCCATTAATTTTAATAATATAATAGGAATTATAAGTGAAAAATGCCTTTCTTAAAATACATGGTAAGAATCTTTATTACTTTATTTATTTAATATACTTCTTAATCATTCACTCATTTTTTTATTAATATATAAATTGTATGACTTATTAAAGCAAAAAATTACCATTAAGTACTCTGTTAATACTTCTTTGATCTTTCTACTTTAATTTCAAGACGAAAGAAATTTATTTTATGTTATAAACTCACAATATTGTTAAAAATTAGATTGTTTGTTGAATAACTCGAATCCTATTTTTGTATCTTTGCCTAGCAATGCGTGATGTTTTATCATATTTATTATACGTTCTCCATTTCTTCATTCTTAGAAGCATAACTAAATCAGTTAATCAGTTAATTTTTCATAAATTTTCAAATGAATTTCTATTATTTAAACATACTTTATTTGTAATTCCATCTTTCAGTTAATCCCTAAGTGCTTTCTCCTCCTATCATTTTTCTAATCTGCTAATTTTCAATTGAAAATATTATTATTCTTTGTTTTTCCATACCATTATATTTCAAAACTACTTATATTTTTATTTCGAATTACCCTTCCATCTATGATATTGTTCACTTATACCTAATAATGCTATCAATGATTCAATTATAGAGAGAATAACAAGTACAATAGGATACTTTTATTATTGGGATCAACCTAAAATTTTATGAATTTTTATATCTACAAAGTTAACTATAATGGGAGTTCTTCAAAATTAATTTAATAGCTGGCTATTTTAGTTCATTCTCCTTTGTTTGCTCAAGTTAAACACGGTTTAATTCATTTTTATTCTATTCTTGATATAATAACATTTAAAAACCTCGAATAAACTATTTTTATGATTAATTCTATGAATTCATAAACTTGGAGATGACTAGTTTAAAACTTAAGGATAAAACCATCTACTAATGCTTGTTTTTATTCATTTAATTATGATAGACTTATCAAATTTCATGATTTAGTGAAAAATCTTAAAATTTAACTAAATTACTAATAAATTAACCTTACTTTAGTTATATATTAATAAATTGAAGTAACTTTATAGATTAAGCTATAACCTAATAACTCTCTTAGTTAAACAGAGTGAAAATAATTTCATTCACTAGATCAGTGTTAAAACCTATTATAATAATTATAATTATTTAAGTGAGAAATTGATGAATTGAAATGAAGGAGATTTTTATAGTATTAAAATAATGATTATCATCTTCCACCTTTCCACCATGAGGGCATCAAATGTTTTAATGGTTGTTTTCCGAATATGTTCTCTTCTTCTGGAGTGAATTGCCATAGTTTGTTTGGGACTTCTTCGTTTTTCAATTCTCTCAAATCATTGAAGAAGGGATGCATTAAGGCCATAAAGGGTTTGATTCTCTGTTGAGGTTAATAACTGGAAATACAGAAAAGAATTACGTAACCATCTTCTTAATCAAATCAATGAATTACGGATCTGGTTTATATTTTAGAAAGACTTTAGACCAAGGATGCCCTTTGACTTAAGGAAATTTAAAATCTGTATTAGAAACATTGAATTCTACAATATCAGCAGCAGTGGGAGTTCCAAGGACCTTCATAATTTCAACTAATTGATCTACTGAACTTTCTCCTGGAAAGAGAGGTTCTAATAGGATGAGTTCTGCAAAGACACATCCTAACGACCAGATGTCAATGCTTGTAGAGTAATCAGTGGCTCCGAATATCAACTCAGGGGCCCTGTAATGTCTGGAACATAAATAGGAAGTATTAATTTATCCTCCTGAAATGATTTTGGCAGATCCAAAGTCACAATATTTGACAGTTGTTCCATCGATTAAGATGTTTTGAGGCTTGATGTCTCGATGTGCCATTCCTTTTCCATGAATGAAGGCGAGACCTCGTAGTAATTGATAGGTGATAATTTGTAACTAAATTTGAGTCAATTGTTGCTTCTGTTTCTTGAGATTCCTCAAATAGTCGGATAAATTATCAGGCATGTATTCCATTACATAATTAATATAGACCTCTTCACTAAGTGGATTATTTTGTATAATTTATACTTCTAACCAACAACGTAGAATGCATCTTTCAAAGCAACGATGTTTGGGTGTTCTCCCAGCAATTTTAAGTTTGCAAGTTCTCTGTTTTTATATTTCTTATCAATGGGAGCTTTCTTTATTGCAACTCTCTCTCCGCTCTCTTAGACGGAGGCCAAATAACTTTCATAGGATAGAATATTGGTTTACACTATAGCAAATGCACCTTCGCCCACTCTTTTTTCTACTGCATAACTCTAGAGATTCTCACTATTTTTCATAATATTTTTATTAATGGAATAGGAAAATAGAATAGAAATCAAATCTTGGCAAGCTGTTGGAGTTTGGAGATGGAATATAAAGGATGACAGATGTGCAATTGACAAACAGAGTCTGTTTGGACAATGTTTGGAATGTGAAGCCAACCAAGTTCAAGACGAAGTATGAGCATTTAAATAAATACATTAGTGTAAGATTGTGCAAGGACTCTGCAATCATGGATTTCATAAGCATTGCATTGACAGATGGCTAAAATAAAGCAATACTTGTCCACTTTGTAATAAAGAATGGAGTGATTCTAAAATATTATGAATTTATTTAGTTTTCAGACATAATATTAAAAAAATACGTTTTTATATATATGATCACTTTTTTCCTCTTCTTGCCTATTCAAATCTTGGCTTTTACATATGAATAATAACAGCAACTCCTTTCCGACGACGTAGATTTTTATTTGGATTACAATTCAGGAAACATTTTTGATTATGCATTCACAGAAATGATAGGCTAGGGTGCCTTCTCTGAAGTGTACTTGGGATATAGAGTCGAAGACTAGGAACCAGTAGTTTTAAAACATATCAAGGGCAGCCGAGAAAAGGTTGTTAATAGGGAAATCCAAATACTCAAAGCACTATAAGGATTACCTAATATCGTTTAGATTATAGATGCAATCAAGGGAGATGAGGAAGACTCAGATGAATTTTTTGAATTAGGATTAGATAATCCGAATCAAGAAACACCTTAAATGGAAACCAAGAAATCTCCTCATAAGGAAGATCATATTGAAGCCACTATCATATTTGCTTATTAAAATACTACTCGCTGTTTAGATGATATTCGTAAAAGCGGAAATTATACTCTACAATAAGTAAAACATTACTTTAAACAAATATTTACTGCTTTGAATAAGGCTCACGAATTGCATATCATGCATAGGGATATCAAAGGATCAAATATTCTGGTCGATGACAACAATAACATTATATTAATTGATTGGGGTTTGAGTCAGTTTTATGATGAAGGAAGAAGATAATCTACCAAAATGGGTACTAGATATTATAAGGCACCGGAATTATTATTGAAATACAGAGAGTATGATTACTCAATTGATGTTTGGGCTGTTGGATGCATGCTAGCAGATTTCATTTTTAAAACTCACCCATTGCTACCTGGAAAGGATAATGATGATTAATTAAAGAAAATCATCTCTATGTTGGGAACTAATGATCTGTTTGAATACATTAAAAAATATCATATTGAGTTGGAATTGGATGAAATTCCTTAGGTTTAGGAGAGACTAGATTTCATGAAATTGGTCAATAAGAAGAACTTCAACTTAGTTAGCAAGGAGGGAATCGACCTGTTGGAAAAGATCTTTATTTATGATCATGTATATAATTAATCTAATTTGTATAGAAATTAAGAATAAATGCAAGTTAAGCCCTAGAACATGCATTCTTCTTATGATTTAATTAAATATATTATTTTTAAAGTATATATATAATTTAATTAATAAAACGTGTTGAATAATTAAATTAATACATGAGTTAAGTGTCTCAAAGATAGAGAAGTCCATCTCCCTAATCTCCAGAAAAGGTAGCCTAAAGAGAGAAAGCAGCTTAAGCTATGAAAAGACGTAACCAAACATAGCCAAGCTTTTTCGAAAAATACGCCTATCATTTGGTCATAGGAGCATTCGGATTTGTTTGTGTCTATGCTTTGTTTTCCATTTTGACACGATCGAGCAAGAAATTAACGACAGCTCCTGTTATAGATGAAGAGGAAATAGCTGCACACAATTCTTTAGGATCCTATCTCTAAGGGCCAAATGATTTCTTCAAAGATTGGAAATTCAGTGATGCTAAATTTATCTTCAACAATCATTTAACATTCAAAGGAAAAATCTAACAATGCCCTGAAAGCGGTGTCATAATCCCAGAGAGCTACAATTTCAGAGAAGCCTAACCAGAATGTGCATAACCAATCTACTTCTAGGGTATTAATTATTGTAAATATGTATAGGAAATTGCTCATCCAGTTATTCAATTGCTGCAGTATCAGCCACAAGTGATAGATTATGCAAATCAAAGAATGGAGAATTCTAAGACCAATTGTCACCATAATCCCCAATCTCATGTGATGACAAGAACTACAAATGTGGAGGAGGTAGTGTAACAAGAGTCTTGGAAGTTGGTAAGAAACAAGGATTTGTTTCAACCTCATGTTTACCATACAGTGGAACAGAAGATGCCAAAAACAATTGTGATGCTCTTTTCTCAAATTGTGAAAAATATAAGATCCATGATTACTGTGTTGTCTCAGGTGAGGAAAACATCAAAAGAGAAATATTGAACAATGGTCCAATTGTTGCTGTCATCTAAGTCTTCAAAGATTTCCTTGTTTACAAAGGAGGAGTCTATGAAGTTGTCGAAGGAAGTTCAAAGTATACTTATCTATTAAATAATTAGATTCCAATATGGACATGCAGTCAAAGTTATTGGTTGGGGTAAATAAGATGGAGTCAACTATTGGGTCATTGAAAATTCTTGGGGAGACACTTGGGGATTGAAAGGATTAGCCTATGTTGCTGTTGGTATTCAAATTAACCATATTTTTAGGTCAAAACTAATTACAATTAGAAGCATATTCAGTTGCTCCAATCGTAGCAGCTTCTACCGAAAAAAGTGCAGAGTGAGTTTAACATATTGTCTACATTAGTATTAATTATATTAATCAATTTTATAATATTGTTTGATGAATTAAAATTTCTTTTAAGAATGTCAATGTTATTATCATTATAATTCTTTTTGTAGAATCTAATATGCAAAATTACAGATTTCAGTAAACATCAATGCCATGCTCTGTAAAGTTTCTCCTGGTTGTAACAATTTGCGAACTTCAATTGATTTATCTAATTAGAATAAATTTATGCATTACTATTTTATTATAATTGTGCACTCTGGTTCAATACAATTTATAAGACTCCAAAGGCCAAAGGCAATGTAAAAATTGGCAACCCACTAGTCATGTCTACTGATTGATGAAATGAATGGTGTTGTTTGATATTACCAATTAGTAATGCCTCTTGTGTTTTTGCTACGTAACCAATTACTCCTATGTCTGAACTATATTCTGTAGTATGCATATCATCTTTATAAGTATAAATGATCCCTTAACTAAAGAAGAAAAATTTGCTGTTGGCCACTCCAAAGAGAGTTTCAGCATGACTTTCAATTGATTTTTATAACTTATATTTTGACTTCTGCTTTGACAATTCAGTAAATGCTTCAAATAAGAGATTTTTGTATCTCAATTGATAATTGATAAGTTTAAACTACAATACTTTATCTATAATTGATAGTAATAATTGTGAAATCAGCAATCCAAGATATTTTGCATCTTATTTTTTATTATTTAGATTTTCCAATGTTACAATTCCAATCAATCTACTATCAGTTAACAATGGGATCAGATAACAATCCTTTGCGAATTTAGCAGTATTAATATTTCTATAAACAAATGCTTATTATTTATAAATAGGCTATGATGATTTAACGACATTCAAAAATTCATCCGCATCAATATATGCATTGACCAATTCATTTTTTTAATTATAAGTGTAAAATGTAGCAGTCTATTGATCTATCAGCCACAATTAAATCAATTCACAATTAAATAACTATGAATCAGAACTCAGTCTCTGCATTATTACTTCAATCTAATCAATTTTCAATAATTGTTTGATCAAATTAATTAGACTATTAACACTTTCTCCTAGATTCTTATACTACACAAACAAATCCATAAAGATGCTAATTTAATCCACTTGATGTTGTTGATCCATTTAAAATAATTAGTCAATGGCTTATTTGATACCACAATCTAATAAATCTTGCACTAAATTCCTTTGTCTCAATTTCAAATTATTTAATTTAAAATCTAATTTATTAGGCAAATTCACTTGCTAAAAGATATCTAAAGCCTCATCGTCTGGATCATTTGATTCCACTATAGTCTTTTGACCCACAGTGTTTCCATTCAAATCATAAGCTGAATACCCTAATAATTTTAATTGTTTCTCCAACAACATATTCCTCTTCTGTAGTTTTTGATTCTTTTCCTTTAAATCTTAGACTGCTTGTTCCAACTTTGAAACCTCCTGAGACTTTTAGAATGCCTTTCGTTTATTAGCTTCATTCTCCTTTAACATGTCTTCTATAATATTTCTTAATGAGTCTTTGTCCTAAAAAAATAAAAAGAACAATACTTTTTTATAATCACTGCCACTTAAGACCTCCAATCTTTATTCCAAAGTAAACACTCTTCTTTGGTTGAATTAATTTTAACTAGCCTCTTTTCTCAATGTTTTCTTAAAAACTTGAGTTTCCTCATTTGTATGTTATAAATGTTGCTTTATGGATTGCATATTTTTTTCAGTATACTCATTCTACTTTTGTACTATCTCAAATTAGTTTTGCAATTTAGCATACTTTAATTTCATGTTCTATAGATCTCTATATAACTTATTAGAATCTAATTCTGTAACTTAAGCTTATTACAATGATTCTTATAAAGATTAGACTATTTTTTTGAGATTGAAGAGATCTGCTTCTTTAAGGATTTTAAGTTAATCAACCAATGAATCTGCTTGTTGTAATCGTTACTAACAAAGATGCAAATGGGTCTATTGCATCCTATAGATATCATTCATTGAATTTGAATAGTTTATAAACTCACTGATTATATTGTTGTCAACCTTGTCTTTGAATGAATTGATCAAGTCATCTAAATAGCCATGCATAAAATGCTATCCCTAAGGTTTCCTTGACTTTACCTATCTAATTTACAGGTATTTCCTCTATAACTAATCCAATTAAGCCTCTTTCTATTGTAATAGACTATGCAAAGATTATGTGCTTGACCCTAATCATCATACTTACTTATCAATATTAGAATCTGATTCAAAATACATTTTACTAGTTTAGATCGGCCTTTAATCTACTCTTGCACTTTGTTTTCTCATCGATGGTGGAACACTAATCAAATCAAAGTAATGGTTTGTCTATAATTCTAAAACTTGAGGTTGCATGAAATTTTGGATTATAAAATTATTATATATTTATGTGAAAACAACCAGATTAATCAGAACCAATCTATATTAATAAATAATTCGATTTGCTAAAATTACTATCCAATAAACATTTAATTTTTCTCAAACCAATCAACTCTTAAATTGCCTCCTGTTCTTATTTGAATACCATAGCAAAATAGCACTAATGTAGGCTTGATAATCTTTACTATAAATTAAAGTAAAAGGACATACATAAAGATTAATTTATAGTGATAATCCTTTAATATATTAATTAGAAAAAGTAATTGAGATAAATATATATTAAAGAATAATTTGATAAATTGATCAATTAAGATTTATGGCACTCCTAATATAAGAGAGTCTATAAATCCCTCTTCAAAATTAAATATTATATTTATAGCTTATTTGGCCAAAAACCTGAATTTATATCTTATCCTTGGAAGTATGAAGTATCGCTTGATTTTATTTTAAAGAATTATTTGATAAACATATTAATTTAATTTTACAATGATTAGAATATAAAGATGTACCGGGGATGAAGAGATTTAGTAAGAAAAGGATATTAACTAATGGTTTGAAAGAATGTATACAGAAATAAGTGCTAAACAATAAGAAACTAAATTAAGAACTGATAAATATAATGTTGAAATAAAACCAAATCTAAAAAAACATAAAATCTGCTTTCGCGATGAGATCAATCCTGAAACTGGATTAGTGGATGTTAATATTGTTGAAAATTGGAAAGAATATAATATTAACGAAAGAAATCCAGTAGATGATTGTTTTTGTTAAACCTCATGAATCTTATAAATATTTTATTATAAAAAAAACTAGTTTTTTAATTTAGAATATATCTTTGAAAACAAAGGACTTCAATATTTTAAGTTTTTATATAATCATTAATATCATTGTACTTAATTTATCAGTATTTTGTAAATATAAATTTTAATGAATAAATCCGTGAAAAGTTAATTCTCTTTTTCGATTAAATAGTATAATCTTTCAGAGCAAATTGTCTTTATCCATCACTCCCTTAAATTGTTTTGAGATTTTTAAGGTATTCAGAAAGATAAAGTGTATTATTTGAATAAATGAAACGATTTGCAAATTCAATTTGTGAATATGATTTTTTATGATTATTCTTAGGAAGCAAATATTCACTTCTGATACTTTATATGTCGAATTTTGTCTTGTTTATTAACTTATAAATGCTATAGTATTCAAAAATCTAATATATCATGATTAAGAATATTTCTAATTTAGAGAATTACAAATCTTACCTCCTCAAATTTTAATTCTGAAGAAAATTATTAGAATAACTAATTACAATAGCTTTTTGGCTATTTCTTTTTATTTTATTGATTATTTAATCTATTCTTAAAATATATGGTAATTGTGATTAAACCAGCATTTATTAATTATTTAATTCATTATGATAATAAAAAATATATCATCAAATATAAAATCAAAAAAATCGTCAGCTGCAGGATTCGAACCTGCGCGGGTAAACCCAGTGGATTTCAAGTCCACCGCCTTAACCACTCGGCCAAACTGACTCAGATTATACTTTTTATTTCATAACTTATATATTCTTGCTCAAATCGTCATAATGTTTCATTAGTGATTAAATATTTTTTAATAAAATCTAAATACCAACCAATTTCTTAGTTTAAAAATCACCCTTATCATCTATATTTAAATTTTCAATCACTATAAATTAGTACAATTTGTAATATTTTGTTCTATATTCAAATGTACAGTTTTAAGTATAATTCAAAATTAAATTTGGATTTTAAATACTGAGACTGATAATAATATGGTTAATTGAGTTTGTCATAATATTAGGATTTCTATTTGAATATAAAAAGACAAAAGAGAAATCTTAATTTTTTTGATTCATTTTGATTGATGAGAATAATTAAAATTTCAGTAATTTTTATTAATCAAAATATAATCCCTTCTTATAGTTGGATAAATAATCCATAAATGAAATGGGAGCTGAAAATCCAAAAAATAAGTGATTTTGATCATAAATAAATTTATGGTGTGTATTTTAGATCAGTCATAATTTGGATAGCTTCATAAATATTAGAATTTATTTAAGAAATTAATTATAGTTATAGAAATACACAGATAAGTAAAAATATTTTGATATTCATAATTTCAATAATAAATTTAATTTAAATGTGTTTAAATGGAATGTTACGATGATTGATAAATTGATATATTTTTTAATTGTTCAACTTATGAGAAAGATTTTGAAATTTAATAATTAAATTGCCAGATGATTCCCAAAGAATGAAAAAATATTTTCAATAAGATTTAGTTTATTTTATTATCTTTAAAATACTATTTAATAAATATTTATGGGAGAGTAATGCAACTGTTTTCACTTTATACTGCTTTTTAATGTTTCCGTTATTACAGGGAAATAATGTAAATCAGCAGATTTCTCATTTTCATATAATATTTCCAGTAGTTCCAAAAATTTAACAATAAATGAAAAAGTAATAATTTCTGAAGAGAGTCTACAAGTCTAATCAATTGAATTAGATTTAACATTTTTTGAATTTGTTAGAAGGATTTTAATTGTCATTTGTTATTTCCATTATTTAATTGATTTGTTTTAAATAAGACGAAGTATACTGATTATATTATGATTCTTTTTCTATTCAAAATAAAAAACAATATAAATGTTGCTGAAATAGTGATAGTTGTGAATTTAGGAGGGATCTTGAGAATTATATGAGTTCTGCTTCTGAAATTTGGATTGAATTATAATCTATAATTAAAATGGGATAATAGCAATCTTAATAATACAATTTCTTTTGGCCATAAAAGGGAGAAGTGTAATTATGGACCCACTCTTAAATTAAAGTGAATTTCTTGTTTTATCTAAGACTATATCTGAAGGAGATTCGAAGTTCTCTGAACAAAATAATGAATCTGTAATTATTTGCCCTGTGGAATACTCTTTAAGTTGGATTACTAAATCAAATCAAATTCAATTTACATCAATAAAAATGTCGAATGGAGCTAAGGTGAAATTTGTTGTCGATCAAACGAATGGTAAACTAATAAGTAATGTTTTTTACTCATAATTTAGAAACGGAATATGCTTAACTAGAAAACCTTGAAAAATAAGCATTCGATGAATTACAACCTTAAACAATGTGGAAATGTTGGGTTGAAATTTGGCTTGGTCAAACTAAGAAAAATGATATTGTGCTTGATAAATAAGAAAGTTTAGAAAATGTTTAATCAGAGAGTGGTTTAGGATCTATTAACAATCCAATTGTCAAGGTTTATAGAGAAAGAAGAGGTCAGATTTAACTTCTAACAAGACATTTATGTTATACAAATTAGAATGAAAATTAGAAGTCTAGCAAATACTAGATAAATATGTAATTGTGCAAGTCTTAATTTTGGATGTTCAATTGGGAACTTAAATAGAAAGTAGTTCCAGATGCATATTTTTTGGAATTGCAAAATAAATTATCAACAGAATCTCTTTCTTTTTATCAATATACACTAAATTGAAAATGTTTTAATATTTTATTACAAGAAATGATTATATAGCAATATATATGCTATTTAAATATAAATTTAACATTTATTGATTTATGTTTGATATTTATTCCAGTTGCATTTGATAATTTAATAATCTCAAAGCTTATCAATATGTTAATCATTTTATAAATGACTTAAAGCTGACTCTTGAAGAGTTTTATTTGTGAGATTCCTTTATGAAGATCATAAATTCGTTTTTTGAACAATGAAATTCATAAAAAGTGTTATATAAATACAAAGACTATTATAAATGAATCATATTCTCACTTTTTTTCTATTTTTATTTTTATCTAATAATCTTTGTATTTACTTTTAATCAACTTCCAAGATTCGCAATACTAGTTTATAATCGTTATTATATGCTAATAATAAACCCTCATATTAATTATCAGTAATTGTAGGAAAGTACTTTTATAATTCAAACAATGTGTTGTAATGTTGATTATTCTTAATTGGAGGTGTCTTAGATTCTAAACTGCTTAAACTCCATTCATCAAAATTCCTTTGAAAATCTTATTCGTCATTCATGAATTTAGCAACTAGACTTGCTGATAAGGGTTAGCTGAAGTTAATTGAAGAAGAACTGGATTTTTCTGGCTCATATTCCATATATCTTGGCATTTAAGGTGGTTGTCTGGCTCTTGAATAAATTTATGGCTATGCTTAGGTCTTAGACTACTACTCATCATGAAAGGATAAATAATCATCTAAAATTTAATCTTCAATGTCATTTAGGCATATTATAGATTCATCAGAGCTAATTACAATAACGGCATTGTTGTTACTAACATCAACAGCAATTGGCTCATTAATTTTTGATATTTTTTCGATTTCCATTTGTTAATTACTAATAGGTTCAATCATTATTTTGGGTTCCTCTTTTGTTCTGCAATCAATTAATGGAGCATTATTGTTTCGTTTCTTTACACATCTAATTTTTGAAGTTCTATTTTAAATGTTCATTTATTCATTCACAAATATTTGTTTAGTTTGTGGATAATATTCATTCATTAGATTCAACCCTTCCAAAAACTTAAGATCTAGTTTTTATGCCTTCCAAAATGATTCAATTTATTCTTCTTGCTTTTAATGCGAATCTTTTTATTTTTTTCCTTTTTTCATAAGAAAAAATGAAATATTTATATTAAATGATCACGTTTTATTTGATAATTTCTTTAATACTCATTAAATAATATATCATTACTATTATGCTTATTTCTATTATTGGTATTATTGCAAGTCGTGTCTGATCTTCTACCCTAATAAATCTAATTCTCTTAAAAATAGTGATTTAGATTCTCTTGCTCTTCTTGCCTATAAGAAATTCACAATGACTCTCTTTTATTTTGGACCCAACATGAACCAATTTTTAACATGCGATCTCAAAATCTCATCTTAAGGTATTGGTTTTGCAGTCTCTATTTATTCTTATACTGAAGACTTAAATTATCGAATGACTTAATCCTCATTATTAATAAAAGATTGTTTACCTCTGTCTTTCCCTCTGGAAGATTCTCTCCCAACTTAACAATTGGTTTATTTTTATAATCATATTTCTCTCTTAAATATTATTTATAATCTTCCTTCTTATGTCTAATTCTCAAAGCTTCCTCAATATATGAAACATCATCTTTGCCTAATTTTAGATCTCTAACTTTAGCTCTCAACAGGTTTGGGGTTATTTCTGGAACTTCAATTTCTGACTTACTGATTTCTTATTGCTGCAAATATATCAATAACTTACCTAAGCCAAATATTATTCTGTCTTTTATTTTACATACTCATCCTCTAATTATTTTCTATATTTTTGTCTGATTCTATCCCTCTCCTATACAACAGTCTTTAATCTGGCCATTGATATTTTGAGTTGTACAAGTTTTCCCATCCTACCTTTAACACCTACTACTTTTTTGAAAAATATGCCATCTGATAATAATAAATTCTTTTCTTTCAACATCACATACCTCAAATCATTATATTCAAAATGTACCATAATTTTGTTAAATCTTCAGTCGATTTCAGTCTCAATTCTTCTACTTTCCATGATCTCCCCTATGAGACCTATTATTTAGTATCTTTCAATTATTATTTTGTCAATGCATCAGTAAATTATAACAATTTTTCACTTTAAGTAGCTGGAGCCTAAGCATTGAAATACTTTGGTTTAAAAGCCAATCTGCTCCATGTCATTATGCGATTTATCATATATTGAAAATAAATAAAAATATTATTTCATTTAACAAATATTTATGTTTGAAATTTAACTAATTCAATTCACCCAATACAAAATATTCAAAATAACCCTTTAGATAGTAATAACAACAAGGAGAAACTTAATGAATAATATATTTTTATATAAATATTGATATTAATTGATATTTAAATTATTATTATGCAATTAGAATAATTATTGATTGGAAAAATAGATAAATGGAAACACATGATGTTTACCTGAAAATTGATTAGAAGATATCCTATGGTTGGTTGAATATTTTTAGAATCAAAACATTAGGATGCTTTTCATAAAATTTGTCCTTATGAAGAACATTTAAATTAATTTAAAATTTTAATATCTTCATATAAGAGAACACATAAATCTAATAAATAGTTCAACCAGAATGGTCTTTTGATCTCACTTCTAAGTAAAGCCAACCATCACTATCCTTATTTTATTAATAAACTTCTTTAAAAGATTTTGAAAATGAATTTGTTAATAATTTATTTCCCCCTACAAATATAAATATTCCATCTTAAGGTGTCATATATGGTGAGTATTGTTATTTAAGTATATTGAATAGTTCTTGAACTGAAATAGTTTCTCTAACCATCATTTTTTAAAATTATTAAAGTTTATTAGGAATTTCTTTATGGTATCTCATTTTTAAAACCAATTCAATAATTACAGGTATCATTTATCCATGCTTTTCAATTAGATTAAAAGATTATTATGTTCTTTATTCATAAGAATTTTTTATTTTGTATGAGAATTTCATTTAATTTTAATTATTCTTCCTATATCCAATAATTAATTATTTTCAAATTTTAATAATAGAATTATTTATCAGTTCATATCAGAATAATTATAGAGAATACATTATATTTCAATCATTCAGTAATTATAATCATATTACTTATTTAAAAATATTTTTGAGTATATGAGTCTTCTTACTTTAACTTAAATAAATTAGTAACTATTTTTATTCAGAATTATAACTAATATGACATGCCCAATATTATTAATTACATCTTATTATAATTATATTAATTATTATACTAATATGTGATGATTCAATATTAATGGTCTTTCTCAAACTCATATTTCACACAACCATTGCAATAATATTTATAAGTTGCCCAATCTCAATTAGCTCTTATTATTTATATGACCAAATCTAAACAGATAGATCAGAAATATAATACTGCATAAAATTTAGACAGCCTATGCACTAAAAATACCTTTGACTTATTTAATATTGTATCATTTAGGAGTTATTTATATTTGGGTTACCTAAGGAACTTACTAATCAATTTATGGCAAAATCATTACAAAGTCTCATACCCTATTATACATTTTAATGAGCTAGTGTTTTTTTATTCATCCAACTAGATTTTTAGTTTCATTATTGCTTTATATGGAACATTCGATACAAACCTATAAAAATACACTGCTACCCAATTATTATATTATGCATCAGCATTTTTTGTCTGCAATCATCTTTATTTATTCTATTCGAAAAATATAATCAGAAGGAACGATGTGCATTAGCTTCCCCCTTGTGACAGAAGATTATTCTTATCATATGAATACCTTTTTATTTTTAAACACTGATAATTTTTGTGTGTAAATATTCATATTTGAAATCTTAGGCTTCTATTATTCTATCAAGTTTGATAATTTACAGAGGGAAATCAAGCCTTTCATTAAGTTTCTCATAAATTAGTTAATGTTTCATGTCTTTGAGATTACTAAGATTTACCTTGTGATAAATCTATTTGTTTAATTCAATTCCTACAAGTCATCATAGATGGTATCTAATTGGTTATTGACTATGAGTAAATTTCATACTTATTTGCTGGTGTAACTGTAGCAAGCATTGTCATCGCCTTCATCCATAACCTTCATATATTAGTAAACATTTACATATTATCGAGGGGCAATATTATTTATAATTAAGGAACTGTAGAGACGGAAGATTTTTTAATGACAATCCTCAAGTTTAAGTTACCAATTTGAGAGAAGAGGATTTAGAAAAATTAGAAATTAAGTCCTTTAATTCTTAACTAGAAGTGTAATAAAAACGAAACTAAGCTGTAGATTTAGCCTGATTGGAAGAGTAGAATAATAATACAATTTAATGTCCCATTTGCGGTGATGATATCCAAAAAAATAGAAAATTATATTACTGGAATGCTAACATATATTTCATTCTGCTGTCTAATTAGATGGTTGAAAATCAAGAATTCTTGTCCCTACTGTAGGAGATCGGCAGTAAAATGTTAATAATGATTTTATAGATATATTTAATTATATATTTATGTCTCGTAAAAATTTATGGTACTATTTCACAATTTATATTTAATATTAATTATATATTAAATTTCATAGAAATTAATTTAATTTTTATTTTTCTTTTTGTCATTGAAAAGCTACAATCTAGTAGAGAAACAGTTTAGGCAACAAAAGGGCTACTTTTGTGATTATAAAAGGAAGAAGTCCATACTAAAAGCTAATAATGCAATAATATTGGAAATCATAAAAAACTGATTACTTAACAATTATAGAAAGAAATATCACTATCAATTTTCATAAACAACATTCTCTTATTATTGTTTTTATCTTCTTTGTATTAATTTAATGAAAGCTTGCCAAACTTCCTTACTGATTTGGATATACTTCAATCCCATGAATACCTTCATGATTTCAAATGATTTAATAAAAAAGAAGTCATAAAGGTATAGATAGAATTGGAGTCTATAAATGAGTAATTTTAATAAGCAGTAAAGTTGATATTTTTCTAATTGTTATGGGTGATCATTTGACTATCAGGTTTATTCTATATCTCTTACTGAGATATGGTATATAGACGAGAAGAATTTATGAATAATTTTTCATAAGTTAAAAATTTCACAGTTTTAGCTCAATTTTGATTTAAAATTTATCCATTTTTATTAAATTTCCAACTATGAAACTCATCCTTTAGAGATTTATTATTTTAAACGTTTTTGTAAGTATTATGCATAATTTGTTTTTATGTTAATCCTTATTTATTAGTTGTCCAATATATTTTAAGTATCCTTTAAAAGTATTCAAATATTTAAAATTAGAATTTTTGATGTTAGTAATTTATTTGGTAGAGTATTAAAGATTTATAGTAACAAGTAAATCAAATAATTTACATTAAAAAGTTTGAAAGATGTTTTCTTAACTTTAATTCAAACAAAAGCTAAATAAAAGGCTGATTTTGAGCCATAAATTATATATGAGTATGTATTAAGTAAAGTATTTTTATGAGTTGACTTGTTGATAATTCTTGATTAAGTCTGAAATGACACTTAATAACGCTATTAGTTATTGTTTTATTTAATTCTATTCAGAGGACGTTGAAGGGATAATTATGTTTTATTTATTTAATTAATGTAAAATATGGATTTAGATTTTGAGTAGTTCTAGCGATATATACAATCGGAGAATACTCAATAATAGAAGCATGATTAAAAAGGCAATGAAAAAGATAGGGATCGTGGACATGATAAAAACAAAGATAAACATTACAAAGATAATAATAGGGAAAGAGAGAGAGAAAGGGAGAGAGACAAGGACAAAGATAGAGAGAGGGATAAAAGTGCTGAGAAGAAGAAGAAAAAGAAGGATGAAAAAAAAGATAAAAAAAAGTATATTGATCAATAATACATAAAATTAGAAGATCAAGGTCTGCCTCAAGATCTTCAAAGAAAAAAAAAAGCAAAAAGGACAAGGAAAGAGAAAAAGATAAAGATAAGGATAACTAATAATAAGTTATCACTTCGCAATTGCTTATGACAAGTGACATACAAAAAAAGAGGGAGATTGCAAAACAAAGAAAAATAGAAATTATGGAGGCAGAAATCAGAGAATTGGAGAGAAAGATTGTAGAGGTGGAAAGAGAATTAGAAGAAGCACATAGATAAGATTTAACAGTACTCATGTATTGTTTGCCACTGAAAGCAAAAGAAAAACACATCTATTAGTTCTTTTAAACAGTAACATACTATTAAATTTGATTAGTTCAATTGTGGTAAAATTAGGGATATTAGAATTATTAGAGATTAGAAATCCGGAAGATCCAGAGGAGTGGCTTATGTGGAATTTTATTAAGAAGAATCTATACCTATGGCATTAGCACTAAATGATCGTTTATTTATTATGGATGGATAATAAGTAGGAACTATTCCTGTTAAAATACAATTAAGTTAAGCAGAAAAAAACAGAGCTGCAAGAGATTAGAAAAATATGCAAATTAAATAAAATAAATTGCAAAACATCTAAGATTTACAAAATATGAATGGACCAGCAAGAGTATAAATCACAGGCATGGCAGAATAATTATAAAGAATTAATGAAGAAGATATCAGAGAAGCCTTTGTTCCATTTGGAACAATAGAAACAGTAGAAATTCCAAAGGATGAGTCAGGTAGAATGACAGGAGTTTTATACGTTACTTATGAGAAAGCTGAGTCAGCAAGGAATATGATAGAAGTAATAAATAATTAGCCATTTTTATTAAATGGAAAACCAATTAAAGTTTAATTAGTCTCTGGTGCCAATAATTATATGGATTTATAATTAGATGATGATCTAGTTTAAAATCCAGTCATGAGAATAACATTGATGAAAAAGTTAATGGATGATAGTCTTATCGATAATGTATTAATAAAAACGATTTTAGATAAACTTACCTCCTTTAATGACACAATTAGGACTAACCGTTTAAAGAATTTTGAATATAATCTAATCTCCTAATCCGACATTAGGTTGTATTTCTGGATGGATGCCTCTTAAACACAATCCTCCAGCCTGTCCTTGCACTACAAAGGTTATTGTCTTAACAAATATGTGGACAGATCTTGAGATTTCCAATTAGGCTGCAATTGTTGAATTAAAAGAAGAAGTAGAAAGTAATTTATTTAATAATAATCCTTTTTATAGATGAATGTAAGAAATATGGAGATGTAGAGATGGTTTGGGTTGACAAAAAAAATGAAGGTAATGTAATCATTGTTTTTAAATAATGGGAGGCGGCTAAATAAGTAAATGTTTTAATGAACAACAGAAAATTTGGAAATAAAATAGTGTAAAGCTATTTCATAACAGAGAGTCAATTCATGAGCATCATTAAATGATTTAGTAATATAAAATATTAATATATAAATAAAAGTAAACCATTCATTTCTGTAACTTAACAATATCTAGGATAGAATTCTTATTGAATTTTTTTAAATTTTCCAAATTTTAGAATTGTTTGTCAAAATTTTTTGCCAAATTTAATATTCTACTTGATAAATCCAAAGTGGCATCTTTGTCGACATTCAATAATTACAAAACTTGAGCAATCTAAATAGATATAATTATAAATACAATTTCATCACTCTAATCTTGACATGATAAGTTGCATCCTATTATTATGCATGCTGCTGATAACAAAGAGTAATTGAATTAGCTAATGATTGAGTAATCATATATTATCATCTTTGCTAAATAAACTACTATTTGATGTAATTTTTAATATTAATTAATCATTTGTAATGTAATTGTTATTATTTCATAAAGAGTAGCTCCAAAGAATTTAAAATCTAATGCTTATCCAATTTAATTCTCTTTCTCTCTAATTTCTTCTTTTGATAATTTTTTATGCGCAATTTTTTCATGAACAGTTTATAATTTTACTGGTTAGACCTCCTCAAACTTACATGCTATGAACATACATGTAACTCCTATGAGATGCATATCTTATGGAGCATGGGATTTTAAAGATAAATTTAAATATTAATCCATCAATCTTACTGCCAAAAAGAATGTCTGATCTTTGCATTTATATGAGGTCAACACTTCTATCATCCAGTCTATCATCTTAGCTCTTAGAGAACTATTGATTGAGTGTTTTTTTAAAAATTCAAACTTCTAAATACCATCATAGATTTAGTAGTTTGTCAAAATAATGTCACCATAATTATAAAGAAATCTGTTTTGTTAATTCTTGGGTTCTTTAGTTGAATGATCATGGATGCTTTAACTAATTTAAGTAGTCTATCTAACTTTTATTGGAGAGTACTATTATATAACTAAAACTAAATACTATCTAAATAGTTGTGCAAATTGTAGTTTTTTATTTTTGTTCAGGCCGATAGTGTAAACTTTAAACATTGGGATTTCTTTATGTAAGGTAGTTTTGTTGAGAATACTACTATTTTACATCAATACTCTTGAATTCGAAATCTTAATTAATAAACATTTGTTACTTGGTTAATGATTAAGCAGAGTTAATGAAACTAATTGTGTTAATGACTTTTGGTTATTTCTTTTTTCAATATTATTTGAAACTTCTGCTTAGTTCTCTTTCTCAAATATACGTCTAGTTGTAGTATCTTTCATTTTATGAATAAATTTTGTTTAACAGATAATAAATTAATGAAATTTTATTAATAAACTTATTTTAATTTAAATTAATGAAATAGTAACAATCTTGCTTTATAAAATGGATTTATTTAAAAATTATAATTGTTTTTCATTGAATCATTGATCTGTTAGGATTCATTATGATTTTAGTTTTATAAATTGATAAAACATAGTTTTTGTTAAATATTATATATTCTTGTTTTTTTGTAATATGTTCTATTCAAACCATTTTGTTGCCTATTTTGGATGAATCATTGTCTAAAAAGAGTATTTTGCATTTTTTTTGGATTAATAGTAAAGAGTTTGACGAAAGATTTACGCAAATAAGTAATTGCAGTTAATTTGATTCCTCTTTTTAGGTAAACATTCTGATAATTTATTATAACCGCTTCTTATATTATTATAATTTAATCCAAATGTCAGAGATCAGGGACTATTGATAATTCTTTTTGAATAAATGAAATATGACCTTTGGATAAAATATAGATATTGAGAAATTAAAATGGATTCACAGATTGACTTTGACTAAATAGGAATAATTTAAGAATAAATGAAAGAGTAGGAATGGTACTGCCTATTTTTGTGTATTTTGAGTAATTTTAATAATTGGATGAAGTTATAAATATATTTTGTTAAGGTTTAACAAATTTAGATAAGGATTTTAATTTGTTTGATAAGGAATGCTATTTTTGGGAATAGCAGAGTAACTTTGCTTAAATTTGTAGCATAAAGTACTTTACTTAAGAAATAGTTTTTAGTATCATGGTTAAATTTTAATTAATGTTCAATCAGACATGATCAGTAATTTATGATAATTTTTTCACAAAGATTTATATCTACTCTGAAGATAAATATATTTTTTGTATGATTTTTTGTTTTTTAGTCATTTTTATTAGGTTTTATCCTCTAAAAGAAGTCAAAAGAAGAGATGAGAAGAGATGATGAGTTTATAAGAATTATCTGAATTAGTTAAACAATCTAGAATTTTAATTTGATTATTATTTATTTCTATAGGCTACATGTTTAGTTATAGTTCATGTCTGATCTTTTAGTTTAATGGAATAAGAATGAGAATTTTTCAAATCTATTGCAAAATAGTTTAAATTTAGATATAATCTGATTGTAACAACCCAAAGTTAGAATGAAAAATAAAAACGAAGATCGGTTAGGATATAATTTTAATAAACTAGAAACTTAACATTGGTTGATTGATATTAATTAAAGATATATATTTAATACAGAAATAGCGGATCTTCAAATAATTACCATTAATTTGTAATAAATATGGTAATCAAAATATGAGCAAATACTCATTAAATAAATTAAGAGTTAATCAAAAAAAATCAATTATGCTAATGATTAAATATTTATGTTAACAACAAAATAATTTATATTTAATTTTGAATATGCTTAGTAATAATAATTTATCCAACAAAATGCTTAAGAGATCAGATATTGAAAATAAATAAGTTGGTGATAATTAGAATAAGAAAGACAAGGAGAATTATTTAAAGGAATGGGAAGAAAGTCTTAAAAGGAAGGAACATTTAGTATATTTTATTTTTATATAGAATATAGCTGGAATCTAAACATCAGGAATTAAAAATCTATTCTAAAAATCTTCAAATATAAACTGAGGGACTCTTAAAGGATAAATTAAATTTGGGAGAGAAGATTGAAAAATATAATAGATTGTTGGAATAAATTATTGATCAATAGATATCCGATTAACAATTGCCAAAATCTAATTCTTAGACATCTTAAACTTATAGAAAACCACGCAAAAACGGAATTAATGAATGTAAAGAAAGAGTAGGAAATTTATTGAAGACCATAAGATTAGCAACCAAGCCTTGCCTAAAAACATAATAGGGTTCTTACTTTAGCAACAGGACTGAATTCGAAGAAATTCTCTTTAGTAAAAGGAATAATCATTCTTCTTCATTAACAGGGATAATTAATTTAAGCAATAAAGAAGAATTAATATCAAAATAATAACAAGAATAACAACGCAATAGTAAAGACACTAAGGAAAGGTTCAGCCAATAGTATGCAACATAAGATGAGTTAATCAATCATTAAAAATCGTTATAATAATTAGAAGAAAATTAAAAGTATTTTTATTCTAAAGTATATGAGGAGTTAAATAAATTAAAACAAAATTAATGAATTTATAAAAAAATGTATTATTTCGAAGCTATAAATTTGTATTTTCACAGCTAAATTAAATTTAATTCGTTAAAATTTTTTTAGTTTTAAATTCACTCTCTTTAGGAATCTAAATGTATTTTTACCTAGATGGTTTGAATTATATTGATTCAGAGAAGTAAATGAATAAATATTTAATTTGTTTCCATAAATTAATTATTAAATGTTACAAGAATATTATAATAGAAAGGTCCTTTTTATAACTGGGTGTACTGGTATGCATTATGTTGTTATAAATTAGGATTTGTGGGCAAAGTATTATTAGAAAAGACTTTGCGTTGTTTACCAAATGTTAGATGTATTTATGTTCTGATCAGATAAAAGAAAGGTAGCAGTTTAATGGAAAGGTTTAAACGAGAAATTTTGGATTCATAAGTAAGGATATAATAATGAGTTAGTGTTTTGATCGTTTGAGATAGATTTATGGTGGAGGTTTTGAAAAATTCATAAATGAGAAAATTATTCCCATTGAAGGAGATATGCTAAAGGAAGGCTTAGGAATGGCTGAAAATGATAAAAGAATAATAATAGACAATGTCAATGTATGCAAACAATTAATCTTTAGATAATCATAAACTGTGCTGCAAGTGTGGATTTCAATGCAAGATTAGATGATGCCATATAAATTAATGTAAGGGGACCTCAAAGATTTATAGCATTAGCATAACAAATTAAAAATTTAGAAAACTTCATTCATATCTCAACAGCATATGTCAATTCAGATAAGGGTGGTTATATAGAAGAGAAAATATATGATCCTAACTAAGAGAATTTGGAACAATTAGTGTCTCAATTGTTGAAGACTCCTGTCAGTATTTTAGAGAAAAACGTGAAAGATATTATTGGAGATTTCCCTAATACATATACATTTACAAAGTGTATAGCTGAAAAACTGTTAGTTTAGAACAGAGCTCCTAATTTTCCACTTACTTTTGTTCGACCATCAATTGTAGGAGCTTCGTGGAAAGACCCAACACCTGGTTGGATTGATAGTTTAGTGGCAAGCAGTGCCATTTTTTTCTTTGATCGGTTTAGGATTAATAAAAACTTTAAATGGTGATGAATGCTTGATTGGAGATTAGGTTCCAGTAGATTATGTAGCTGATTTTATTTTGGCTGCTGGTGCATATCAAAATGGAAGGAAGGAGAAGTAAGCGTATATCACTGTTGCTCTTCTGCAAAAAATCCAATGACATGGCAATTAGCAAAGGAGGTAAATGCCTTATTTTGGACAAGATCCCCAAGTTCTCAATAATTTTCAAAGCCCAATTTAACATTCTATAAAAATGAAAACATATATAAGGTTATGTCGAAAGTTAAAAATGCTCCTGCTTTAATTTACTATTAGGTTGCAAATAAGATTGGAAACAAGGAAATGAAAATTTAAGCCAAAAGATTAAAAAAGATTATTGATAGAGCGGAATCCATAAATGACACTTTCAAACCATTTGTTATAAATGAGTGGATTTTTGATAGTTCAAATAGCAATGTACTTATCAAATTCTTAAATGATTTTGATAAGCAACACTTTAATATTGACATTGAAAAATTGAATTGGAGATAATATTTGGAAAGGGTTCAATTGGGGAATTCAAAAATATATCTTGAAAGATTAAACAAGAGAATTAAATGAACAAAGTACTGATGTTCTCAGTAAAAGAAATTAATAATCTTACTTTAGTGATATCGAATGGTGTCTAAGTCATGGTTAAGATTTCAAAACCAAAACCACAAAAGAACAAATAAGTTTGGTTATGAATTCTCAAAGAGTATAATCAGTTATCAAATAATTAGTTGAAGAAAAATCTAAAAAATATCAACAAACTACACTTAATCTTGATAAATTACATTAGAATATCGAAAAATAAGGTATTGATATATGTGAAGTAATGTTTGCCAATTATAATATGGGAGTCATTAGAATATTTGCATGGTTTATTACTAAAGTCTTTAGATAAATATATGAGAAAGTTTAGATAAATGAACCAGCCTTATTGGAACTATAGAATTATGATTAGAAAACTGGAGGTCCCTTAATTTTTATGCCAACTCACAGATCCTATATAGATTTCATAATGGTATTTGTATGCTATTATTGTAGTGCTCTTATGTCTTCTTTTCATATAAGATCAAGTGTCCACATATAGCTGCTGCAGAGGATTTCTTATCAATGGCTTTGATTCCAACAATATTAAGAGCTTCTGGGGCTTTCTTCTTGAAGAGAAAATAATTGGAAGATAGTATATTATATAAAACCATCTTTTATGAATACGTTTAGAGAATCTTAATTGAAGAATGCTATCTTGAATTTTTTATCGAAGGTACTAGATCTAGAACAGGCAAGACCTTAAATCCAAAGTTTGGATTGTTAAGCATTGTTTGTGATGCTGTTTTCGATAAAAAGATACCTGATGCCACAATATTACCAATTACAATAAATTATGAAAAGGTATTAGAAGCTGACACATATCCTTATGAACTTTTGGGAGAAGAGAAAGTTAAAGAGTCCTTACTTAGAGTTATTAAGGCTATTAAAATATTATCATCAAATTTCGGAAGAATTCATGTTGGGTTTGGAAAGATGATATCAGTTAAGGAATGGTCAAAATAATAAGGTTTAGATTCCTTTGAGGATATAAGAGATCGTAAAAAGGGAGTTGAAAGTTTGGGTTACGAAGTGGCTTACTAATTAATTGAAGAAATGGTTGTAATGCCTACAGGAATAGTTTCAACTCTATTATTGATGAATAGAAGAGGAATAACAGAAGATTAATTAATAAAGAGATTCGAATGGGTATTAAGATAAATCACAAAAAGAGGAGCGAAGACTTCAATGACCAATAATGGTTCAAGTGATGTAGCTGTGAGAAATTCAATTGGATTCTTACAGGATTTGGTTGATAAGAAGAAGAAAAATGTATTTGAATTGACATTGATACCAAAACAAGAATATAAGAGCATTCTATTGTTAAGTTATTATAGGAATCAGTTAGCTCATATATTCTTTAGTGAGGGGATAGTTTGTTGTGCTTTAAATGGGTTTGGACATCTGTTATCCCATAAGGAAGGTGTAAGTATAGAGAGATTATGGGAAGAGAGTGACTTCTTGTTGAAATTATTAAAAAGGGAATATGTTATAAGAAACAGGATTACATCTAAAGAATAGATGATAAACTTCATTTAATATATGATAGACAAAAATGTCTTAGAAAAAGTTTAAGATAAGATCAGAGTTAATCAACAATTCGGCGAATAAGCATCTTAATTTACATGCTCACTCATTTGGCCTTTAGTGGAATGCTATTGGGCCACAATTGTCTATTTGTATTAATTAAAAAGAGTAAGTGATACAAGCACAACATTTGAATTGTCTGAATTGATTACTTAAATTTAAGGATTTGCAGAGTAGATGTATGGAGAACATATTATGGAACACTACGAAAGTTGTTCCATTGAAACTATTAAGAATGCCATTAACACTTATCAAACTATGAGATGCATCAATATTAGCAAGAAGGATGATTCTGATTAAGTAAGTATTGTATTTACTGATCAAGAGGTAATTATATCAATATAATTTAGTTATTGGAAGTTGAAGCTTAAGTTAAAAAATATTTAAAGAATAATTATTCTAAATCAATATCAAACCCTATAGATATTGCTAGATCTTTGTTAGATTATACAATTATACCCAAATTATGAGTATTGTAAATTAGACTCATATATTAATTATTATAATATTTATGATTGATGCTCAATGATGGTGTGATCCATGTCCCTTCTTGACATATTATAAACCACAGTATTTGCATGTTTAAGGTGTGCCTTCTGTTCTTGTATCCAATTTAATATAGACTTACGGATGTCCTGCATTGATATGTGTGCCTCCCTTATTATTAATCAATTTTGGAAATTACCAAACATCTGACAACATCAGAATCTACTTCTATTACAGGTATCTTGTGAATGAATTCTTCAGCTCTGCTTTTGTGAGTTTAAAGAGATCTCTTTCAATTTAATTATTTAGGTACTTTGTGAGATTCATCATAGTCTAACCACTTATGTTGAGCTAAACTTGTGTAGGATTTCACCATTTGTGAAAATTAGGCTGATTTGGCTAATTTAATGCACTTTTACAACATAGTTGCAAATTTGAGAATAATTATTAATAATAATACTCCATATCATATAATCTACTATTCATTTTTATTGTTTGTAATCACTCGATTTACCTATTATTATTTGAGCATTTCTTAGGTTATCCAATTCAGCTTATAGAATCATCAGTTCCTCCTATTTTTGATGAAATTCTCTATAATTTAATTAAATTCATACCTATTTTACTCTATAAACTTCTTTTTCCATGTGTTTACTTCATCAAACAAATATTTGTGTTTTTCTTCAACGTTTGTTGTTTATTCTTCCAGCTACCCATGCAATTCCTGAATATATTAGTTTGCTTCTTCTATTTCTTTATCTTTTTTCTTATATCTACCTATCATAGCCATCTATAACATTTTATCTCGACTCTATTTTCTCTTATAATTATTAAATTTCATCTTATAAAATTTTTATTGTGTTAACTAATTATTAAATTTAACTTATATGCTTGAGATAATTCACCTTCCTCATCTTCATCATCATTATCTATTTTATTTTATTTTTAAGCTTCTAATTCTTTTATTCTATTTTGTAATTCCTAAACCCTCAACCTCCAAGGTTCCTCAACTTACTACAAATCAACTACTTATAATGGACTCTGCAGATTGGCATCCCCATGACTAGATTAAATTCTTTAAACTCCCTGCTATTCCCACATTCCTCTTGTTGCATTTGAATTTCGATTAATTGGACAAATTTATCTATTGAATTGTTATGGGTAACTTTATTATTGGTATTGATATTTTTATTAAACTATTGGCTAAACTTAATTTTAAAACGAGGGTTGAGAGATGAATTTTACAGATCCTTATTATGGTAGAGAAAAAGGAGACTTGTATTCTATTCCAAAGGCAGGTGCAGAAATTTATTATCTCATTATGACTAATTATAAAATTCAATTAAAATTAATTTAAACGAACATATTGTAATATCAGATACTGCTTTATTGGATTATAATTTAAATATAAAATATAACTAAAAAGAATAATTAGAAAAATGAAAAATGAATTTGCAGAAGAGTGCCAAGAGTTATGTGTGGTTTAAATTTGATGAAATTGAAGTAACTCTTTAGCTTGTCTGCTTGCCTATTGGAATACAAATTAAATAAATAATTAGCGAAATGGATGAAAAATAATTATGGGTTTGCATTCATAAAAAAAAGGTTCTATTTATAAAATGTTACATTATTATTTTATAATCATATTTTATAAAATCACTAAATATAATAATAATATTAAGTAATATCATATCAAAGAATTATAAATTGCTATTTCAAATGATATTTTTATTAAGTTATTAAATATGCTTAATTATAAAAATGATGATTCAAAATTATAGTTACTAGTATCTTATTATGATATATTATAAAATTCAATTAAAATAAAATAATTTATGTTAACATAATTAGCTTCTCTTTCATAGATTTACACATTTAAATATAAAATATGTCAAAAAATAAAAAGAAAAATTAATTTGCAGAAGAGTGCCAAGAGTATGTGGTGTAAATTTGATGGTTATTGAAGTAACTCTTTAGCGTGTCTGCTTGCCTATTGGAATACAAATTAAATAAATAATTAGCGAAATGGATGAAAAATAATTATGGGTTTACAATCATAAAAAAAGGTTCTATTTATGAAGTGTTACATTATGATTCTATAATCATATTATATAAAATCACTAAATATAATAATAATATTAAGTAATATCATATCAAAGAATGATAAATTGCTATTCCTATGATATTTTTATTAAGTCATTAAATATGCTTAATTATATAAATGATGATTCAAATTTATAGATACTAGTATCTTATTATGATATATTATAAAATTCAATTAAAAATAAAATAATTTATGTTAACATAATTAGCTTCTCCTTATTAGATTTACATTTAAATATAAAATATGTCAAAAAATACAAAGAAAAATTAATTTGCAGAAGAGTGCCAAGAGTATAGTGTTTAAATTGATCCAAAAGGTGAAGTAACTCTTTAGCGTGTCTGCTTGCCTATTGAAATACAAATTAAATAAATAATTAGAGAAATTTAAGCAAAATAATTATGGGTTGTTATAAATAATAAAAGTTTCTATTTTATTAAATATTTATTATTAATAATTAATTCTATTTTAAAAATCAGTTATGATTATATAGTTTTATGTAAAAATTCAATTAAAATCAAGAAAAAAGCAGCATTACTTCTATGATTCAATTACATCCTTCGAACTCCCTATTATTCCCAAATTCCTCTATTTGTATTTGCATTCCGTTTGATTCGATAAATTTATCAATAGTATTATTTTGGGTAACTTTATTGTAGCTATTGATAAGGTTATTAAATGATTGGTTAAACTTAATTTTGAAATGAGCGTTTAGATACGTTTTATAGCACTTTATTAATTGATTATATTAATGATAAATTTGATGTTAGTAATACTTTGATAAACACATAAAAAAAAATATAGAATTAGTATTTTGAATCTTATGTTTTTTGAATTTATCAAATCATGTTTAAAAACTCTTTTCATTTATTTAAGTTAAGAATTATTAGATCTATCTAGTTTTGTTCTATCATTGGATTATTTATCGTTTCTGAATTTAAGTTATCAACTGATTCTTTGAACAAGCTAATCATCCAAATATATAAAAATTTCATTACATCTTTTTAAAAATACAATTAACTCATTTATCAATAAATAAAATTTAATTTGGTTGTTTTATTTGGGAATGTTAAGCAATCTACTGTTATTTTTGTCATATTTTAAAAATCGATTTGATATTTTTCTTCAAATTAAATTTACTTTTAGATTGAGTAGATTGATCAAATATTTTATAAATGCACTTCAATATCATATTGAACTCTTCTTCACAAAAGAAAATCTTTTGATTTAAGTAAATTCACAGAATAATATCTAAACTTTAATAAATATCCACTCATGCGGAAGAAGAATTATTATTTTCCAATAATAAAAAAACTTATTCAGTCTATTGTTGTAATATTCCCCCAAATACATTTTAAGTATTTATCTAACATTAGAGTAATGATAGTTGGATAAGAGTCTATTATCATTTCTATGCTATGTATATTTTGCATCATTTATGCCTTATATCTTACTTGTCTAAAGGAAGTGATTAAAGCTTTTCGAATGGCCCTTTTGGCACAGTTCTAAAATAATTGCCCATTTTTATTTATATATTAGTAAAATAATAATATATGAAACAGTTTTTTATTGCATTGTATCTGAGAAATACAAATGCTATCTATTTAAATGACTTGAATTGAAATAATTAATTATATTCAAAATAGTCGTTTTAAATCAATAATTTGAATTTGTCTATTATTGACCATATTAATAAATATATTATGTATTAGAAGGTTGTAAATTTGATACAAGTTGCTGATATGTTTGGAGCAGATATAACATTGAATATTTAAAATAAAGGAAAGTTTACTTCTATTTTCGGAGGCTTCATGAGTTTGGTGGTGTGGTTTGTGATGCTTTACGTGTTTATATCATAAGGAGTAGATTTGATTAATAGAGTAGATTAACAAGTAAGCCTATGTTTAAGATTAAGGCTGTCACTCGAACGATAAATGACATTTCTCCGAATGCCAGAGTTCTCAATATCTCTAATTTTATGATAGGCATTAAGCTGGATGACCCTTTATAAACTTTATTAAATACCACAAATTAGACGATGTTTAACATTACTGTTTATTAGAACAATATTACAACATTTCCAAATAAAACAAGAATCAAATCACTTAATACAAATCTAATTCTAGAGTAATGCACTAGTTAACACTTTTAATCCTTAGATTTGATATCAGATTCTGATTAAGTAGAAACTTTTACTAATTATTATTGTTTACCTCTAAATTACTCGTTTGTTTTGGAGGGTACATATAATTCCTAGCATTTTTAATACACTTAAATCAAAGTCTCAACTTGCAAAAACTCAAACCAATGTTTTACCGCTGATTAATTGAATTTATTATCAGAACGACAAACATTTAAATTATCTACTTTGATGTTTACAACAATTATAAATCCATTCTCTAATGATGCAATAATATCTCAATAACTTTTTTAGGATTTTTATTAATAATCTACAAAACTTTAAGAATAGGTATCTGATATATTTTTGGAACCAAATACTCTAGAGATTGATAATTCTGTTTTTCCTTTTTAAGAAGATTCTTTCTTTGGAGAATTTTGGTCATTTCGTTTGGGAAATATCAGAAGTTTTATTGTAACTTAATATAAAATTATTAGAATGACTATGCTGAACCAACTAGTTATTTTACAGTAAACCTTAGGATTTCTTCGGAATATTATTCTTCCTTTATATCTTTTAAGAAATTTGGTGATTTCATTTCTTTCATAGGAGGAACCCTAAAAGTTATCACTAGTTTAATTGGTATTATTGTCATTAAGTATAATATAATTGGATTTAAATTAATGCTAGCTAATACTCTATATTAGTGTAAATTGGATGATGTTTCAAAATCTCAAAAGAAGGCTGAACAAAATGATATTTTCAAATTTATATAAAAAGAAAAAGAAAAAGCAGAAGCTATGTTACAAAAGTTCAGAGGATCTACAAAAAAATTATTCTAATTTAATAAAGTCACAGGAATTTTCAAATCTTAAAGATTTTCTTAAATCTATAAATCTGATGCAGATTTACTCAAAGACGTTCAGTAATAGCATAATCCAAAAGAGATAGATTCAGTAAAATTAGAACCAACAACTCACGAATATAAATCAATAGATCATCTTAAAGATGCTTTCATATAAAGTATGGTTGAACAATTGCTTATGGCTAATGAGAAAATAAAGTTAGGATTGAATTTTATCGTCTATTATCTTTCTTGTTTCAGGCATTTTAAAAGATATAAAAGGATTTATATAGTACTTCAAAAATCGACAATTAATATTAATAATGACCTGGACATTGTTCTAATCCTACAAAAGCTCTAAGAGATAAATAAAATAAAGCAAATTTTACTTGATGAGCATCAGTTGCAACTTTTTAATTATATTCCACAACCAATAATCACATGGGATGGGCATTAAGTTTAAAACTCACAATAATCAAAGAATTCAATAGCTAAATTAAATGTAATTGGTAAAGTGTCTAAATATGATACAAGGAGTAAAATGCTAAAATTATTTAGAGCGTACTAAGAAGTACAAATAGATGAAAATGAAAAATAAATTAATTCTCGGCTTGTAGATTATCTGGGACCAGTTGTTTAAAAAGTTTTTCAGTAATCTCATTAAATTACAGAAAACTATAATAAAATGAAATAAGAAGAATAAAATCATATCAAAAGTACAAAACGACCTACTCTAAATACTATTAATTTAACTCAGAATGATTAAACAAGGATTTATGGTCCAAACTATCTGTTATCAAAATCAGATGCAATCGAAATGGAAGATATTACATATGAGTGATCAAATTTTTGGTTATTTAAATTATTATAATTTATGATATTTAAGAGCCCAATTAAGTATAATTATTATTATTTGCCTAAATGTATATATAAATTTCAATTTTGCTCTTGTTAGGCAGCTTATAACTAAAGAGATATTAAAATAATAATTTAACTTCTTTTTTTAATTCTGCAACTTCTCTCTTTAATTTGATGTTTTCATCCTTTAGTTTTTCATACTCTAATTTAAGTTTATCTACATCAATATCAACTGGTGATCCTAAATACTTTTTCACGTAACTAAATCAAAACACTTTATTTACTCAATTGCATTGTTAGGTTTCTCTGGTTCTTCATATAACCCAACCAATACTCTTGTAAGCTGGTCAATCACTCCAGCCTTTTCTAAGTATTTTCTAAATTCTTCTTTTTTCGAGTCTGTTGTCTATATGATGACAATTATAATTTACTTAAAAACTCATAAGTTTTAATATATATTTAATAATTATTCATTTAATAAATAATAATGATATTTACTTTCTCTTGTTAGACTTCTTAATGATTATAAACTTGAAAGAAACTAATTCTCAAATTCTTTTTAAAAAAAATAAATTGTTTCTCCATCCAATAGAAAATAGGTTAATTTTGTTAATCTATTAATTTAAAATATAAACATTCCAAGAAAATTGAAGAAAATAGACCCTTCGAATTATTGCTGACTCTATGTATTAGTAATTTCAGATGTTTAAGTTTTTAATAATATAAATATTTGATGGATAAATTATAAACAGAAATATTGCTAGTTAATAAAGACATATATAATTAACTATATGACACACAATCCTATACTAAATTAGATTAATTAAAAAAAATGAGCCTTTAACCATCTCCAATACACGTAGCAAAAGATCTACTGAGTGCTAGAGAAAACCCAAAAGATTATGTAAAATAACATAAATTGGATTTCAAGTTTAGATAAACTTAATTTTGGTAGCCATCAATTACGGATACAATTTCATATTAATAATCTATTTAATAATAATAATCAGATTAGCAATAGGATAAATAGCAACTTGTAGATACAACAAATGCAATATCATTTATTGAGACTTCAAAAAATGAAGAATCATAAATGTAATAGTCTTCTTAGTCAACAAGGAGGAAAATAATGTTCAAATCTAGGATATCAAAATAACCAAGTGATTCGTCTATTTGGAAAAAGCCTCTCAAATAAATTAATAAAATAGTTTTATAATTAATGCAAGATAGTAAAGCAGAGTATTTTGCAATTATAAAATATGAGGATGCAAGTAATTAACTAGAATAGAAATCAATTGATGTCAATAAGAAAATTTAATGGGATTGCTAAGTCAAATTTGAGATTACTGAAGAGCAAAATTTATATATTATTATTGTGCAGTAATAACAAGGAAAGATAGGCTAGTAAAATGTACTATAATAAGCAATAAATATTTAAAATGTTGAAAAATAGTTTTAATAAGAGGTATAATTAAAGTACTTAAAAAACATTATCAATGCTAATCTATTAGTTGATTTTAATTGAAAATATGTTAAAACTATTAATTAGTGATATTTAAAATAGAATTATTTAGTAATAATAAATATTTAATAAAATAGAACCTTTTATTATTTATAACAACCCATAATTATTTTTCATCCATTTCGCTAATTATTTATTTAATTTGTATTCCAATAGGCAAGCAGACACGCTAAAGAGTTACTTCAATAACCATCAAATTTACACCACATACTCTTGGCACTCTTCTGCAAATTAATTTTTCTTTTTATTTTTTGACATATTTTATATTTAAATGTAAATCTAATAAGGAGAAGCTAATTATGTTAACATAAATTATTTTATTTTTAATTGAATTTTATAATATATCATAATAAGATACTAGTAACTATAATTTTGAATCATCATTTTTATAATTAAGCATATTTAATAACTTAATAAAAATATCATTGGAATAGCAATTTATCATTCTTTGATATGATATTACTTAATATTATTATTATATTTAGTGATTTTATATAATATGATTATAAAATCATAATGTAACACTTTATAAATAGAACCTTTTTTTATGAATGCAAACCCATAATTATTTTTCATCCATTTCACTAATTATTTATTTAATTTATATTCCAATAGGCAAGCAGACAAGCTAAAGAGTTACTTCAATAACCATCAAATTTACACCACATACTCTTGGCACTCTTCTGCAAATTAATTTTTCTTTTTATTTTTTGACATATTTTATATTTAAATGTAAATCTAATAAGGAGAAGCTAATTATGTTAACATAAAATTATTTTATTTTAAATTGAATTTTATAATTAAATCATAATAAGATACTAGTATCTATAATTTTGAATCATCATTTATATAATTAAGTTAATTAATGACTTAATAAAAATATCATAGGAATAGCAATTTATCATTCTTTGATATGATATTACTTAATATTATTATTATATTTAGTGAATTTATATAATATGATTATAAAATAATAATGTAACATTTTATAAATAGAACCTTTTTTTTATGAATGCAAACCCATAATTATTTTTCATCCATTTCGCTAATTATTTATTTAATTTATATTCCAATAGGCAAGCAGACAAGCTAAAGAGTTACTTCAATTTCATCAAATTTAAACCACACATACTCTTGGCACTCTTCTGCAAATTCATTTTTCATTTTTCTAATTATTCTTTTTAGTTATATTTTACATTTAAATTATAATCCAATAAAGCATTGAATGAGATTAAAAATAATGATGGTAGTTTAATATAATAAAATATGAATGATTCTATTTTCAGTATTTGAATTTATTTTAGAGATAACATAATGCATATGGATTTTTGGGATCATTAATAGAAAATATGTTAACATACTCTCCAACAAGATCGAATGTAAAAGGCTCAACCTAAATATATGTAAATTGTAAATACTAAAAATAATAATAATTGTGAGTTTTATTATTAAATATGCATTGAATACAAACATTAAATATAATATCCATTCAAATAAATAAATTTATGATTAGTTAACAAGAAAAAGAAAGATTATTGCAAGATAAAAGAAATAAGATTGCGGCGTAATTTTTAATTAAACTATTTAAGTTATAAAAAGAAACTTGAATAATCTCAATAGACTTCTTCAAACACATAACCTTAGTAAGTAATTTAAGCATAAGATAATGATCAAATCAATTAATCTCCTTAAAAGGAGTAGCCTCCTTCAAATTAAGCTGTCATAGCACTTCCATAACAGTCAGATTTAATAAGTTTATATTTGCAAACAAAGCGAAAAAAATTAAGGTTTTAGACAATAGAAATGTATTCGAATAGCCCTGCTCCTCCTCAAGCAGAAGTTATGACAATAGAGTTTGGTGTACAATGTGAATTTGAGATGTCATCATCTTAACAAGAAAATGAGGATCAAGTAATTCCCTTGATAGATAATGTGAGAAGAGATTCCAGGAAAAAAAGAAAAGTTTTATAAAGCGCTGAAGAACCAGTCGAAAAAGTAGATAAGAATATATCCCCCGAAGAGATAAATTCCATTTTTCAATCCCAATCATTTTAAAGGTTTTTCAAGAAGTTTGAAAACTATAGAAAAAGCCATTCATGGGGTAGGAGTTTATGTCCTTGAGGATTTAATGAACACTTAATAAGTGGCTTAAGAAATAGGCAAGGACAATCTAACAAAATTGCTTTCATTTAGTGATAAATTATATACAGAGAATAGAGTTGTAACATCAATACAGTGGTCACCCAACTTACCTTATTCATTCTTAGCCTCTTATTCCTAAAATGAAGAAGGATCAATAACAGATTAAGTGGGAGTGGTTCTTTTATGGTCTTTGCAATTAAAATCGAGACCTGAATTTTACTGTTTTGCAAGCAGTCCAGTAACATCAGCTTGTTTCATCCCTTCAGTCCAAGTATATTGCTTGGAGGATTATACAATGGCTAAGTAGTTGTTTGGGACTTGAGAGCAAAACACACTCCTGAGAAGAGATCAACTTTGAATAGTGGTGGACATTGTTCTAATTTATTTTTAGGCTCAAAAAGTTGATCATGAAAGATTGGCGAAACTAAAGCAATGGATTAAAAGTGACAAATGAAATATTAGTAATTATATTTAATTATTATATATTTTACAAAATGAAGAAGAGAAATTAGAAACTATGTATGTAATTCAAATAATAAATTAAGCTGATTTATGTGTCACATCAAAAGTACTTTGTGCAAGATTTGGAACCTACACTAAGAAATTAATAGCTGCTGGAGATGAAAAGAATTGTGTTCAAATCTGGTAAATTGGAAATCAAAAACCAATCGCTGTATTTCAATGATACATTGCTAGACATTAAGTTCATAAAATAATTCTAATGCTTAAGTTGAAGTTGCTAGTGTGAATTTTAGCTTTTGCGAAACTGAATTATTCTCAGGTTCCAATAGAGGCATCATCAATATCTGGGATGTTGAAAGTCAAAAATGTAAATCTTATTCAAATATCATGTAGAAATTTAAACACTTAAAGGACATACTACTTGTGTTAATACACTTTGTATTTATCCAACTGAAGAAAATAAGCATTTACTCTTAAGTGGAGCCTACGACACTTCAATCAAATTATGGGATTTGAGGACAAAAACTGCCGTCAACCAATTCAAAGGCCATAGCATGTAAATAAATGCTTTGGCAGTCTCTCCGAATTGTAAGTTATTGGCATCAGGTTCAAACGATGGATAAGTTAAAGTTTGGGATATTGCTTAAGCAAAAATAATAGCATCTTTTACTTAACATGATAGTCAAATTACATGTCTAAGTTTCAATCCTGTTGAGAAAGCATTGGCTTCAGGTGGAGGAGACAGATGTGTAAGATATTGGGACTTAGATAGATTAAATTAAGTAATTTGAACTTTTTGATAAATTAGATATCATCTACTAGAACTGATACAACTCCAATTTAATGCATCTTGTTTGAATAAAATGGAAAAGCATTATATTCTGCAACATATGATTCACTAAAAGTTTGGGATGTAGAACATGATTGTTAACTTTTGGATAATGTAGAGAGCAGTTGGAGAGGAGTCCTTGACTTGATAGTAGTTCCAGAAAGAGATTAGTTGTTGGGACTTGCCTCTAATGTGCAAACTGGATTTACTCTTCATGGAGTCAATCTCAAAAGCATTTGCTAAGATCCAAAAAGCATTGATGTTAGATCTAGTGGAGGTGGGGCTCCTATAAAACGAGGTAGGACGCCTGACAAAAGATCGGAAATCTAAACTGCAAATCCAAAGCCTTCAGACTCGGAGAGTAAAGTTAAAAGTAAGCCCTCTTTGCAGATGCAAGCATAGAATATATTGAATCAAGATTATTAATATGATCGTTAAAAGTCGAATGAATAATTGAAGGAGATTTAGCAATAATAATAACAATAATAACAGCCTTATTATTAATAACAATAAATGGTTGGATCACCATTTCTTAATAATAATGCATATCAATAATTATAGCAATACCCTCAATAACAAATACTTTATTAGTACTAAATTTAATAACCTTAGTCATTTTAGTAATAAACTCCTTTTCTATATCAATAACAACCTAATCCAATTTATCAACAACAACCCAACCAACTATATCAACAACAATAATAACAAAATCAGTTATATTTACAATAAAATCTATTGGCTTAATAACCATAGTAACAATTCTAAAACCATGATTCAAATCCATATTTTTCAAATCAAGTACACACTCCCTAGCATAACCCATAAAAACCTCTTTCATATCTTCAGGTTCCTTAAGTCATTCTTCCGAATATTGAAGAGGAACATTAGCCTTAAGATGAATCTGAGATTATGAATTCAAGTGATTTAACACTTTCTTAATTTATGATGGGGGATTAGAACAAAGAAAAATTTAAACAGGTAGATCTTATCCATGAAATTGTCAAAGATCATAATAAAGTTCAATCAGTCCTGACTTAAAGAATGAACTATATGAAACCTATACTTCATTGGTGGAGTAATAACAATCTTAAATCTGCTATGAATGCTATCACTCAGTAGAATTTGTATTTTATATTAGAGTAACAGAACCATCCATATTGCAAGATGCGTTGTCTCTCTATTCCCAATCATCCAAATTTGGATAAGTCCCTATCGATTCTATCCCCATGCTAATGGAAAAAGCCAGAATTCTGATTGAGTCAAAGTACACTAACCATATAAGGGGAGGACTTGACTTTGCTTGGACAACTCTAAACCAATTTCGAGATGTAATTCTATTATTTACTATCTCAGGAAATCCTTAATATTAAGCTATTCAACTAATTATCAAAGGCAGATTTAACTAGAGAAGAAAGGATTTAAAAATATGATAGAGTGATTGAACAATTTAAAATTATAGTTTAAACACCAAAATTACAAAAAATAATCGATAGGAACAAAGAAGATCTCTCAGACTTGGCTAAGAAATTTTAAATTGAAGTAGTTGGATTTCTCAAAAAGGTGAATCAGAATTAAATGCAAAATTGAATATTAAATTATTGTTAATATATAATATTTTAGTCGTTAATGAATATCTCAAAATCAAAAAATTCTGTTCCCTAGGACAAACCTCTCAAAAGTCCCTAACCAGATATACTATCTATGCCCATGCAACCATTAAGAATTGATATGCTCCTCAACTCCAAAAATAAATTGGAAACCCAACAATCAACCAAAGCATTAGATATAGTCAAATAAATGCATCAAAGTAGTACAGGAAATTTAAAATTGGATACCTCTATCAACAAATCAAAAGAACATCTATTAAAGAAAACTCCTACTAAAACAACTGCTAGTTTTCATTATGATAAAACTCCTGACAATTCCTAAATAAATTAATCATATAGTCCTCACACTCATGCTTGCTTAAAACCATAACTTAAATAATCAGAAGAATAATTAAATATCAAGAATATTTCTTCATAAAAATCCCTTTTGTAAAAAGATCAAAGCGATAGAATAGAGTAACTTAATTTATTATTGAGAGAGTAAAAATAATAAATAATGCAAAAGGAGCAAGAAAATTAAAAATTATAAGAGGCTAACATTCGTTTAAATTAAGATAATCAAAAATTATATACTCAAACAGAGGAAATGTTAAAGGATCTTGAGTATATGAGATCTAATTTTGAGTAATAAAATAAGGATTTTAATCTTCTAAAATAATAAAATCAACAATTATTAGAAGATATGAAACTAATACGAAGTGAGAGAAACAAAATGATTAATAATAACAATGAATAACTTTTAATTTAAAAAAATAAGGAAATTTCATAATTGTAAAGTGAATTAAATGAGCATAAACAACTGCTATTAGCTAAGGATTCATCCATTCAACATTTGAAACATTAGTTTGAAAATTTAGAATAATAATAATATGATATAATGAATAGGTTGGAATAAAAGTAAGATGAGCTATAAACATTAAAACAATAACAATAATTAAATATTCTAAATCAAAAGAAAAGCAATTAATTTGAGTCTTTATCAAGAAGATCATCTGTGTAAAACGATGTCTTATTGTATCAGGCTCAATTAGAGCAATTACAAAAAGAAAAAGAAATATGTGAATAAAAATTAGTTGAAATGTAAACTGTTATAAATTAATTCTTATTAAAGGAAAAGAAGGTAAACCAACCACCCAATAATTCCGTTGTTTAACAAAAAGAATTTAATAAAATGAAACAAATTATTTAAATCTAAAAAAGATAAATTGAATCATAATAGAAAACCATTATGAATTAGCATTATGAAATCTAAAATCTATAAACTTTATTGTATTGCTCTAATGAATAAGACAGTTAATTTAACAAAAAGACATTTGATTCCAATGATGCAGATAAATATTCACTGTAATCTGCAGATATGTAAATATTATTATAATAACTCTTCTAGATATCATCATATATAAGAAAAAGAAAATGACAGAAATAGCTTAAGCGAGCATTTAGGTGCTCATCATCTTACCTTTTAATAATAACAAGGATCTAAATTTATTATGGAAGATACTTTTAGAAATTTAGACAATGAATTAAACTCGCATAATACTATAACAGATTGATTAATATTTTATATATTTTTAAATACTAATTATTACTAATGTTATTTAAAAAATAAAAAATAAAAGTACTTGGATCAAAGCATTTTCCAACTATTTTTTCCTTGTAAAGTTGATGATATGTTTTAAAATGAATTCGACTAATCCTAATCCTTTGATATTCCTTATGATATATGATAATTAATTATACCTGGAGAAGAATTCCTAACTTTATGTCTGACATTAGAAACGTTCGTTGCCTTACTCTTAGATTCATCTTAATTTAATTAATATTTGAATACTTTTAATAGCTGGTGAAAAGGTTCTTGTATTTACTGAGGAGGGTTTTTAAACTAAAGTAAAACTAGTTGATGACACATTGTCTTTGGCTTTTCTTTAAAATATCATTAAGATCTTACACTTATTTTTGTGATTAAGTCTTTTCTGTCAATTCTTATAAGACTCTTATAGGTTGATTCTTTATAAATGATGCTTAACTCTTGGTTAAATTTTAAGGTGATATTAGTTTCTTGAACTAATTGAGGTCTGTAACTATGCCTTTAGCTTATTACTTTTATTCAGCATCTATAGCAGAATTACTATTATTATTAAAACTGTTATTTTAAACTTAATTTGCACTTTAATTTAAGTATTTATCCTAGAATGAGTTATTTGGTTTTTATTAGTTCCTCAAAGTAGATGCTGCTTGTCTTCTGCATTAAACGTTTCTTAAATAAATTTGCGAACTCGACTATGGTAAAGGAGGTCCTTGTTAAGATACCTTTTTAGATGGATCTTTTGAAAATGGAGACAAGCTTTCTTTTTTCTAGATCCCATTTGATTTTTAAGAGTCTTTAACTTCAGTACTACTAGGTCTGAGTTTTGAATCTAAGGTTTCCTAATTTTTAGTTAAAGAGGAACTTCTATCCTATATGTTGGTTTAATTTAGCATAGTGGGTTAATTATATTAGGAGAATTCAGTGTTTTAAAGGTGTTATTTTTAAATGCAAGATTGAGATTAGGATTGTTTGATTTAATTTTTTTATTAAAGTTGCTAAAACTTTTAATAACTAGATTATAATTATGAAATTGATTAAGTTAGTGTTTTTTGAATTTCTGAATGTTTAGTAGAATTCATAGTTTAAATTGATGTTGGACTAATTAATTAATCTAATTTGCTTTTTTATTAGATTGTATTATTAGTTTAATTTATTAATTGTGTCGCTTGTGATTATTAAGATGACTTATCGTAATTCAATAATGCTTCAGCCTATTTATTAAAGTAATTTAAAGATTATTAAACTTGATTTTTAAATTCCTAAAAGTTGGTTAAAATGGAATTTTAGTTATCTTTTTATTTCTAAGAACTAGGTCTTGTCTAATTAGAAATGTCTGTCGATAACTTTTTATCCTCATTTTATTGTAAAGAATTGCTTCTAATTGGATTTTAACAGTTTTAATAGATTTAATTGCTGCTACTCAAAATAGTTCCAGCTGGAGGTTATTATTGAGTTGTATTCTCTGAAGTCTTTATAAAATTGTTAATCAATTAATGTTTTTTATTTAATTCAATGACATTTTATTATTGTTATTATGTTATATTTTATTATTGTTATTATGGTGTTCTGCTTTTTGCAGCACAGTTCATCAGCATATTTTAAAATGAAGGATTGTTAATTAAATTTGCATTATTCAGATTAGAATTAATTGTAATGTCAGTTTAATCTTGTTATTGTGATTTACTACTTTCTTATCTTACTTGAGTTACATTCTAAGTGCTTTTTGGAAAACTAGTTTAGATTTAGGGTTGTTTAGGTAATTAGATCAAGGATTGGTTTTTTTATGCTCCCTAATTAAATTCTAATTTTACTTTTAAAATTGAAGTCTCAGAATCGCGTTTTAGATTCACCTCAGAAGCAGGCACGAAATCAGGGGAACCTGAATAGACCAGAGTTGCTAATTGAATATTCTCTTTATTCATTTGGTCTCTCCATTTTAACTTTTGATTGGTAGGTTTTCCCAAGACTCCCTTTAAGTATGAGGTGAATCTATACCTATTTAGCTTATAAGTTAGTATATATTTCATCGACAGGGCCATTATGAGAATTCAAAAAAGTATTTCTAATGATTAATTCCTCCTAAACATGCTAAGGATTTTATTCATCTGTTGTTAGTTCATTCCATGAAGCAGTTCTTTTTGGTCCTAGTTTATTCATTCTATTTTCCAATGCGTTTAGTTAATAAAAAAAGGATGCTCGAATTTCAAGATCTGGACGTCTGGAATTCAAAAATTCTAATGTTTTATATAATGTCCAAGAATATCTAAAAAATTTAAATTATTTAACGAACTTTTTCATAAAATAAGCAGCAAGCACACAACATGCTCTACTCTATCCTCTAACTGAATGTACTAGGCAACTCTCTCCTTATTGAAAACATTCTTCAATGAATGTAAATATTTTATTTACATTTTCACCTCGTTCATCAAATAACACCTAAATATCAACATTTGAATTGATACTTCATTATCTTACTCCAACCAATTAAAAGTTAAATACTTTGCACCAATCAATGTCCATTTATTTTGAACTTCTGTGCCAGCACAATTAATAATATGAGTTACTTTATTTGTAATTATAAATTCTCGATCCTTTTTTAAATTCAATACTAAACCTATGATGCAAACTCATCCCCAATAAATAATCCATCCTTTATTTTAATTGCTCCTACTATTTGGTTCTAAGCCATAATAAAAAATTTAAATTATTATTATTTATGTTAACTCTTCTTAAGCGATCGATATATTTTGTTCCTCGCTTTTCCTATCATCCAAATGTCATAGACCATTATGAACACCCAAGAAATGTAGGATCACTAGACAAAAGCAATCCCAAGGTAGGAACAGGATTGGTTGGTGCACCAGCATGTGGAGATGTCATGAAACTACAAATTTAAGTTGGAGAAGACGGTAAAACCATTGAATAAGCTGTCTTTAAAGTAATCTAATAGATTCTATTCATTTTAAGACATTTGGCTGTGGTTCAGCCATAGCATCTAGTTCTTATGCTACAGAAATTCTTAAGGGAATGACCCTGGAAGATGCTTACAACATCAAGAATTCAGATATTGCAAGCTATTTAAAGTTGCCTCCTGTGAAATTGCATTGCAGTATGCTTGCAGAAGATGCCATCAAGAAAGCAATAGAGGATCTATAATCCAAGAATAATTAGTCAACATAAAAGTAAGACAAGTGATACATTAAGTGATAATATAAAGTGATTCATTAATCGCTATATTTATCTTGTTGTTATTCTTTTTTACTAAAATCTAAGTTAAAAACAAAATTAATTTCTAAGACATTGTTATTAATCTTATGTTGTATTCCTATTTTACTATGTTCAATTTACATATCTATGAATATTTCTTATGATCAATTTATATTCTCATACACAGTTTCAGTTTTCTCAAAATTAGTGATAATTACCTTCCAAGAAATAATGATTCATCTTATCAATTTTTAAACATGTTTATACTTATTTTAATTATCAATTTCTATATTAAGTGATTGCTAATTTGAATTGGTATGATTAAACTAAAGCAATAAATACTAAATAATATATTTTGTTTAAAATAATTAAATAGAATGACATGCAATAGTAAAGATTATAATATATTAAAAATAGATATTTTATATTAAAGAATTTAATAATAATGAATGCAAATTTATGTAGTTTAGAATTTAAAATTCAAATTCTTTTATTCTTGACTATTTATAGACTATCTATAATATTGCAGAATTAAAAAAAATCAAAAATAAAAAGCTTGCATCTATCCATCAATTTTTAAAGTTTAATTTACCCAACAATTGAGATGTGTATGTTTTCTTTAAATAATAATATTCAGAACATTGATAAATAATTAAAAATAAATGATTGTAAAATTTCACAAGACAACAGAGAGAATCAAAGGATTGTCATTTCATCCTAAGCAACCCTGGTTACTTGTTGGATTACATTCTGGAGCAATTCAAATGATAGATTATAGATTGGGAAGAGTAAGAATATTATTGATATTAAAAACAGACAATAGAAGAATTTGTGTAACATGAAGGTCCTGTGAGATCAGTTTAGTTTCATCAATCTTTGTGTCTATTTATATCAGGCTCAGATGATTTTACTGTAAGAGTTTGGAATTACAAAACTAAAAAATGTTAATTCGTGTTGCGTGGCCATCTGGACTTTATAAGATGTGTACATTTTCATCCAGAATTGCCTTGGTGTGTCTCAGCTTCAGATGATTAAACTTCTAGAGTTTGGAATTATTAATCAAGACAAATGCTAGCCATTGTAACAGGACATAGTCATTATGTGATGCATTGTGAATTTCATCCAACAAAAGACTTTCTAATTACTTGTTCTTTAGATTAGACTATTCGATTATGGTCTATTGCATAATTAAAGAAAAGATTTACTTAAAAGAATGTAAAATATTCAATTAAGTTTTAAAGTTGCAAAATGATTAGCAGAATGAATTAGAATTAATATAAATCTTAGAAGGACACAACCAAGGTGTGAATTGGTGTACATTCAGTCCGACTGAAAATTTAATATTGTCAGCATCAGATGATAAGAAAGTCAAAGTTTGGAAATTTAGTGATTCAAGAGGCTTTGAGATAGATTCCTATTAGGGTCATATTGTAATTATGTATATACTATCAATATAGAATAATGTGAGCAGTGCTATGTTTCATCCATTTGGAGATTACTTTATATCTAATTCAGAAGACAACACAATAAGATTGTGGGATATGAAGAAGAAAGTTGAAATTGACTGTTTTACAAACTATGAATTAGATAGATTTTGGGTTAGTGCTGTTCATTAGAATAACAATTACTTTGCAGGAGGAAGTGATTCTGCTTTATACATATTTACATTATTTAGGAATAGACCTGCTTTTGATTTAATAGATAATAAGATTTTGTTTGTTGGGAGCAAGAAATAAATCAAAATAATAGATTTATAGAATAATAAAGAGATAGTCATTAAGAATTTCCAAGAAGTCGCTACTTTAATATCAGATAACCTATTATAAGATAATATTGAGTTTATCTAATAAAATATTTATGAGACAAGTAAAAACATGCTCTTAATCAGGTTGAAATAGAGCTCTCATAATAAATAGAGAGGAATATGTAAATATATGATTTTTGAGTGCTAAACTAATCTCAGTCAAATCTTTTTGGGTAAGACTGCTATTTTCATTGGAAAATATAAGATTTTAAAGTCCAAAGAAAATTCAGAGATAGAAATTTATAATTTTGAAGTTGATTCCCATAAAGCTCTAGGCCATAAGGCTGATAAACTATTTCCTTATTAAGGAGGCAAAGCCATCTTCTATTCTGATGAGATGATTAATGTATTAGATCCTGAGGCTAATTAATTAGTTTATCAAATCCCTTGTTCTAATGAATTTAATAATATGAAAAAGGTACTGACTAACGACACATATGTTATGATTTAAACTAAGAAAGCTATTCATCTGTTTACAAAATCGTTCTAAAGGGTTACATAGATTTAAGAGTCAATAAACATTAAATCAGTATTATTCTTAAGTAAAACCTAAAACATTATCATATATTCAACAAAAGTTCACATAAAATATTTGTTAATAAATGGGGATTCTGGTATTTTTGGAACCATGGAAACAGTTCCATATCTTATTTAATTACAGTAACCAATAGACAGATAAAGTGAAAAATATAAATTAATTTACATGAATAATGTTGGTACACTATTAAATATGGCTCTTGATTGTTCTGAAATGTTGTTTAAGTAGGCTTTGATCGATAAAAACATTAAATATATCTAAAACTTCTTATAGTCACATAAGAAATTAGGCGTTTTGATTACATCATATCTATATTAAAAAGGATTTCCAATGATTGCCTATTAATTGGTTGAGGACAAAAGAGCTAAATTTTAATTAGCATTGTCTTCTAATAATCTAGAACTCTCCTATAGAACTTGCGATGACTTAAAGAATCCCGTATGTTATCAAAAACTATCTGAAGAAGCCATGAGATAGGGTAATCATAATATAGTTGAAGTTTGTTAATAGAAATTGAGATCCTCTCAATAACTGTCTTTTCTCTATACAATTACTGGTCAAATTGATAAGTTGAATGTATTGAGTAATATAGCCAAAGAATAAAATGAATATAATACTCGATTCTAAACATTATTACATCTCGGAAATTATAGTTAAAGAGTTCAATTCTTATAGGATTGTAAATTGAATCATATTGCCAATCTCAGCAAATTAGTACATGGATTAGAATATGATTAAAAATTGATCATACCTGAAGATTTAGAATGGGTGTAATCTTTATAACCAGAATTGCTATAACCTCCTGTTTAAATTATTAAATCCAAATAGCATCCTCTATTTTCTATGAATTGGCCTCATAATTCAGTTGATTAAGATGACTAATATAATATATTAATAGTAGAGGATCAAGAAAATAAAGAAAGAAATCAGAAATCATAAGAAAAACCATCATAGAATTAGGAAAAGAAGAATGTCAATAATTGTTAGATTAAAAAAGAAGATTAAACCAAAGAGAATTAGGATAATGAAGAAGCATTTGAAGATTGTTAATGGGAAATAAATGAATCAGAACTCCTGGAGATGTAACTAAATTAAGCAACTTTAGATTATAAGAGCTTGTAGTATGGATATCCTGATTATAAAAAAGGTATGATCTACTTTATAACAAAATAGTTTTATCACCTGTTGAATAGATAATTACTGAGTAATTCCAATAATGCTAATAATCATTAAAATCCACAAAAAATGTGACTAATATTAATCTGTGCAAAGATTAGATGAAATAATTATGTCTTAGCTCAATTATAGAAATAAGTTAGATACCTTTTCTTTAGCCTGCTCCATAAATGATATCAGCTGTATCAGATAAATAGCATTTCAGTAGAATTTCCTAAGATCTTCTAAAGTAAGGATACAAACAAACTACGGATGGCAAATTTCAAGATGCTTTGACTACTTTTAAAACTTTATTGAGAAAAGCTCTATTTTATGATAAAAACACAGATATTATTCCAATCTGCTTAAATTATATTATAGCGATGAATTGTGAAATTAAGAAGAAAGACCAAAGTGTTTCTAGACAAATCGAATTAGCTTGCTATATGGCCATGTGTGATTTATAACCAATACATCGTTCACTTACTTTAAGGGCAGCTATGAGTTTGGCATACAAACATAAGAATCATTTGACTGGGGCTTATGTTGCTAAATATTTGTTGAAATTATTAGAAAAGGCTCCATAAGGATCAGCTTATGCTAAGGTTGAAGTTATCGAAAACGTAAAGAAAGTATTGAATTGTATAATATTGTAGATCTTAAGAAATTGTGAGTAATCATTACGAAATGAATATGAAATAGATTTTGAAGAAGATTATTTAAATTAAGGGACTAAGATTTTGTTTGCTGATAGTTTGACAATCATTAAACATTAAAACTTTTACTAATGTCTTTTTGATAAAGCAATTTATTCTTAAAAAGGAAAACTTTGTTAAATTTGTGATTTGTGTTAAATGAATTGATATTGTATATGAATTTTATATAAACTTATTGTCTTCGATATAAGAATTTATGTTGATAAAAGTTGTTTATTTAATAAGAAAATACTATTTCAATTCAGATATATCATCTATCTAATAGAGATAACCTTATATTATAAAATTCAACGTAATTAATTAACTCAATCAGAAAAGGAACTGCTACTATCTGAACGTTCAAGCTTAGACATTTTCTTTCTAAAATCAGAATCCTGTATTCTGACTTTGGCTGTTTTTTATTGTTTCATTAAAGCTAATTAATTGATCCTTGCATCCAAATCATCATGTTGTTAAACTAATATTTTATTTTTTCCTTTTAAATCCCTAACTTATTTTTATAATTGATCAATAGTATCAATATATTAAGCGTGTTCCTTTTTTTGATTTGACAATTGTGATTTTAAAATGCTATTTTCTTCTCTTAATTTGATCATTTCTTTGCTAATTTTTTCAATTTTAGCTTCCAAAACATCCATATCTTTATGTTAAGCATCAGTTAATTATTAAGATTATCTTTATAATCTTTCTAATTACTCTTTATACTTTTCCATTTCTTCTTTTAAGAAAGTACTTTATCTTTATTCAGCATGCAAAAGTCTAATTTATTCATTAATTTGCTATTCTAAATTATCAATCTAAGCATTCTTTTTTTTAAGTTCTTCATTATGAGATTGGCCAGATTATTTTTCATTTGCATATTAATTATTAATATCTCTTATCTATTTACTCATTTTTTCAAATTGTTATTCATAATCATTAATTTCTAATTCTAAACGTTTGCTAAAATATTAAATTAAAATTACTTTTAATCTTCTAATTATGGAATTAATCTACTTGATTTTTCATATTGAATTCTTAATTAATCATTTTCTTATTGTAGAAACTTATTGTCTTTTTTAATTCTCTCACTTTCTAAACTTAAATTCTTTAATTTCAATTCCAATTCTGAAACTCTTTCTTTAATTTCTCCGCTCCTTTTCTTTTATTTATCAACATCAACCATTTTCTCTTCTAATTGTACTTATAATTATTGATCAATCTTCTTTTTTAACTTTTAGATTCTAATTTACTATTCTGAAATAGTTCCTTCTTTAGTCAATAGTTTATTGTCTAATAATGTAATTTAAGTTCTTAGTGTTCCTATTTCCTTCTGTAACACATCAATTTCTGAGTTTAATTACCCACTCACTTTTTCTAAAGTAGTGTTTGTGTCAAAATGCTATTTGACTTTGGATTAATCAGTCAACATGTGTGTTAGTTTATCAATCTGAATCTATAATTTTTGATTATTGAGTCTCTCAGCATGTCTAATGATAATGATAAATTCATACACATTCTCTTTATAAAAGTCTGCTTGTCTTTCAAGTGCACATTTTTCATTTTGCCAATTTCTTTTTTCCTCTTACCATTGTACTTATAATTCAATGATTTCTTCTTTCATCTTAGCCAAATGATCATTTTTTTTCAAAATTTTGAATTGTAATTTACTGACTACATCACGTAATTCTTCATCACTCTTATGATTATAAGTTGAGTCATTGTGAACACTTCTTTTTCTTTCGTTCCCAGATTCACTACGTTTATTAGATGAAAAACTCTTTTTTGTTGGCTATCGTTACATATTAAATTTAATGTCTAAATAAATTGTACATCATTAGTCATAAAGTCTTTGGAACTATACCTTATCACCAGGTATTTGCATATTTTCATTATTCAAGGCTGGACAATGAAAGAAGTGGAGATTCTGAACTTGGCGCTCATGAAGTTCGGAATAGGAAAATGGCGCAAAATTATAAACTCTGAGTGTTTACCAGGTAAGAGCATAGGACAGATATACATGCAAACTTAAAGATTACTGGGATAACAGAGTTTGGGTGAATTCATGGGTTTGTCAGTAGATCTAAAGAAAGTGTATTTACATAATATGCAAAAAAAGAATGTATTCAGAAAGAACAACTCAATCATTAACACAGGAGATAATATGACTTAAGAGGAAAGGAAGAAGAGGATAGCTGAAAACAAAAAGAATGTATTCTCTCATTATTTTCTAGTTTGGCATCAGTCCTGCTGATATTGCTTTAATTAAATTACCCAGATATCATGTTAATTCATAAACTTCCTTCCTTTCTCATGATGAAATCTTGGAAGGCAATTTTACGACAGTGGAAAAGATAAACAATCTTTGTGCATTGAAAAAAGATATATTAAGGAAATTGAAAAAAATAGAAAATGGAGAATTAGAAGAGGCTTTTGATGATGAAGTAGAATAGAAAAGAAGATATAAGAAAGTAATGACGGATTCAGATTCATCATCAGCTTGATTGATATCATATTTTCATTAATATTGATTTTGGTATCATAAAAGAAAAATTATCCTTGCAATAATTTTCTTTAGACATTTTAAGTCTAAATTTAGAAAGAGAAAGACAATTCATGTAGGAGATTAGAAATAGTTATTTACAATTCTCTTATTTTATATTATATTTTGATATGTTTGATCATTAACTTGTCTTCTTAAGTTCTTCCAATTCAAATGCCTTCTTTATAGCTTCTTATTGATGTCTTGATTTAATTCCTACTTAACCACCTCCGATAGTTCTCAATAATTCATGATTTTCATTATAGTGTTATCTCAAATCACGAGCCTAGAATATATTAATTGATTACCAAGTTGTCGAATTCTGCTTAGTCTTCCTTTCTGACATCGGTCAATGCTACGCAAGTTGCAGTCTTTTAGTGGACCAATGCTCCCAATCTGGCCTTGTCTTTTATAATTGTATATTTATGTACTTTTAACAAAGGCAAATGGGACTTCTTAACGTCTACATAATTATGGGAGCCAAACAACTAATTCGATTGGATCGACATCATAAGCAATCAAAACCAATTTGGCTTTCTTTGTTTCAACCAAAGTAGTAACATGATTCAATCCGAATTTGAGGACTGTCACTTTCTTGCTATCTGTCTTCTAGTTTTATGCCTTGGATTCAGCAGCCTTGACTAATCTTTATTTCTTTTCGGTTTTGGTTTCTGGGGCATATTTCTTCAAAAGAGCATAGACCTTTGAACCTAACATAAATATATACACATTACTTTGATTTTTGTCGAGTGTTTTGCTGAATTAATGAATGGCTGCTGGCACTTTGATTCTTTGCAATAAGATCTTTTTTTATCTGTGTAAAAGAATGTAACGAGGCCATCTGACATATCTTGATAAATCTCTCTTTGGTTGGACATCATTTCCAATTCTGAAGTTTTTGGCCTCTTTAACAAAGAGTGGGTTCTTCTTTCTATCTGCTACTTTCTTTTAAATCTTCTTTGCCTTGGATGTCTTTGGAGCTTTTGGCTAAAAGAATAATCACAATCAAATTTACCATTGTTAATGAAAATCTTTTAATATATTTTTTGAAAATAAAAGAAAAAACAAGCCTTAATATTTAATTAATTCATATACTTTACAAACCCAAATGAATTGACAAAAATATCATCATCACATAAATACGAGAATCCCAATTCATCAAATAACAAATTGATATGATGAACTAAGACTTATTCATTATTAACTAAATTTACATATAAATAATTCTAAAAATTATTAAAGCAATCAAAATTATAAATATCTATATTGAATCCTAAGAGTCCTATAAAAGAATTACAAATAATCATCATCCATCTAAATCAATTCCTTAATGGCTAAGGGCTTTCAATTTTAAAACTTGAAATTCATGAATGCTCACTTTTTTATCCTTAGATAAATCTTTCATATTAATCCAACTATATATCTCTTCTTTCATAGGCGCATATTTCTCATCTGAAACCAGGTTATTTATTTCAATTAAAAATTTTGGTGCTTACATAAATATTTAATAATACTTCGTCAAATGTAATGAATCCAACTTTATTTAAGTCAGCTAATTCAAAAGTACATCTAGTGGCTTTTAGTCTTGCCTTACTTAATGTGCCTATCTATGGCTTTGCTTGATTAATATTCATTTTTGAAATATATAAAATTATAAAAACAGATTTTAAATTTCATTTTTTCTTTATTTAATTATATTTTGTTTTTATTAGTTTTTCTTCAACCTTTATTTGCTAAAATTACACTTAAGCTTATTTCAATTACAATTCCAAAGTGTTAAATCTTTCATTTAATCTAATTTTCTAATTAAAAACTTTATTTAAATTGGCATTTTCAATAATCAAAATGTGGACTCTTTCCTCCAAATCAAGAATCAATTAAGTGATATAGTCAGTTGTAGTGTTCTTCACAAGTTCAAACTAAGAAATCTCATATTTTTTTTAATTCTCTTTAATTTCATTCAATTTCTTTTCATTTTCTTTTTTTAATTTTATTTGCTATTCTATATTTTATTTAAGTTAATTCAAGTTCCCTTTTTATTGCAATTCTTTATTCTCTTAATTTAACTTATCATTCATCTAAGTCAACAGTTAGATTTTTTATTTTAACTCCTTTATGAGAGTATTTGATTATCCGCGTTAAATTTCAGATGTCAAATTAAGGATTTGCTTCTAGAGATTGCTGTTATTTTATTTAAAATAATCTAGTTCTGATTTTATATTTTGAGAAACATTATTTCCTATTTTAACAGGTGATTTAGCTGAATGAATAGAAAAGTTATAAGGAGATTAAATTGCATTTATTTCTTTCCTGGTTGTTAAGGGTGATCTACAATTTGGAGAAAAAAAGGTTTAAGTTTTTAGTTTAGTATTTCTAGGACTCATATAAGCAGTATTACTATCTTATCGAGAATCAGGAACTGTCGAAAGTTTTTATTTTGATATTTAGAATTGAAGCTAATAATTCAGATCTTGGGTCTTAGAAGCTTGAGATCTATAAGTGTTCTGGTTAGAATCGATGGGTGACAAAGGCGATCGAGTTTGCTACATAGTTGATAAATAATATTTTAAAATATTAACGATAAATTTAATAACAAAATAATAATACCGAAAAATGAGTTTACTAAAGATGTTGAAACACTAGCTAAAATCAATTAGATAGATATGGGTTATTCTCATTTTTGGATAACTTTCTCTGTGATTACACTAACATATATTTAATTAATTTATTAATATTTAATGAAAGAATAATTTGGCATACCACTTGTTCTTTGTTGTTCTTCTCTCCTTCTAAACTGGTTAATCAGATAATATTTTTATATTTGTTTTTGAATATAATAAAGAAATACAAACATATTAAGATTTGTATAATTTATTTATATCTAGAGTCTATAGACTGTTACAAATTATATTCATATTAAAGTAGATTATTCAGTTGTAGTTTGATCCAATTCATCCACAAATAATACTTTTTTAAGTCTTTTTGATAAATTTTTCACTTTTTTTATACCTTACACCTTAATTGATTGAGCATTTTTTATTGTGTTTTCATATGTTTACTGTAGCACTTTTAAGTCTTCATTGGACATAGTATTGATTAATTCAGCATATCCAAAAAATAATTTTTTTTTCGTTCTCTCATGCAAAGTTCCAAATTAGCCTCTCCTATTTCCAAATTTTCTTTGAAAACAAAGCTTATAAATTCCTATTAATAAGAATAGAGGAGCTAATAATAAGACATAAAAAATGAAAGTCATTTTAAAAATAAGTATTATTTAATAAAAATTTTCTGGCAATAATTTTTCCAAATGGCAGTTTTTTCTATGTAATCTATATTCAATTGATATAAAAATTCTTTAATAAATCAATTAATATCTATCAAAGATGTATATTATCTATAATAAATGATGCATTTTTTCATTGTTTTACCTAATGTAAGGAAGAGATTTGAAGAAATTTTAAATGATTATACCAAGCTATCAACTCACAAAATTCGCTAATTATCTAATCAATGGCATAATATAATTTAATATCTTCTCAAATTCATTTCAATCGCTTTAGATATCTCTTAATATATACTATTTACAATTCTTTATTAAAAATTTAAATATCTGAAGTATTAAATATCAAATCATTAGGAGCAAATGAGAAATCAATATTAAAGTTTATCATTTGAACCCCTTTTATCTAGTATAAGAATTCTATTTTTTGAAAACATACATTTGATTTTCAATTCAATTATATGATCATTTATACTAATTCCTTGGAGATGGGAATTTCATAATGAAATTAGAATATTTTTAATTAATATGAAAAAATATAAAATAATTCTTTAATATGCATAAATGAAGAGAAGCTCTAATAATCTGCAAGTTTAATATATTTTAATGTACTGTTGTAATTTTACTCAATCAAACAAACCTCCCATATCAACATCTTCTTCAGGTTCTGGGTCCTTTGGTTTTTCAGCTGCTTTTGGTGCTTCTGTTGGTTTGGCAGCAGCTTAAGCTGGTTAAGCAGCTGGTGCAGAGCCTTAACCTCCTCCGACTGAAAGAAGGCTTATAATGTCTTTTCCTTCAAAGGCTCTCACGAATTAGGTTGCCAATTATGATGGAACATTCACACCAGCCTGTAAAAATATTTCAATTAATGAATACTTTCTTGGTGAGTTTTTCAACATTTTCAACTGTGAATGGAGTTTAGGCTCCAGCCAATAAAAGAGCTGCATATGCTACTGCTGTTGCTTAATTTGCCATAATAATAATTATATTTTTAAATAAAAAGATTTCCTTAATTAATTAAATGTGAATAGTTCTGAAACAAATAAATAAATTCTTTAAGTATTTTTTAACTGACTATTTCTGTAATCATCAATGGCTGAATCTGAAACAGAATCCAATTAATTCTTTCAAAATAAATCATAAAATAATCTTTTTAATATAAATCTAATTTACAATTAAATGATAAACAATGAATACATAAGTACATAAATTGGATATTATTTGAGATCAACTATATTTATCGATGAAGGTTGTCATTAATGAATTAATCTAAAAAAAAAGTAATTAAGAGTATGTGAAGTTCAGAGAATCAATTCGTATTTATTAATTGTGTTGCTGAAAAATATTAATCGATTACATGATTGCAAGAAATGCTTGAATCATTTATTACTTCATTTAAAAGCTTTCATAATGAGAACCATTCCATATAAATTTATTAAATTTAATAATCATTTATATTTCTAGAATTCTTGTAGAAAATTAGTAAATTCATCTCCATTTGCTTAAGAATTTAAAAATAACTTTAGAACATTTTATGGTTCATGTTACTCATCACGGCTATGCTATTAGTATGTAGATTTATGAGTTAGATAAATATATATATTGCACATTTTATTAAATTCTTTAACAATTTAAATTTTATATAAATTTTTGTTAAATTATTTTGCTATTTTTTGAAATCATAATGCTATCAATGTTTATATAAATAATTTACATTTTCTGCTCAGATGGATATATAAGATTTTGTAGAACAGAACCCTTGGCTTCCAATTTATCAGAATGACACTCTATCTAAATAATCTACTTGATGCATCTTTTAGGTGATATTTAGTTAAAAAATGAAGGATCTAATCATTTAAAATATTAAGTTTAAACAAAATAAATTGAAATACACCTTTTATTCAAAGAAAATAAATTAATAATTTAATTGCAATTTCTCGAAATCAAATAAAATTAATTAGATGATTAAGAAGTTTTGATATTAAAAATAGGTTTACATTCCTAATTTCTAATCAGAAACATTTTGATTAAGTCAAAAGTCTTGAATTTTTGCTAAACTTGCTATTGGCTAAAATTAGGATTTATTAACTTTTAAAGTTAAAGGAAGTTGATTTAAAATGGTCATTTCAGGATGATAATTCTTTTAAATATATAAGCAAATTTGGCTAATTAAATACAACGAATTCTATTAAATATTCTAAAAGATGCTAAACGCTGTTAAAGATATTCTAGAATAAGAACTATAAAAAAAAATCATTAGAATAAAATGATATAAATAATTTTTAGATGTGTTTAAAAGAAAAAAAGGTTAAATTATCATTTAATTTTAGACGATACCTTTGAAAATCCATAAAGGTTCTCTGATTATCTCTTAGTGATTGTTTTTCTCTCTTCGTTTTTAAAATAGTTTAAAGCAATCGAGAATGTTTTTTTTTCATTAGCTTTATTACTACTTACATTCATTAAATCAAAGGCTGACAATCTTGCAGAATTATTACGACAACTCGCAATATTTTTATTACAGATTGCTGGTTTCTCAAATGCATATAGAAATTCTAAATTCAATATAAATCTATATCTCTGTACTTAAAGTATTTTCATTTTAATCGCCTGTGACTCTTTTGTCTTATATTAAATTGTCAGAAAAGTCTCCATGTTTATTTGTCGTTTCAATAGATAGCTTTTAACTTTGTGGCTTATTCAACATAAACTAATATCTATTATAATATTGAAAATAATATTAAATATTTATTCGATTAAATTAATTTAGTATTGAATCAAGGTCAGTAAATGATCATCAGTCATAGAATATTAATAGATATTTTCTTATTAAAAAGAATAAATTAAATAGAATATAGCAATGACTTTAAGTAAAAATACAAGTTTGAGGGATGAAATTATTGTTCTATTAATTTAAAGGTATTAAATTAGTCGATAAAGTAATTGAATCATATTGAGAATCACAAGAGAGTAAGACTATCTTGAAATATAATGTATATATGAGGATATGGATGAGAGATTTCAAAAATTTAAGAGGATTATTAGATCTAAATAATTTCATCTTGATTTCCTTAAAATATATTTTACATAATCATAGGAGGACTTTAAAATTTTAAATGGATAAAGGGAAATCAGGAATAAAATTGTTAGTATTATCACATCAATTTTAATATAAATATAATTTAACATTAAAATTGTATAGATTTAATCTTCAAGAATTGCTTTAAAGATCAAAAGTCTAAAAACTAGAAGAATTTTGTATGTGAATCCTCACATTAAGAAGATCATTAGATTTGGATTGTTTACTGGATCGATAAAATTTATCTTAACTCTTAATTGAATTAAAGTGATATATAATACTATAATACAGTGATATATCTTCAAGAATGTCAAAGCTATGAAAATATTTTTTACAATACTTTTATTATTATAAAATTCAGGCGCGATTCTTTGAGAATCAAAAAAATTCAGAAATTAAACTAATAATAGTTATTAGAAAATGACAGAAAAGGTTACTCATTTAACTTATGAAGCATTAAAAAGTATGGTGGAATATTAGGATAATACAACTTAATATTGCGTTCAAATTTTAAATATAGTATTTTAGGATGATATGAAATCAAAAAATGGCATTTTGTATTAGTGCATTTGTAGTGATGGATTTGCAAAAATGAAAATGCATATACTCAATTTAAGCCCTTCAATTTTAGCGAATATCTCGAAACTTAATCCAATTATTCGAATTTTAGAATTAAAGTTGTCATAGCCATTTTTTATAGTAATAAAGCATGAGGTCTTATATTTAGATAAATGTCAAGTTGGTTAACCTTTGGATTATGAAGAATTTAAAAGGATGGTATTTATTTAATTTGCATATATAGAATTATACAAATCCCAATGGAAATAATGAAATTTAATTCCCAAGAGCTCCTCATGTTCTCCATATCAATTCAAATAAAAAATAATCCATGTTGCCATAACAACAATAAAAATAAATTAATGACTTTATGAACTAAGATTAATAGCAAACCAAATCTGGTGTTAAACTCTCAATCCAATAAAAATAATCATAAATTAAACAGGCACCATAATTTGTTGAAAATCAAATATATTAACCACCTTCTGATATAAATTTATTAAAAATATCAGAACTCTATCCAGGAATGAGAGGATTCAAAATTAAAGGAAGAATTACTTCAAAAACTGATATTACCTAATTTAAAAATGGTAAGGGATACTTGTTTACAATTGAAATCATAGACTCTGATAAATAAACCATTTAAGGAGTATTCTTTAACAAATTATGTGATAAGTTTTATGATTTTATTGATATTGGAAAGGTATATTATTTTGAAAATGCTTCAGTAAAGACAAATAGATATTCTAGCAAAAATCAAAATTAGAGTGATTATCAAATACATTTTGAAGACTTTTCAAAGATATCAATCGCCCAAGATGACGAAGAGATTGATACTTTTGCATACTAAATTAAAACGATAGAAGATGTTGATAATTTGTCTTTAGATGAAAAATGTGATGTGCTTGGAGTTATTATAGATATTAAACCAACAACATAAATTATGACAAAGTCAAATGAAAATAGATCTAAGAAAAATATTACTTTATATGACTAAACATAAAGGGGAATAGATATAGTTCTTTGGGGATAATAGGCTGAAAAATGGTAATTTTAAAAAGATGAAATAGTAGCATTTAGAGGATTAAAGATTAGTGATTACTAGATGGTTAGAAATTTAACAGTTACTAATTCAACTATTTACGAAAAGAATTTATCTAATCTAAAAAAAATTAATGGATTTTAAGAATTTTATGAATTCTATAGCAAAAACAAAGATTTTTTAGAAACAAAACCAAAAGAATCAAGGAAGAAATTTCCTCTATCTTATATTGAATAAATAAAAAAGGATTTTGAAGGAATCAGAAACATCAAATTTGTAAAATTCTATGAAATTAAAGCTTACATAACAAATATATTCACTAAACTTCTCTATTATGAAGGATGCGAGAATTGCAAAAGAAAAGTTGTCTATATACAATAAACAAAATTATATCATTGCCAAAGTTGCAATTAAAATTTTGATCAACCTAGTTATAAGTATATGTTTAATGCTAAAATTGCAGATACAACTGGAAATCTATCTGTAAGTGTTGCCAATGATTAAGGATAATAAATCTTATGTATAAATTCTTTATATCTATTTTAGAACTTTCATGCGATGAATTTTAAAAAAAGAGTCAAGTAGATAAAGATAATTATGTTAAAAGAGCAAATTTTTAATAATTTAGATTCTTAATCATAGGAAAAGTTGAAACTTATAATGATGAAATTAGACCGAGATACTATATTTCAACTTTCATATAGGATGATATAGTTAGTGATAATGAAGAGCTATATAACTAGATAAAGCAGATGCTAAGCCAAAATTATTGATTTAACGCTTTTTACAATTTATATATTCATTATATTCTAACTATTAATGATAATATTATATATTACTTAACAATTCGATTACAGATTACAGAGAAGTAAATTGATGTGAAAAAAAGCAATTATCCTAAAGCTGGGTCTTAAATATCAACATTCTTTACAAATTAGAACAAAAAATATTATTATTCTCCATTTGATCTACCTTAAGCACAATTATTTAAAAGTAGAAGATTAAACATATTATTTTAAAGGAGGAGAATAAGAGGGTAATTAAAAATTATTTTAGGAGCTATAAACATAGAATAATATTGAGAAAAATGTGATTTATAATTGTTTATTCAAATTTAATAATATATTTATTATATATAATTAGGAAAGTAATGTATTAGGACCCTCAAAACAATGAAGAAATTATATTACTTTAGACCATTGAAAAGGAGTTATCTAATGACTAATAATTATAATAAATTTGCAAAATAATAGGGTAATAGAATCAAAGTAATATGTATTATTTATTATAGATCCTCGATTGTTGGTATTTCTTCAAGAATTATTCAAAATACTCTTTAATACATACACATAAAAAGATTATCTCTAAAAAACCCTTAAAGTTTTAAATACTATTTTGAATAAATACAAATTCAGGAATAGACCAATACAATATTCTGATTTGAGTCATTATATTAATTAAAAATATAATGAAGTCTTGGGTACCTATATTTTTAATGCATAGCTCATTTTTATGAAAAAGCATTCCTGAAAGGGCCTGATGAAGCATACAAGCATATGAATTTTATTTATTACAAAAAGATAGCAAGAGATTACATGTAGTCCCCGACTTGTTAAAATTCTGAGTTAACAAAAAGTATTTTAACCAAAATTGATTAAACCAATTAAAGTTTTACAGGTAATACTCCTTAAGAATTCGAAATGGCTGTTTTTGAATGTCTAAATACACTGGAGTAAGAATTACTCACATAAATTGTTTCGGCTGATTAAAGTAAGGCCCCTAAATAGATAAATAGCTTATAAGAAAAGTTCTTATTAAATCTTCCCCCAGATTTGTAGGACAAATACAGAAGTCAAAATTTCACAGATATATATGCTTTTAAAGATTATCTCGTTTAAGAAAAGTAGACCAAAGGTATTGAAAAAATTTTAGGATATATATTCGTAGACAAATTAAACTTTTATTTAAATTCCTATTATTTTGTGAATTCAGCAAAAAAGATCAAGGAAAATAAATCAGATTTGTAAAGATAGTTGCATGAACTTGAAAAGGACATCATGGATTCTCAGAAGGATTACTATTCTTTTATTGATATTCCATCAGTCAAATATTTTTATAAAAGTTTAAAGTCAAAGCGTGTTCGAAATTTGAATGGACAATGCTTTTCTTTTAAGAAGAAGTTAACAGACTTTATAAAATCTGAAATCAATTCCTGTGAAGTACCAAAAAAATTTAACATAGCATAATCTGAGAAGTGGAATGAAATTTATTTTACTTTATATTCAGAAATGTAAAGGAACACAACAATTGAGGAGGCTAATGTTGCATTTAAGATAATTTAGAATATTTAATAATTAATACTATAATTTTTAAGATTTAGATGGAATTATCTCTTTTTATTTTGTGCATTAATTGTGGAAGCTAAACTATAATAAGACGAATTAGATTCGGTTTTAGATGTGGCTTATAATATGATGTAGCAGACTAACAAGGGCAATTTAAATAGAAGTTTTGATTAGATTTTAGCAGAATTAAATGCAAAAGCATCTAAATAAATAACTTCAAATTATTTTGATAAAATTGGGTATAATATGGGCTACATTTCTTTATAAGTCCTTGAATCTCTGCTTCCTTTTATAAATAATAAACTAATTAAAGTTATGCTTCAAGTGAATGTACAAAGCAACTAAAAAATTAGGTTGATCAACGATTTGAAAACCTTCGAGTTTCATTTAATCCATGATTGCAGCCAAAATTTAAAGACATATTTAAAAATATTTGATAAATTAGTTGATTCAATCTTGGAAGGGGAAAAGGAAGAGAAAGACTAAAAATCTTTGTTCTTAAGATCTTATACAGTGTATTTCAATACAAAACTAAAAACTTTAATCGGGGAAAGATCTAATAAACAATTGGGTTCGTAGTTTTTTAACACTTATTTTTACAACATTTCAAAATTAAAATTAGATTATCAGAGAAAGACTTTAGGCCAATATCAAGAAATATTTTAAAGGGAAGAGAAAATTAGTTAAATTTGTGAATAATTTATTTTAAAGGAGGCGGAACGGTAATATCCAGCGGATATATGTAAAGATTTGATACCTGTTTATATCGATACTTTTTTTAAGGATAATCCTTTTATAATTTTCTTGCCTGCCTTACTAAGAGGTTTAAGTTTTTTCTTTAGACCCCAAAAATATATTATTTTTGAAAAATTAGAAAGAGTTAAATTTGCTGCAGTTGCTTTCAGAGATAAGGATTAGAATGAAATAAATAAATTTATAGAATTTATGAATGTTTAAAAAGATTTATATACTTTTGAATAGTAATTTCAAATCGCTAAGAATATCTATAATTTTTATATCACAATACCTCAATTTGTTGGAGAATCTTCAGCTTGTAAACCAATTACAGATTCATTTCCATAATTTAGTCAAATGAAGAGCATAAATGATTATAATTCTACAGCATATAATGCTATTTGTTTTTTTACTTCCAAGTTTTTTTGTCAAGACCCTAAGGCAGTAATAAAAGGAGAAGATCAATTAAGAAATAGTGATATATTAAAGAAATTGTCAAGTTTAATGAGTGAAAAAAGTCAGTTTGAACCCATTTAATAGGACAATTTCTTAATCTAATTTATAGAATTAAAAAATTACAAAGCTTAATTAATAAAAGAAGTACACTAAAGTAATGATTAAAATTTTTAACATAAATGTATTGAAGTATTTCAAAAATAGACTAGTAGATAAACAATTATGAGTGAGATTATAGAATATAAAAAATAGAATAAAATACCCCAGAATGAAATCGAATAGTATTATTGGGCAAAGAGTTTTTGGATACAAACTGGAAATCAGGAATTTCGATAGAATATTGACAACACAATAAAAAAAAAAGTAGAGGACTATTTTAAATATTTAATTAGTATTCCAACACTATCTTAACTAAATGAAAAATTATCAAAAGATGTAAATACTTTGCAAGACCCTTACATTAAAGAATTGATTAAGAAATAATATCCAAAATATAAAGATGAATTCGAAAAAAATTTTAATAAAATAGTCTCACAATCTCCTGTAAGTAAATAACCCATCCTTTAGATGGGAGCAATCTAAAAAAAGTTATCTAATATTAGATAGGATTCAAAATTTAGGGAGTTCTCAACAGAAGATCAATCAGTTTTGACATTTATAAACGAATAATTTAGTCTTTACATGAAGCAACTCTTGGGAAAAGTCTTTTAAGTGGCCTTGACCCAAAAACCAGGATATGAATTCAAAGTATTTTAAAATAAGCCTATTTCATCAAATGATACCTTAATGATGAAATATAAATAAAATCAAGAATTGTAAGGAAAGTTCGGACCTCAAAAAAATTCATATCTTGACATAACCTTACTAACTGCCAATGAGAACAAGAATTAACTATATTACGAGTTGTGTGACTATACACCTACCTAGAGGTAAATAGAATTTAGGAATTTTCTAATTGAAATAGAACCTCTTTAGGAGGAGAAGCTGAAAAACAAAATCAGAAAAAATAAGTGGAAAGAAGAGCATCCTGAATTGGAGGAAGTACTAAAGAAGAGAATCAAAAGAGGAGCTGAATTATGGAATTAAGTTTAAGATTTCCTCTGTAAAAGAGAGAACAATGAAAATGCAATGGATTCAGATGAAGAGTCAGATAAATATAAAGGTTAATAGTAATAGACAATTGATATTGTTGAAGATGATCAATTAGATTAAAAAATTCAAGATGTTCAGAGAAGTTTTGAAAGACAATTGTTGACTGGAAGACATTATATAAAGACAAGGTATTGATATATTGTAATGTTTAGATTAAATAACATGGATAATGATAACCCATTATTAACATAGAAAGAAATAACTGTGAAGACGGTTCAGTTTGTTTTGGAGTAGCATCCCTATTTCAAAAAGAGTCAGATTTTATATAAATCGTACATTTTGTGAAGAGTATCTATTTTAAGATTATTATATAAAATTATAATTTGTAGAAACTAACTATTATATAATTCTTAATTCATAAATAGAGTGCTATTTCTACTCCAAAATGTTAATTTAATGATTAATCTAAATCAAAAATTCATTCATCATTTTAATATTAATTAAGATATCAGTTAGTCAATAATTAGTTATATATTTAAAATAGAATTCCGACCAAAATGATTTGAATATTGGAGATAATAATAAATTATTCAATGCCATGCATTCTTTTAGTTTATCATCAAAATATGGAAATATTAGTTGCTATTATTTGAAATTTAAGTATGCTTTCAATTTTTATTAAATATTTTTTATAACATAAAATGCACTAGTATAATAATGAAGAAGTAAATTTATAGAGAAATTCTTATGTAGTAATTTAATAATATGATGGATAGTAAATTTTACATTGAAGATGTCTTTGTTGAAACATAAAATGAAAAACTTGAAATTCCAAATGCAGATAAAAATAAAATCATGCATACACTTGTATTGTATTTTGTATATATAAAAAGGAAGAAAATTTAAAATAGAAGAATGATTTTTTAAATTCAGAAGATTATAATAATTTCTAACAACTACTTGTGATTTCATTAATTACAATCAACTTCTCTAATGATGATCCCTTTTTTAGACATATCACAATGGTGGTTAAGGCCATTAGAAAGGCCATCAAAAAAAGACTCACTCAAGAGATTATTGACTTACAAACCAAGCAGGAATTTAAAGTATGTAGATATTTTTAATTGTAGATTTAATAGTCTTCTCTCTTCAGAATCTATTATCAAGATATTAACATAGGATTTATAACATCTACTTAACAAATTAAGTCCACAGCATTCATTTTCGTCAATAAAAATATTTTTAATGAATTCGTGAACAAGAGAATGTCAATTGAACAAAAGGACTAGTAAGTGAGATTGACGCTCTACTTTTTCGATATCAATATTTAGAAAGAATAATAAATTCAGCAGGATTTTAAAAATCAGTTCTTGCGGAATAATAAGTTCAAAAATGAGTTTATTGTATTGAATGAGGAAATTGATCAATAGAAATAAACTACAACATATCATGTCTATAAGCCTATGGATGATTAAATTTATTTTGTTAAAAGAGTAAAAAACAACCTAATTCTAGATTTAATTGTTTAATATACCTTTGGATGTTACATTTCAAGATATATTTAACACAAAAAGTTCAATCTAAGATTTCTTCAAAATTTAAGAAGCACGTACACTTTAACGTATTTCGCATCCAAACATTATCAGACTCTATGAATGGTGGTTGGAAATAAGAAATTACTAATTGTTTCTGTACACTCAGATAGAATATTGTATTTATCCAGGATATATCTCGTAATCTAAAAATCTATTGAGTTACTCATATTTTTATATGAACCCCATGCCTTAGGAATAAAAGAGCAAACTCATAAATGAGATTCTCTGTTAGATTATAAGTGGACTGGAGTGCTTGCAAAAAAAGCAAATCGTCCATGGGGATTTGAAACCTGAAAGTATCATGGTTACTAAAAGTATCACCGGAGACATATAGGTAATGAATCCATATAACGAAGGTTATGTTAGCAGATTTGAATCATTCATATTCGTGTTATTAGGATTTGCAAAAGCTTCAAACCAAGGATTATATGGAATACAAATAACAATGTTTGTATGCCCTTGGTGTATTACTGATGCATCTGATCCTCACTTTCCCTGGAGAACCAACACTCAGAAATAACTATGTTACAAAATTTCAGAATTATGATATTGATGATTCTCTCAGTGAATTTGATAAATGGGCTTAAAAGTCAGTCAAGAATAAGCATAAGGAGTTTTCATTCTTTTTATATAAACGTTATATGGAATTAGCAAAATCTTTATTAAAGAAATAATAATTTCATGAATTACATGAAGTAAGAACTTTTATTTAAAATAATAAATAATTTGATCATCTATTAGTTTGATTTATTTTATAGTTTTTTTATAAAAAATCAATCAATTATCATGTATAGAGAAAGTCTCATAAAATAATTATTCACTCTAATTGCTACTTTATTATTATGCCTAAATAAATTAGATTTTACAAGCACATAATTATATTTAAAATTAACCTAACATTCTAAGTAGGATATGAAAGGGCTAAATTTAAAAATTTATTGAACAATTAAATACAACATAGAAGACATTATATTTGAAATCGATGTAAATTTAAAAGGTAGGACAATTAATATTTCAACATTATTAATAACAATTATGTTCTCAACTTAATTAGATTTAAAACCAAATGTCTTGAGCTTAGAAAAATCACAAAGATTAATGGATTTATTATGATTCTTGATAAAGTAAATAAATAAAGCTTAGAAAAAACTATAGATACATAAATATTTTCATCTTTTTTTAGATTTTCCTTTTTTCTTTGTTTATTTTTTCTTTTTAGGATGATTTTTGGTTTAGTGATGTTTTTTGTCTCCTGAGGAATCATGTTCTTAATCAGATTCATTAATAACCTTTAAATCACTCTTATGGTTGCTTGATATTAATTTTTCAATATTTCTCTGTTATTATTTTTTAGCAGAATCTTCTAAATTGATTAGTTCTTCTTGATTTTCTTTATCAATTAAATTTTGTAAGTCATCGTCATTAAATAACTTTTTCATGACCTCCTATTTAAATTTATCCTTCTCCTCTTAACTACATAAAATAAAATTTATAATACTGTTTTTATAATTCTTAATCAAACAGCTAGCCAAAAAGCTTCATTTTCATTTCATCATAAGGAGTTGTGTTAGTTGCTTAATCGAAATGATTTTGGTCCTACTTTTTATTGGAGTACTACTTTAAATCTACTTTAAATGAACATTGGTTAGAAATATTCATATCGTTTTCTTGATTTGAGTTTAACTAAACAAGGTGACATTTAGACTACTATTTGCTTTCATCAGTTTATTCATCAATTTATTCTAAATCCAGCTACCTTAATCCATTCATTAAGTCCTCTTGTTCTTCATAACAATTAAAATGTTATTCAATAATAGAATGAATATCTTATTTTTCTTCTTATATTTATGATAACCTCTATGACTCTACTAATGGTCGTTCATCAATTATAGCATCTTAGTTTTAGTTTGATTATTCTTCATATCTATAAGATTTTCGTTATGGTACTTCTTCTAAGAAATTACTGACAGGAGGTGGTTGATGGACTCCTTTGTTTTCTAAAATGTCTAGAGATGGTTAACGTGATTTATCAGACTATATTTTATCTAGAGATTTTTATAGTCTTGAATCACTCTCGAAAATTGGAGGATAAAATAATTCATCATTTAATCCACTAAATTATTTTAATTTTGCTTGTTATTGTTTAACAGTTGAAATTAAATCTTTGACAAAAGAATCTTGTATAGTTTATTAAAAAAGCATGTGTTAGGTTGTGTTTTAAACCAACATCTTTGCTCTTCTAATTATGTCCTTAGCATTTCTCTTGGGTATCTTCTTTGATTTTGAATCATTTGCTACTTGCTATGACTAATTAATTTAAAGCCTTTAATTGTAAGAGATGGTTGAATCATAGATTTTTGATTTAAGTAAATTTACATTAACACTTAAAGCTCCATAATGTAATACCTTAAGCGTTTCTTCAATGTCATCACTAGTCAATCTAACATTTACGATCATCAAGATTCTGTTTTCTTCTGTAAAGTATTCACACAACAATCTAGTTAATTTACATTCTCTGAATGGTATACGACTATTTTAATCAGACTCATTTTGGCATCTCATTTATTTAAGACATTTTCCAAGAACTAACAATGATTTATTTATATTGCATGCTTCTGTAAGTTGAGATCCTTGTGTTTCAGCTCTTTTTGCTCTTTCTGATCCAGCTAGATCAACAATACATATAGTTTGTTTCTTTAAAATTGTAAATTGTTCTTATTAATACAGAAATGAGACTTGTATTTTAAAGATTGTGTGTGATCGACTTGATTGATTATTTAATGTGGTTTCCCCCATTTATCTATTTGTTAAGGCTTTTTGAAGCAAATCTTTGAATTATTGGTTATTATTTATTTCCTTTTCGACTGCATCCTTCACATAGCATTTCTTATCGTAGATTTCTTTTATCTATAACTTGCTTTTATTGCTAGCTAATAGATCATATATTTCTTCATTGTAGATTTCAAATGATTAAAATGTGTAATTGACTTCTTTCAAGACATAGTCATCATAAGGAGATTCTCCAATTTTTATGACTTGTCCATCGATTTCAATAGTGGTTTTATTTAGTAGAAATGCTGTTTTAATTCTATCTAGAGTTTATAATGTGAGCGGTAAAATTCCTGGTGCTTCTTAAGTACCGATTATAGTGTATGTTTTACCTGAGTTTGTTACACCATACGTAAAAACCAGTCCTCCCTTTTCTATAAAGTATGTGTATTATTTGTACATTTTTCAAAAATATCCTTAATCATTGGAATAACATATTCTTGATGTAAATTTCTTTATGTGGAATTCTAATCGTAAATTTAAGAGAAAGCAAATGTTTTTTAGTTGGAAATTTCATTTTCATTGTTGGTTTCATAAATATCGAGTTTTTTGTCTGTAATAATATAATTTACTAAAATGAACTCACAATTATTACCATAATTTTCACCCACAAATTTAGGACGAATTCTACAAATTACTTCAATACCATTCTAAGGTTCATTCTAATCTAACACACTCAAAGTTTCAACAGTTGGCAATTCTATTGCTGGTTTTTTCTTGATTTCCATTTAATAACTTTGAATTCAAATTATAAAAATTAAATGAATAATAGGAGTTATTATTCAGTTGATGAAATAATTGAAGAGAACTCATAAAAGTCTTCATATATAATTGAAGAGTTAAATTTAATGAGAGAAAACCTTAATTATGAAATAGATTAAATGACCAATCTAATTGAGATAGAGTATTGGTTAAATTAATATTAAGATCAAAGATATCTATAAAAATGTTAGCTTTAAAAGTATCTTCTCGTTATGTCAATCCTTTCTCTTATGAATCTATGGTATGTATTAGCTAATACCCAGCTGACATTGTATTTTTTTTTATTATTGCTTAATAGAATTTAAACAAAAAGATTGAGAATGTTCATTATTCAACTACTTGTAATAAGAAATGAATCAATAATAATGTAAATTTTGAGATGGTTCATGAAGAATTAAAGTCATTTATATCGATAATTGTTATAATCAGATATACATTTACACACTTGGAAATAATCCATAGTATGGTATCATTCAATTTTAAAATTATCTTTCTTGTGCTTTTAAATAAAGAGGGAAAGTAAGTGTAAACACTTCCTAAAAAAAGATAATTGTTCTAGTTATTATCATATATTCTTTCCTGATTGATTTTCGTATTCTAAGAAATTCTAGTAAATTTAGTGTATGCAGTTTAAATTTTAATGCAACTCTTTGCTCGATTCTCTGTTTATTATATGATCCTTTTTTATCCCTTTTGGAATGTTAGTAATAGACAGAATACGAACCATTAATTCAACGGCTTTTATTTAGGGCGTATTTATTTGGATAGTGTATGAAGTTTCTGTGTTCTTTAAATAAGTTGTTTAGACTTTGAAAATTATATAAAAATATATTTATATATGTTAGATTATCCACAATTTAAATTGCCTGAATTTGTAAAGTTATGTTTCCATAATTAGCTATTAGATAAAACCTATTTAGAAGATGTTATTTGCACAGCTCTTAATTTAATATTTTTTCATCGTGCACTTGGCCCAGTCAAATTGAATCATATGAGATGTGAACGTTTGCCCAAAATTACTCAAGTATTAGTGTTTTTATCTTTAGTTAAGATGTGGGGAACCTTAAGTTGACAAAGACATCAAGAAATTAATTGATAATATCAATAATGATCCTAACATGATTAATTGCTCATCTCTTTAAATTTCTTTAAAATTTATGGAAGAACAACCAACAACACTCCTACAATTTTTTAAACCAAAACTTAAAGTATTTGAAGAGTGGTTACTTTTGTTTTAATTCGGTCTCTCTTCCATTGATAAAACTTAAGATGAATTCACGCAATTGCTGAACAAAATAATTGATATTGCAACTGCCAATTACGATCATTTTGATGAACAATTTGATTAATCCCAGCAAAAACCATTAAAATACCCGTATGAAGTATAATATAAGAATTATCATTTTAGTTAACTTTTAATTTCTAGTGATTAAATATATATATGCATTTTTCAATTATTGTTAACTATCTTTATTATATATTTAAAATAATCTACTTTGAATTTGCTTATAGTTTTGCATTGACAAATATATATTTCAAAAGACTGTCAAATGTTCATTTATGTCATTTGCAAATTTGATTTACCCTATAGGAGGTGGTTTAAAACAATATCCAATAGAGATTTATTATACACTTCTACAAAATAAGAAATCAATTTTAAGAATGATAAATATTAATATTGTCAATTTAAACAAATATTTATATATACTGTGAAAGTGCATGATTATTTGAATGAAATATTATATATGAATAGCAATGCTATCAAGTGGCTGTGAATAAACTCTCAGTTTATTAGTCTAGAACTGGAAAATGGGTCACTTTTTAAAGGTTATATAAATTATAAGTAAATGTATATACCGTTTTTGTGTGATAATTAAATAAATGAAGGTTTTTGCTATGATGGCATTATTGCTGGCAGCAGCATACTGTCAATCAAATGAGATTGATGTAGTATTAAAGATGCTAGGTGATTTAAAAAATGAGACAAGCAAACAATTATAATAATTGGAGAGCGATTGGGAAACAACCAGATATGTAATTGATTATATATGACATTTGAACAGCAAAAACAAGACATCGTAAATGATTTAATGAGATCTGCATCAACATAAAGAGGTGAATGTAATAGAAGAGATCAAGAGTGGGCAAACAAAGAAAGAGACATTAGAATTACACTCAGCTATATCAATTGGTTAGAGAAAAGAATCAAAGAGAATAATGAAAGACTCTCAAGATTAGATGTCAATAGATGTGAATCCAATGCTAATTTCATAAATGATATCAAAAATTCTAAGAAAACTCTAAATTTGATTGCCTTCCTCAGAAGAGCTGTAAAGAATGCAAAAGAAGTAATAGATAAAGCAATAACTAGACTGATTTGCCAACACTTTTGTAATCTGCTCAATTCATTTAACTCAAATCCTTTTTGGCTGAGGACGGTGAAGAACCAGAAGTGACATCCGAAGATAATGAGCCACCTCATGTATATGATGAACCAGAAGCTGTCGATAGCACAGAAGACGTTTCTGAAAATTAAGTAGATGCTGCTCCAGATGTTGAAACAACTGAAGAATCAGCTACTGAAGCAGAAGCTCCCACAGAGGAAGTAGAATAACAAAGTTTAGGTGATGCTCATGAAGAACCAGATGCCCCTGTTCCTGAACATCCATTAGAAGCTGAAGAGAAAGCTACCAATGAATAATTAGCAAAGGAAGCTGCTGCATTCAACAAAATTATTGAAAAGGGATAAAAGGCTCCTGCTGAAGCTGGATCTGGAAAAGATTATTCATAATTCACAGTTGCTTAATAAGAATTGTTAAATTTCTTGGACATTTTAGAAGATTAAGTAAGAGGTTCATTTGGAAAGAAACAAGATGACCAAGTTAATTCAGCTATGGGTTACAGTGATTTCAAGGGATTGATTCAAAAGGAAAATGAAACATTCAAAGGACATTTAGTAGCTGAAGATGTTAATCTAGTAAAACTTTTAACATATTTAATTATAGGAAAAATTATAAAATTAATTGATAACCATCTTATAGGCTACAGCTGCTTGCAAAGACAGATTAAAGAAAATCCAAAACTCTATTGATCTTGCTAATGAAGTATACTCTCTCATATATTATTCTTAGGACTTAGCTTCCTCAGAGGCTCACTTTAAGTCTGTAACTGAAACTCTCTAGGAAGAGCAAAATACCTTTGATGATGTTTACAGAATTTATTCAAGTTAAGTTGGCTCTCAAAATACATCATACAAAAGAGATGTTTAAGCCAAAATTACCAACTGATTATGTAGAATCATCCAAAAATTATAATTATTATATAAATCTAAATCAATTATATCATTCTTAGGTTGTATTTATCTAATTAATGATTTTAAAGTTCAAGAAACGGTATTAAGTCCCTTATTTTATTTGAGTCAATTCAAGAATAATTGGAAATACTAAAAATAACTTATTTAGAATTAAAACTATAATTAAAATTTAACATTTATGAACAAGAATCAAATTCAAAATGCCAATATTCGCAAGCCATCAAACACATATTTAAAAACTGAATTCAATAATACTTCATAAATCAAAGATAATAGATTTACAACGGAACCATCTCCTAAAAAATGCAATAAAGAGAATATTGTTAAGGCCTCCTATCTCAAAGCCACTCTTTCTAATCATTTGATAAAACAAGATAGAAATATTACACCCAACTTACCCAAGAGCAGTGTGATTAGTTTGTTTTTAAAATAACAATAAGAGGAATAATAAGTTGAATCAAAGGGGAGTATTTGTTAGGCCCATAAAAAGAAGTATAAATATGAAGTCAATGAGCAATTGATGTGCAGCAGATGTGTTGTTGATTATGCCATTCTATCTGGTTTGCCTATACGTTATTATGAAATTGAGAAAAAAATGCTGACTTTTGGTTAAGAAGAAGATCACGATGAATTTTACCAATTTACCTAAAATACAACCAAAGAACTTTAATATATTTAGAATATATAGACACAGGCGAATGGAATAATCAAAAAAAAAGAACTCAAAGACTTTGTTCTAAAAGTTGGCGATGTTATCAGTTAGAACATGTAATTTCTCAAATTAATCCAACAACATCAAATTCAATTCGATAATCCTAAATAAAAAACACATAAAATATTGGAAGAACTCTAAATGCAGAGTAAATAAATCATTGATGACATTCTTGATAAATAAAAAGCAAAATCCTAAGGCTTACTTATAAATGATGCTCCTTAATAGATTAATTTAGCCAGCTTCAAATCGGTGGTTTCTTAATAGATCAACGATTTGTAGAATATTAAGAAGGACATCCTGGAAAATGTTGAAAACATCATAACCTAAATGGATGTAGCTCCATTTAAAATCATAATCAATAAATATAATGAAAAATTAAGATCATTTGAAAATACTCTCTTTGAAATTTAGGAATAATGTATATAGTATTGTTAACAGTAGACAAACAATTTCCTAAATAGAATGAAGATTAAGGGTACACAAAGAAAATGAGAGAGTTGAATTTTTAAAAGAAACTATAAAAGATATTTACGGAGTTGATGGAAAATCCTATTCAAAAATCGCTCTTATTAGCAGATTAGAGTAAAAATTACACTAAATTTAATAGTAAATAACAATACGAAATTTATCTAGTTATTATAAAAAGTGAATACAAATTAAAACACAAACACAATATTCTATCAATCTATTCTTAAAGTATTAATTATATTTAAAATAGGATATTAACTCAGATGAAAAACCGAAGTAAATCAGGCCTAAGCTAAGATAACAAGAATGAACTTAGATTATTTTTTATTTTATCAACTTATATAAGACTTAGTACAATATTATTAATAATAATTATTTTGAATGATTTTTCATTTTTATAATTTTATTATAGATGAAACAATCAAAAGTCTATTAGATATAAATAGATTTAAATAATATTCATATGCATACTGGAATTATCGCTTTTTTATTTTTCGTTAACATTTAAATAATTTATTTTAGGTAATTATTAAGTTTTATGTGCTGAATGGATGACATAGAGAAATAAAGACTTATTTATATATTTATCATAATTCATTGTATTGATATATATTCTTAAATGTAATTATCATTAAGTTATTTATTTAATAAATGCCAATCGTGATTTATTTTCAATTTTATAAAGTTGCTTAATACTAAATAGACTTAGATCCTTAAATTTAATTGATTATTGTTTATCCAACAAATTATCAGCTAACTTATTGATCACTTTCTAATTCTCTTCATCTAATCCTTCAACTATGCCAATTATCACCGAATCATTGAGTGTTTTTAATAAATCCTTAGCATTCTCAACTGTATATTCTCCAATGCAATCAATTTTCACTTGTTATTCTAGATCAAAACTAACGAACCTTGTATTTACAACACAGTCTTCAATCTTGAGATTACCCTCATAGCAAATTTACTTATTTTCATTCTGAATCAAACCCTTGTTCTTATTCTACAATTTAGGGCAATCGTTTATGATAATATTTTGTGTTTCGCTATCTTCATTTTCATCAACCACAATAACTATTGGATTAGGTCTAACCCTTTTAACAGGAGGAGGAGAAGCTTCTCTTTTTTTGCCTTTTTTGCCTTTCCCTTTTCTTTCATCTTATGCATCATCTTGTCCCTAATGATAATAACGTAATTCCATACTTATTAAACATTCTATTATTGACCATCATTATTGCCCCAGCCTTAATCCGTATTACCCCAATTACTTTATGGTGCTTCATTTGCTTTATCTTGTGTTTGAATGTTGACTTCTGCTGGTTCACCCCAACTCATGTATTCAGAATATTTATTATTGATGAATCGAAACCTAGAATGAAACTTTTGTAGTTCATATTATGAAGTAAAATTATTATTAAATTTAATAAAAATATCGTTAAAGGGAAGCTATTAATCTAAAAATAGAACCTCTAAACATCCTAAAAAATGTGTGGTCTATTTCCTAATAGATTCAATGCTTTCATATTGATATTTTAACTAGATTTAAAAATTGAAAAATGTCATTGCCATATATTAATCTTGTTTCTTTGAATCTAAAACATGCTGATTTAATATATTATATTTGAAAACTTGGTTTCAAACTTGCTGCATCTTATTTGTACAGATTTATGTGGATTACAAAAAAGGCTCGTGCATTTGAGGAATTGCGAGTACGTTAATCAAATAAAGGAAATTGGTATTCTCATACTATTCTGGCCATAAATATATCTTTGCACCTTTTTTATTTAAAAATCTAAATTTTAAGGGGTCCTCATAGTTTATTTATAGTCTATCTTGGCTTTAAGTGCCAATCTTTAACATATAAAATTATGTTGGCACACAATACATATATAAACAAAATATAATCAAAGTGTAATCTTCGCCTATCATTCTGAGATTATCTGTCTCGTATGTAGGGTCTTTCTTGATAAATCATAGGAATTTGTTGATGAAACCTAAAAACTCAAAGTCTTTTTTTTAATGACTAAATCCAATTGGCATGATTAATTTGGACTAGGCTTTTTTAGTATGCCATTTTTTGGAATAGAAAGTGAACCTTTCCTTGAAGCTTTCATTGAGCTACAGCCCATAAAATAATAAACAAACAATTATTAAAGTTTATATATTTACGATCAACTTAAGTTAGTTAGATTTTAATACTGAATTTAATTATAGAGCAATAAACGATTATTAATAAATTTATACCTTAGATATGATTGCCAATTATGTTATGAATGAAATTGTTAGCAATCCTCTAATTTGGAAAGGAATCAAATTAAACAAGATATTATAATTGATTTATCAATATTTAATACTTATTTATATGAAAGCATTGTGAAGAAGTAGTATGATAATTAGTATACTAACTCATATATCAAAGACTAAAATTTAATGAAATATATAAATTAAAATAATGCTATTTATATCTAATACTATTTTAATAATAAAAAATGATTTCGATAAATTATTGTTTTTAATTTTTTGCTTTATATAATTTATCTATCTTATCAAATTATAGAGCAAATGACTTAAACCATATATTTGAAGTAATAAAACGATGTATATTGTGATTTTAAGAATTGGTTTCCTTTATTTTTCCATCAAAATTTAGTAGCAATCCTAGTCTAACTGATTTCCAAAAATTAGTTTCTTGATTCGATATTCACAATTGATTTTTGCACTAGATTTTTTAAATTTAAGATATTAAGTTTTATATTATTTTGATATTTTCTCCTTCTAAAAAACTACAAACCTATATGAAGGATGGTAGTAATCTCTGTTTTGAGGTGCTAGGCTTCACGAATCTTTATTGAATATTAGAAATAAAAATAAAAATTAAGATTGTATATATTGTTATTCTAAATGCAAAGAAATACATTAAAATGATGAGGATTATAGCAAATCACAATTCATTAACAAGAGCTCGCTTCAATTTGTTATAAATTATTCCGATTTAGAGATTATAGAATGAGATGAGTGTATTTAAGGACTTTCTTCATTTAATAAGAATGATAACATACTCCCAGGTTCTTTCACTTCTTTTTCTGGACTTGTTTCTTAGCTTGTATGCTTTGTTAGGAGGTATTGATTAGTATTATGAGGGGAACTAAGATTTTTCTCATATAATATGAAGATGTGTATGATGTGTTTTTTTATCTTTTTCTTTATGCTTCTTTTACTTTGGGGCTTCATGGTATTTGTTCAAAGATGAAGTATGTTGTGTAGTTTTGAAGAGCTTATTGAATTTTTTTTGCTTTTATTTGAAGAATTAATGGCAATCAAATTTTGGTTAAATAAGAAGAGTTTCAACCGGGGTGCTCACATTTGCTCTTCGAATTATAGGTTAAAAGAAATGAAGTGAAGATAATAGATAAAATACTAAGCAATACAAAATAACCCAAGACCATCCAGAAAAATAATTAAATAATGAACTTCTCTATAATTGAAATCACTCTAAAAATGCTCGTTTTTTTTAATTTAAATTTGTTTATTGTTAACTCTTTAATCATTAATTTTTGTTTGATTTGCAATACAATCCAAATAAATGATAACATACCACTTTATGTATTATTCTCTCCATTCTTGACATAATCAAATTTAAGAAAATTAGAATTATTTTATAAAAGACTTATTATTTTATTTTTTATTGACTAGATATATGTTAAAAAGAATCTCTTCCTTTATAATAAAGTAAAAAAGCTAATAATATGTGTATTTTTATGAACATTGCTCTATAAAATTTTATTTTAATATTAAAAATATATTTATTAATTGTTGTGTTAATTTTTATATTATATCGCATTAATAATAGCTAAATACAATTCTCCTTGAAATTAGACTAAGTAACTAAAATTAACTTAAGGTAAACTTTTAATTTAAAAATGCAGTATTTATTAATCATTATGTGAAATAATCAAATCTATCCTCTTCTTAAGGATAATACCTCAAGGTCTCTTAATTGAATACTAAATCTATCGAATTAATCTGTAAACTAATCCTTATAATTAACCAGAAAGTTATAAAAAAATTAAACAAAATTTCAGGTAAAAAAAATAAATAAATAATTTAAATAAAAAAGCCATTCAAAAAGATATCTAATCATCCAGCTATACCGACAATATTTAATGGATTTTATAGTGTGATGCAATATAATACCCTTTTAGCTGAACAATTTAGAATCAGAAAAAGAAACATATTAATAGAAATAGGATCTTTCATTACATTTCAATTTTTAACCGACCTTTCATTAACTTAAAGAGGATTTTGCTAAAGTCCGTCCTTTTCGATGTAATAATTAGGGACCTTGGTGAATTTTAAAGAAATAAGTCACATTTATGATGTGTTCCTGTTTAGAAATATAATATCATATATGGATTAGTATTATTGAATTTGAAGATATTTAGATGCAATAGGGGTAGTTAGGAGGAGGAAAAGCCTCATGGAGTTATTTATCAATAGAATTAATAATTACGGTGTTTTTAAAGTAATTATGAAATTAGTAAAACAAATCATTTAATTTTTTTCATTAGTGAGATAAATTGTTAATTTTAATTAGAAATTCATATAAATCTTTGTTAATGAGGTTTAAATCATTATTATTTTTTTTATGGTGAAATATTCGAAAGCTTTGAGATAGAGAAGTCGAAAATATGATAAAATTACATAGGAAGAACGAGTTTAAATAGTATAAATGAAAGAAAATGGTTCAACTTGCAGAGAGATTAGTGAGATAATGAATAAAAATATAAAAACTATCTAATCGATTAAATCGATCGAGAAGAAATCAGAATATGCTGATTTGAAAAAGGCTTTAATTGATTTTGGATTTCAAAAAATAATGGAAATGCAATAACTAGATGTATTTGATTTGACTTATTTTAGAAAAGGAATTCTAAGATCATCGGGAAGTAAGCAAGTAAACTTATTAAGGAGCAACTAGAAGAGAAAACATCAGATTTTTGGAATTTAATTCCAGAGTAAAAAAAGTTCTCAAATAAAAGAAGAATTATATAACAGATTGTATTGAATATAGTTGAGAAAGTACAAAATGTAACTCATAAAACCAATGACAATCATTATTAATAAACAACTATTATTACAAAGGAGGAGTTTGAGGAGAAAAAGGATGAAGTTCCAAATATTTTGATAGAATAACCCATCCCTCTACTTATAGCAAAGGCTTATTATAGACTGATGTCTTTGTTTATACCAACAAAAAATTTCTATACCTGTCTATAATGATTAATATATTTAATTAACTACAAAATTATTGAATATATTGTTCAAGCACTGCCATCTCTATTTTGTTTGATTTCCCAATTAAATGACCTCAAATCTTATGCTAATATTATTTAGTCATGTGATTTTCTCTCATTTATAATATTATCAATTATTATATAAAATCAGGATTCTTACCATTATATATTCAAATTCATTATAGTTGGCGATGATAATGTAGGGAAGTCCTGTAATTCCTTCAAAACACAGAGAAAAAAATTAGAGACGAATATGACCCAAAAATAATGGAATTCAGATCATAAGGATTAAAGAGGAATGATAAAACTGTGAAACTAAATATCTGAGATACTGCTGGTTAAGAATCTTTCATACCGATAACAAGATTATATTATAAAGGGTTGATATAAGTGGTTATTTTTAGATCTATTGGAGTGCTCTTGGTGTTTGATATTACCAATCCTGATTCTTTTCATAATGTCCAAAAATGGTATAGTGAAGTGAGTGAGAACACTGGAACCAATAGTACCTTTATCTTAGTTAGGAATAAGACAGATCTTTAATCACAGTAACCAATACATTAAACTTAGACTTAAGATTACAACTACTTAGGCAAAGGCTTTCGCAGACGAGTACTAGATATAATATTTTGAAACATCTGCCAAAACCAATCAAAATATCGATCTCATTTTTGAAAACACAGTTCACTAAATCTTTGAGAAAATTGATAAATAATTAATCGATTTTGCTAATGAAGTTTTGCTTTCAGACAACTGTCTTAGAATAAAGGGATCATTTTGGGAGAGCTTTATTACCAAGAGAAACAAGGGATTAAGGGGAAAGATAAAGATAAAGATAAAGATTAAGATTGCAAGTGTTGAGGGTTTTTATAATTAATTTAAATCAAAATTATTATAGATTTTTTTAAATATAAATAGTTTTATAAATTCTGAGAATATCGGATATATATTAATATTTTCATTAATAAACAAGAACCCTTTCCAAATAACTATTTCTTATTTCAAATAATTAATATTTCATATTTTATAACAGAACTCTCAAATAATTTTGGTGCTTATATACAAACTCAAAATAAAGATTTAATTATTATTATAATCTATGCCTATTAAAAAGCGCCTGTCCCATCGCAATAGAAAGTATGAGAAATTAACGGATGAGGAAAGAAGTTTCATTATGGACTTTAAATCAAAAGGTATGGGTTGCCAAGAGATAGCCAGAAGATTAAATAAAAATTTAAAGACAGTTTAATCTGTCTAAAATTCAGAAAGAAAATCCGAATACAAATCCCTCAAAGAGGCTATCACTTAGTATGGCCTCAACTAACTACTTCAAATCACTTCCATAACAGTATAAATTATACTAATTTAAGTTTATGGATGAAAGAAAATTAAAAAAACTAGCCACTAAAACCGTCAAATGCGTGATGCCTCCCAATAATAATACCATGTTCGCTCACCTGATACCAGCACAAAAAGCTAACTCAAATAAAAGAAGAATTATTGACTAAATAGTCAATAATATCTTGAATAATATTCAAAAAATTTTGACTGCTAAAGAAATGATAAGTCTATTTGAACCAAATAATTTATCATAAGGTGACACTATGGGTATGGAAACCTCTGAATACTCCCAATACTCATCTAATATGCTCTAAAATGATTCTGAAGACCCAAATGAATATGTTGAAGATAATAGCGAAAGAGTCCCTAACACTGAATATCAATTTCACAACTTGCCAGGGATATTCAGATAATTTGAAGGCTAATCTATAAATTTCTTAAACCATAGGCAGTTTGAAAAAACTATAGAACAGTCTTCAGATTGCTATTTTGATTTATGAGATGTCAATTTTACATACAAGATGATATCAATATAAAAAGCATAAATATATAATAATCAATATTAATCTATCTCTGATGATAAAGAACATTTTAGACCAACATATAATAATTTTAGAGTAACTATGAGGTCAATAGACAGTGTTATATCTTTTTAGTAATAAAATAGCTTAATATACACTTTTGATCTTTTTAAAATCAAAAGCAATTATTCTAATACAAAAGGCTCATTTACATAATATTTTGGTAAAATATTCTGCTTTAACATTTTATCCCTAATTAGCAGTTATATAATACGAATATATTAAGAAATTAATTTATTTTTAATTATTTTTTAAAAAAGTTTTCGTTAAATATCTAAATTACATATACTATTATTTTTCAGCATACTAAAATATAATTTATGCACAAAATATTTCATCTCTTTAAAATTATGACAATAAATTAAGCTATTAATATCTATTAATCCATTCATCTCCAATTATGACTGAGTATACATTTTCTAAACTAATTTTATCTTTAATGCCGTATTTCAGTCTTTGAGTTCCTTGACTTTTATTTTATAAGTAATTAGTAATGATAAAGTATTAATTTTTCAAAATATACTTGAATAAATGTAATTTAACAATAGAGGTATTACATAGTAGTCTTTCGGTAAGTTTTCAGAAATAATCATAGAATCATTTCATTTAAACTAGCTTTTATCATATTACCTTTATTACAAAATTAATTCAAACGAATTTATTCGTAATGCATAAATTTCTAAGATCCTGATGGTTTTCGATTTTTTTATGTTCATATTTGAAATTCTGTGAGATTAATAATCAAAGAATTAATTTCTAAGAATCCTTGATAATTTTATCTAAAAGCAATAAATGGCAGGAATTCTTTGAATTTAGAAAATACAGATATCCATGTAATTTTGCTCTCTTAACAAAGGAACTAATCTACCAATAAATCTGAAATAGAAATGTTAGCTGTTTAAGCTATATTAACATCATAAATAATCCTGATGAATTAATATAATATATATCATTCCTTTGGAAGACCTCCTTCTGGTGTTTATTTGCCTAACAAAGCTTTGTGAATATGAGGAATCACACCACCACCTGCAATAGTAGCTCTGATGAGAATATCAAGCTCTTCATCACCTCTGATGGCTAATTAAAGATGTCTTGGTGTAATTCTTCTCACTATGAATGAAATTAATATTTAGAATTACCTTTAAAGTCTTTTGAAGCATTTCCTGCTAATTCAAGGACTTCTGCTGTCAGATACTCCAAAATTGCTGATGTATAAACAGCAGATGTTGTTCCTACTCTGTTTTTGGCAGAGACTCTTTACTTCAAATATCTATGAATACGACCAACAGGGAACTTATAATTGATTAATTTTCTACTTAAAGTCCTGCTTTCAAAGACCTGGATTGAGGTGCTTTCTTATTCTTGCCTTGGCCGAATTTTCCTCCTTTTCCACCTTTTCCACCTTTTCCGCCTTTTGCACTCTTTGCTATGCCACTCTAACATATATTATTCATACTTTACCATTTTGTTGTTAATTTATTTTTAAGCATTAAAAACTATTATATACTTTGTTTAAGAATCGATAAACTCAAATTCTGATTGGCTGTGCCTTTTAATTTTGGATAATCGTGTAATAATAGCATGTCTCCTTCACTGTTTTTGAAATCTGAGTTCTATGTTCACTTTTCTAAAAAATTGTTTCAAACTTATCAAATAATTATGCAATTATATAATGGAAATAATTATTTCCTTATTAATTTTTAAATAAACACTAAACATACAATTTCTATGATCAACTTATCAATTGGAAAGATTTCGTTTAACCCAAATTTACATGACTAATTTTATTAATCAATCTAACTAATATATAATGGAATCTCAACCTTATCATAGCATCATCAACTCATTTAGTTACTTCAGAGGTATTTAAACTATCTTAAGGCATGAAATAGCGCCTTAAAATATGAAGTAAGAGCCTTATAAATGTAAAATTATAGATTGAAAAATAAAATAAAAATAAAACTCATTATTATAAAAAAATAGCTTGATCATAATCTCTAGAGTAAGGTTTCAGAATAAAGTCTTGAAAGAATGCATAAATATTTTATTGTTAAAGATAATATAAATTTATTAGAAAATAAAGTATCTTCATAATTTTCTTTTAGTATGATCCTTATCTAAAAGTCTTAATAACTAATATTGAAATTCTCTACTTATTGTTTTCGGCAAAACAAATTTAGGAATTTAAGCCAACATAATTTCTTCATCATTTTTTCCTGGAAAAGGAACTTTTCCACATATTATTTAATATAATAAGACTCCCAGAGCCCAAATGTCAGCCTTTCTTCCATCATACGGCTTTTTTTGAAATATTTCAGGTGCCATATATGCAGGTGTTCCACAGTAATCCTAACAAAGTGAATTCTCTTAAGCAAGACCAAAGTCAATTAGTTTAACTTATTTATTGATTATCATAATGTTATCTGCTTTGAGGTCTCTATGATAAATGTTTCTTGAATGTAAGTATCTCAGTCCCTCTCTAATTTAAGTATAAATTTGTTTGGCTTCATTTTCTTGTAATCTTCTATTAGGTTGATCTGAAAAATAATAAATTTTAAACTTACTTTTCAAATAATTTGTTAATGTTTATCCATCTATGAATTCTAAAACGATAGTACTCTTGTAAGTCCCTAAGAATTTGACTATATTTTCATGGTCTAACTTTCTCAATATCTCTGTCTCTTTAAATAAAAGTTTCTTTTATTCTGATTGCAATAGATTAGAATTATACTTTTTGATCGCTACCTAAACTATTGTATTAACTATTTTTACTTAAGAATCAGTCATTCTGTCATATGCTTTAAAAACTGTTGCAAAAGCTCCAACAGCCAATTTAGATGTAATTTGGTACCTTTCAAATTTAACAGGTTTAGATGACTCTTCAGTTTTGCAAACAGTATAGCTTCTTTGAAATTTCATTGATTAAATTGTATTTAGCATTACTTACTTTCTTTCCACAATTTATGTTGCCTATTGTAAAATTTATTATGGATTTTGAGGTTTTCTCCTGAAGGCAGACTACGTCCTTTAAGGTTTAATTGGTGTAGGTTGACAAGGGATAGGCTTTTAAAAAGTAAACTTATTGAAGAGATCCTCTACAATTTAATCAAGAGTTTACATAAATTTATTATATTGATAATTTAATCAATCAAGATAAGAGTCTCTTGTCTAAAGTAAAGAGATTTTATTTTAATATTCCGATCTGAAATTCCAACTACCATACTTTGAACTTTAAGACCTAATTTGATTAGGCTTCTTTATAATAATGGAAAATTATATAACATAAGGCAGTCTATGAAAAATCAAGTTTTAAGTTACCTTTAGAATCATGTTGAATATGCAAAACACTATAGTTATTCTAACAATAGGATCCCCTGCTTCTCCCCAAGTTGGAAGAGTTTTGTCTGTGCCATTCCACCAATTCTTTAACAATACTAATTCATAATTACTTTGTAAATTGCAATCCAGAAAATATCTAGGACTACCGTAAAAACAGTGATGGCTCCCAAGATTTTTAAGTACTCTGGATTAAAACAATCTCTGCAAATAATCAACAAGTACATAGTCCCTAATAAAATCTATCAGACTATAATCTTAAGTTTACATCCACATAGGCTGGTCTTGCAAAGCATTAGAACATGGACAACACAATCATCAAGAGATACAAAATGAATCCGTAATATATTTCATCACTAAGTTCATCTGTTGCTTCTCCCTAATATTGAGGTTGAATATTATCCTGATTCTATCGATAAGATTATTGGGGAGGTGTTGGCTTGTATATTTGTGGTTAGTTTTATTGTTGTTAATACATCAAGGCCGAATTGGTTTGGACCTTTGAAGAGTTTTGTGGTTTCAAAGAGGATTGGAGATTCTATCTCTAATTATTGTCCATGAAGGGCTATTAAACTACAAATAGATCTCTTTTATAATCCTCAATATCGTTCTAGTGTTATTAAATATCAACTTCAAGTTTAGAGATCATTTCTTGGTAATACTTCAGCTAAATAATAATGAGTAGGAACATGTACCTTATTATAAATCCATTGAACATCAAATTATATGGTTGGGGTAGCGTATTATTGCCTATCACTTTGCAACTAGAGTTGGAGAGAATGAACTTGTTGATCTTACAATTAGGATATATCTATCTTGGCTTATCCGACTAAGGATTTCTTTTGATTTCGATCTTAGATCAATAAACTCAAAGTGATATTCTCCCTTCCAGTTTTAATTTGGCTAGAAATGAATTGAAATAAAATTTATTTTTACAATCCGAATTGCTCATTAAATATTGGATGGAACTTGTCTCCTCCAGTCTATTAGGCAACTTGTTCGTTATTATCAACCGATATTGATACGTAACTCTGAATAAAATCCGAATTCGTTATTCCTGAGGCAGATTTGATCATTAAATTGAGTGATGAATCAGTATCTATCCCGAATTGATTCTGTTATTAAGTGTCTCCAATATAAATCATAAATACATTTTATTTCTTTGACTTGTCGTTGGCAGTCTCTTGATTCCTCAACCAGTTACAAAACTTATTATTCGGTATCTCGAATCTTTTTCTTTAACATTGCATCAGCTGATATCAAGATCTGTGAAAACTCTTCGATTTAAACTTGGCCTCTTTGATTTGGAGTGCATTATTCATATATTTAATTGGCAACATCTCTATCATACGCTTAATTAGTCTATGTTGATTATTCTTAATTTTATCATACTAATTGATCTAATGCTTAATATATCTAATCAGGTTAATATGCTTGTCCTTAATTTAATCCAACTCTCTAAAAAGCCCCTAATACCTAGTTAACATTAGGTGAGAATTGCAACGACATATTTTAAATTAATTATATAATTTATAAATTGTATCAAAGAGTTTGAACTAAAGACGTAATTCAATTATTTTCAACACAAAAGGGTTAGGTTAATACAGAAAAGTGAATAGATAAAAATTATGATATATTTTTATGATTATTAAATATCAATAGAATAAATTTAGTTATAAAGCTGACTGCTTTACTTATAGAAAGAATTAGAATGAAATAAAGTTTGCTAATGGGTTCAAAAACATACATAAGATGCATTATTGTAGATATGGGAGAATAGATAGTTAAATATCATTGTTATTTTATCGAGATATCTAATATGAAGATAAATTATTTTTAACAAAGATAAGAAGCTTAAGGTAATAACAATGCTTTTAAATTACAAATATATAGATACTATGAATTAAACCCATATTGGATAAAAATTAATCAAATAAATTATTAATATAAACATAAGAGGGGGGTGAAATTCACACATATAAATTGTGGTAATTCATGAATCACCTTTTAATTTAAAAATAATATCCAAGTTGGCACATGAATCACACCACTAAAATTAAGAAATTGCCTGTTACAGTACTCTGCGGTTTTTTAGGGTCAGGAAAGACAACCCTATTGAACTATATCCTTAAATAGCGCCATGATTGCAGAATAGCTGTAATCGTAAATGACATGGGGGAGATCAACGTCGATTCAAACCTGATAAAGGAAGGAAAGTTTAGTGTGAAAAAGACTAAGGAAAAACTTGTTGAAATGTCAAATGGATGCATCTGTTGCACATTGAGGTAATTATTAGACATATAGTATTAGGGAGGATTTAATCAAACACATATCAAAGATAGCAAAGTCTGGGAAGTTTGATTATATGTTGATTGAGAGTACAGGAATAGCTGAGCCTTTGCCAATAGCCTAAGCGTTTTATTTTGAAAATGAGGAGATGAGAAAGAAGGGATAGATGTTGAAGAAGTTCGCTAGACTTGACACTATGGTCACTATGGTATCTTTGATTATCTATTACTTAGATTGACGCCTTGAATTTCTTGGATCAATTGTAATCGGATAAATTAGGAGAGGAAATGAATGTAGATAACAAATAGATGGATTAGATTCCATTATCATAATTGTTGTTGGATCAAGTTGAGTTTGCTAATGTTATAGTATTGAACAAAACAGATCTTGTGGATGAGGAAAGAAAAGAGTTTATATTGAATCTCCTTAAGAAATTGAATCCTAATGCTAAGATTATTGAATCTATATAAGGATAGATAGATTTAAAAGAAATTATCAACACAAAATTATTCAACTTTGAAGAAGCCTCTACAACTGGAAAGTGGATAGCTGAGCTCTAAAAGCCAATCCATAAAAGTGAGATTGAGGAATACGGGATCTAATCTTGTGCTTTCAAATCAAGAAGAGCATTCCATCCTGACAGACTATTCCAACTCATAGAGAGAAATAATACAGAAGAGCTTTCTTTTTGGAATAATATCATAAGATGCAAAGGTTACATGTGGGTAGCCAGTTGGGAAAGATTGAATATCCATATGCACAAGGCAGGAACCTAATTGACTTATCATCCTGGTTCCTTTTGGTGGATATCCATACCCAAGAAGGTTTGGGCTGATACCAAAGAAGAAGTTGATGTATGCTATATGGTTATATCAATAGGCTATTTGGGATGGAGTCAAAGACAATTGGTTACCTGAACCCATTGGGGATAGAAGATAAGAGCTTGTGTTCATTGGACAAAATTTACCAAAATAAGAAATTTTAGAAGCCTTTGAGAGTTGCTTATTAAGTGAATAAGAGATGGTTCAATTCTTATAGAATGGATGGGATAATACTAATGATCCATTCCCAAAAGATTGGGGAAAGTTGGTGAAAGAATTTGAGGATCTGGGAGAATTAAGGGGAAATGAAGGAGAATGGGAAGATGTGTGGGATGAAGAGGGAGAAATGTAAGAAGAACATTAAGAGGATGGACCCATGTAAATAGAAGATTAATAATAATAATTGATAGATTGATTAAATTAGAATGTCTTAATATAAGATGATCATTAAATAATATTTATTTAAAGACTATATTAGTTTCATTTAAAATCAAAGTTTTACCTATTTGTTAAAATATTAATTAATGAATAATCCAGAAGTAATTTATGCAAACCTTACAGGAGATTCAGAGCGTTAATAATTTGTCATTATGAATTAGCTTTCGTTACTGATAGTTTATGTGTAAATTGTGAATTACAAGGCAAAACTACAATTTTATTGACTAAAATACCCATGTTCTCAAATATTATCATTGTCTCTTTTGATTGTGAACATTGTGGATATAAAAATAATGAAGTGTAATTTGGTGGAGAAATCAAAGAAAAGGGAATTAAACTGCATTTAAAAGTCAGCGAACCTAAAGTAATGATTAATTATGATTTTAGGATCTCCAAAGACAGATCATTCGATCAGAGTTCTGTAAAGCTTTGATTCCAGAACTAGAGTTTGAGATGCCATCCAATAAGAAGAGCAGCATCAATACTTTAGAAGGATTCCTCCAAAATATTATAGATGACTTATCACATGATTAACCTATCAGAAAATTTACATAAGTGGAAGTTTATGATCGAATTGAATATATCGTTGGAAAATTAAAGGAATTCAAAGATGGTTAAGGATTACCCTTTCATTGGATACTGGAAGACCCCTCTGGAAATAGTTTCATTTAAGATCCAAATGAACTCTAAGAAGATCCCCAACTTAAGATTCAACATTACATAAGAACGATCGAAGAGTTGGAAGCTATGGGATATAGTGCTGAGAATTAAGAATGAGAGGTTCAGCAAATACAGCAATAATAAGAAGTCATTGCAAACCCAATTCATTAAGGGACTGAATAGATCTAAGCAGGCGGATAAAATTTTGCTTAATCTATAGATGATTGTGTTAAAGATGAATCTATCAATATTCCAACACCTTGTAATGTCTGTGAGGAAATGGGAGAAAACAAAATGTGCACCGTCACTATTCCTCATTTTAAAGAGATTCTTATTATGAGTTTCAATTGTGGATTTTGTGGATTCAAAGACACAGAGGTTAAAGCAACTGGTGAGATCAGTAAACAAGGTAAAATAATAGAATTGAAATTTGAAAATGAAAATGACTTATGCAGAGATGTATTTAAATCAGATACTGCTAAATTGATTATTCCTGATATTGAATTGGAACTTGGAACTGGTACTTTGGGTGGAGTATATTCAAATGTTGAGGGGTTATTGGAATAAATTCTTTCACGTTTAAGGGATAATGTAATTATTATAATTTAATAGTAGAATCCATTTGTTGGAGATAGTGCTGATGAGGATTATAAGAAGAAGATGGAATAAATATTTTAGAAATTGGAGGAATTCAAGTCTGGGAAATCCAAGTTTACTTTAATCATAAGAGATTTAGTCGAAAATAGCTTCATTTAAAATCCTTACTATCCAAATGAAGACAATTAAGTTAAAATCACTCTCTTTGATAGAAATCCAGAGGACAATGATGAATTAGGAATAGATACAATGAAGACAGAAAATTATCAAAATTGATCAAAAATATATAATTCATTTTAGTGTTATTTAAACAAAAAGACATAATAGCAAAATTACTTTCTTATTTCAAAATAATTTCTTTTCTAAATATATATATGGATCTTCTAAATATTTACTTAACTAAGATGATTAAATATGCATAGTCAAGAAGAGCAACAAAATTAGGTTTGCAAAAGGCTACTTACAATCTAATTGGATAGAAATTCCTCTCTGTACATTCGAATTAGAATTTAATCCAATTAAGTAATTTCCCTTATACTTATAAAAATGACTTAAGGGAAATACTCCTTAAGAATTCATTAATTAAAGTCCATCAATATCGGAGATTCTGATAAAGATGAATTAGGAATAGATACAATTAAAAACTGAGAGTAACTTTTGATATAATAAAATATATTCGCTTTCTCTTAAAAATATTTAAATGCATATATCGATTCAAAAATGCTTTCCTAAGTATTAACTGAAGAGTTCATAAACAAGAAATGTTATGCTATTTGTAGGTAATACCCTTATTAAATCAGGTATTAATCCTTTATAGAATCCTCCAATAGAATCTTATTCATATATAACTCTACAAATATCAATAATTCTAACTCTTGATCTGAGGCCACTCTTATAAACTGTTTTATTATCATGTAATCTAGTTCGTATAACTACATGAGGATAAGTTACTAAGACTGCGATTGCTATATATGGATTATTTTGTATTGATTACATTTTGACAATATTGAGGCTTTGAGAATATCAACAGGCAAAAGCTAACCATTCTTGTCGGTGTAATTTTATTTCAAGCTCTCGTATATTGGAAATTAGACTGCGACGTGAGATAGACCCAACACAGTGGCTCCAAGACCTTTGTACAAAGCAAGGAAGCCTTCCTGAAATGATATTTAATTGATTACTTCTCTATACAAAGTGACTAATCCCCTGAAAACAGATGTATATTTTGGATGACTGTGATCATGCAAGTATTATGTTTACATTCTAGTTCTGATTAACTTTAAATAAAAGTTAGTTGCATTAATATACCCATAAAGGATTAGTAATTAAATCACAAACAAACCCCGTGATTATGGTTGCCAAGAGATGATTCTAGAAACCAGAGATTCCATATTGGAATTCCAAGGTTTCCTTGTTCCATTTATAGAGGGGAAAGAAGAGCGAATGAGATATGGGATTGGCGACTGCTGTAGCTCGATAGCCTTTTTAATGACTGCACTTTTTACCTTTGTAGTAACCGGCAAGACCTTCCTCTTTATAGATAACACAAAGAGTGTCAATGAAGCCGTGATATTTATTCATTGATTTGGTAGCATTCTTAAAATGGTTAATTGATTACTTAGAGGTTTAATCTGCTCCTGGCTACTTCCAAAGGGTGGCATACGGTTACGCTGATGAATCCTCCAACTAAGCCAGCAATAAAATGATGCCAATATAATTTCCTTTGTTATTCTTAATTCATTTTATTTTAATAATATTTAAATTCAAAATAGATGAATATGAATGATAGTTTCTTTGACAACATCTTAGTCGGCACTTAGAATGTGAACACCAGTAATAAACCTTAAACAATTTGTAAATCATTGGAACGTACCTTTGCTGTGTGTAGTTAACCAATTAAGTATGTAAGCTTTTGATGTTATAAAATTTACAGGAAAACTACCTAGCATCATCATACCCAACAACAAGAGGATTCAAAAAGTCAAAGGCATTCCACTCAACAATTAGATTATTATTTAAAACAACAAAACAAAACAAATACACTAAATAATCAGTCCAAAAGTTATCGTAGTATCAAGTAATCAGACTCCAATCATCAAACTTAAATACCTTAAAGTAAATTAATCGATTATTCTTTACAGAGTCATATCTCAAACAACAAATGAGGTTGAAAATTAATTTAGAAAATGAAGCCTTTCAATCGAACTTAAGACACAAGACCCAGTCTTCTCACAACACAACCAATCCCTATTAAGGATCCATAGTTAATCTCATGAAGTAGCAAGTAACTCACAAGATTAACACTTTAGATGCAAAAATAATAATAAAGTTTCTTGAACATCTGTAAAACCATGAACGACGATTCCAAATCCAGGATATCTTCTACACATAGATAATCCTTAATTCCATCCAAGTTGACTTAGAGATAGGATTCTTAAAATATTCGAAAAAGCAATTCTGTCTACATGTAGGAGTTCAGAAAGGTGTTTAGTAAAACAAAATATAGTATACACAATAAAGTTTGAATTATTAAAATTACATCTCTTTTCGATAAAATTAAAAAAATCAAAAAATTTCACAACAACTCTTTTTATTCATATCCTTAGATTATTTATAGAACATTTTAGCACCAGCTGATAAACTATTACTCTTAGCAACCAATTAATCCAAATCACCCTATCTCTCCAATAGTTTTTTTATGTTCTCATGTATAATAATGTTGGTTTCATCGACTTTTGTTTGTGCTAACAGAACCTTATCAACATTCTTTGGATCTTAATACTCTTAAAATAGCTATGTGTTAACTTCAGAATTGATATACTTGCTTAATTTCTGGAACCTCTATGCTTTCATCTTCTTTGTACTTTTTCCAAGCATCTCCTACTTTTTTCTAAAATTCTTGTAGAACTACATTTAGAAAGGCAAATGCTATTCTTTTAGGGTAGTCCTGATCGCAAAATGCATATACTTCTAGTTTATCACTTCCATATCCCATTTATATATGGCAATATTTATCTTCGTGCATTACTGAATGTCTTAAAATCAATTGCATGAATTACCAAGTTCCTTTGTCTAGGCCTATAACTGATTCTCGACAGATGAACTTCATGGAATCCTTCACAGTGTTTCTATAGAATATTCCTATTGAATTCAATTCGTAATATCGAGTTAGCATAATAACCTTCTTTTCTACTGCGTTGTAAGCGGCAATCAAGACAGCTATCAATTGCATTTTATTTGATAAAATAAAATATATAGATTAAGTAATTTATACAATAATTCATTAGGTTTGGGGGACTAAGGAAAATGTAAAAGTAAATTCGTTATTAGCCTGTATGATATCTAAATGGTTATACACTCCAAACTCAGAGAGAATCAATTAAGTGATACTTATATTTAGTAGCAAATTAATAGGTATCTAAAACTATTAAGTCAAATAACTCATTCTTTCTAGGAGTGATTGATGAACAGAGGTTTTATGAAAAAATCCTTTTGGAGACTTAACCCAATTAGTTTGTAGGATTTCTAATATTTTGGTTTGAATGACTTTGTCCCTTTCCTTTATTTTAATTTAAAAGAAGATTTCTGAATTTAGATTTTCTATTTGTATTTTTAGAATTTTCAGATCTTTAAAAATTTGCTAAATTATGTAGAAGCATGAAATCAATAATTACTGAATTATGGAAATATCATGCATAAATGGTTTAGCAAGTAGTACCTTTTAGGAGTCAATTCCAATCAATGGATCAAGTGCAGTTTGTAATGAATTTTGAGTGATAGATTATAATTTAAGACGGTTAGATTTGTTTTAAAAAATGATTTAAATATTCTGTATGAAATTGTGATTAAAGTAGAACTTCTGATCTGGGAATCTCTATTTAATTGATATTTGATTAAACTTGGTGAGCAACTTGATTAAGAAACGTGACTATTCATTTGCCGTTTCAGTTATATTCTAGAGGATACTCCATAAAACTTAAGTCTAATTATAAAAATATTTCTTCTTAGGATCAATGATGAGTAAACATTGTAGTTTATTGTTAAATACGCATCTGAGTATTTTGACATTGTAGAGCTTCTAAGTTTAATAATGTTGAACGGTGTATTTGTAAGTTTTGAATGAATCAGCAAATTCTTGAGTATGGATTAGGAATCTTCTCAACGTGTGTTCCATATTGATATGAACTAAATTCGAGACACTATCATCTGGGTGTCTGCTGGAAGATACGATTAACTAATGAGTAGATTGAAAATTCATATTACCTTTCTGAGTAATTGTCGTAGATTTTCACTATCCTTTAATCTGAATAAAATAGATGAAAATTTGTTTTCCTTCTCGAGTTGCAATTAATCCTGTTTCTTGTCATGGGAAACCAACAAAATGGAACTGGACAACACTTTTGACAATAGTTGTTCCCATCTTTCCTGTTGACAACTCTAAACATATTATTCCTTTTTAGTTTTTTCATAATTATATTTGATGGCTATCATACTCATGGCCAAAAAGACAAAGAGAAATATGTTGATAATCCCATCTTTAATATCTATGTTGTCTTAATCTAAGTGGACTCCAATAACAATGATCAACAGGAAGGTCTGATAAATGAAGTTGGCACCTAAGAGATAAACACTGAAGTGCAAGTAACCACATTGGAAACCATAATACCAAGATTGATCTAAAGTGGGATTGGTTGTGCCATTAAATAATTAAGGCATTTTAAAAGCGAAAAGCAAATACAATTGATAAATAGTTACAATTAAATTGATTAAGTGAGGTTTTTGTTGTAGTATTTTCCAGAGCATCAATAATGCAAAAATCGATATTCCACTGAGTATTGAATAAGGAAGTGAGTCTCGCTAGATAAATTTTGCGGTGTTCAGAATCGAAAAGGACTATAGTAGAGTAGAACAATTACAACTGAGTAGATGGTGAAGTACGTTACTTCCCTTAGTTTGGATGATTTGGAGTAGTTTTCGTACTGCTCAGCTTGATCCTTGAATAGAAATTCAAGAGTGTACTTATTGAGCATTATTAATTATCAATATTATAAATCACTCTTATCGATTATCTAAATTTATAGACTGTTTTAATAAATCTTATGCTAAAAATGTTCTTGAGTAAATTTCAAGTAACCCTACCTCAGAATAGAAGGATAAATAATAATACTCTCCTAAATCATACCAATAATAATGTTATATTAATAATTGAATAATACTTCACAATTTTGTATTCTTGGTCACATCATGGAATGCTTCAGCTACATACTTAACATTTCCTTCATTCAAACCAGCAATTGAAATTCTTCCACTGCTCAATAAGTAGATATGATATTTGGCAATCAATTCTTTAACGTGTTCTGGACCGACACCCTGAAAATATTCATTAATATATTACAGTGAAGGCAAACATACCAATTTATTTGGAAATGTGAGACCAATCATGAGGAGAACCTAGATTCTTCAAATTGTTGGCCAAACTAACTCTCATCAATTGAATTCTATTGGCCATCATTTTAACTTCCTATAACCACAATTAGTTGAGTTCTGGAGTGTTGAGAATGATGTCAGCCACTCTAGCTCCATGGAGAGGAGGACTAGACCATAATGGTCTGGCTAACAATTTCAATTATGAGACCACCTTCTCTCTTTCCTATTGATTAGCACATACAAAACTAAGGCATCCTGTTCTTTATCCATATAATCCCATGTTTTTGGCAAAGGATTATCCTAAAACTATAGGAACACCTTGGGCTGTAAATAATCTGACTGCTTCGGCATCTTTATTTACGTCTCCACTTGTGAAACCTTGATAAGCCATATCAAAGAATGGAAGGAAGTTCTTCTTTTTTGTCAAATCTAATAATTATGTCCATTAGGCTGTAGTCAAATCACAACCAGTTGGATTGTGAGCACAAGCATGGAACAAGATGACTGATCCATTTTGAGCCTTATTCAAATCTTCTACCAATCCAGAGAAATCAACTCCACGTGTTTTTGGATCAAAATAACGATACTCTAAAATTTCTAATCCTGCCATTCTAGCAATGTTGTGATGGTTTGGCCATGTTGGATTTGGCATATACACTTTTGTTCCTTAAGGCAAGAATTTCTTAGCAAATTCGAATCCAAGTCTAACTGCACCTGTTCCACTTAATACTTAGCATCCTGCAATGCTCTTTCCATTTTAAGCATAGTAAGCATCTCCATAACCTAATTTAATAGATGCATCAATAAATGATTGGAGTCCTTCAACTGGAAGATATTCATTGTCCAATTTCTTCTCTTTTATTATTTGTTCAGCCTAGTTTAAATAAATCTAGATACTCTCTTCACTGAATCGAGTACTACTGGCTTTCCATCATTATCACGATAGGCTCCTATACTTAGATTTACTTTTGTAGAGCTTGGATCAGCCTTGAATTGCGCAGCCACTCCCAAAATAGGGTCAGCTGGTCCCATTGGCACTTAAGACCATACAGAAAAGTATCTCAAAGCTCTAAAACACTACATGTCGAATATCTTTCAATATATTAATTAATTCTTATAAAAAGTATGTCATATTAATATATAATACGGATCTTTTTTATTTTAATCACATAATATAAATTAATAATATACTATATATAATTGACATATAAAATTATGTTTCATATTATAAAACTAGAATTAATTACACTCCTTCATTAATCTACTAGTTCACAAATAGTTTTAAAACATATCATATATTGAATCCTAAAGAATTAATGAAAACCAATATCAAGTATCAAACACTTAGCTTTCTTTCTGTATTTAAGCATCTAAATGATAATACAATTTTAGGAATTAATAAAATTTTTAATTTCACCATATAATTTTCAATTACCTCCACAGATTATGCCTTATTTCGAAGATTGAACTTATAGATTTTTGAGTTAATATTGTTTCACTTTTGGTATAATAAAGTTAGGAATATTTCAAATGTTCTCTTTTTAAGTAGGTTCTAAAATGAATCCTAGAATTTTAGAAATCCCTTAATTAGGGATTGAATGTATTTTCAATAGGTCTTACATTCTATTAATCCAATTTCATACAATATCTCCCCTTTTCTCTTGAGTTTCCTCTTTATAATAAATTCAAATTTGTCCAAAAATTGTTATTGTCAAGTCAACATAAATAATAAAAATTCAAGAAACCGAATTAAAACTCTGAATGAGTTTGGTTTTTATAGGAGTCCATGATTTGCTTGTTCTACAATTCAGGTAAATTTTTTCATTATTCAAGCATTTATTTATTATTTATGATTTAATTCTAATTAAAATGGAATAAAAATAATAACTTTTATATTTCAATTAGGGATTAGCCAACATCCTGGCCCCAAAAATTCATTACAATTAGATACGAGGTCTTTATTGTAGTGTTCTCTCTGTTTCTCAAAGTATTCAAGTGTTGTTTGATTGTTGCTTATTAATCTTTTGTTGTAATATATATTTGTACTTTGTATGAAATGCTAAGAATAAAAATAAGACAATCATCAATGTGAAGCTTAGAGTAGCAGCAAAAATTATAAAGTAGGTATCGATCTTGCCAATCGGAGGATTTTTTAAAATTTTATTGAAATATATGCAAAAGTAAACAACTGATGTTAAGGCTCTAAATATTCATTTTAAGTTACTAGCATAAAAAACTAAGCAAAAAAAATATTTGTAATTGTTCTGTCCGATGCAGTTATTCACCCAAGGACAATGATGATCCATTCTCAATATGCATTTATTACATTGTCGGCAATGATGACATCGCATGGGTTTATTGTTTTAACAAAATTTACAAGTTTTCCTCTATGTAGTCAAAGGGTCATCTTCACTATCGGTTTATGTTGGCGATCCTGGCTTAGTAGTGGATGTTTTGTAAAATGAGTATATAACAGCCAACAATAATAAATGATGTAAAATCAACAAAAGAATTTCCTTTTCTTCCGGATATATGAAAATCTATATTAAGAACTCTAGTTTACATAAACCATCATGATTTCCAAGTATGCGATGATCAATATCACAATAGAGAATGGGGCCAATACCCATAATTAATTAAAATTCATAACAAATATGATGAATATAAATGAAAAAACTCCTTACTTTTTCCGAGTGATTAATAATTAAATTAGGCCCTCTCAATCCATCCACTGAAAAAACTTACTCTCTCCATTCCCAAAATTAAAATAACACCCCCAATGACTCCTCCTCTCGATTTTTGTATTTATTCTCCAATAGAATTATTAATAATTCATATTTGAAAACACTCCTAAGTGTTCATATCTATCAGTTCCACATTATTTATGACTCCCATAAACAACTAAGATCAAATAATATAATAGTACTTTATTGTACTAGTTATACAAAATTTGAAATATAAAATTCTCATTGTCCATTTGCAGTATTTATTTAATCTAATAGAAGCTATTAAATATGATTAAAAGTCCTAATGATTCAAATCTATAACCAAAAGAGAAAATCAAAGTAATAATAATTTAAATGATAAATATTAATTAAGAAACTTAAAAAATTTAAATGATTTTTAACTTTAGGAATAAGAATTATTCCTATTTTACAATAGGGAGTTAGATTATTAATATTACTAATAATGCTTTGTTAAGTTTTAATGTGAAAATATTGTCATTGATTTAACAATTTCTCAATTTCTTATAACATTTCTTTTGGTTTGATATCTGGATGATAAAATTTCACCACTTGACCCTATGAGTTAAGTAGGAATTTTCCAAAATTCCATGGCACTTCCTTTGCTTCATTAGAGTTAACTTTTAGAGTGCTGTTTAATCTTAAATATCTGTAAATCTCATGAGTGTTTTAACCATTAACTTCAATTTTTCTTAAATATTTAAATAATCAGTACTAAAATAATGGAAATGAAACTCCATATTTGGATATAACGAACTCCTTTATCTCAGGTTCTGGTTAAGATTCCTAACCCATAAATTGATTACAAGGAAATCCTAAAATCTCTAAACCTTAGGCACTAAATATGTTATTATTCTGTACCTGTATGATTTATAGAGTTCTACAAGTTCGCTGTAGTTTGAGGATGTTAATCCACATGAACAGGCAACATTTACACAAATGTAAGCTTTTTTTCCTTAAAATTGAGAAAGTTGGGTTTTCTAACCATCGATGTTATTAAGTTCAAATTCGAAGAATGTTTTGGTTGGTGGTTATAGTTTATCTACTCCTTTTTTAAATAATTGTGATCCCATTTTAATATTCCGACTTCTTAAAATTAAATAATAAATTTTTAGGAAATAGTTGCTTTGCTTATAAATTCGAAATTGACACATACTTGAAATCATGACGATTGAAATTAAAATATAAAACTTTATATTATAAACCACAAAAATATTGTTGTCACTCATTCAATAGTCCCTCTGACTCCTCATTAGCTACTTATGTTTTAATCATATCTTTTTCCATCTTTCTTAATTGTCTAATCTATTAATCTATTATTAATTAGGCTTAAGCTCCAAGAGGGTGATTAGGAATGTCAGTAACATTGATGTATTTATTAGTAGCCCAATTTTCCTCTCCTTTGCTTGTAAGAAAAGGCTTAATGAAGGATATCCAATTATTGATGAACCCTTTGTCAAAGGGATTTCCAAACATTCCTCTATCGTTAGCCCATAGATAGGAGTATCTTCTCCATTATACTAATTCCGAGGGAGTTATGTTGTATGAAATCTAAGGATATGATTAATTTGATTACTCTCAATAAACACAATATGTATTGCTGAGCAAAATAATAGAATTGCCATATATTGATTAATATAATGAGCAAATCAAAATAGGACTTCTCTTGTGTTCTCTATTCTAATGTGAATTACCTGAGTATGAAAAAACAATACAAAGTCCAAGAAATAAGATAGAGAATGAGGAGTGGATAATTGTATAGACCAATGCATACATTGAATTGCATAGAATGAAATTCCCATCTTTTAATGCATCTACATAAATATGGTTTAGTACTTTTGACAATATACACAATGTTAGCATCTAACAACTTTGGGGATTGAGCAAATAATGCAGATGTTTCTATTCATTTTAGAGAGTGTGAGTAGTTCTGGTTTAGTATCTAAAAGTTCTTTGAAATCTGCTTATTTGAACTAACCTGGTGGGCATAATAGAACCAAGAAATAAGTAGTAAAGATAGCATAAATAATGTAAATAATGTAATTCTAACTTATTAGGTATTGATACCAATTCAGGATATGTTTCATAATTGAAATAGAGTAAAAGGCCATGGCCCATAAAATAATAGATGGCGAACCCTCCGAATATTGATTTGAGCATATTGCCTGGCATGATTTGATTGAGCCATCCATTAAGTTTATAAATAGGCATCATAAGAGCCTGTCTAATAAATAGTATGATTGGAATACTAAATCATCATGTAAAAGTAATAGCCTTAAGCCATCATAGGCAACTGCATAAAGATTTGCATAGCATAATCACCGCTAATGATGGCATACCAAATGAAGACTCTCATCTCTTGGGGGACATTTGCAAATGGATTATATGAGGAATGATGATGATGCTGATGTTGATGAGGATGTGAATGTTTGTGTTTATGTTGATTTTAATGATCTTGAGTATGATTACAACATTGACCCTTCTTATTCTCTGTCTAATTGATATTAATTGGAACATGCCCAGCATTTTCCCTATCCATATTTGAATTCATGGAGCGCATAGGAATTTAATAAATTAAATCTTATGGATCTTTGTGTTTTTGGGGTTGATGATGGTTATGCCGAAGCCATAATCAGAGGATTGAGAGCAAGTTTCTTGACTGAAGCTCAATACCAACAGATGAAGAATTGTGCCTCAATTCCAGAATTGAAGTCTTTCTTGGAAGAAACAGATTATTAAGTACACATGGCAATTAATAATATAGAATTGCTTGTAAGCTGACAATCCTCAAATACCTACATCCATTCTGAGATAGAGACTTAAAAAGAAATTGGCTGATGAATTTGAGTACATCGAAGCTCAATCCACTGGCACACTTACAAAATACTTATTTCATTTGAGGTATGATTGATTGATTCATTATGAAAGATGCCGTTTTATGATTGACAATGTAGTCAACATGATAGAGGGATTGAAGAATAAAATTGATATTGAAATACTTTTGAGTAATATTGATCCACTAGGCTGGTTCCCTGAAATCAAAAATATCAAAGTCCTTGAAGGAGATGATTATAGCAGTTTATATAGAGATGTCCTTATCGATACACCTATTGGTGTCTATTTTATGAAATTCTTGGAAGAATCCATTGAGAATTTACATGAAAATAGAACTTTGAATGACATCCAAAACTTATTCAGAGAAATGAAACCAGAGTACATCAGAACATCACTTAAGAAGATGTGGTTGGAAGATTTCTATTTGTTTTGCGAATAAGAAGTACAACATACAATTTAGTTAGTTAATGCCAACATCTTAGGAAGCACTCTTGGAATTATTAAAATTTGAGGCTGACTTTAAAACAGTCTAAGTTATTTACAATTCAATTGGAAACAGAGATCTTAATACAGCAGCTAAAATTATCACAACAAGAAAACAATTGTGTCCAACAATTGGAAACTTATATCCTGATTGTGAAAAGTTGTATTTATAAGCCATGACTTTGGATGCACTTAGAGAAGCTGTCAAAGGTTGTGACAATTATAGAGATTTACTCAAAGATGCCCCAGATCCTTTAAAGAGAGAAGAATTCAATGTGTAAACAAAGTAATTGCTCAAATCTACTAATTTATAGAACTCTTGATGATATTATGTATGATGATGAATGCAGAAGATATGCTCTTGCATTTGACGGATAAGGCTCATATGGAGTAATCTATACTATTCATATTAGGTCTTCTATTCTTATTTGAAACTTAAAGAATAAGAAATTAGAAACATTATCTGGTTGGCAGAAATGATTTCAAGAAAGCTTGCTAAGAATCATCCAGGATGGAAAAAAATCATTATCCCTTTCAGTCACCTTGGAAAATGAGCATTTAATGCATAATATATATTAATATATTTGTATAGCAACTAATTTTTGCATCTAAATTTTATACTGATCCTCTCAATTCATAAATTCCTAAAATAAAGGAATTACAATTATAATACAAATTATAATATAATACTGTTGTATGATATATGTAAATCTATTATATATCATTCCTCCTTTGGAACTGCATTGTCTTACATTACTTTAGCATATGAACATTTTTCAAAAGCATATCCATCGGCTTTAAAGAATTTGTTCTGAAATTCAACCCAATGAAGACGCAAGGCATGAAGAAAACATTCCATCACATCCATCATCATCAAAACTCCGAAAGTAGCCATAGAGAAAATGGTATAACCAATTAAGAGCTAGAAATTAATAGCATAAGAATACCCTTATTGCACCGACGAAACCTCCACCACTTATACCTCCATTCAAACACATTTAGAAGAACACTTCTGCTAATTATCCGTGAGCCAAAGATAAAGCCCACAATCTTAAATAAGAAGCTGTATTTGAAATGGATCCCAACACAAACTCAATAGTTTCAATTACTTGATGTACAAATATATCACCAAATTCTTCGTGATGTCCACCACCACCAGATTATTCAGTATGAATTTCTGAATTCTCTTGAGTGCCTTCAGAATCCTATAATATGGTATTATAACAAATATTACTTCATTGATTTTTTAGTAAAGTTCTTTTTTCTCATCTGCCAGACCGTTTGGACCTTGAGCCTGATGTTTTTTATTTTGAGAATTAAGTATGAGTGGTTTTGGAAGTAGGATAATTGGAATACAAAATAGTGCAATCAATAACATTGCAGTTTAAGTTGAGGCTTCTGATTAACCATCTCCCCATAAAGGTGGATCAACTGTTTTAGCAGGAGCAAGAATCATATTAATCATCAAAGTAATAACACTTGGGGCTTAATCAGTTTTTCCTGTCCAATTCACAAACCATTTATAAATAATTAAAAAGTCCATCCAACCGAAAGTGCAAGTGAAGAATATTATTTGAGGAATGAACTCAAAAATAAAGTCTATCCAATTCTTGAAGTATATTGCATTGATTCCCTTCAATATAATACCGAATGTCATATGAATGACACCAATAATAACTGCCAATTTCATCTTGTATGAATTCATGAATGTTAATTCATTAGGTACACACATCCAGACTGGATCTATACCAAATGGATATACACAGGATTCATCTTTTTAAACCCATACTTATTCATCTTTGTGGATTGGATCATCAACTGTACCTGGTTCATAACATGATCCAAATAAGTTGATAGGAACAGACATGAAATCATTATATATCCATCCATTGTAAAATGCCCAGAAACCCATCATTAATACCATATGTCTGACAATTAGAGCATGCTTCATTAAAGAATCTGATTCCTTGATTTCTTTATTATAGACACATAAATATATTCCTAATAATAATAGACAAAATCTAAATGATATGATATTACAGTATACCCATGTCCAATATCAGCAAACATAACACCAAACAAAAATGGGAAAGTCATGACTGTGAATAATCCTGGATTGATTTCCTTATATCTTGGCATACCATAAGTATTAACTATTTCTTAGAATCCCCAAGTAATTTCATTGGTTTCAAAATATGTTGGAGGCGGCCTTGTACCTTCAGGTGGTGATATTTATAATTGTCCTGTTGGCAAACCCTCATAATTGGTTTGAACTTCTCTTAATGCTTAATCAACTTTGATATCTGCTCCTTGAGGTAACCAAATTGATCCATAGAGTACACTTCCTTGAACTCTCAGGTAATTCAATTGCGTATAAAGATATTTCTCCTTAACCAAAAATAATTTTAATTCTTCTAATTTATGAACAATTGGAGTTTTAATAAATTCTTTAGAAATCATCAAGGTAGGCTTCAACCTGATTCTTTGTCATTTCTAATAACTATAAAATGTATATGAGAATATGTACATTTCTAGTCTCGACTAACTCTGTTTCAATTTATCTTAATTTCTCTTGGAAAACCATATTATTTTCAGGGAATGTGTATTTAGCAACCTAAAAGGATTCACAGATTTTATTGAGTTTGTTTGTGATAACATTGGAACCTCCTCCTCCTGGATAGACTACTACAAAGACACTTTTAATAATTTTTGCGTCATCCTTTATTTTATTATGTTTTAATTTACATTTTTAGTGTCAACGATTTAATCACTTTCAATATCCATGGTATTCATCCAAGCATTACCTTTGGTAATACGAAATATGATTCTCTTGAATCTGATTTGGTCTTCCTTGTTGATGACACCAACCAAATAATTAAATTTAACAGATCCTTATAAGATTTTGATGTCATCTAATTCTTTCCCTTGCAAATTGACATATCCTTCGGCTACATAATTAGCACTAAGATATATGAATTTTATACGGTTAGAAGAATGATTGTCCTAATAATGCTTCTCCCTTTAGTAAGACTGATTTGTGTTCAATCAGTTTGTTTCTGCGTTCATGAAGATTTTCCATGTTAGTACTCTATTCAATTAGTTGCTGATGTTTCTTGTCGATATCATTTTCAATCTCATCCAAATAGGTGTGACTGGCTTTAGACCTTGAGAATTCAGAGGATTGAATACCTTTCCTTGATCAATTGCTTGAAGTTTTTGATCAAAAAATTGACATCCTTGCAGTAAGTAATCTTCTTTTGATATTTCTTCATTTCATGCTCGATGAGGGATAATTTAACTAGCAAGTCATCGCATCTCTTGATGTAATTAGCAAATGGCCTATTGATCATAGGTAATGTTGGGTCATAATCAACAAAATGAATGCAATCTAACTCTGCCAATTCATTCATGACATTCCAGGCACTTTCTCTTGGGATAATCAATTTGTAATAGCCCATTGTTTGGGACCTAAAGAAGTTCATTATTAATTATTAATATCTTTATTTTGCATTTCACATATTAATTAAACAAGTAACCCATGATCGTTTCGCATTTTCTTAAAACCAGACACTCTTTTCTTTCTACCACAGTAAATATGCCCTCATATGTTTCAAGATAAATGCAAAATTACGCAATCATTTATCAAATAAATATAGTAAATTGATGTTTCAACCATCCCAAAAAATAAGAGAAGCTACCCATGCAGGTAGTTGGTATATTGGAGATCGTATATTTAAAATCATTAAACACAAGGAAAGCAATTGGATGCCCAACTGAACGACTTCTTATCAAAAGCCAAAGCGGAAACTATACCGAACATAAAAGCCATTATCGGACCGTATAAAATTATAAAACATATAGACACGCTGGCTTTTCTTATTCAGGACCAACAGCAGCCTTTGCATACTAACACTTAGTGCAAAAAGAAGGGTAATAAACTGTCGCATTAAATTATTCTAGAATGAAAGTCTTTTTACTTGGACCCTGTCATCATACATATATCAAAGGAATAGGATTATCTGAACTGGAAATTTATGAAACACCACTTGGCAATATCGAATTAGATTAACCAAGTATTTACATTTGCTGATCTTTTAGCAATAAAACAATTAAGTGCAGAATTGAAAAAAAACTTTATATTTACAAATAAAGAAGTTGAGGAAGAAGAACATAGTTTAGAAATGCATTTGCCATTTATTTATAAAGTATTTCCAAAATGCAAGCTAATTCCTATAATGGTGGGTGCAACTACTGAATAACAAGACGCTTAAGTGGCAAGTGTACTAGTCAAATATTTTGTTGATCCAAACACTGTGTTTGTCATTTCATCTGATTTCTGTCATTGGGGAAAGAGGTCAATTAATGATATTATCAAATTAGTTTCCGATACACTCCTTATAATAAGGAACATGGAGAAATTCATTAATCAATAACATAATTAGATGGATAAGCAATTAAATTGATTGAGTCCCATAATATTCCAGAATTTTATAAGTATCTTGAGGATACAAAAAATACAATATGTGGTAGACATCCAATCTGTGTTTTACTAAATGTAATCTTGATTTGAATTTAGATAATCAACCTTAGCAAATTGCAATTACGAACACAACTGACTAAATATAATCAATCAAATCAAGTGACAAAGCCAAATGACTCATCTGTGAGTTATGCCGCATTAGTGACTAGTTTAATATGAAATTAATAATTACACAATATATATAATTAATTCAATAAATTCACATATTTTTTTATTTAAAAGAAAGATTTGAGATTTTTTTTTATGCTCCCCTTTTCTCATACTTTTCCGAACTTTTACTCTTAACATTTTGACTTTGAACCTACTCATCGTATTCTGTCTAGAGTCTTTCTATTTTTTTAACCTATTTTATCTCAAGGATTTATTAATTTTGGCTTTTTTCTCTCTGATTACCATTGTAGTAATCATAATATTAGCTAATAATAGAGTAGAAGGAAGTCGAATTGTCAATATGATTATCTGACTCTGTAGATTATGTTTATTTTAAAGTCATCCTTTTTTAGCAGGATGAACTAGAAGCTGAACTAGCTGTCTTTAATCTATCTGCATTACTGTGTTGGCTCATTTAAAATTAGTTTATATCATCGTAAATGATCAAAGGCTTTACTCTTCGATGATTTTTCTCGTCATCCCCAAATACTTAATTGGATCTACACATAATTGGAGATTGACTAGAGAACTTGCTTTGGAGTAGTTTTGAGATGTTTATTCTAACATCTAAGTGATTGGAGTTAGAAGGAACACTCTTATCGTACATAAATAGATTATTAATAATTAAGTTCATTTAATTTTATCAAGTTATTTTTTCCAAACTGATTGAGTAATCGATCTCAATTTTATTTAGCCCATGAGATAATTGGTTTTATCGTATTTGCCATTCGCATGTATTCTGTATTTCCCTTCATTCGTTAATTCATCAATGCAAGTGGGAGTATTGGCAAATTTGACCTTCGGAGATTGACTATTATAAACCTTTTGGGCTTATAATGACTCATCTGAATGTCTGTAATTTCTCCTTAACAAATCATGGACTTGCTGAGTAGATGAAATAGTTTAATAGGTTCTGCTCTTCTCCTTCTTTTTATTCATAACCTTTTGCCACACTTTTGCAGGCGAATTGAATGATTTCAATGATTCAGACCTATAAATTCTTAACTCTTCATTCTGGGCCTAATACAGAGAAAATTTGTTCAGAGTTTGGTTGCTGGAGAGAAATGGACGATTCAAAATGGATGATTAAGTGGCAAAGCTTTAGTGATTTGAAAGGCTGTTCCCTTCACAATGAATAGGAATGTGATCCAAAAATTTATTTCTAAATATTTTATAGAGTCGAACACAGTTTATAGACTTAGCACTATGACTTCTAAATTAGCTTAAGATTTCATCATCTCCAAAACACTCCTTGCAACCTAGAATTGAGATCGGATGAATGTTCTTATTGTACTATCTGAACAACTGCACTTCTCCATCCACAATGATGTAGACTGCATCAACTGGGTCCCCTTACTGATATATTAATTAATTTGGGATGAAGTTTATTTCACTGATATCGCATAGCAATTGTCTCAATGTCTTAGCCGACCATTTGCTAAACATAGGAACTGTTGATAACAATGCAAATTTCTCTGCATCTTACTTTCGAGATTAGATATCTACAATCTATATCACCAAGTACCTTTAATTCTTCTATAAACATCCCTCTTTATCACTATGAGATGAGACTTCTCCAAGGGCAATATTGTTTGAGTATGAGACTGATCGAACATCATCACTTATTCTCCAAAATGCTACCCTGGGTACAGGTAACCTTAAGGAGTCAAATCCGAGAATCTCTGAGTCAGCACTTTTTGTCTACCATATAGTAATATGCATCTCTTACAGTTCTGCATTCATCACAATATCCTGATAAGTAATATAACTTCTAGTCAACACCAAAAATTTCCCACTCAAAATAAAGTAAAACTTTGTGCTCATATCACCTATGTTAACCTAAGGCTCGTAAGGTATATGGCATTCATATTGAAGTTCTCTCAATATTTATTAATATTGAGTTTCTCCTACTTATTTTCGCAAATCATGAAAAAATGGCACATCCTTCAGACATACATCAATAAACTCAAGATCAAACTTCGTTTTGAACATCGATCTCTTGTTTATTGATTGTATCAATTGATAAAGATCACTCTCTCCAATAATCATAATAATTAATTCATTTATTCATATAACAATATAATATTTCTTCATTGATATTCCCATCTCGAATTAAAGTTGTTATCCCCATTCATTTCCTGATTGTTCGTTTCCTAAATTGGATCATGAACATACTATTGAATTCTATCAATCAGTCTTTAATATTTAACAAGAATAATCAATCATAAATTAATTATAATTCAAGGATTGTCGATAAATCAATTATATTCAACCTTCTCTTCGTCAAATCTCTTCTTCTCTCTTTAATTGAAATTTCTTAATAGCCAATACCTCCTTATTTACCTAGCTACCAAGAGTAAGATCAATAGGAGAAACAATCCTAAAAATGAATATCCAAAGATCTCCATCAAATCAAGATCGCCTTAATTATCAACCCTAACAATAAATGATTTTTATACTCTCCTTCATCTATTATCTTAATTTACAATTTTATTGTCTCATTAATTGACTAGAAATCAAAGTTCTCAGCAATAAATGTTAAACGCAAAGACTCCTCAGTTTTCTTTTTGGATATTATTTGTGCCTTACAATATTACAAATTCTTACATATTAATTTACATCAAATTCTGTCAATTAAGTTTTATTTACTCTGTCCCTTATTACTAAACGATTTTCTTAGCTTCTGCGCACATAACTTTAGGATATCTTTTTTTCTAATTGTATAGATTAAAAATAAGGAATCAAGTTTTGCATCTGAATTTAATAGAAAACTGCATAAACTTATTAATAGTTAAAGAAAACAATAGAAAAGATTTAACTATTTATTTAGGTCACTTCTAGAGGGAAATATCCAGGAATTGATGAATATCTCCTAATGACTTTAATATTACGATCAGCAGTAAATTCAACTTAAAAAGTTGGACCATTGTTTGTTGTCATTAGATAATTGTTATTTGATAGATACTTAATCTATCTGAATTCAGTGTCAATAAAAAGCTTAGATTCATTATATTTACAGAATTCTTCTAATAACTTAATAGAGGAACTATTAAAACTAGAATCAACAATTATCAATTCATTACTCCTTAATAAAAAGAGGATTTTGTTAACAATAAGCACATCTTGCAAATCGTTAGTCTGCTTAAAATAAGTTTGATTGAAATTTTCGTAAATAGCAATGTTGGTAGTTGAGTTCTTTTGACCATAAATAGCTATTAAGTTTTAATCAAAACTCAATTTCTATATTTTTGTGAAGTTTGTACTTAATTTTCTAATATCTTGAGGCGTTTATTTATTAAAATACAATAAGTAATTTTAGCAAATCAGAAATGCATACTATTAAGACTAAGCTAACTAATTGCATTTTTGATCTTAAACTAATTTTAAAGTTTTGCATTCTTAATTTAGATTACAAAGTTATAGTAATTGAGAGTGAAACAATAAAGTCTCATCTTTTTATAAATATAAGATATCAATGATTTTATTTTCAGTTAAATAGGATGACATACTTTTACTTTTTGAAATCATTTACTTAAATGAGGCTTGATCTGTTTCTTTGATATTGACGTTTGAAATTGGCCCATCAAAAATTTCCTTTACATTTATTCTGTTTAAGGGCTTTAATAGATTTTACATTGTGTATGGAACTACTCTCAATGCTAATTGTGTGCCAACAACAGTTGTTTCAATTTCCACTGATTCATTAAATGAGTTTGAGAACAGCAATTTTTTAGTTAGCAAATTAAAATACTGTTCTCTTGAAGACAAAGTAGATATGGTAAACTGTTTTTAATCCTATAGTCCTATAGCTTTGCTATTAAAAAATAATAATTCCAACTGTGGATAGCTAATGATAAACAACTTTTAACTTAATGCCTAGGGAATTATTCTTAAGACAGAATTGGATAGAGCTTAATGTTATGCAAAAGTGAATTAAATTATGTGAGTTGTATTGGTTATATAGAGATACTTATCTGTTGAATAAACTACTTTAGGTTAAGGAAGATTGTATTTGACACTCCCTCTAATTTTATGTTATGAGTATACGAATATTTCTTTATCAGTTATAACGATTAGTTAATCATCAGAATAATTTATTGATTAAATTTATTAATTGAATTTTTAAATAAACACTAATTACCAGCCATAGATTGAGTCCACCATAATTGAAACTTAATTTTTATCATCCAAAATATAGAGTTCATCATTTCCAAAAACTATTTGAATGACATTTTCATTTATAAATAGTTAGGCCTCTAAATCATAAATTTCAAATTACAATCTAAAGATTTCTATCCATTATTTGCCTTACTTTCTTTTGACCAGTATCAAAAATTCTTAGCCTAAAAAGTATTTAACAAATTCTTCATTCTCAAAATACAAATTGTCATCTATAAAAATGTGTAAACCTGGTGTATCTTCGGTACAATATGCAACGACAAATTAATCAGTCAATTAATCGTAAATTGTTGAAAAATTATTGATAGGTGATTTAACTCTCGTGAAGATATAAGAATCTATACAGTGATAATCAATATTTAATTCATTAAATTGACAGATATCAGCATAAATAGTTTAATCTTCGAGGAAAAAGAAAACAAGTTTGTCAAACTAATATTTAATCACAGATATTAAGTTCTCAGTATTTAATTATTGAGTATTTAGGTTCTTAACAAGAAATCCAGAATCTATTCCATCTCCTCCTACAATTAAATCTTTACCAATAACATAATCATTATAATAAAAGGTTTTGGTTTGAGGTTTCTGCAACTGGTTATTTGGAGATTAGAAAGGCTTTAAGGTTTTTAAACCTTAATCTAGCACGATGAATTCTAATTCTCCAATTTTAAAACTATCCGTTGTATTTCTTGCTGAAATTACACTCTAATCAAGTAATTAGATAACATAGACATTGTTATTCCTGAAAGTAACAAGGTGATCATCATAGTTTAAAGGATAGATCTTATTGGGAGAAGAATAAATCTAGGAATGGTACTTAATGTTATAGGCAATATTGTTGTCAATGATCATGAACTTTCTTGTTTAAGTGAGGGATGATGAATTAGGTTGATTAAATTCAAGTAAATAACCTGATTGATCGATTTGTTTCAGTTTTTCGCATTAAGCAAATATGTAGTCTTCGAAAATTGCAAAGGTTTTGATTGCTTAAGTACATTCAAAAGAGATAGTTTCGATGTCATCCTAATCATTAATATTTATGATTATGATATTTTATAACTATGCTAAGTAGAGATATAAATCAGTAACCAAAAAGGCTTGAGCTTCATGTTGTTACTAACTAATAAGTTCGAAATTGAAATCAAAATAATAGATTTAATTTTGTGTTATAGTAATAAATCCATTTAAATGAGATTAAAAATAAATGGTATTCTGCAATTCTGAGTGGTTTAATGTAATTGAGGTTCCATTTTGAAATTGATAATGCTAACCACATGCTAAGACATACTGGACTTAATCAAAAGCAATTGAATTACAGGAATTGATATATTTAGGGTTTTAACTATTTATAGTGAATAGTTTTAATTGCTAATAATTTTCAATGATATATACCAGCTTATCATAGTATAGGGAGTAAACAGTATAGGTGTGTTGTCTATTGAGGGTCAGGATAGCCACGTGAATGGTTTGGTTAAAGGTTGAGGATAACGATGCAACATCAATAATTTAATCTCCATCAGCAATCTACCCAGCCAGATACTCTGCGTATGTTCCATTAAGAAGGTCATGGTCTGCAGCTTGGGGTAGGGAATGATCGAATATCTTCTATTAAAAAATGATGTACCTTGAGTTCGTCTTTATTAATGAAATAAGAGGTAACCAATTATAAAATCAACAATAAGAGAAACATAAAATAATGAAGTAATTTTAGCGCAAATTGTTTTAAAAATATTTAAAAAAATAAAAATAAATTTTAGTTCGTGAATGCAAACACAAGACTTGGGATAGCTAGTAAATGCATTACAATTAACATATGGTTCCTCGTAAGAAAGCGTTAGTGCTGGAGAAGCCTTATTAAAGTAGGCTTCCATGCAACCATTGTAATAAAATCCTGTGAATATTTAGATATGCAATTTCCTTGTTAAAGATAGTGGATGATTAGACTTAATAGGATCTTGTCAGATAAAGTGCAGTGGTGAATTTAAAGACTTTTTTGGAGAGACATTGGGGATAAAAGAAGGAGCCTGGACACTTTATTGTGAATCCAGACGAAAAGGCTCTGATTAGGGCAGCAATTATAGATGCTTTAGCAAGGTTAGTCATAAATTACAATTGTATCTAGATGCATTTAAGTTAAGAAGTTAAGATCATAATATGAAGACTTAATTTACAAATTAGTAGCCATTGACTTTCCTAAGGATTGGCCACAATTAGTGCAATAATTGGTTATCAAATTATAGAACTACACATCATATGAAGATTTGTGGAGTGCTTTGTTGACTCTACGTAGAACATGCGAAGTTCATTAGTTTTTATTGGACAATGATCGTAAACCATTGGAACCATTGGTGGCATCAACGTTTCCAATATTGGAGACCTTGATTCAAAAGTTCCTTGAAAATTACAACGAATAAAGTGGATAATTGGTGAAAGTCATATTGAAAATATTCCATCATGCCACTCATTTAGTCATGCCCATATATATGAGAGATTTTAATGCTGTTGCAAAGTGGATGTTGTTTTTCAAGACAATCATCTCTGCTCCCACTCCTCCAGAATTGGCATCCTTTACTTAGGATTCTGAAGAGGAAACAAGGAGAGAAAAGACATACATATGGTCAAATAAAAAATGGGCTAGCAGAATTATATTGAGATTTATCCAGAAATTTGCAAATAAAAAGATGGTTGATCCTGATATGGCTGATTTTGCAGAACATATTAAAAGCACTTATGCTATTGGATTTATGGAGTTGTTTTATAAAATACTTACTGACAATTCCTAATTCCAAGGACCTCGAACATGTTTGTTTGCACTCAAATATTTATATTACTCTCTCAAATTAGACAATACCAAAGAATTATTGAAAGCTCATTATGATAAATTGATCTATCATGTTGCTATTCCCAAAATGTAATTGACTCCAAGAGATGATGAATTATGGAAGAGTGACCCTGAAGAATACATCAAAAGACTGGATGACTTTTCACTTTCAACTTACAATATCAAAAATCCAGCTAACGATCTTTTATAAGAAATTTGTCAATAAACAGATGCAAATGGTAATCTGATGCTTATTTAATTTCTTAATTATTGCCAAAATGCTTTCAATTCTAACGTAGATCCACTGACCAATCAACCTTTAAATTTACTCAAAAAAGAGGCTTTACTTTGGGGAATTGAATGTTTAGTTCATTAAATCTAAAAAATCGATGCAATCAAAGAAGGATTGGAATAAATTTTAGAGAAACATATTTTGCCTGAGTTTTAGAACCCAGTTGGATTTTTAAGAGCACGTGCTTGCCATGTTTTTAATGAATATGGAACAATTGAATTCAAAAATAAATAGAATATTCAATTAGCAGTACAAGGAATATCTAAATGTATTTTGGATAAAGAATTACCAGTGAAAGTAGCAGCAGCAATCTCATTTAGTTAAATATTATAAAATAAAGAAGCTTAGGATTTGATTCGACCATAGTTGAGTTAAGTGTTGGAAATCTACATCAAATTGATGGATTTAATTGACAATGAAAGAATAGTCAGATCATTGGAAGAAATAGTCAAAAACTTTACTAATGAAATTACACCATATGCACATTAATTGGCTGCACATATTGCTACAATATTTTAGAAATATTGCAATAAATAGAATTAAGGTGAGGGTGATTCAGATGATGATGGTGAAGCTGAATTGGCTGCTTCTGGATGTCTTGAAGCAATAAAGAGGATCTTAAATGCACCACTTCAATAAGAATCTTATGTGCAATTAGAACCAGTGATATTTCCAATTATCAACTTTGCTTTGACAGAATCAGGATGTGATTTCATCAATGAAGCACTGGAAATATTAAACATAATGCTCTACAAGAAAAAACAACTAACACCTGGATTATGGTTCTATTATCCAGTGTTATGTTACATTATCATTGGATTACCATAAGAAACTAATGTATATGCTCTTTAAGGATTGACAGAAGAATAATATATTTTATTGGAAGGATGCAAAAAGGATTGGGGTAGTGAATTTGTTACTCAAATGTTGGGATCATTTAGAAATTACATCCAAAAGGGTGGAAGCACATTCTTGACTTAAACTGATTTCTTTGGAAACTCATTCATCTCACTGATTTTCAGATTTATTCAGAAGACCTATACAATTGCTGAGAATGGTTCAGATGAGACAGACCAAAATCAAGTTACTACTATATTGATTGCTTTAATTGAGAACTTCCCAGGATAAATAGATAATTTAATTCCACAAATTGTAGACTTCACATTATTAAATATATCGGTATTTATATATTTAAATTATATTTTTAGAAAGAGAAGAAGACTAACAAATTCAAGATGGTTAATATTGGAGTCCTCAATATGTGCATATGGTACAATCCACAACTTGTTCAAAACTACTTGAACAGTAAGGCAATAACAGACTAAATATTGTAGACCTTGTTGTCAATGGAAAAACACTATAAATATGAATGGGATATCAATAGATTAATCTTTGCTCTCTGTTAATTATATTCGCTCCCTTAAATTCCTAATTATTTGTTGACAGCATCTTCAGAAATAGGAAAGTTGTTTGTGAGATTGTCAACTAAGATTTTAGAATTGAGAGAGGAGGAAGAATCCTGTGAATAAGAAGATTAAGCAGAGGAGGAAGAGGATGATTAAAAGAATAAGGCAGACAAAATCTAGGATTTGGAATAGGATGAAGAAGATGATGAGGATGATGATTATGATGATGAGGAGGATGATTATGCTGAATTATATGATAGCCCATTGGAAGATTACGATGCTATCTTACTGATGGAGAAATTGATATTGACTCTACAATAAAGCTGTCCTCAATTGTATACAGGACTATTCTCATAACTGACATAATAGGAACAAGAATAGATGACTAAGAATATAAAGGAAGCCAAAGAATAATATGATGAATGGATGAAGTAGAAATAGCAATAATAATTGAATAAATGATTATTTGTTTATAACATATATAAATCATATGTCAGGCTGATGATTATCTTTATGAGCAATCGTTTCCAAAATATCCAACCCAGCATCTACAAGTGCTGTTGCTTATGCAAACTCCTCTGTTGCTACAATTATTGGGACAAAATTGCAATTGAGCACAGAATTTGGTAATATCTGGACATGTAATTGTACCATATTGTTATCCCAATTTCACAGATATAACTTGTCCACTTGTTGTACAAGTCACTGCTGTTCCATCAACATTTACAATCACCTTCCCATTCACACATTAAGAGCTATAGCAACTACTTCTGGCTGTTGCATAAGCATTCTAAGCCAAAGTAGTGATAAAACATTATGAATTGATTCCAATCGATCCTCCTGTCAATTTTGCTAATTTATCATTGTAATCTGTCTTATATCTACAATCACTTTGTTCTCTCCAATAATTGCATCCTTAACTAAGTTGATCACCTGCATAACAACCACTTACACTATTAAAATTGTTAGAACATCCAGATTAATCTTTTACCTTGCAAAATTCCTCATATACAACTGAACATGCACCTGTAGTCAATGTACAACCATCATCTTTGCCCCATCCGAATATTTATGCATAAGTGTAATTTGGAAGGTACCAACCTGTTCCTTCCAATAAAGCCAAAGTGAATTCAGAAATCACCTAATCTGGGAATGGATCACCTGTCATTATCTCATTACCAAATGTAATCCTCTCCCAATGAAATCCTGCTATATCCTATCCACCATTCTCTTCCAATAAAGCACCTACTGCAGCATTACATGAAAAATATCTCTTCACTCTATCCAAAACGGGGGTTAATATTACATATTATCTATTCTTGAAAGTTCTTATTACATTGTCAATTCCCAAAACCTTATTGTCTGCTGCATTCACATAATAGGGGTACAACACACTATTGAACCCAATCAGATGAATCATCTCATGCAAGGTTTGCTATAACCAATATTCCCATTCTTCATTATTGTTTTTTTCAACGTTAACTTGATTGAAAATTGCCAGATTGACCTATAATGTTCCTAATATTGGTCTATTAGTCACACTGTCCAATTCACATGATACTCCTCTCAACCACCAAGTCCCGGTTGGATCATTTGATGCAGCCATGAGGATACCCAAATCAAACACCTATCCAGATTTTTATAAGTTTTAAACACTCAATCCTCCACATTTCTAACTTACAAATGTGTTTGACATTCTTGGAAACACTTTTAAAGTCGTCTATAAGAATGCCAAGGCTGGAGTCATTAGATTGTCTTTAATGAAGGCTAATTAATTTTTCTTAACATAAGGCTCTACATTAGAGTAATCCACTTAAGTCCTTAAAGGACCCCAATTTCCAGCAGCGTGTTTTTTCAATATTGACCTCTCGTGATGCAATGTAGCTTCTACTGGTATTTCATCTCTATGTGACACAACTTATTCTCTTTGATACGCTGAAACACTTTGATCAAGTATTTAGGTATTATTTGTTGAAGAATAATAATAATAGCATGTTGTTAAGCCCGAAAGAATCAAAAAACTCACTCCAATCTTTATCACAGTTGATAAAAATATCATGTTTAATTATATTTAATTAAAAAATGATTATAGAAATTTATAAAGTATGTTAAAATCATACCTTGTTCTCAAAGGTCAATTAACACTTTATCTTAATTTGATTGTTTTATGTGTTTTGCAAAGGTTTCCATAGTATATTCATTAGTTTGTGCTTCCTCGCAGTATGTCTGAATTTTGAATTTCTTCCAGTCATATTTGTCATTCACTTTAACCTATCTTGGTACCAAATTAATATTCTATTTTCCACTGCAAAAGGATTTTCTGTAATTTGACATGATTGCCTTCGCTGAAGAATAGTTTATACACAAGTCTTTTGATGCCTAAATTACATGAACATCATACTTATCGAATAGTTTACCCATTTCTCACTACCTTTATAATGAACTCCTATTTCAGTTTATCTGTCAGTTTGGCGTATCTCTTTTCAATGCATTTCCCAATCATTTTTTTCATTTCCTACTCCACTTGATTTTTTATTTCTTCTATAATCTTCATAACTAATCGGAATCACTTTAGACAGAGAAATAATTTTAAGATATTAATATTTATGATATAAAATAACATTACGCATCATTAAAGTATATTAATATAATCATGATTATACTTAAATTTGTATAAGTTTCAATATCTAAAAAGAAATGTTATGCTAAACACTAATACTTTATTTTTATTATAAAATCATGAACCTCACAACGCAACCATAATTAGATTCAACAACACTCTCAAAATCTTTAATTCAGTTCATAATTTATCAATCTAATTTCATGTTATAATATATCATTTTATTAAATTTCCAAAATCAAACCCCAACAATCGCATTGTTAGAATAGTTTAATTTTATTCTTATTATCTTTGTAACTATTCCATATAGCCAAAATAGACAGTCTAGAAATAATTAATTATTTAGAAATATGAAAAAACAGAAGTGTTAGCATATTTGTATCACCCAATTAAGAAATTATAAAAAGAAATCGAAATTAATATTGTTAAATATTCTATGTTATCTCAATTATACTTGAAGTAACACAACTAGAGGCTCTATAAATGCGTATATACAATTTCATAAATAATGCTTTAATCTACTCATTATTTTTTCATTTGGTTTATATACAACGTAATTCTAATCTACTTGATTCTCTTATGCCTTTACAGGTTTATGTTTTTTTGGTTATTGCCTTTATTATTTTACTATTTATTTAGGCTTTTTAAGAATTTTCTTTTTAATTTGTCTCATCAATTTATGTGGTCGTCTCTCAGTTGTCTATTCCTATACTACCTTAGGTTTTTCTTCCTTTGTTCTTTACTGCTAAATCTGTTTTTGAACGAATTATTGAATAGCTTTAGTTTGCATATCACAAATCCAGAAATAAAATAAATATATAATCAATAAATGAATTATTAAAGGGCCCTTTTAAGTTCAATAGATAATGCTTTCTTTATCATCCCAGGAGGTAGTTTGATCTTAAAATCTACTTCAGCATATGCTTAGACTCTTATTTCTTAATTTGGCATTTCTTCCAAAAGAAAACCACTTATATATATGATTCCCCTTGTAGTTTACTATGATTAATCAGAATTAATAGAGCGAAGCACTTAGATATACTTATGCTAGGAAAGCTACTTTTAATATTTGATGAAAACATATTCTCTAGAGTCAACAAATTAAATTTTCTTGAAACTTGCATAAATTAGTTAGAATTCACTAGTTGTCTGCAATGTAGTAAATTAATCAATGTGAGTTAGATAAGTATAATTCAAAAAGTCGTTAACGGATGTCTTCTTCATTTTGAATTCATATTTTATTTGTATTATAGTGTATCTCTCTGCATGTTTAAAACTCTTAAATAGGATTGCGAGTTAATCATCCCTAAAAATCTCTTCAAACTCTATAGTAGTCTTGATCCTGTAAAGAAAGATATCAATTGATTAGTCAATAGTTTCCTATATATTATCTGAAATTGCCAGAATTTACTCTTCTGAATGTTCATGATAATTTTCTGACTCATCAACATTATCCACTTTTGTATAGGTCTCATCTTGTTGATGAATATCAGTTTGAGGTAATTCACTCATATTCTTGATGTTTTGTCTTTAAACTAACTTTCTTATACAATTCAAACATTAGTTACCCATAAATAATATTATTTAATCAGAAAGTCTAATTTTAAAGAATACCAACTCAGAAAATGGATTTTATATAAAATCTTAACAGTATTGTTTGATAAATAAGAATAATAGACTCTTTTGCAATTCTTGTGATTAATTATTAATCTATAAAACGAAAAAGAACATCTTTAGAACAACTTTTAATTTATATAATAATAAAAAGGGATGAGAAAGAGAGAACCACTTCTATTTAATAACAACCTTGAATGAATAAATAAAAAGGTAAATCCTAAATAATTATATGGAATAAGCACAAAACATTTTATTAGCAAGAAAATTTTAAGTATGATTCATAAGAACCACAAAATATATAGAAGAGTATCTGTTTTAATTTTTATCGCCAAGGAACTAACAAGTTTGAATATTAATAACAATATTTTTATAAAAAAGAATAATGGTGTAATATAAGTGAAGATACTATCTAAATTCTAATAATTTAGTGTCAGATAAAATTATCCAATGATTTCTTAAGCTTAAAACAGTATTAATAGAGCCTATTCATAATTTTGTCTTAATTTAGATGATTTTTAATAATTTTAGATATATTATGGAGAAAGATTAAATTAGAGTTCACAAAAAGTAGAAAATATATTTTAGAGAGGAAGATTTCTCTGCCTTTGAAATTATTGAAATTGCTTATGGATATAATGAAGAGATTAATGATTAATTTCAGAAAAAATATTAATTTTATATTAAATACAAAATGAGGGTAAGACATAAATAATACTTAAATCTGAAGTTATCTCTGAGTTATTTTTTTAAATTTACCATAATGGAGAATATTTTTTTGAATTTATATACTAATAATATGAGTATTAAACATTTTTTTAATTCTCATTTTAATTATATTTGAATTCAAAAAAATTATTCTTTGAACATTATTTCACTTATATTTTTTTATGGGAAATTCTATTGAAAATTTTTAATCTAAGTTTGCTCTAGTCCTCCTATAAATTTAGAAGACAAAAAAGACTTGTATAATTATAATAATAACAGATATTATTATTTTATTTTATTGCCTGGATAGTAATTTCTTTTTAATCAAAAAATTAATTTTTCACTAACAATGGATAAACACTATTAATAACTAAATTTTTAGTAAGGAGTTCATCATCAGTTAATTAGGAATTACAATCAGGCGAATACATCATTGTTAAGTTCTTTTAATCATAAAACCTAAATTACTGGTTTCTATCCCTCTAAGATGAGATTATATTGCAAACTATATATATATTTATTCAAATATGAAAGCAGATGCCATTATTTTATGTATATATCCAATTTAATATCTTTTAGCTTTCTAATTTTTGATGTATTCAAAATTATTTATTTTTATATGTTAGTTAAATTCCAATTTATATTATTTTTAATTACAAAAGAAATAAAAATTAATAAAAAATGCAAATTATATAAATTAATATGCAAATGAATATTGAAAAGAAATAATATTATTTGATCACCAGGACAATAATAAACAAATTAATCATAAAATATAAATAATTAAACATGAGCATGCAGCTTATAATAAAGATAAGAATAACGCTAAAGTGGGTTCGAAACTATTCTCACATTCTTAATAATGAAATATGTGTACATTGAATTTATTGTTCAATACAAATTTATGTTGATTTATAGACAAATACTGCCTAACTTAACAAAATGTAAATTGTTCCAACGGTCCAAAATATATGATACGTGATTAGATTAAAAATAAATAGAGTGGTTAGACTTAAACATCATTATAATAATACCTGCAATATCTGTAATTCGAAATCGAAACCAAATCAATAATGCTCACTTTTAAATTGCCAAATAAAAAAAACAAAATTCGCATTAAAGCTACCTCTAAGGATGAAATTATGAGACATTTCCAAAATGAATTGATCATATATATTGAAATATATTAGGGAGCATTGTTTATTCCAATATTTAAACATTATAATAAAACTAAAGTAACCAAGCCCATTAAAGGTAAATAGAGATCAGGAGCATGCATATTTTTGGTTATGGAAACGCTTGATGTCTCATTACCTAGAGTATTCAAATGAGTTATACTTAATGTCCAATCCCCTCTATAAATAATTGGAGCATTCAATAAGGATAGTTTTCGTAGTATATATTCATTATCAACATCAAAATAAAATCTATATTGACTACTAAAAAGAGAGCTGATGAAATTTTCATATTTTGTTCCGAATACTACAATTTTTCTTTCTTATTTAATTTTTATTACTTCCCAATATTTGATGCTGTTGCCTCAAAAAAAGGATTCCCAATTCGAGATTGAAACGATTTATTTTGATCAACAGGTATCATAATAAAATCTAATGGATCTGTCATAGGGATAAGTTCTGGTTTCATAAATAAAGGGATTTCTAGAAATATTTTTTATTATATTATTTATATACTTGCGTAAGGATATATGTTACAACAATACAGAGGAAATAGTCAACCACCAAGATCAAATCAGATCTAAAATTATGTATTTTATGATTTTAAAATCTAGTCTAACTAAAACAATTAGTAAATGACTCCTTTTAATATGTTTTAAGAATTTGATTCTATGTCTAACAAAATGATGCAACATATGGATCATTAATTGGCTAATTTAGGATTTGGATCAGTTTTTAGAGGTTTTGATGATCTAGAAAATGAAATGATGGAATTCTCGAATCTTCATCGACATATGACAGGTTTAAATTAAAGAGATGTTAACTAACATTCCAAGGACGGAGTATTCTAGGTATATTCATCTAGTTATGTTTAATCATCTAAAATGGGTCCAGATGGTCGAGTTATTTAAGAAAAATATTTTGATAATAATGCTGTCGCTAGAGGAGTCAATGGACATACTGTAAATTATTATAATTTAAATTAGATAAGTGAAAGATAACAAGGATATAAGAATAGTGATGGAGTAGATAGATTTGGACATGAAAGAATGATGAATGATAAAGGAAGAAAACATGTAAGAGAAAGAGATAGAACAGGTTAAATCAGTACTACAAACCATTACTTGAATATGGATGAAAATTAGGTTGAATAATTTGAAAATGAATGGCTGGGAATGGGAAGAAATTTAGGAATCAATGGACCATCAGGAGGACTAAGAGCATTGTAAGGATAACAAAATATGAGAGATCTTAATAATCATCCTTTCCCAAGAGAACAGTTAACATATGAAACACCTAGTTACCCTAGAAAAAGTAATTTATTTTAATAGAATAAAATTAGATGATATCTCACCTATTATGTTGGGAAATAATAGTAATAGTTATAATAACAATAATAATCCTACTAGATTGGCTTTACCACAACAATAATAGCCAATAACACGATCTGCAATTTAGCAACCTGGAATACAAAGCAGAGTTCCTCCCTAGCAACAACCTGTTAGGGCTTTACCTCAAACAAAACAAGAGTTCACTGGAGTATATCAAAATAAAGGTGCAAGATATCAACATCCTTAAGCCGGATGAAAAATAACAATTTTATTCATACCAATAATTCAAATTTTATTTTATTATTTACTTAATAAAAGTATTATTCTCAACCTAAATTTATTATCTTTTAATTGATATGTAGAATTTATTTAATAGTTTCTAGAATAATTTGAGTTAAAAACTAGATATAGTAATTATTTAAAATTTAATTAGTTTTTATATTTATATCAAGGGTAAATCAAGCAAAGCCAAAACCTTCCTTTCCTTCTAAGATTGCAAGTTCTAATTTTTCTTTTAGTACTTATCTAGTGGGATAACATGGTAAATCCAATTAATTAAAACTATTTAAATCATCTAAGAAACTTACCAAGTGTGTGATGTAGGCAACTCAAAATTTATGTAGTGCTTTTTATGAATCTAAATCTTTTATGAACCATTGATTCCTTTTAATTCTTTAAATCCCCCAAGAGGCACTTTGGAAGTTCCTTTAAATAGTAATTTGGTATACCTGTTACAAATTATAAAAAGGCTGCTCTCTTGCTTTCATCAAAACTCTCCAGTAATTCCCAAAGCCATTAAATTACCTTTTCCTCTTTAATATATCCATGATATTCAACGTTCTCCTTCATATCCTCAACTTAAATATTAAATATATAATGTACGATCTATATATGGTAAGCCACACAACATAAGTTCCATTTCTTTCCATTCAAAAATGTTAATTAAATGCTAAGGAATCAACTCATGAAAACCATTCAAAAAAGCCTCTATTTAATCTTTAATTTCCTTTGCCATTTTTTAATAACAATAGGTTTGAACATACTCAACTTTATTATCTTCAGTCACTTATTTTGATCTGCCCCCTTCAACTAATTCTCTCTCCTCCCATTTACCAAAATTATCAACTGAATATGTCCAATAGATTCCCCAATCATTCACATTTTCCTCTAAAATCTTCTTCATTGATTTATACTCATTCAAGTCAATATCCTCCATATCATTTATAGTCAACTTCTAACCTAGAATATGCTTATAAAATGAACGAGTAAAATAGGTATCCAATAATTATCCATCATACAATGCTTTTCCAACAACTCTTCCAATAAATTTAAAGTACTTGATATGATCATGATTAACATGTGACTTATTGCTAGGTTGGAACATTTAACCATTTAAAGATGGAGAGAATAACGCATAATTGGGATTAAATATCTCCTTAGACAACATCAAAAACCATTCTCTAGTAACTCCTCCTTGATCTATGCCTTCCTCTCCATCAAACTCCACATTTAATTTCCCTTTTAAATCTTCAGGTCTTAATTTACTGAAACGATGATAAGAATCCATAAATATGTCTTTTCTTCTACATCTCACAGTAACATTGCAATTATGATGTCTATTATTCTGAATTTTCAATTATTTCAATTCTATTTTGAAATACTTCTACTTATTTTCAAAATCAACTATTCTTGGATTTTTAGTTACTATTATTCCCAAACTATCATTTTTTATTCTTCCCTTCTCTTTTTACTCTTAAAGTCTTTCTTTTATCATCATATTTAGCAAAGGTTTCCCACTTTCACAAATCTATTAAAATAATTAGTCATGCAATTTTTGCTCTTGTATCTCTAATTCTTAGTATTATCCTTCCATTAATGCAATTTTCTAGGACTCCTTGTGATTCGAATTTTGTTATTTAATAGGGTTCACAATTTGGTAAATAATAAAAAAGCACTCTAAATATGGAGATATTTTCGGTGTAATTTTTATCACTTAAGATTGCGGGAGCTATTACAAAAATTTTATCAAATTTCTCCATAACTCTATTAACTCTTTACTTTCCAATAATTCTTTAAAATTGATTGATAAACTGTTCTTTTCTCCTACTTTGGCATTAATGTCCCTTACAAACTGAAAGATATTAATCAGCGCCTTATCTCCATTAAATATTTCATCAGATTTTTAAAACTTCTAATTTATCTCCTTAATAGCTTTCTCTATGTATTCCTATATGTACTAAACAATTAGTAATTGGTTTTCTTTGTTGTTGCAGAGACTTTGAATAATGTTTGAGAAATTCCTCACACTTTTACTCGCATTCGATAGCAAAGTCTTACAAATACATTCAACTGATCTTTAGTCCAGCTTTACTTTAAATTAATTAATCTCTTTTTATTTCGTACTGATGTTGGTTATAGCCAATATGAGCAATTCCTAGTGTTCCCCTTGAAATTCTGGTAAAAGATATATTAATTCTAACAAGGGAATGGTTAAGCTATTTTCAGGGCTTTAATTTTATTTTTTGCTTTAGAAAAAGTAGTTGATTGAAGAAGTTTGCAAATTTGAAAACAAATACAACACTTTTAATGACACAACATTATATATTTTGCTAAAGTCTCTTACAAGTCCATTTCGTTTAACCAAAAATTATGGAGGAAAAGACTTAATTTAAGATTCTTTATATTTATTTGTTTTTAATATCAAAAATAAGGTGTCTATTAATTTGTACTCAATATTTTAAATATTACATAAGGAAATAAAAAGATTAATAGGGAAATTGATGAAACTATGAGATTCTACATAAAGTAAACTTAGTAGTGATTCGGGAAATTCATGTTTTACAGTTCCTAATTTTTAAATTATGTGTCTTTAAGTAGAGAGTAGGTCTTTTAAAGCTTAAGATTTCAAATGAGGTTTTTTCTATTAGATCTATTACAAGAAATCCATTTCCCTAGATTCCAAGTTGAAAATATTTTAACCATTATGATGCATTGGTGAAAAGTTAAATCTAACTGGATGGTTGGAAGCATCGTCTGGAATACTTTAACTAGCTGGAATGATATTCCCTCCTCCAGTAAATTGTTGAAAATGACTCCTAACATTAAGGAATGGACGTTATGGTTCATTTAATTCTTCTGGGGTTGGTTATTAGTTAATAGGGATTGAGAGCTGGATTATTTCATTTCTAATTTACTATGAAAGAGAGGCTAAAAATTAATGATCAATTCCATCAATTTCTTGGGGAAATTTTAAAATAACTTCCATCATCATATCTTCATTGAGAACTTCGAAAACTGCTGGATCAATATCATTTTTAAGGAGATCCTCAATTGTTTTACCTTATGTTTTCAAAAGATTATAACTCTTTGGATAAAGTTATTAATAATTTTAATTGTTTTGTTATTATTATTATTATTATTATTATTATTATTACTATTATACAGGCTATTGTTGTTCTATTATTTCGAGTTAATTGATAACTTATTGTTCATTATTAGTTTAGTCTTGCTATCCTACATTTTAGAAATCCGAAATGGTCCAAATTGGGCAAAAAGCAGCAATATCTTGATTAGCTTAATCTAAATTGTAGGATTGAAACAAATTGAATCTCGGAGCTGAGAATTGTTCCTATTACTATACCTACTCATTTAATGCATCTTAAGTTGTTTAATATTAAGATTAATTTTATTATACTGGCTGTTATTATTAATACAATACTTACCATTAATTCTAATTTAAAGATCTCATCTAAATATTTGTAATTTATTCCTGAAATTGTCTTTGTTAGTCTAATCTAACACCATAATGAGATTGTCTATCTGAATAGTCTCTTACTAATGAATGATAACTATTCCTAACTATCCTACTTTATGGTACTTGTTACACTTGAGATAAAGATCCGTCGTCATCCATTCTTTGAAAATCCATTCTTACTCTATCCCGAAATATATTAGATGGTTATATTCTTAGATCTTATTAAGGAAGGTCTCTGTCTTCTTGAATTACTCTCTATTAAGTAACTTAAGTTAATTCAGTCCACCAATTTACGAGTTAATAATTCTCAACTTATTTATTCTCAGGTAATAAAAGGCTGAACTTACTTGAGATTTTCGTAAACTGAGGTGAAAATTTAACTCCAGTAAATTAAATTATTGATTTAGTCATTTTCATGAAGGCCAACTCTTCTTTATTAGTGAGAGGATGGTAATGATTCATAATTTCTTTATTTGGCTAAAAGAATAAAGTATTTTAATTATTCTATCCAAAATCCTTTTGATAATTCAATTCTTAATTATTTTATTCTATAACTTCCTGATCAATCTACTATTAGTTCTATATTTGTAAGTGACTATATGAAGCAGATTCATCGATAGAATCACTGCTTTCTTCTACATCTTGATCAATTTCTCCAGGTTGATCATCATCATCAGTCTAACTTAAATTAATATTTTAAGGATCCTCAGCCTCTACTTGATTATTTCCAATTGCAACCCAACTATTTACTTCTTGATCAAATTCTTCCTCTATTGATTCTTATATATTGCTTGAATCATATCTGCTCTCAACACTTTAAATTTCGTGATCATCATCTTCATCATCGTTATCTTCATTGTCAAGTTCAAATTCTCCTTCTTCATCTTAACTATTATCAAAAATTTCCGTATCCAAGTATCTATTTCTTCTACGGAATGGAGACCATAAATGTTGTAGATCCATTTGATCTTACCTTAAATTTTAATTTATTTCTTAATGGAAAGAAAGAGGAGGTAGAGGCCATTTAATAAAATATTTTGCTGGATCTTTATAACTTATGCCTTGATTTGGAATAAGTTGATTATTGATATTCTCTGGTATTAGTTAGCCAATCATACCTTGTAGTTGAAAATCATCTATATGTTGTACTTAATGCTATCTGTATTTCACAATTTGAGTTTGTTTATATAGAAGCAAATAAGTTGCCACATTGAATAGCACAGCAAGTGTCTAATTTAAAATTTGTAATTGATTTTCATGGATATAATATTATTTCAAATCAAAATTTTTAATACAATCTATTAAGAGTTTGATAAAATTAAATGAATTTTGTGGATCATTTACATTTTTAAAACAAATCTTAGCAACCGATCTGATTTGTATTAAAAATACTAATGCGTCTAATAAATGACAAAAATTTTAATCTAAACTTTTAATTCTTTAATCTATTCCATCATAGATTTAATTAATGATTTTTCTTCGGATTTCAATTGAAAATGGAGCAATAGAATTATTCGACGTTTGATTTAAAATAATATTATCTAAACATAATTCAAATAGTAAGTTCTTTATTGGTTTCATAATTTTAGTTATCAATGATAAAAATGAAATTTTACGAGGGAATTCTGCACCCTTAATATCAAATCCTAATTATTTCTGATATGGTTTAAGGAATTTGCTACAGTTAATTCTAACTAATTTAGGAATTAGAATAGGATAAAGCCTTATTAATGCTTATAGCGCTTAGCATATCGTACTCCATTAAAATTAGTATGACTCGGTTTTATCAAAATAAGATACGATTATCTATTCAATTAATAACTTTAATAAAATTGAAGTTTCTTATGTATGCTAAAAATTTGACTATAATTACTACTTATCTTCGCTCTTTTTATTTTTATACTAGGTCTTATTACTTCTTCTGGAATTCACTGAATCCTTATGTTTATAAAAACTTGAAGGTTCTATACAATCAAAAGTATAAAGAAGAATACCTTTTTTTAAGATATAGTAATTATTTTAAATGTCAAATAAAGAATTCATAACAAATTGAATCTATTTTTTGTAAAAAACTTAGTTTTAAATGGCCCTCAACGCTTAATTATTCTTAGGCAATTTTATTTAATTTTAGATCTGTATGTTATAATGAATTGGTTGAAAGCAGGAGGGATTATGATTTTGATGAGATATCTACATTAAATGCTAAGATTATTGCTAAGAGATTTACTTGTGGGCCCTCTCAATTTCTTCATTAGATTCTTAATCATATAAAATCTTTTTGATTTTTCCCTCTATTTAAGCTATTACAATATTGAAATCGTGGACAACAGATAACATGAGCCTTGTTAAGCTATAAAGGTTATTTTTTGAATCTCCTTTTACTTTTAGAAGATAGTCTAATCCTCTCATTTGAGAGATAAACTTACAGACATTCTCTTTATTTATTTAGAAGGTTCTAATTAAAATTTCGATGCAGATTTTAGAAGTTGTATGATTCTACACTTTGCCTTTCAAAATATTCAGTACTCCCAATAAGATATCATTTAAGATATCATGTTGATGTTTTTATTATCTGTAATCATCGGTTATGAATATAGTTAAGATTGCTAATGCATGATTGACTGCTCTTATTGTTTATTCATCTTCATATTTTAATAATTCTTAAATTAATTTCATCATTTCAATCACTATATAATCATATTCCTAAACTAAGTTTTGCTATTTATAAATGTAATGCAAAATAGTTATTATTAATTTGATATTATTATTATTAAAGGGTTTTTTAAGTTTTAATTCGCAATCCTTAAATTTTAACTGCAATTTAAACTATTCTTAAACAGCTTGTTTTAAACACATTAATAATGAGGGCATCATTTATCCATCAAATACTTTAAACAAGGTTTCCTCAAAACTACTAAAATAAAGTATGTTTGTTTGAATGTAACTTTTGAGTTCCCTTTGTTTATTTTGAATTACATCAACAATGGAACCTTTGGAATGCTCATTCTTTTAACTTTCTTTGATCTCTAATCTATTCTATTCAACTTTATCTGAATTATCTGATAACCAAGTAGCAGCCATCCCTACATCAGGAACCCTAATATTTTAGAAAGCCATCGTTATTGCATCATCCTAAAACCCCATGCATCTTAATTATTCTCTAGCCTAAGTTGAATCATTCCTTTAAATAAAGTTAAATTCTCCAAAATCATCTCTCAAACTAGAAAAAGAAAAAAAATTTTAGCGATCCCTTTCTTTCTTAATCAAATCCTACAAAAATGTAGGACTTAAGATCATCATTACTTTTTCAATTAGCACTGTCTATAGGTTATAAATATCATCTGAAGTTGAAATTTGAGTAATTTCTAACATAATTTATATGTCTGAAATTTGTTAAGGTAACAATGACTATGCAAACTCCTGATTCAATTTATCAAATTTATTGATGTATAAGGCCTTTATGACATTAGAGAAATGCTTAGCCATAATTTTAAGTTGTTCATTAGCACATTGATTAGATACAGTCAGTTTAGCATATGAATGAAGTGCCTTTTGAAAATGCTTAGTAAACTCTGAATTCAATAACTAATTTATAAACTCTAAATTTAAATATCTATTTTCAGGCAAGACCTTGCTCTCCAAAAGATTTGTTAGGAATTCCTCAATTGTAGATATATACATTATCACTCCCCATAGATTTTCATTCTCTAAATTTTAACTCATAAAAATAAACAAACTGATTATTTGATTAAATTCGTTCTTTTTTCTTACTACATAATTACAAGAATTAACTATGATATGCTTCAAATTTTAAATGTAAGGGTAAAAAACTGACTTTTTAAATGTTTAATCATTGAAATTATCAAACTTAATTGATCTTAGAATTATTCTAAATAGGCAACAGCATTTATTGTGTAAAGTTATAAGATCTTATTAATCCCAATCAATCTAAGGTGAATTTATTAAATAAAGTTTTAAAATTTCTAGCAAGTATTCTACATAAGAATAGCAAGATGCCATCTAAAGATTTTGTTATATTTATTTCTCATTACACTTTAGAAATTGTAATGAAAATTTGTAATATTTTTCTGTAACAGCATGTTAAGTGTTTTCCAATATATCTCCTATTTATGTTTCCCATTAAGTTATTGCAAGCAAGGTTTTCTTTAATATTTTATTGGGGTTATCGTATTCATCAAATTGCGTTAGCCATCGAAATACTTTCAATAAATCATTTTAGAATTCAAATGAAGGAAATTGAAAGAACATCAATAATGACTCAAAAAATCCTCTTGAATTCAAGCTAGCTAAATATGTATAGTGAGGGTAATGGAACATCTTAAAAATGAAAATTGACAAATCTTAAATTTGATTAATAATATCAAAATATTAATCATTAGCCTACCAATCAGATAAGTTTTATCTATTTTCTATTAAACGCAAATATAATTCCTCTATTACTTAATTAACTATTGAGCATACTTAAGGCATGACTTTATCAATTTTTTGTGTGTATTTAGTTATACACAAGGCTAAGCTACTTAATTACTCCCTTGATGAATGAATTTAATCAACTAATACATTATGCATAATAAATTTCATGAAGGTCATTCCAAATTTATTAAATTGCTCAAATCCTTCTTCATTTAAAGAGATGTTAAAGTAAAATGAAAAAATGGCAGTCATCATTTTATTATCGATAATTGCAGCCTCCATTTATTATATGATTGAATTCAAAGTTTACGGTAAATGAGAATCAATTAATCTTCCAATTAAAGTAGGAACTTCATTAGCTAGATGAGAGACAAGAATTAAAGTCTATTAGATTGTTTCATAAAACTGAGGACTAGATTCTAATAAATGTTATAGTTTCTTAATGATTTTTGATTCAGAGATTTATCTAGCAAAGGTTGGAGCATTAGCTCTATTATATCTTCTCCCTTAATCATCTCTAAAATGATCATTAATTGATTCGATACAAGTTGCGATAATTTAATCCTATTCTTCAGCTGAAATTTTGCAGTAGCCCATAAGAGTGGGCTATAAGATTTCAATATCAATATTAATCTAATTTTCTGCAATTTTAATAAGATCATTAAATATTCTTAGATCTCTTTGGATATTATCCTTCCTTGATAAAACGCTTAAAAATATAAGAGCATTCTAAAAAGACTTCGAAGGTAATTATAACTTATTATCATGCATCTAAAGTGCCCTAATTAAGGCTGAGGAAGAACCAAGTGCAATATTGCTCCTGCTTAAGATTTTTATCCAAGGTTCAGTCGAGAAAATTTCAAAGATACTTTATGCTAATTTTTCATTTTTAGCACACGATTCGTTTAAGATAGTTGGGTGATATTATAATGGATAGGTTTACTCTATTTCAATTGAATTTGGATTCATGGATAAAACATCATAAATTAATTATAGAAATGCTTCGTCATATTTTTTGGCAATAGTATAAGCCACTTGATTTTCACTCTATTTTTCGAGAGCGATGATTTCAGTCAGAGTTTGAAGTATTATAGACAATACCAAAGGATCGACTGTTTTCAATTAAAACAATTTCATATACATTTTAAAATGATATTCGTAATCTAATTATTCTTCGAAGACTTGATCTAATATTTGTCCACAATTATTGATTAAGCAAAACTAATAAAGAAGCATATACATGAGGAGGGACTGTATGTGCAATGAAATCACAATAGATATTGTAGGAATTTGATTTTTTTTAAATTCTCTATCGATGAGGATTTTATATTTCATGGCATCAACCAGAGGACAGAGGTTTTAATTTGATGCATTCAGATACGTTTTGGACAATGATAGGCTCGTGTTGGAATTTACATCTGTAATTTCAATATTCTAATTATATTGTTGACACTACTCTAATTAAGATGGGTTGATTTAATTCTATCTTGTGTATACCGTTCTTGCACAAATCTTGATATGCTTCATTCAATAAATTTGGTTCCATGTATTCTATAACCAATTTAGGAAATTCTTCTATTGGAGCTTCACAAAGGCTTTGATAATTTGGATCTTGACAATAATAATCTATTAACTCTATCTTGGTCGAAGATAAATTATTGTAATGATCTAGCATAATTCTTGTAAAATATATGGTTCTTGGAAGGTACTCTTTCAATTGTTGATTGCTGAGATCCTTTTGTTACGGATTGTTTGTATTCTAGGGTTATTTGTAGAGTTTTAATAAAATTAGCATTATTTACTCATAGACTAGTAAATTGTCTGAGCATTCTAGCATATCAAATAATTGATCTAATGAATTAAATAATTTTCTATTTTAATTTAATGTCATACCGATAGCACTCTAATTCCAGCATCTGATTTATAAGAGACAGCAGAGACTGACAGTAAAAACTAGGATTTAATTTTATTTGATCAACTGCTAATTAAATCTGATAATCAAGCTTATTTAATATTAAAGATAATGATCCCTATGATAATTTATGGATTGGATGAGTATGATCAAGAGCAATTAACATAAAATCGTCTATAAAACAGGAGGAGTATTCTTGAATTATTTTCAACATCTAGACTTATAAGATTAAATACTCGCAGTTCAATTTCCTTTGGTTGTTCAAGTAAATAAATGGGAATTTTCATATTTAAATTAATATAAAAATAATTAATTTATATCTTGACTTCAATATTCTCTAATAATGAATTGAACTTTGTTCTCTCCTCAACAATAAGCAAGTCAATTGATAAAATACCATTTAGTTTCAATTATAATTTATTAGACTTCAACCAAATACTTTAAGTAACAAAAGTTTAGCCACTTCTCTCGTTGAATATTAAAATTGGATTGGTGAATAATTTAATTCTTTATATAAATAATAACCTCATAAATATATATAAATCACATTCTAAAATTTAATCAAATGGGAATTTGCACTTCTCAAAATGTCTCAGAGAAATTAGACGATAAAGAAGAAGATTATTTAAAACTTGATTTTAATCGATTTTCTACTTACCAAAAGTTGGAAAATATTGCAAACAATATCGCATCATGTAACAAATCTCACACATATTTAGAATAACAAATTGATAAAATATTTTCATCATTAATTTAAAGAATGATTGCTTCTCGATAAACTCATATATTAAAGATATTAGACAATATTGAAAATTAAAAAAAGTAGCAGTTTATGACAAAATTAGAACGTATAGATTTTGAATTCATAGATTCTGTATAGAAATTAAATTACAATTTTTAGCTATTTCATCATTGTTATAAAGAAAATTAGACAGATGCCTTTTACTCCAACGTTATTTAAAGCACCAATTGCTTAGACTAGAATTTTGATTTAATAAAAGTAAGGAATTAGGAATTAATTTTAGGAACAAAAAGTTGGAATAGTGTTATTATGTGGAGGTCGCAGTTCTCGATTACCTGATAAACTATTAAGTGATATAGGACTTCCATCTAAGAAATGTGCATTGTAAATAATGATGGAAAGACTGAAAAAAATACTTATGTTATGTAATACTTATTATTTAAATGTTTAAGCTTCTAAAAATAAAGATATTGCTCATTATCCAATTGCAATTGTTCTTTCAGATAGAAATTCGGAGAAGATTTAAATGTATCTTAAATACTAAGGAGATTTTGAATTTTAATCAATCTATTATATAATTGAGAAATAATTACCTGTGATTGATTAAAAAGGATAGGTAGTATTTGAATAGGAAAATCAAGCTATTATGACACCTGAAGGGACTGGTTCAATTTTTTTATAACTCAATTCATTCATAAAGTAAAAGGGTTTTAGATAATTTCAGTAAATTTCCAAACATGGAGTATCTTCATTTCTTGGGTTTGGATAATCTAGTTGGATTGCCATTAGATCCATAAATGCTGAATCTCATTTGTAAATAGAAGGCTGATGCATTATGCAAAGTTATTGAAACTAATTCAATATTAGACGACAGGATATTCTATTCAAATAAACAATTTAAGACTATGGAAGAATGGGACTCCACCATAACAGAAAATTCATACAACATGACTTAAATGTTACTGAATGATTTATATCTATCAGTTTCATTTCTCAATAAAATGAAATCGAATCATGAGAAAGCATTAAAGCTAAATTAGAGATACCACTGTATAAAGAGAGGATCTAATATTCAATTTGAAAAACACATTCAAGATATAATCGAAGTAACTGATATAACAATTTTACATCAAACAGAAGATTATGCCTTGCTAATTGATGATCCAAGAAGAGCAGTGATCTAGTTGTCCAATGTACATAAGAGATACCTCAAATTAGATGGAACTTAAGAAGAAGATTTAGTTGAAATCACTCCTTAAATGAGCTATTGCGGAGAGGATTTAAAAAAAATTGAAAATGCCACATACCCCTTGATTATATGAAGAAGACAGAGAGCTGTTTGGTTGATATTGACTTTTTTATTAAGATATAAATATTATTGTTTATTATTAGTTGTTATATATTTTTAATTATATATACTATTAATACTAAAAATACATTTCCCAGAAAATCTAGAAAAACAACAAAAAAATAGTTTTTTTTTATTTGATAAAATTAGAACTTGACCTAATAATTCAAGGGGAGGTGAGTCTCCAACATATTTATAATAATAATTATTAGAATTTGTTTATATAAATGAAGCTAATTAATTAAAATAATGTTATAATTTTATATCCTATAGAATTAGGTAATAGGAAAGAAATATTTGTTATTTAGCAGAAGAAATTAAGGAGTTATAATGATTATAGAGAGAATAATTAAAGCATTCCAGAAAAAGGGAGGAGCCACTTTTTGATCATGGTTAAAAAAGAAAGGGAACTTAATTAATAAGAGAAATAAAGGTTTCATTTCTATTCCTTGAGACTGAGACTAACTCAGTTGATGCAAAATAATCTTTGGATGAATTTATTTTAGAATCGGATAAAGCTATAGTTTACTTTAAAATTTTGAGTCCCAATAAATTGTAGATTTTTTAGAATTCTCAACGATGCTTCATAATTTTTTCTATAATAATCGAAAAATTGAATATTTTAAATTTCTTTTATTATCATAATCAATGTTTCTCTGAATTATAAAATAAATTTAATTCTTTTATTTTGATGAACTATTCTAACTATTCTGAGAAACACAAACGAAGTATATCTCCTATTTTGGAGAAAACTAGTGAAGGCAGTAAGATGATTCATCATAATAGAGGAAACTATATCAGACATCTTGAATCGTAGTTGGAAAGAGTACAAGTATTTATGTTTGGTAGGCAGCAACAATAGATTATGAGGGGTGTGAATAAAGGATGAGAGGAATAGAATAATTGATTGAGGTCATGATGAGAGTTGAAGATTTGATAAAGTTATGAGGTGTTGTAAACTTTGCA